GAGATTCTTGCGCAGATGAAGCCGCTGGAGGGCAAGGCGCTGAACAAGGCCATACAGACGATTCTAAAGACCACGCACAAGATCGAGCAGCTAAGAAGCCGGCTGCAGATGGTCACCGGATGGGCAGATGAGAGCGGCGCGGAAAGCGACGTCGAGGCGGTGATGAACAGCATACTGTACGCGCACGGGCACACGGTTTACACGGGAAAGGAGGGTGCGCTTCTAGAGTTTGCGTATACGCTGGCGACAGAGGCCGAGCACGCAAACGTGAAGAGCGCAGGGCGGCTGGTGCTTGAGCACCTCCCGCTCGCAGAGGAGGAGCTTGCGCGCGCAGTTCTAGAGAAGCTGGCAGGATTTTTCCCCGACACGGAGAACCTGCTCCCTGGGCAGGAGGACCGGATGGAGCAGCACATCTCGCTCTTTGCAGGGACCCGGCAGAGCAAGGAAAAGCTGCGGATATACGTCTCTGTGCGGGCAGAGGCGATCCTGGTTCTGGCAAAACGATGCAAGCGCCTGGAGGGAGCGTGGAAAATGGTCCTGGGGCTATACAAGAAGATTGACGCGGAAAGCGCGCCCATGGAGAAAGTCCGCGCGCTCGGGCTGGCGGTGCTGAGAACTCTGAAGGGCGAGAGCGAGCTGGGCGACGCGTGCTCGCAGTACGTGCAGAGCATGCGGATGGGAATGCACGACTTTGTGTACGGGCAGATCCTCCTGGGCGCGCTGCAGGCGCTGGAGCAGAGCGAGCGCACCGTGCACGAAATAGAGAAGCTGGCAATATATGCGCTGACGGAGAGCAGGGCGACGGTGCACTCGCTTGAGGGCCTGGGCATAGCCCGGCTTCCTCGGGAGAGGGTGCTGTCTATTCTCGGGAAGATTCGCGCCGAAAAAATCAACGTGACGTCCAGCACGCCCGTGATCAAGCAGATACTGCGTGCCATGAAGCACTCGCGCAAAGACTTGGCTGTGGTGGCAGAGCACATTGAACGGGTGCTGGCTGTGCGCAAGCACAAAGGGCTGGGCGATGTGCTGAAGCATGTCCGGGAGAGCCTTGGCAAGGAAAGGCCCGAGCAGGGCGTAGAGGAGCAGGCAAGCCTGGAAAAGACCCTGTAAAAGCGCCGCGCAAATACAGAATATTAATAAAAGAAGTCTTATGAAATGCGCAGGGGCCTGCCTGGGCGCGGCCAGCGGCTATAAAGCATGCGTGCTCGTAGAATGCAAAGTGCATTTTTATTTTTAAAAGATGCAATAGATCCTATGCTTGCTTATTGGTATCCTAAGCGCCCGCAAGCTTAAATCTATCTGGGGAGGCGTGCCCGGGCCCTAAGCGGCCTGCGGCAACCTGTGAAAGTGAATGTGTTAAAGCCGTGTTTGAGGGTGTGCTTAAGCGCGTACATGGCACCTGCCACGACAGCACCCCACAAAATGCTGCTGGTTGCGACCGAGGTCAGCGAAATAAATATAACAAATGCGAAAGTGCCCCACCCCTCCTGGACTGCCGACAGGCTTGACTGAAAAATAATGTTCAGCCCCAGGCACAAAAACAGCAAATCTAGCACAACAAACGGAATGTAGAACAGATACTTGTATCCCGTGATGGTGACTAGGCCAAGCGCGCCCGCAAACAGGAGCGTGTCGATCTTTGATCGAGAGCCTGCCTCGTACACCGCAATTGTCGAGGAGGGCAAAACATATGTGGTGCACCCCAAAAACATTGACATTGCGTTGGAGAGCCCGTTTGCCAGCAGCTCCTTGCGCACATGCGTGCTTTCCCCAGTCCGGGCCTTGGTAGACGGGAAGTTGATGGGAAACTGCAAGAGGTTTAGCGCGGATATTTTTGCAATCGCAGGCAGCTGCCGCACAATCTCCTGCTTCTGGATTTTCGAAAAAGCCACGGAGGGGATCTTCATGGAAATAGGCTTGCGGGGGTTGCACAGAAGCCACCCGCTGCTCACCAGAGAAGAAAGACTCATCCTGCACGCCCAGGCGCAGAGATAGAATGCAGCCGTGAAAAGCACCCCGATCCACAGCACGCTGTACTGGGGCACCGCCGGGGCGCGCTCTCTGCACACAAAGCAGAAAATCGTCAGGCAGACCCCGACTGAGTTGAACGCCGCCGAAATTGCCCAGCTAGGAACGTTAGACACCTTTATGTTTTCAAGGCGGTCGTTTGCATAAAACACACACAGAATCCCAATAGATACAAACAGCGCCTTGGAGGCGGCAGACGGTATTTTGTGTATGGCGCGGTCCGCGCGCAGAGCGCGCAGCGCAAAAAACCCTGCACTTGTGAGCATGGCAGACAGCGCGGTGCACGCAAAAAGAGTGGAGAAGAGCTTGGGGGCAGGCACGCTTTTTGCCAGCGCGCAGTGCAGCCCCTGTATGTACAAAAAGGACTCTGATATAGGAGAAGACATGACTCCTGAGGTGTGCGAGGAAAACGCAAAAAACATAATCTGTGAAATACAAGAGGCTGCCACAAATAGGACAGTGCTGGTAAAGCGTGTGTTTGCGTCAGAAAACGGGGCCTTGCTGGAGAACATTTTCTCTCCAACAGTCATAACATACATAAGATAAAGAACTGTGCCAAAAAAAACAACAGGACATTTATAGAGTAACGCTTTTGCACTTTTGGCGAGAGTACGTATATAGCTATTTAGCTTCTCCTTTTCTATGCTGTTTTCCATAATACTTAAAATTTTTTATCGTCTTTTATTTATTTTCATTCGGGGCATTGCTGATCGTCTGCATGGTTGGTGCACACAGAAAATAAAAACACGGGGCAAAAAATACCCAGAAAAGATGCGCGAGCAGAGTGAGTTTTTGTGCATTAAAAACATTCTGATCTATAGAAAGTGCGCAGATGGCCCCTATTTATCTGCATCCTGCTCTTTTACCAGCTGCCTGGCCTCGTCCATATGCTTCTTTGTGTAGGACAGATAGCTCTTTGCAATCGCGGCGTCGTCTCCCTTTAGGCCAACAGACAGAGTCCTAAAGAACTCGAGGTTTTCCTTTTTCTGCAGGCCTGCAGCAAGCCTTTCCAGGGTAGGCGCTGAGCCGCTCGTGTTTTTCGCGGGCTTTTTGGCGTCTTCTGTGCTGTTAAGCACCTTTTTGAAGGCGTTCTTTGCCATAGTCTCAAGCACGGGCGAAGTTTCTATGTTCTTTTTGTGCTCTTGGCTAAGAATTGCGCTGTATATGAACGACCGGATGGCGCCTTCCCTGCTTCTTTGCTTCGACAAGACGATGCTGTAGTAGTTGGCGGCGGCGGCCATAGCCTTCGTGCCAGCCAGCGCCACAGACAGGAACTGTTCTATGTGTGTGGCCTTGTCGCTTTTCTGGATGGTCTTTTCTTCTTCTTTAAGCTTTCGCAGGAAGACTTCTATCTTTGCAAGAAGCGCAGCAACAATCTCCACAAACTTCTCGTTGTTCACAAACAAGCTTGTGCACACTACGTTTTCCTCTTTTGACGGATCCTGCATTTCGGGCGAAAACACACAGTCATTGAAGATGAGACCCGTGCTTATTTTTTTTATGGAGGCCTCTACCGAGTCTTTAGAGAGCTTGGCGCTTGCGTTTTTCTGGACGTCGATGAGCTTGTACATAACCCCGTCAAAGACAGCAGTGTGCAAAGAAACCGACAGAAGGCTCTTCAGGTTCAAGAAGTACTTTTTCGTAGTCTCGTCCTTTATCATGAACATGGAGTCTACAACTTTAGAGTCGCTGAAAAACATCTCCTCGTTGCTCGCGTCTCTGCTCCAGTGCGTGCCAATGTAGGAAACAATGTTTTTCTTGATTGCCTCTGGAATTTCTTTGTTTACCCAAAGCAAATGGTCAAGCCGGCCGCCTATGTTTGATAGTTTTGCGGCTTTCTCCCCGTTGTACCGGAATATGCTCTCCAGTGCGAGCATCGCCTCTAGCATCTTGTCCTCCTTTTCCTTGTTTGCAGCTTTTGAGTAGACACTCTGAAGCTCCTTCCGGATGCACTGGATGCTTTCTGCCAGCTTGGCAGAGTCCAGAGCCTTGGAAAGAGGCTCTTTTTTGCCGCCCTTCTTCTCTGCGTCTGCCTGCTGGGCCTTTAGCGCTGTGCAGACAAGAACTTTCCACATCTTGTTCACCGCGTCTATCTCCTCGACGATAGACTTTCCTGCTATGTTGACAATGCCTTCCAAGCACTTTATCGAGTTCAGCGCCAAGTCTGCCAGCTCGTGCGCTTTTCCATACTGCAGCCTGTTTTTGCTGGCCTTGCTTTCGAGCAGGTTCACCTTTTTCTGCAGAGCGTCGCTGGAGTATACGGCTGGGAATTTGGACTTCAAAAATACTTTGGTGTCCAAATGAACTCCTAGATTTGCGTACGAAGAAATAAGTGTCATTGCCGAAAGGTCTGGGAGAGGCTCTTTGTTTTTTTTCCCGTGGTTTGGAACAGCTGTGTGCGCGCAGTCTGTGCCTTTGTAGTAGGGCATGCGAATTTCCGTTTGCACTTTGGTCTTTAAGTCCTTCTTTGGGGTTTTCTTCTTTTTTTTGCTAGAGGCCGCAGGAGACTTTTCCTTCTTCTCTTCCTTAGAGGCTGCACCCAAGCCTAGGCCAAATAGCAAGCCGCTCAAAGGCTCCGATTCGCCGGCCTCGGCACTAGCGCCAGCTTCTTCTGTGCCTTCCGCCTTTTCTGAATTCGGCGTTTCTGTAGGTGCGCTGCTTGTAGGCTCCGCCGCAGCTTCTGTCTGTGCGGCAGGCTTGCTCTTACTGCCTTTCGCAGCTGAAGCGCCTTTTTGGGAGCTTGCTGCCCCCTTTGGCGTGCTTTTATTGCTAAGAATGACATATCGCACGATAATGCACATGGCAAGCAGGAGAAAGGCCACTGAAAACACAATTGTTAACTTTTCTTTTTTTCCCAACTTCATTAATTAAATTTCTGTTTCGTTTGAGTTATTATATGTGAAAAGCGTATGTTTGATGTAAAAATTATTGGGCAGCAGACCATCTTAAAAAAAGCAGATCATCAGAATTAATTTCGGGGGGAATCCGGGAGTGCCATTTTCTGATCATGCCGCGCTCCTCCATCTGCGCCATGGCCATGGCTAAATCTTGCTTGCACTGAAACACAGCCAGCGCCACACACCAAAATACCCCTAGAAAAGAGTCTTGCCCCGATAAAGGGGCGCCCGCCAGAGGCAGGCTTGCAAGGCCTCTGAGCAATAGGCAGTATAGCTTTTCTAGAGTCGGCTTGGCCTTTCTCGCAGATGCAACGCTTGGCAGCCTGCTGCTCTTTTGAAATCTGTTTCAAACAAAGTGATTTTATGCAGAAAATTGTTTAGACGCAGAGGCGTTTTCTGTCCGCCTGGCGCGCGCAGCCGAGCGCTGGTGCTGTACAGAGCCGCTGGTGCTCTATAAAGACGCAGCAGCACAAAGAGCGCGCCTGCTGGCCTTGAGGCAAATCGAAAGCCCCTGCATTTCGCTGCTAGGCCAATGGCGCTGCTTTGCAGCCTGCATATAAAAGAAACTCGAAATTTAACCCTATGTCTTTATTGTGTTATGCCTGCGCAAGCCTGCACGCTACGCAGGGTGCACCCATTCAGCAGAACAACACCCCCACGCAAGCAGGATTTGTGCTTTGCGCATAGCACGAAGCAACACCTAGTACTGCACTTTAAACTCGTAAAAGTATCGGCTCAAGTTTTTATAATTGCATATGCTTACGTGTTTCTTTTTGGCAAAGAAGCTTGAAGAGTTGCTTTCAACAAGAAAGCCGTAGTATTCAGAAAAAGCCTGCTCCAGCTCGGCCTGCGCGTCCTTCTCCATAAACCCCAGCGCGTTGTGGGGCATCTTCCCCGAGCTCTCTGCCTCCTTGCACTGCAAAAGCATGTGATCTGCATGCGGAGCCGGGGTCTTTTCCCGGACAAGCTCCATCCATATGTGGTCTTTTCCTGCAAACGTGTCCCTTTCAAGGAGGGGGCGCGCGTTTTTTGCAAACACGGGGCCCATTTCTGTGTTTTTGAGCTCTTTTATAGAGTTTTTGGAAATCTCCGCAACCTCCTTTAGAATGGTCTTGTATCTGTGCATATACCCCTTGATGATGGAAAGCCCGCTTGAGTGCATGTATGGTATCGAAAGATTGTACTGCCGGCTCATGTTTGCGCAGTACTCCTGGCACGGCTTTGTCTTGGTCTTCCATATCCACAGGAACGCGTTTTTTATCTGGTGCAGCGTCCGCTGCTTCTTTCCAGTGCGCGCCTGCCCATTTGCGTTGAGGCATAGCTCGGCCTCCATGGCCGCCAGCTCCTCGCCAATTTCCTGAAATGTCTTTGCACGCAGGCCTGTCTCTGCGCACATGGAGATGTACATGGTTTCGTCAATGTCCATTTCCTGTATCCACATGAAAAGAGATAGTGGGCAAGCCTTCTTTGCCCTCTTGGGCACATGATTTTTTTTCTCTATTTTTTTCTTCTCTGCTTGCATCTGTATGGCAAAAAAATGGACATCTATTCCTAGATATAGTCTATTTATCAGAGTGATGTGTGCGCATGGCCTCACAGAATAAGCAAGCTGTTTCACACAAAAATAGCAAATCTTCAAATATCACGTGAAACATTGTCAGAAATATAATATAAATATTATATATTCGCCCGAGCATCACATGATCATCACAGCAAACACTATAATACTTCTTGTTGTGTGCTTTGGAATCCACAGAGCCGAGGTCTGTCAGGACAAAAGATTCAACATTCTGCAGAACAAGAACAACAAAGCGTATCTCGACCCATACAAGTTCCGGTCCTGGCCCAAGGACAGCGCCGGGATGCAGAATGCCGACAGCATATGCCCAAGGGGCTACACGTGCCTTCCCAACTACATAGAGCCTCCAGTCGACAGGCCGAAAAAGCCCACGCCGCCTCCCCCCCAGGTGAAGAACTCCAAGTACCGTGCGAGCGCATATGCGCCAACAACCCCCCCGGGCGCAGGGTGCTTGGGCCTTGACGAGTATGACGAGGTGGCAATGCAGTCTTCGCAGACCCAGCTGTATCTGGGCTCGTGCGAAGAGTGCACGGGCACCGCCCAGACAAAGCCCAAAAACGTAGCCATGGTGTATACCTCATTCAACAGCCCCGATGCAAAGTGGAAGCTTATTCCTGTGGGCAAAAACTGCACTATCAAGAACCTGGCCTCAGGCATGTACCTTAGCGTGTGCAAGGACTGCGGGCCCTCCACCTTCAACATGCCTTTGGCTGCGCTTTTTAGAGAGACCATCGACAAAAACACAAACGACGAAATGTGGATTGTGACCAGAAAGATAAATGGAACGTATGTTTTCAAGTCTGCCAGCACTGGCGGATACTTGGGGGTCTGCGAAAAGTGCTTTGCCCAAAGCAGCACAATCAGCTCCCCTGCCTCTGTATTTACTACATCACCCGATGCCAGCTTCATTGCCTGGTCTATAAATATAGATGCCAAAACCGGAAAATACTCATAATTTGCGCGTCAGCGCGTTTGGCTGCGCTGTCCCCATAAATAAAGTTTTTGCTTACTTTCAGCTCTTTCCAGGCCCAGCACACGCCGTGCAAAGCCCTGCCGGCATGCTCGCCTCCTTGGGTTATTCTACCTTGTGTTCGCGCTTAGAATGGATGATTTATTTTATATAGCCTCTGCCTGCCCCCATTGGTTTTAAACGCGTGAAGTGCGCTTTGTTTTCGGGGCCAGGGCTTCGGGTATTTATTTTTGCAGCTGCAAAAGAGCGCGTGCTTTTCTTCAAACACCTGCCCAGCCTCTGCCTCTGCGCTAAGGGACCCTTGGCGCGCCCGTGCATTAATATTAATATCCGGGCGGCAGCACTCCTTCTGCGCGCCCCCTCTGCCGCAGCGCGCGGAGGCAGAGCCCAAGATGGGCGGCCGCGCCGGAAAAAAGAGCTATTTGTATCTAATCGACGAGACGCCAACAGCCAAAATAGGCAGAAGGATGTTGTCGTTCATGTGCGCATAGAACTCTCCCAAGCCTAGCACAAAGTACATCCAGAGCGGATAGTCCACGCCCATGGCACTCAGCACGCACTTGGCCAAGATGCCTCCGACTATGCTGCCAAGCTTGCTTTTGTGCGTGTTCGGAGACTTTGGGAAGAAGCACGAGACCGCGTCGACTATGCCCAGCGAGGACAGCACAAAAAGAGTCCGCGCCCTGTCTCCGGAAAGCCCCTCGAGCACGAAGAGGAACGCTGCCACCAGGAGAATGTGCGAAACAATTCCTTTCCGGTCTTTTTCCGTGAGAAACGAGGAAAGAAGATCTCGCTCGCTTATGTTGTACGCGCGCTCGGCAACTTTCATTATCTGCGAAAAGGCATGCATTAAAAATAGAATGCAGACAGAATGCACCCGCAGCAAGTCTTGGGGAAATATGTAGTAGTACAGGAAAATCCCAAGATGCAAAAACTTTCTCTTCGCGTTTGCTGAAGAGTTTGCCCGGAAAAGGAGCCTCAGCCCGAGAACACACATAAGGATAAAGTACGCGCTCTGCATCCACAGAAGCAGCCCCCGGGGCGTTTTTATGTCTGCAAACAGCGACTTTATCCCGTACATCCCAACGCGATGCATGCAGCAGGCGAGCGACGCCCTCTGATTTCGCGCCAGCAAAGTGTAGAAAATCTCCCCAGAGATCTGCGTTCTCTGCATAACCCAGTGGATGGCGCCAAAGCACGCAAAAGCCTCGCTCTTTGTCAGATCCTGTGCGAACGGGAATACAAGAACCCCGCACACGAAAAGATGTGCGCAGTGCTGGAAAAGCGAGCCCATTGGCCGAGCCAGCTCAAGAGAAATAAGCGCAAGAACTGCCTTATCAAACAGCGCTGCGCCCCTCACTGACTCGCGCTTTTTTGCAGCGCCTGTGTGGCTTGTTTGTCCCGAGCTTTCTGTTTGAAACATATGTTTTACTAACAAATAAAGAAGAAATCGCTCTGTATATAAATGAACACGCAAGAACTTCTGGGCGTAGGCGCATGCATGGGCTTTTTCTTCTCCTCCTCGCTAGGCATGACCTTCTTCACTTCGCACTTCCTCTCCCAAACCGGATACAATTTTAAGTTTCCCCTGTTTTACTTTTCTCTCCACCATCTTACCCACTTTGTGCTATCTGCGTTTTGCATCTGGTACTTCAAAAAACAAGTTTTGCACGAGCAAGTTATCGAGTCTCCGCTGCCGTACATAATGCGAGAAAAGATAGGCTCCCCCCTCGAGGCTCCGCTCAAAAAAGAAAAGCCCGAAAACACGCTGGAGACTCTTTCCGCAAACACAAACAGCGCGCTGCGCCCGATACTTTGCTTTCTCAGCGACATTGGTGCGTTCAACGTGTGGATTGTGGTCTGCTGCTTCATTGGGTCGATCGACAGCGGGTTCTCTGGGAAGGCGCTGACGCGAATATCTCTCCCCGTCTACACCATGCTTAAGTCCACTACGCCGGTGTTTATTCTGTTTGCTCGCTTTGTCTTCCAGCTGGAGCGCCCGTCTATCACACTGATTGTTATTATTTGCATGATTGCCTCGGGCATTTCTCTGGCTGCGAAAAGCGAGGCCATGGGGTTTGACGCCAAGTACGGCCTCATGACCCTTGGCGCGTGCGTCATGGCCGGCTTCAGATGGGGGTTTTTAGAGTACTTCATAAAACACAGCATAAAAAAAAACAAGAGCATTCTGCACAGCCTCTCCGTGCTGTCTCTTCTTTCCGGGCTTTTTCTGCTCGCCGGGTTCTTTCTGTTTGAGGGGCCCATAGGCCTCTTCAACTTCTGCGCGCAAAAGTCTGCAGGGGCTGCTGCACAGTGCTTGCTCCTGATAGTGGCCACAGGGGCTATTGGCTTTTTCGGGTGCTTGGCAGAGTTTCTAGTTATTTCTAAAACAAACGTAATGGTTTCCTCTGTGGTTATTATCATTAAGGAAATCGTGATCCTGTGCATTTCGGTGCACCAGCACAGTCTAACGCTCACGTCAGTCAACATTTTTGGCCTGGCGCTCTCAATAGTCGGAATATTTCTGTTTACCTTCCGGTCGGTTCTCTTCCCTGAGGCTGCAGCACTCTCCTCTGTCGACGAAAAAGCGCTGGAGAGCGCATACACCACGCACAGAGTCGTGCAATCCCCCGAAAAAACACCAGTGACCGTGCCCTCCTAAACAGGCGGCGCAGGTCTGCTTCCATTGTAAATAAATGGGCATGCTTTGTATTGCATAAAGATGCGCTGGGCCAAAAACACGTAAGTGCAGATAGACGGCCAATTACTGTTTATTTGCACGGATATTTTTACACTTTTCACAAGCTTGCCCCTCTGCTCTAGCTAAGCACAAGCATAGGTCTTCTGCAAGCACACTGTGCTCTGCACGGCTTTCGCGGAAAGCGCTTTCTATGCGGCCCGTCTGCAGCAGACGAGCCTACCCGCGGCTTCGCTCACGCCTCTACATGCCACAGCTCGATCCGGCTGATTTTAAACCTCTCCCGGTGGCTCAGCGTGTCGTTGTTGAACGTCTCCACCCCGTGGGACTCCCCCTGCTGAAGGCTTTTTTCAAACTGCAAGCCAAACCTGCCGTTTCCGCACCCGAACGCCAAATACTCTTTTTTGGCTATGATGTACATGCGCCGATTTTCTATAGATTTTGCGCTGTATATGTTTAGTATTGCATTGGAGCCCTTGCTCATGTCCTGGGCCCTGGGCGTTTTAAACCTAAACAAAGCAGTGTCTATTGTTCCGTACGACGCCTTCTCAAACCGCAAAGGCTCAAAAAACACGGCACCGAACACCCTTTCATACTCCTCCTGCGTGCCAAAGTCCTCAAGCACAGAAAGAATAAAACACCCCTTTTGGGGCCCGTTCTTTGCGTTCCGCATTAGCGTGTTGAGCGAGTACCCGTGCATCTCCGAAGAGTACACAAGAGACCACTCGCCCGAGCCAGGAACCAGCGTGTCCACAACGCCCAGGCGAAGCTTTTGGATCATGGTGTGTGTCATTGTGTGAGACCGAGCAGCCTCGCCCATGTATGTCAAATGCTTTTTCTGCGCTGTGTCTTGGGCGAAGTCCCCTGCGCCTCTGTCGATTATTTCTAGCAACCTTGAAGGAATGTGCTCTCCTGGGCCTCCTTTCATTTAGTTTTTGTAAAATGATTTCACTCTTATTCTTATTTTTAGAAATTTATTGATTAATTTTCGTAAAGATCCTACTTATCATTGATTTGGAAAAATCCTCCTTGGTCACCACCAGCGGCATTGGGTTGAACTGCAACGCTTCAACCCGCTTTCCCAGCACGCATGTTGCAGCTTCGCCTAAGTAGCACATTGAAATCACGTAATCTTTGCTGAAAGGCACCTTCAGCGGAACACTTTTCCTTCTGTGCGCCTTTATGTTTATGGGATTCTGCACGTCCAGCATGAAAAAGTAGAACATGTCAATCGCTACTACGGCTTCTTCAATCTTCAGCTCTCCTCGGAAAAAGCTGTTCATTTTTTTTCGAACGATGGGCATGTGGTTGAAGTCCTCTGTGTACCCATGCATCTTGTACAGGTGGTCCATGGATTCGGACAGGTCGAGCGCAAGGTTTTTGAACCCGAACAAAAACGGGTTCGCTATCTTCGACGACATCCACCGCGCCAGCATCATTGCTATTGGCGAATCGCTCAGGTCCAGGTGGTCTGACTGTTGTTTGTTCATGTATATTATTGGTTCGTCATCAGAGGCCTGAGAGATCTCATCGCTTTCCTTTTCTACATTAGGGAAGAAAAGCCTCAGAGTTTTTTTTCCACCTGGCCTTCTGCCTCTGCACACCTCCTTGAGAATTTCCGAGAAGTTCGTCTTGAACGTCTCGACGTTTTCGGAAATTGCCCTTTCCTTCCGCTCGCACAGCCTTCTTGCGTTCAAAACGCACCCAAACAGAGCCAGCCCCATAAGAACCAAATGGGCCAGAGTCTCCAAGGCCCTCCCTCCCTTCACTTTCCGCTGCTTATGCTCGTCAGACATGAAGAGAATTGCAGAAAATAAAACTTTTAAAACAGCGCTGCTCTGCCAAGAACACGCCCACGGCTCCGGCCGCGCGGTCTTTCTCCAAACATACACACCAATATACATGTTTTTAATAACCTTTATTCAGCTTTCTTTTTTCGCACATGTTTTCCATAGCCTTCACACTTAAACAAAAATCTGCTTAATAAGACTTTCTTTCTTTTTAAGGTTCTCCAGAATTTTTTCCAGATTGCTCTCATCATGCGGGCTTGGGTCTACGACCTTAGATGTGAAAAGCATGAATCGCACTGGATTTAAATGTTTTCGGACTGTTTCAATTCCAACCGGCTCGCTTGGAGACAAGTTCTTGGCCATTCCAAACGCAATTGCTGAGGTTATTGCAGCTATCTTGTTTGCTGCAATTTGCTGCTCCTGTGCCACGCTCTTGAAAGACTCCGCCGCATCGACTTTTGCATCTTTCTCATATTCCAGGTTGTCCATGTCCAAAGACAAGTACAAAACAACATTTACCATATTAGAGTACCCAAGCGAAAAGTATGGGTGCAGGGAGCCGTTGGTTGCGCCATCGAAGAAGGCTCTGGAAAGCTTCTTTGAGAACTCCTTTTTGTCATCAGACACTATCCCCCGCTTCTCAAGGAATCTCTCTGAATCGTCGTTTTTTTCTATGTATTGTCTGAACGACTCTTCTCCTAGGTGCCCGGGCGCAATAAACTCGTATATAATGTCTGCCAAGTCATTAACAGCCTCTTCAGACGGCTCCATTCCTGTGTATCTGTAGTCTTTGTTTCCCATCATATCCTGGATAAATGACAGAATCATTGGCGTTACCTTCTTTACAAGCTCTCTCTGCTCTGGGTGCGCTCCCAGTTTGCTGTAGTAATCGTAAAGAGAACGCTTAACGAAGTTTTCGGATGAGTCCTCCCAATCCTCGTTTGTGAAAACAGGAGTTCCTTCGGTAACCTTGAGATATTCTTTCAGCATTTCTTTCTTTTCTGCCGGATATTTCTTCTCTATCTCGCTCTGGCGTTTCGAAAATACATTCCACAGTGTGAAGAATACATCAATGTTTGGGAACGCAAAAGTTAAATGATGTTCTTTGTTTCTTGGGACATGAATCGGGCGGTGACTTTCATTTTTGTCTATAGCCATGTCTAGGTGGCTTGCCTTTTCTTTCTGGGCATCTGTGGGCTTGAACTTGTCGGACTTCTGCATGAAGGCTACGTCGTCAGCTCCCCCAAGCCTCCATGAGTAAAACATGGTTCCCATTGTTTTGTCTTCCACTGCGTAGAACTTGTAGAAGACGCTTCCGATTACATATGCCAAAGCTAATGCAGCTACTGAAACTCCAATGCTGCTGTAAAGCATTTTTTTTGTGGTCTTTGCTCTTACTGTTGTTTGTGTTTGCATTTGCTAGGGGATAAAAAAATATTTATTTATTTGTCTGCAGAAGTGTTATATTTTCCAAACTTTTCTGCCAGCATATCTATTCGCCTGCTTAATCTGTGCTTTAGAGCGCTCCTTGATCCGATGCGCCCCCTCGGGTTTGGGCTTTTTTCAGACTCCTTGTGGTTCCACAGGGGTGGATCTCGGAGTAATTGGTCTTTTTTGTGTCTCTGTAGTTTGTGCACACATTCACCAACCAGCGCGCTTTGGCGCCTGGCCGCCCTCCACACTCTCTGCGCTTCTGGGGGCATCGCCTTTTTGTGTGATTTGTGCTCTGCAAAGCTCCCCAGACCCACCCTCGCACGAGATCTTTTTATCAGTTTTGTTTTGATAAACGATCTAAATCTTTGGCTCTTTGGCTTTTTGGAAGCACCCCCGTCTTGGCCTTGGCGTGCGATTGTGCTTTGCCACAAGGCGCTACAGATGCTCAGATTCAGATAAACCCCTCCAAAAACCCGCCCCTGTGCCTCCTTCCTCCCAAGAAGCGCACAGCCCGCGCGCTCTTTTTCGCCTTTATTTCCGCCTGCTTGGGCGCACCTATGCTAGCGCGCCAGCTCTGCAATAAAATACGCAAGCAATGTGCGTGCATACATTGGCTATATAGCTGCCCCACGCCGCCCAGTGAATCGCCCACGCTGCTCTTTCTTTTGCCAGCACCCACTCTGCTGCACCGCCGAAGCTTTCCGGCTCTTCAGCCCCCACTGCTGGTTTTCTCACACAGCCATTTCTAATCAATGGTATTTTCTCTTTTATAGCACTGCTACCGGGCCCATTTAGTCTCCTCGCATAGCATGCCGTGAATGTGTGGCCCTGTTTTCCGCATGTGTAGCATCTCTTAATAGGGGCTTGGCTGCTCTCGCGGAGCTTTGCTTCCGCTTCCGCTTTTTTGCTTCGGCCTCTATTCTTACTTTCGCCTCCATCCCTGCCTCTTCCGTCAGTACTTCTTGGGGCCTTTTTCTATGAGCTATACATTCTCTTCATAAATATTTTCTGCATTCTTTCCCTCTTTTCCATTTCTTTTACTGCTATTCCCGTGATTCCCATGTCTTCCACACCATCCGCCGCCTCCCATGGGCTTTGCCTCGTTTTGGCTCTATCCGCATCTTGTTGCTATATGCGCTGTTTTGTCTTTAATTCCTTGGCTTAATTTGGGGTCGCTCCGTGCCAGAAACATGCATGGGTGTTTTGTTTTACACAATACATACTGGCAAAATATAAACCATACACTTTTATATTTAGACACAAGTTTTTATTAGAAAGAAGCCTAGCACATGCACCCGGTCTGGCGACAAAAGAAGAGAGCGCAGAAGCGCTTGCGCCTCTACCCCGTGTAATCGAAGAGAGTGCGGCAGTTCTTTTGCACGGCAGGCCGTCTTTCCACAGCCCTTTTCACTATGGGGTGCTCAGAAAGCGCCTTCACTTTGGCAATTAAGTCTGAGGACAGCTTCACGGGCTTGCCTGTCGCCTCCTGTGCTTTTTGCACGCCCTCGAGCTGGCTATGTATTTCGTGCAGATTTTCCAGCGGCTTGTCTTTTTTTATGAGATGCCCAACCGCCTCCTTGACGGCAGAAATGTGCTCTTTTTGCTCGCTCAGAGTGTGCGCCTTTTCTGCGCTTTTTATTTCTTCATACGGATCAAACATTCCAATCGGCTCTGCTGCATCAATGGCTCCTCTTTTATATTTTCATTTTCGCAGGAGAAATGGATGTTGTCCAATCTAAATACATGCTTAAAAAGCTCCTGAGTTGTTTTTTGTGGATATTTCACAAATTACACAAAAATGTTGCCCTGCTCTCTTTTATTCCCGTGCTTGTGGAAATTACAGAAGGCACGTGGAGCGCCGCTCTTATTATTTCGCTTATATGCATCACCATTATGAAGCCCTCCGGGATTTTTGAATTTTTGGTTCTTGCTGTTTTCATGGCGCAGCACAGCGCACAGATTCTCGCATACTTCGAAGACATACACGAAAATGCTCTTTTTGAGTTTCTGCTAGCCGCCGTGGCGTACTGCGCGGTCTCTTGTCTCGTGATTTCGCTGGTGAAGTCCTTTATTGTGCAGCCGCTAAACGCAGTGTTCAAGGTGCACGTCAAGAAGGCCCAGGCGGCTGACCCAGAGAGCAACAGCCATGCCAACATTGAATTAGACGCCATCAAGAGCCTGGCGCCCGAGAGCACGCCCCTGGAGAGCCCAGTAACCAACGCAAACCTGACTCTTTTCCGAACGGGCGCGATAAATGACAGCATGAGCACGCCCATTGAGATACAGGTTGACGAGATGTACAACTACGGCGTAAAAGAAGCGGAGGAGGAGCGAGCGTGTTTTGCAACCGGCCACAACGTGACGGTGAAGAGAGCGCTTGAGAAAGGGTCTTTCTACGGGGGCAGCTTCACAGCAATGCAGTGCATTGTGTACAGCGTGAACTTTGTGGCCAAGCTGCTCATAATCATAGCGTACTACACGGACCTGTACAGGCCCATCGAGCAGGCCACTTTCTTTTTTGCCACGCCGCTGACGTTTATCCTTCTTCTGCTTATCACGCAGATGGAAATCGTTTTCTATTCGATTGATAGGCCGCTGAAAAACTACACACACCTGATTACCATTCTTGTCGTGCACTTTATAGCATGCATCATCAGCTCTGGCTACACCAGCAAGAACATGATGCTGTGTGGCTTCGGCAGCGAGGAAGCCGCACAAGGCGGATTTGGGTTTATTCAGAGGCTTTGCAAGGTGAAAAACATTTGGCCCTCTCAAATGTTGAACAAAATTCCCTTTAATTAAACAGCCGTAGCTCATATCACATTTTTGTTTCTGCGTGCATATTTCGTGCAAAACTTTCTTTTCTTAATTATTTTGGTATGATGAAGCCAGAGGACGTCGAGAGAAAAAAGAGCGAAATAGAAGAGGCCTACATTCGGCTGAGCAGAAAGCAAGAGCAGATCCCCGCATATCTAAACGAGGACTCTGAAATCATGGGAAGCGACCCGCTTGAGCTTTGCATTTCGCACCCAATCACACAAAAGGAGAAGGGGTGCATTTCGCACCAGCCTCTGCACAAGAAAAAGCCCAAGGACGCAAAGCCCTCCCAAAAGGAAGAGGAAAAAGAGCTGGACGAGTCGGTGGAGTGGGACACAAAAGAAGATGGCGTGGGCCGATTCGACGAGCACGGGAACTTTGTAATAGACAGCCAGACCGCAGACGAGCCATCTACTGGAGACGAGTGGACAGTTGTTGAGCAAAAGCCCAAGAAGAAGAAGCAAAAAGACAGGGAGGAGCAGCTAACGTACACTGCAGTCCAAACCGCAGAGTACAAGAGCGACCCCAAGACAGTTAAAAAGCAAAAGGAGAAGGGAAAGCCTGCAGAGCACCAAGAGGAGAGCGACGTGGATAGCGATGGATTTAAGCTTGTGCAGGATAAAAAGGGAAAGAAAAACAAAAAGCACTGAAATAAATATTATTAATGTTTAGGCGTTTTCTGCGGCCTGTGCGCTGCTTCAGCCAGTTTGCGCAGCATGGGCGCGCGCGAAAGGGGGGGAAGGGAAGGTGGAGCAGAGCCTTTTCTGGGCAAGACTGCTGTCGGCGGAAGGCCAGCCCTGCACGGGCCAGGGATGAGTGAGTGCCAAAATGGAAAGTTCCAGTTGTTTCATTTTATTTATTTTATTATTTTTTAACCCATGCAGTTTGCACAGAACTGCAGCTGTAACGTCTTGTTTTAAAAGCTTTCTCAATGAGGATTAACGCGTTTGTCTGATTAATGACGAGAAACAATGCTACCTAAAATTATATCTGAGAGATTTGCACTTTAATATTTTGCCATAATAATTTCCTGTTTTTTTTATTTTAATGAGCATGCTATTGGACATAGAGGAACGCGTTTTGCCAGAGTTTGCAGCGCTTCTTCAAATGGAGATCGGAGAAAAAACGGAGCCATCCGAAATTCTGTCAAAGCTGACAGATAGCGCGATGCAGAAGGTCGAGCACATGCAGCTGATCGGCAAAGACCAGCTGCTAGGCGCAAGCAAACTAAGATCAGAAAGAGTGATATATTCGGCTGTCATCACAGCAGTGTACACAAAAATACTCAAGGACAGCCCTGGCAGGATTGTGGAGGTGATTCCGTACATCCAGGAGCGGATTCGCGATAGAGACCGGCGGATTCGGGGGAATGTGGTTTCTTTCATTTTCAGGAACATCCAGGTGGTGAAGGACGAGGGCGTGGAGACGCGGGGCATTGCAAAAACCATCATTGACCTGCTGAAAAACAAGAAAAAGACAGTGCGCATTTTCTATCTGCGGCTGGTGGCCTCAAACACAAACGAGTTTGCAGAGCTCCTGGACCCAACCAACGTGAAGTACCTTATAAACACGATTGCCCTTCTGTGCGAGTGCCACCTGTCGGAGGGTCTGCACAAAAGCGCGGTCGGTACTATCAAAAAGATGGTATCAATAATCAACCGCCTTAAATACCTGGGGAAGATCCTTCTGCTGAACGTCTTTCCTCTGTTTGAGGCGTGCGACTTTTCTTTGCCGGCGCTGCACCCAATACTTAAGGGGTTCTACAGAAAGTGCAAAAAGGAAATAGGGAATGTGGCATATCTGAAGTTTATAGAGGACCACAAAAAAGAGAAGACTACGGGGCACATATACAAAAACCTGCTGCTTCTTCTGGAGCTGGGGGTAAACGAGCGGGCGCAGGTGTTTGAGCGGTACAGAGCGGCGATTGACTCTGTGCAGAGCCAGGAGATGAAGATCGAGGCGCTTAGAATTATTCGGGAGTCAAAGCACAACCCGAACAGAGCGCTGTACCTTGAAGAGGTGCTGAGCATCATAAAGGGCATGGACTCGCACACATCCCCCGAGATTGCCGAGGCCGTGCTGCCCGCATACATGGAATATGCAAAGGACGGGGTTGTTTCCCCGGAGAAGTTCAAGGAAACCGTATTTGCGCTGTTCAGCGACTGCCCAGGGTCCCGAATCCCAATTCTGGAGTTTCTTAACGCCTTTTTAAAAGATGTCCCTGTCCCCGGCGGCTTTCTTTGCGCGCCAGGCGCCTCTTTGCAGAACACTGCGTCGACTCTGAATCCATCCGGCCTTCCAATGGCATCGACACAGTCCTTGATCGGAATCAGCGCGGACTTCTCTGGGCTGCATGCTCTAGCAGAAGAAGACGCCCGAAAGCCTTTGGGCGCGGACAGAGGCGGCAGCGCCACGGGCAAGCATGCCCAGCAGGAGGGGGCGATCCTGGAAAAACCTGCACAGGGCGAGACATGCCACGCAGCTTTGCCGAAAATTGCCAGGGCAGCCAGAGAGCTTGTGTGCCAGATCATGGAAGTGCTTATTGAGCGCGCAGATGCGGAGGTGCTGGAGCTTTTCCTCAACTACTTCAACCCGTTTGAGCACGGCACGCCCTCCTCCATATACTCCATCAGCAATTCGGTGACCTTCTACAGCATGCTGTGGTACATGCACACGGCGCGGCATGCCCCGGGGCTGATAGAAAACGCGGAGCCAGACGGCATTGTCATACACAAAGTAACACACAGCGACTTTGACGTTTCGCTTGAGTTCTACTCTGTGCTGTTTATTCTCTCCGAGTCCTCGGGCCAGTTCATGAACAGCGTCCGGAACGAGATATTTACGCAGATCTCGCGCTATCTCCAGAGAACGCTCGACAGCGTCCGCAGCTCAAGAGAGTATCTTCTGAGCAACTACAGCGAAATATCCTGCTCGATCGACGAAATGGTCTCCAACATGAGCCGAAAAAACAACACACACAAGGCTGCATACCACCTCATGCAGCACAACCTGCACACAGTAATTGCGCTTTCGCTCTATTTGCTGAACTCAAGCAAAACATTCAAGAACCTGCAGGAGATCCAAACGTACATGGAGCTGCCGTCCGTTGAGCAGATCGATCTGGACAGGGCACACGAGTACGGAATAGCGTCCAAAAAGAACGCGAAAAAGATGGACCGATTTGCCGCTCTTACAAAGAGAAAGCGAAGAACGCCTCCTGCGGAAATAGATCTATCTTCTGTAACTGAGCACTCTATATCCACCAATCTGGACACAAACATAATAGAAGGAATGTCAAAGATAGATGACACTAAGCAATAAAGAAATACTTCTACTTTTATTGACTAGTATGCGGGCTTGACCTTGAACTTGCACCCCTGTGTTAGCTTGGCTTTTCCACCGGACGGCTTTGCCAGAATCGTGCTGCACGCCTGGCATGATATAACAGTTTGCGAGTGGGAGAAGATTGTAACCTTCTTTTCGCACTCGCTACACTTTACGTCCATGAAGAACGAGTTTGGCGTTGGTATTAGTCTCTTCTTTTTGCATGTTCTAATAATAGTCTCTGGCGACGGGTACTTTAGTGACTCCATATTACAAGGGAAAGAAAAATAAAAAAATAAGAAGACGCACGCAGAAATTCGAACAAATGTGCAAATAATGCGCGGTGGGCCGGAAAGAAGCCCGCACCGCAAAAGCCCCAAAACACGCCAGAATCCAAGATGCCTCTGCGCTTTGTCCAAGGCGCGCGCGGCGCAAGAAGGAGCTCTGGAATGCAGCAATCACAAGAACGTGCACAGCCAACTGCAAAAAGCAGCTTCTGCGCATGCGCAGCCTGCAAGCTGGGGCTTCTTGGCCAGCCCGTTTATGCCTGCTCGGGTTAGCTCCGCGCTGGAGCAGCTGCCGTGTGCAAAAGAAAAAGACACCGCACAAACTTTTCTGCAACTAAGCTCTGCAGCAGGCTAAATCTAGAGATGCGCGGCGTTCTTTGCTTTCAGATGCAGCAGAGCCACGGCCATAGGAGCGCTTTTCTGGTGCAGGACGGAAACAGAATAGGCCGAGTCTGCACAAACATCTTAATTTCATCCATGGACGAACAATAGGCCGGCCGGAGTGGGTCTTTGCTATTAACTTTCTGTTTTTGCATGCCTGGAGTTTTAATCAATTTTCTGATATAAAAGATCTATGGAAACTCCATAAAGGTGCGCAGACGCGCCTGTGCAAGGGAGAAACTTTGAAAACGGCCAGGCCACATGCTGATTTTATAGCTTGTGGCGCACATGGATCCAGTGCAGACACGCAACACTGCAGCACAGCGCAGTGCCGTGTACTCCAAGAAGCGCAGGAAGTGTTGCTGGGCACTCCTGCAGCCGAGGCGCAGTTTAGCTTGGGCGTGCGCCTGCTGCTCATTTGCGCGCCATGGAAAGAAGCAAAGCTCCAGAAGAGCCCATGCTGGCACGCCCGAAAGCCCGCTCTGGCTGCAAGCACAGAGCACGCCTTAATTAAGGCAGCTGCAATGCACAAAAGCAGGCTAGGCTGCACAGATCATACGGCTTGCTTTCTGGGCCCAGACCTAAAATCTGCATTGTGCGCGCGCCTGCACGCGTGATGTAGATAGGATCGCAGTGGGTGTTCTGGGAAATGCCTTGGTCTGCGCCTTTGCATGCGCTGCCATGTTTCTTGCCGCATTGAAGACGCATTCAAAACACGCGTGCACTCTGGCACAAGAATAGGCAGCGCAAAAAAGCGCGCTGCAAGGCCACACACAGAAGGGCCCAGCGCGCCCAAGCCGCCAGAGGCATGCTACAGCAACAAACAGCCCCTGCGCTGGCTGCGCTCTTCCAAAATAGAATGAAGAAGCAAATAAACAGAGTCTTTCATTTGTGTAGATTTAATTTTCTACAGAAAAAATATAATGCTCCTTGGAGTTAGTCTAAGACAGTGTTTTAACGAGGAGTGCTTCAACAATAAGGGGGAAACAGTGATCACAACAGAGAAATTGTATATGCACTCTGCCAGAAAATACTGTGAAAAGTGTGTGGAGGACGGGCTGGATTATGTGCACACCGACGACATTATATTCAACCGAAACGGCCGCTGGGAGGGGAAGCCAGAAGTCGAGAAGCAGGATCTTGTGGAGGAGTCTCTGTTTCTGAAGAAAATCAAAAAGAGAGGGTTTACGCGGAACGGCGCTGCGTGCTTTGGGGTGTTTACAAAAAAAGAGTACCACCCGAATGAAACCATAGGAGCCATTGGGGGCGTGCTGGGAAACATCAACATGTACAGAACGGGTGCAGCAACGAAGTCAAAGAGCCCAAGCCGGTGCTTCATCTTCCGGGAAAGCGGGCAGATCATCGACTCGCGAAAAAGCGGAAACCTGGTGCGATTTATTCGAAGATCGTGCAGGCCAAACGTTGCAATTTCGATAGAGGCGTGCGAAGAAGGGTGGAAGGCGCGGCCTCCTCTGAAAAAGAACCCGTTTATTGTCTACCCGGTCCGGGCCAAGCTCTACGCCATATCCAAAATAGAAAACACAGACGAGCTCTTCATAGGAAACAAGTACTCTTCGTACGCTGGCGAGGCCTGGGCGTCTTCTGAGCTAGGAATTGGGCCAGACGACCTTGTAGACACATGCGCATGCACGTCCAGCTGGAGATGCCTCTTTGAGGGAACGCCCTTCCTGGAAAAGACCAGAAGCGTAAACATTACATCAAAGATATCCTCGATATTTGTGCAAATGCAAAAATACATGCGCGAGAAAATACCTTTCCCCAGGTCTGATATGGCGTATGTCCTGAACAGAAAATGCACATTCACACAGCACATTTAGGAGTGCGCCTGCGGAGTCTGGATGCGTGCCAAGCGCGGGCGCGCTTCCGACCAAACACGCGCCTCCTGTGCATGAACCCCGGCCCAGAAGAAGCAAGCAAGCTAAAGCTATCCTCCTTTCCCAGAGCAGCAGGAAGGCTTTTACTCGGCCAAAGCCCCTTCAATAAATACGGTGAGCATGTGTTTTGTGTCCGTGCGAGGGCGGCCCCAGGCCTCCGCGCCTGTGCTTGGGCAGGGACTTCCTTATGCCCGGCATCGGGGTTTTCCGTGCGCTTTTATTGGCTATTTTTTGTGCGTGCATCGAGCTGCCTATGCAACTTTTTGCTTCTCCGTAGAAAAAAGCGCATGCCGATTGGAGGCTGCGGGCCAGAGTAATTAGCCTGCAATTCGCCCATTGGAAATTGAAAGTATTTAAAAGCTTAGAGCCCTGCAGGCTCATGGCGTCAAGAAGAAAGAGCAGCTTTGCAGTGTGCATGCTTATATACAGCGCAGCACGGGCGTTTGGAAAGGAAGAAAAGGAGTCAGCGAGAAGCAATATAGAGGAAGTCAGCATTGACAAAAGCATGCTAGGCATTCTGTCTAGCAATGATGCAAAGCCAATCTCGCGCAAAACTGTTGTGGATTTGCACACGGCAGTCGACGGGGACAGAGAATACAAAGAAACCAAGCAGTCGTATGTGAGCATAGGAAACAAGGGCAGCTTCAAGGAAGACAGCATGTCCGAGCAGAATCCTAAAACGAGCTAGGCATAGAAATAAAGCGTAATTCGAATTTATAGCAGTGTTTGGCGCTCTGGGCCACGGATAAAAGCGGGCGATTTTTCTTCGCCATGAACGCAGAACAGAGAATCATGCAGGAGCGAGAAAACTGGAGAAAAGACAGGCCGCTTGGGTTTGTGGCCAAGCCTTTGACGAACGCAGACAAAACCCTAGACCTGTTCAGATGGCACTGCAGCATGCCGGGCCCAGAGTCTTCTCCTTTTGCAGGACACACCCTCTCTCTGCTTGTTGAGTTTTTTGCCACGTATCCTGCAAGCGCCCCGCAGGTGAAATTTATAACAAAGGTCTTCCACCCAAACGTGTATGCAGACGGGTTTGTGTGTCTGGACATTCTTGCGAGCGAGTGGTCCCCCTCTCTGAACATAAAGACAATTCTGCTGGCCGTCCACGCCCTTTTGGAGGAGCCAAACATAGACTCGCCAGCAAACGAGGAGGCAGCCAGCCTATACGTAGAAAGGCCCGAGAAGTACATCCGGCTGGCCATCAAGGCGCTTGCGCAGAAAAAGCCGAAGCCACGCGCCTAGAGTGGGCAAGCCTGCGCATTCGGGTGCTGCCATCATATACATGCTTGCGTGCAAATTGCAATTTCTCGGGCATATGTGCACAATAGACCGCTCTGTTTGCGCTTCCCTATTCGGGCATAATGTGGAGCATATATACAGAAGGCCCTTAGCAGGCATGAAAGTTTTCGGCAGCAAAGTGCTTCTTACATTTATATTTTCATTTTTTATTATATCTAGCGCAGTTGCTATGAACAGTCAGGATGTGGTTACAATGCAAGATGCTGCAAGATATTTTTTAGAGAGGGGAATATCCCGAGGGGTTATTGTCGTCAGCTCCGAGAAATGCGGAGCCTGTGTGGTCTACGACAAGATTCTAAACAGCTACTTTGGGGCAAAGCCTGCAATTGCAAGCAAGTTCCTGCTAATTAAGCTAACAGCCCAGAACAGGCCCAGGCTCATGGGAGCAAACACGCTGATTTCTGATCTTGGCGTGATGTCTGTTCCGGCCACTTTTGTTGTGACAGCAGGCCCATCCGGGCTAGCCGTTGAGCAAAGCGTGCCTACAGTTTTAAATAGCCCTGAGTTCCTGAGCACAATGGCCCGAATTGGAATGGCATAGGCCATTGCATCAGGCGTCTAGCAGCAGCTACTTCGGACAGTCACAGGCTTCAAATAAATTTCGAAACAAGAATCTTTGGTTCGCGCGCAGCTCTGCGCCGGCATTCCACAGCAAAGCGCACATTCGGACGCATGTGCAGGCGGAGGCAAATGGCCGCGTTTTCACAGTTGCATGCACACTTGCAATTTTCAGGGCCTCTTTTTGGAGCTAGCTTTTTCTCTTGGGCCGCTTCTGCATTGGCCGCGCACTTTCTCAACATCCAATGGCCTGCGCTGCAGGCCTGCCAGAGCTCGCTCTGCTCTAGCGCGCTTATAGACATGCCAGCTGCAGCCGCTTTGCGGCACAGCACACCGGCCTTTTCTGGCAGCCGTCTCTTTGAGGGGCTTTGGCATTTAGTTTGTTTGGGCGCTTAAATTTTTTACAAACACGCACATAGAATGGGCTTAATATTGTCAGTTGTCAAAAGTGCGCTAAGGAAGAAAAAACGCGGCATGCCGTTTGAAATTTCCGTGGCCCCAATGATAGACGTGTCCACGCCGGAGTATCGCCGGTTCATGCGAATTGTGTCCCCCAGCTCGTATGTGTTCTCTGAAATGGTGGTGGACACGTCTCTTATTCACATGAGCAGCTCTGTTTTGGAGAGAAAAATAGGGCTGCCAAGCGCCAAGTGCATTTTGCAGATAGGGGGGTCTGATCCAAAACAAATTGCGCAGGCGGTCAAAAGGGCGCAGGCGCTGGGATATCGCCTCTTCAACCTCAACTGCGGGTGCCCAAGCGACAGGGTGCAGAGCGGAAGCTTCGGGGCTGTCTTGATGAAAACCCCGGAGAGAATCGCAGAAATTGTGCAGCGCGTGTTCTCCGAGACAGGCGTGGTGATGAGTGTGAAGTGCCGGATTGGGGTGGACGACGTCGAGGACTATGCGTCCTTCAAAAAAATGATAGAGGTTATTGCAAACAGCACGCCGTGCAAAACATTCTATGTGCATGCGAGGAAGTGCCTTTTGAAAGGCCTCTCCCCCGCGGAAAACCGAAGAATCCCCCCGCTGAGGTACGAGTATGTCTTCCGGCTGAAAAAAGAGATGCCGTGGCTGAACGTTGTGCTAAACGGCGGAATCCGAGAAATAGAGGAGATTCAGGCTGTAAAGGGGAGGCTGGACGGCGTGATGCTGGGAAGGAAGCCCATGGACGACCCGATGTTTTTTGCCGAAATAGAGGAAAAGGTGCTGAATAACGCACGGATTTCCACAATGGACGCAATATCCACGTATCTGGAGCAGCTGAAGAGAAGGCCGCACGAAAGAGAGCAGTTCATGCAGATAGACGCGCACGCCCCCGCCATGTACTCGACTCCAAACAGAAAGCGAGACCACGATCCAAACGCGCTTTCAAACGTGCGGGTGCTCCCAGGCGGGGAAGTAGAGTACCTGTGCAGGCACATAGACCTGAAGCCCATAGAGCCAGTTCTGCACGGAAAGCGAGGCTGCAAAGAGTACAAACGAGAAATAGCAAGACTAGCCCGGGAAAGAGTCTGTGTTTCGTCTGTTGTCCCCATCATACAAAAATATCTTGATGGTAGTAGCCCGAACACCCCAAATTCTGAGCAAATAAAGTAGAGTTACACAGACCCATTTGAGCAGCGCCTGGCAGGACCAAGCCTATCCGCAGGCGGCAGCGCAGGCCGTGCGCTGCCTGAGCGAATACAGATGCGTCGGATTGTGTTTATTTATTTCCATAAGGCATTAGGATGCTTAATTAAAATTAAAATACTCACATATAATAATTTAATTGTTGTGCAAGCAAATGTGGGTTGGGCTTTTTTTCCTAGTACGCTTGGCTGCCTGCTATTATATAGACGAAAAATATAGGGAGTCTGCGGTGGATGTGGAGATCCAAGAAGACGCGCACAGAAACATGTATATAAGCTTTGGGCTGAACGGAATAAAATACTCATCAGTTGTATGCCTGGACAAGCTCCAAAAAGTAGGGCGAAACTCGTACGCCACATACAATGCTGTCTACACGAAAAAGCACGAGCACGAGGAAACCAGCAAAGTGCCTTCACTGTGCGAGGCGCTTGAGGACGTCAACGGGTGGTTTATCCGGGACAACAAAACACACTCCATCAGGGGAGTTCTTGTGGACGAGGGAAAAATTATCCACATAAAGCCGAAGGAGCTTCTTTTCCCAAAAAGCTCTCCCCGCGAGCTTGTCGCCTTTGTTGCGGACGAAGACTTTCCAGAGCACGTTTGCCAGCCCATTGAGATGGAGCCCGAGCAGATAGAGTGCAACGAGCCCTTGGAGGACAACCAGCCGTACTTTGAAAGGGTGGCAGAGTACTTTAAGCGCCGAAAAGCGGACAGAGCTCCGCCCTCCAAAAAAGACCTATTGGGCCGAATTTCATACTCTATTGCCAAAATAAGGCAGGAGATTTTCTCGCTGTTCGGATATGCAAAAACGCACAAGGAGCGCGACGCAAGCACCGACTCAGACGACGAGCCCGAGGGGTCTGAAGACGCGTCGTCCTACGAAGGGTGGGAGGAGGCAAACCAGCGAAAGAAAGCCCTGGCGGTCCGCCAGGAGATAGAAACCGCACGGGAGAAAAACAGGCGGAAAAACTGCGTTAGCTGCCAGGCCAACTCGCTTTACAGAAAACAAGAAAAAGAGGCTTTAGACCACATGCCCAGCACAGCGGGCGCCATCGCCGAGGCAGAGGCATGCGAGGTCTTGGAGAATGCTTTCATGCTGGAGGACGAAAAGCCCAAGCCAGCGCACTCCCCCGAGCAAAGCACAGACGGCAGGCCGGGCATATCCATTCAAGATGTGCTGGTGGAGGATACTAGCCTCGTTTTGGACGCACAGCCTTTTCCGGACGCCAGCACTTCTGGCGTGCTGGTTCTGTACGAGGGCGCAGGCAAAAGCACAGCGAGCGCGCCTCTGGGGGTCGGCCTCAAAAGCCGCTCTATCGGCATAGAAGGCACACGCGTCGAAGCTAACACCCAGGCCTTGCCCAAAGTAACACAGACAGGCGGCTCGGACAGCAAGGTGCACAGGGAAGAAAACGCGCAGAAGAAAGCCACGCATTCCAAAACGCTGCCCACGGCCAAGGGAAAGGCAAAGCCCTCCAAGAGGGAGGCAGGCGGCGAAAGCAAGCCGCGCAAAAGCAAAAGGGCGCAGAAGGCTGAGCCAAGAAAAAGGGAGACCTCATCGAAGAGAGCGCGGGAGATAAAAGACCGGGTGGTTGGAAACACGTTTGTCACCACACGAATTCCAAAGTCAAACAAAACCGTGAAAAAGGGAGAGGTTCTTTTTCTGGGAATTCCGTACTACTCCCAGATCTCGGAAGTCGACAGCGTGATAAAAAAGCCGAACAACTATGGATTTCCCGTGGAAAAAAAGGCAATTCCGGTGGCCGTGGCCATTGACAGCCACTACATACAGAAGCTTGGCTCTCGGCGAGAGGCCATTTTTTCGGTGATGGAGAACATGAACATTGCCAGCCGCATATACGAAAAGTCCTTCAACGTTTTGCTGTACGTAAGCGACATCATAATTGACCAGCAGGCAGAGTGGTTCTACAGCCAGAGCGCTCTCCCCGAAAAGCTCGACCAGCTGGAAAGGTACCGCGCAACCAAAAACAAAAAGTGCATGTTGTACCACCTTGTGACGGTCTCCTTTTCCAAAACCATGCAGATTGGCCTGGCCTGGCGGAGCGCCATAGGGTTCAAGTCTCTGAAAAACATCAGTGTAAGCACGTTCACGCAGAACCAGTTTATTACAATTGCGCACGAAATCGGCCACAATTTAGGGCTTCTCCACGACTGCGACGACCAGTCGTGCAAGAACGCAAACAAGCTCAACTATCCGTGCAACCCCTGCGAAGGGTGCAGCTGCAAGGGCCAGTACATAATGAACCCAAAGAAGGCACCGAATCTTCTGTCTTTTTCCCCGCCTGCGCAGAAAGAGATGAGCATTATCCTTGCAGGCTTGGACACAGAAATGCCAAACGCAGACGAAGTCGAGATGCCATACCCCATCTGCGGGAACGGCCTGGTTGAGGAGGGGGAGGAGTGCGACGCCGGCCCGTTTGGCGACGCCTGCTGCACGCCGGACTGCAAGCTGCGCATAAACGCACTGTGCTCAGACTTCAACAGCGGGTGCTGCAATGGATGCCAGCCAGCAAAGGCAGGAACCGTTTGCCGGAAGTCCCAAAACGAGTGCCAGAAAAGCTCGGTCTGCGACGGGAGGTCGGCCAAATGCCCTTCGGTGTCTTTTTTCGAAAACAGGAAAAAGTGCTCTCTTGGCTTCTGCGCCAACGGAGTGTGCACAAGCAAAGACGCGCAGTGTGTGATGGGCGGCATAAAAAGGTCTATTGTGTCTGCTTTCCCCGGGTACAAGGGGTGCGTCATGAAGTGCCTAAACATAAACGGAGACCCCATTATACTCAACAACAGAGCGTTTCGCGACGGCACGCCCTGCGGGTGGAGCGGCGTGTGCGCACAGGGGAAGTGTGTGAAGGACACAGGCCTGGCTGCCATGTCCGTGCTGGCGTTTATAGCTGGCCTTTTTCTGATCGCCCTTGCTTTAATGTAGCGCCACAAATACGCTGCTTAGACGCGCGCCATGCCTTCACGTGCAAAGCACCATGGCCCTCGCCAGGGCCATGCGAAAGGCTAAACAAGCGGCCGTATCTGCAAAAATAAATATATATGTCCTTTAAGGCTTTTGCATGCTGTGGGCGGCAGGGCGCTTCTGCGCGCCTGTGCTTGCGCCGTTTCTAGCGCAGAAAAGCGCGCATTTAGTTTTAAAAGAAAAACAAAGAATGAGCATGCAGAAAAAGCAAACAGACTACGACAAAAGCACAGCCAAAATGTTTTTGGACCCGTACAAGTATGTTATAGAGGTTCACATTGAAAACATACAAAAGCCGGAAAATACTGTGGAAATCAAAAAGGAGTACATCACCGGGCTTGAGACCATCCTGGTGCGGCAAGACATTTCGACCGCGTCTTCTATTTTCCCGCTGATTGCAAAGTGTGTTGGCCTCTTGGACGTGCCCGGCCTGGAGGAAGACGTGTGTGTGATGCTGGGGCACATCTCGCAGAACGTGGAGCCTGTGGCGAGAGAGCTTGTTCGGTGCCAAGTGCTTAGCCGCTGCATGGAGCTGTACAGAAAAAGGCCAGAGGCAGTGAACAAGATGCTTTTCCTGCTTACAGTTATAAACAACACGGTGAAGGACCTGCGCTCTGCCCTGGAGGCGTCGGGCCAGGACCCTGCCGCGCTGAAGTGCATCTCTGCAACAGACGAGCACATGAGCGAGAAGTCAAAGGAGAGGCTGTGCGACATTTTGTCGTCTCTTAACGTTAAATAAATGAACCAAGTTTTAGCCCAGGCCCTTTGTGCAGCGAGCACGTGGGCCTTTTCCCAGGCCCAAACAGCTCTGGCGCACATCTCTGGAGGCCTACTTGTTTGCATGCTCTCCCAGCCAAGGGCCGGCTGCGAGATGTTTGCAAGGGGTGGCTTCCAGAGCAGGCATGCAATCGGCGCATGGCACAGCGCTGCCCGCTCTTTGCCTCGTCCATATACGCGCTGCTCTTGCTTGTGCAGCCTGTGGCCGCTGTGTACAAGACGTGATCAGCGGGCGCTAATCCTGTCAGCGCTTCTGCTTTTATGAATTCGCTTTTATTTTAAATTTTCAATGGTTGTCACGCATTCACAAATGCATGGAAATGCATGCTTGATTCGGTGCGACGGCTGCCTTATGAATATATCTTCTATCATGTGGATCCAGTGCGTACAGTGCCATATAGACATATGCCCTCTCTGCGTTGTCCAGAGGGCGCAGATTCGCACACACGAGTACACGCACAGGTATCGGGTAATAAAAAGTCTTTCTTTTGAAGTAGACTCGCTGGGATGGCAGATGATAGAGGAGAATTTATTTATAGATGGCCTGATTGTGCACGGAATCGGAAACTGGGCAGACATTTCGGCGTACATAGGCCAGAAAACGCCTTCTGAAGTGAAGGAGCACTTTTCCCGCGTATTCAACCAGCCGAACTGCGAGGCTCTGGAGGGCGAGGCTGTGCAGAACGTGCAAAGCCTCCCGCTCTCGCAGGAAATATCGGGCTACATGCCGCTGCGGCAGGACTTTGAGGTCGAGTACATGAACGACGCGGAGCTCGCAATAAAGGAAATTTCCTTCTCCAAAACAGACACGTCCCTCGAAAAAGAAACCAAAGAAATCCTCCTGGAGTCGTACAGAAACACCCTGCTGCAGAGAAAGCTGTTCCGAACCTTGATTTTTGACAAAGGCCTTCTGTCTGCAAAGCAGCACATGCAGAAGGAGAAGCTTATGTGCTCGGCGGGGAAAGAACTTCTGGCAAAGATAAAGCCTCTTTTGAAGATGCTTCCCAAAGAGGAGTATTTGGCCTTTTTCCAGGGCCTGTACCTGGAGCAGCAGATCCGGATGAAGGTGTCGGGCATGTCGCACAGAGGCCAGGACCACTCCAGAGGCGCAGAAAGCTTTGCCATGAAAAAGCTGGGAGGGCTTTCTCCAGAAGATGCAGCGGCGCACTATCTGTCTGAAAACGAGCATGCGTTTTGCAACATGGTTTCGATCCCGCCCACTGCGTATTATTACTTGAAGGAGGCTGCCATTTTGTGCGGGACTGTGACCGAGGCGGAGAGAAAGCACATGCTAAAGGGCTTCCAGGGCCTCTCGGAGCAGAAGCTCAACCAAGTGCTGAGCTACTTAATGAAAAACAAGTGGATAGAGCTTCCTGCTGCATGACGCTGGAACGCGCTGTGCTTTTTGGCAGTGCTGGCAGAAAGCCTGAGCCCTTGCACATCAGGCGCGGCGTGTACAATAAATCCACACTGTTCTATGCCCCGCGCTCGGGCTGGCTTCTTGTTGCGAATGTGCATCGCGGCGCAGCGTCTTTATGCGGCGCCTCTCCATGCCGCATGCACTCGCCGCACCCGGCACGCAAACAGGGCTACATGCGTGCCTTTTTTCTCCAGGGCGCTGACTTTTTTTCTAAAATGTATTATTTCATAATCATATTTGCATGCATCAGTATCGGGTCTGTTTATTAATTGTTTCCGGCTTTCAGTGGAATTTCTATTAAAAAAGAAATTTGTTTAAAATCTTTATGAACAAAGAAGAAACAAAAACACACAGAATTCAAGAAATAGGGCGAGTCGAGCCGATAAAGGACGCTGCAAGCATGCCTGAAAAGCTGGTGTGGTGGCTCAATGCGGAGAGGGAGTACGAGCTCGGAAAAGTTATTTCTGAGACGGAGGTGGATGCCGAGATATCTGTAGGGGAAAGAAGGTTTACAGAAAGGCTGGAAAATCTTCACAAGGCAAATCCTTCCAAGTTTGACTTGGTTGACAACATGGCGCACCTGTCGTACTTGAACGAGCCCAGCATTCTGCACAACCTGCGGCAGAGATACCTATCTAACATGCAGTACACGTATTCTGGCTTGTTTCTTGTCGCCATAAACCCATACAAAAACATTCCCATATACACAAAGGAGTACATCGAAAAATATTCTTCTGTCTACAAGCGCGAAGACGCGGCCCCGCACATATATGCAGTTGCTAGCGAGGCATACCACTTGATGCGGAACACGCGGACGCCTCAGTCGATTCTCATCACCGGAGAGTCTGGCGCAGGAAAAACTGAAAACACAAAGTATGCGATTGCCTTTCTGACAAAAGTGAGCGGCGACGCTCTGCAGAGGACGTGTGTTTTGGAGGAGAGGCTTATATCCACAAACCCCTTGCTGGAGGCGTTTGGAAACGCACAGACCGGAAGAAACGACAATAGCTCCAGGTTTGGAAAGTTTATTAAGATAGAGTTTGGAATGAACGGGGAAATTGTGGGCGCGTCGGTGGAGAGGTATCTCCTGGAGTCCTCGCGAGTGACCAAGCAGGCTGCCGGAGAGAGGAACTACCACATATTCTACGCGCTTACAAAGCAGGCCGACGAGTCTCTTCTGGCGTCGCTGCGCCTTGAGAGGCACCGAAGCTACAAAATAATCAGCAGCGCAGAGGGGCACGACATCCCGCTGGAAAGCATATGCGCGTCCATGGGGACGCTGGGCTTCTCGCAGGGCGACATTTCAAAGATTTTCCGGATGGTGGCTGCGATCATCCATCTGGGGGAGATCGAGTTTGTCTCTGTTGGAAAGGGCGTAGACGTGCTTGGCGAGAGCGCGGCCGCGCTGGAAAACGCCGCCGCGCTTCTGGACGTGGACGGGGCAGCTCTGAAAGAGTCTCTTCTTCGGCCAAAAATCCAGGCGGGGAGGGAGGTTGTGGTGCACGGCAGAACGCCCGAAGAGGCGAACTTCACCGTCTCTTCACTCTGCAAGGTTCTCTACGAGAGGCTGTTCGACTGGATAGTCTCCTTGGTGAACGTTGCCATGCGCCCGAAGGAGGCCTCCCAGTCGTACATTGGCGTGCTTGACATTGCAGGGTTTGAAATACTCGACTCCAACGGGTTTGAGCAGCTTTGCATAAACTACACAAACGAGAAGCTGCAGCAGTTTTTCAACCACCGCATGTTCATTCTCGAGCAGGACATATACATGAAGGAGGGCCTGGAGTGGAACATGATCGACTTTGGGTTTGACCTGCAGCCCACCATCGACCTTTTGGAAAAAAACAGCACGGGAATATTTTCGATACTCGACGAGGAGTGTGTTGTGCCTGGAGGAAACGGCAGCCGGCTTCTTGAAAAGATCTCCCGGACATGGAAAGAGCACCCGAAGTTCTCCACGCCAAGGGTGCGCGGCGGGTTCACTGTTGAGCACTATGCTGGAAAAGTGAAGTACCACGAGGACGGATGGATTTCCAAGAACAAGGACCCTTTGGACGAAGACATTGCAGGCCTGCTTCTTGGCGCAAAGGGGCCGCTGCCTGTCCCCTCGATCAAGTCAGGCCTGGCCGCAACCCGGTTTAGAACAGTCACGCAGAGCCACAAGGAGCAGCTCTCCAGCCTTTTGAAAATGCTTTACACCACAAACCCGCACTTTGTCCGGTGCATTCTCCCGAACAGGCAGAAAAGGCCAAATGTTTTTGAGGTGTCGAGAGTTCTCCACCAGCTCAGGTGCAACGGAGTTCTCGAGGGCGTGCGGATATCCCGGCAGGGGTTTCCCACGCGCGTCGAGTTCAGAGAGTTTACGCAGAGATATGCGCTTCTCTCGCGCGCAGGGAAAGAGCACATTCCGCCTGCCGAAAAGGGCGCTGTTGCCCTTCTCACAGAGCTCGGCGTCCCGCCAAGCCTGTTCCGGCTGGGAAGAACCCGGCTGTTTCTGCGGCAGGGCGTGCTCGCAGACCTGGAGGAGCAGAGAAATGCCAAAATATCGGTGGTTGTTTCAGAGCTGCAGAGGCGCCTGCGCATTCTCCTGGAGCAGAACATAGAGGCCTTGAAAAAAGCACACGATGACGCAGTGTCGCTCCTGCAGAGAAATGTGAAAATATACGCGTCTGTGCGGAACTGGTCGTGGTGGAAGCTCTGCATGAAGGTCCGCCCTCTTTTGGAGGTTCGCAAGGCGGAAGACGAGATCAAGGAAAGAGACGCAAAAATCGCCGCTCTCCAAGTGAAGCTGCAGGACCAGGCAGAGAAGCATGCAAGCGTAGAGAACGAGTTCCAGACAGCCCTGCAGGAGGCGCAAAGAGCGCTTGCCAAAGGCGAAGACGAGAAGCAGCTCGCGTGCATAAAAAGGAACGAGGCAGAAGCTGCGGCAAAAGAGTCTGCGGCAGAGCTTGCAGCGGCCCAGCGCGCGTCGAATAAGTACTGCACGCAGGTTGGAGAAATGCAGAGCGCGCTGCAGGAGCTCCAGAAAAAGGCAGAGCAGGCGCGGAGAGACGCGGCCTCGGAGGTCTCGCGGAAGCTTATGGCCGAGCTGGACGAGCTGAAAGCACAGTATGAAGACCTGCGGCGCGAAAACAAGCGCATAAATGCGGCCCATGCGCAAGAGGTGGGTAGAGCCGAAAGCGCAGAGCAGGAGAGAGACCTTCTAGCGCAGGAGAAAGCGTGCGTTTTGGAGAAGAGCAAAAAGCTTTCCAGCGAGATCGAAGAGCTTCAGAACGAAGTTACCATGGCAGACTCCCTGCGGAGAAAGGGCGAGGTTTCGGCGCAGAAGCTGGAGAGCGAGGTTGAGCGGCTTGGGTCTCTTCTGAGCTTTGAAAAGGAAAAGGTTCTGAAGCTCAACGAGGCGTTCAAGAAGGCTGCGGCGCCGGCGCCCGAGCCGGTTCGGATTCCCGTGAAAGACAACACAGCAGAAATTTTGCAGCTGCAGAAGGACCTCGAGCACGAAAGAGAGAGGGCCACTGCCAGGCAGGCCGAGTACGAAGACCTCAAAAAAGAGTACATAAACCTGGTGGACGAAAAGCTTGGGTCTATGATTTCAGAGAAGCAGAAAACAGACGCGGAGATGAAGAAGCTGCACCAATCATTTGCAAACAGCCAGCTGAAAATGCAGGAGGCACAGAGCCGCGCCGAGAAGTGCGAGCAGCTTGCAAGCGCTCTGAAGGAGGAGCTGGAGAGAAAGGCTGTGGCTTTGGCCCGGGAGGAGAAGGCCCGCCGCGCGCACGAAGTAAAGGCCCGGGAGGAGCTGCTTGAGGCAGACGCGCATATTCAGCGCCTCGCGCAGGCTCTGGAAGGAGAGCAGCGGCTCTCCGCGGAAGACGCAGCCAAGCGAACAAAGGCACATGCAAGCGTGCTGGAGGAGGTCCAGAAAGTGCTGAAGAAGATCCAGGAAATGCACGAAAGCATGCACCTTATGAAGTGCGAGATTGAGGGGGCAATGAAGACTGTTGTTTTGTTCAGAGCCGAAATACAGAAGCTCGCAGAAGAAATCATAAAGAGCGAGGCAGAAAAGGAATGCGCCATGCAGAAGCTGGGAAGAGCAACTGCCGCGGCCCAGGAAAGCGAAAGCGCCTTGGACGCAGCATGCGCGCAAATACAGAGGCTGGTGAGCGAGAAAGGGCAGGCTCTCATGGAGGCCGAGAGCGAGGCAGAGCGGCAGAGAGAGGCGCTGGAGGAGGCTGAGACTGCGTGGCAGGCAGAGCGCCGTGCAATGGACACAGAGCGTCGCGAAATGAGGAAGATCGCCGCAGAAAAGAAGAGGCTTGTGGAGGAGGCCAAAATCGCGCAGGCAGAAAGGGCGCGGCTTCAGGAAAGGGTGCAGGACGCCCGAAGCAAGGCCACCCGGTACGCCGAAGAGAAAGAAAAAGCTGTTGCAGAGGCGGCTGCCCGCCTGGCAGAGGCAGAGCGGTCTTGCGCCAGAGAGCGGGCAGAAAGCGCGCGGCAGCGAAGAGAGGTTCTTGCAGCACAGGAAGCGCTTGCCCGCGTGGAAAGCGACCTGAAAAGGGTGAGAAGCTGCGAAAGCGCGCGCACCCAGGAGGTTTTGCTTCTTGAAGCGCGGATAGTTGAGTGCAAGAAAAAAGAAGCTGCCCTGTCGTTGGAGGTGCGCCGGCTGAAGGTTGAGGCCAGCGCGGCCTTTGCAATGAACGCGGCCTCTCTGCAAAACAAGAAAATCTGCGAGGATGCAAGCCAGTAGGCGTAGCTTTATTTAGTGTGTCAGTAAATTATTGAATAAACAAGAAAATCCTATTTGCTTCCCTGCGTGTTTGTCTGTCGGTGCCCGGCCTGGGCCGCCGCGCCTGCTCAGAACGTGTTTGCTATTAAATTTATATTATGTTTTTATTGCCCCTGCAATAGTCTTGGTGGGCAACTTCGGAGAGTTCTCTGAGGAAAGTCCTCGGGTGTGGGCAGTAATGCAAGATTAATCTCTGGCTTCCGCCATTTAACCATCTAGATAGTAATGTTGCCGGGGCATTGGTCTGTCCTAACAGAATGAGGCTTACTCCAAGGCTTGTTTTTTGTGTTAACTTCCTCCGCGCGTGCATGCGGCGTTTTTCTGCCTTCTACTTTCTGGTTTCTACGATGGGGAGCCGCAGGAAGAACAGGGACACTATCGTCCCAAATATGCCGACTCCGCCCACAATAAGCTGCAGGCTGACCAGCTTGGAAAACATTTTGGAGTTGCTCGCTATTGATATCGAGCTGGACGAGTTCACAACTGCGCTTCCAAAAGAAGAAACCATTCCGCAAATTCCACACACAAGGCCGCTTGCGAGTATTCCCCAGGAGGCCTGCAGGCTTCTGAGCGTGAGCTCTTTTTCCCTTGATATCTCCAGCGACTTCTCCTTCAGGAAAAAGAAGTTCAGAATGCTGAAGATGAGGTTGGCCTCGCACAGCACAATCCCCAGGAGACTCTTCATCACCAAGGCAGGCGACCGCACAGACCCTCCAGACGTGGACTTGCTTATTGTGGATATGCCTATGGCGCTTCCTATGCAATTCATCACCACAGGGCAGAACACTCCAAACGTGCCTGGCAGCAGGGGAGACATCATCAGAACCGTGTAGAACCCCCGGATCACCGGAACAAGCAAAAGCGCTGTTATAATGAACATCACCTCTGTCCGGGTTATTTTTGAAAGAAACGATTTAGTTCTTTGCTGCATGCAATTGCACAAAATAAAAATAAAATATATTTATGAGCTCGCACAGCATGCTCTGTGCTGTGCCTATCTTCTGGCAGCTTCTGATGCCTTCCCTAGAGAAAACTGCGCCTGCTTCTGCTGCACGCGGTTTGGATAGAGCTCTCTGCGGCGCGCGCTGTCTTAGGCCACTTGGCTCTCTGCAGCACAGCCTGTTTCAAGCCTTCCTTAGGTTTTGCAGAAAGCGTACAATTATACAAAAAAAGTATGCGTTTCTTTTTGCAGTTTGCGGGTTCACTGCAGCCGCGTCAAATGTTCAAAAAGAGAGAAACATTCTCCAAGCTTTATTTCTGGACGTGGAAAGCCAGCCCGGCCAGCATGCGACAGCAGCACGCAGGCGTAAAACATGCTGCGAAAAGAGCTTGCATCAAGATCGGCATTTATTTATTCCCAATTGTGTGCACATTGTGTGCGACGTATGCACGCTTTAAGACCATAAAAACCCACACAGGCCTGTGCTGACGGACTTCGGCCTGGCATGCAGACTCTTCTTCTTTTCTTCTAGGCAAGGCCTGTCATCGCACAAAGTATCCCTGTTCAGGCTGAGGCGAACCGTGTCTACCTTGGCTTTCTGTTGGCGCCACTCTCTTATTTCGTAGAGCTTTGATCTATCTAGTGTGTAGATTGGTCATTCGTGCTGTTGTGTATTGGCTTAGGATCAGCCGAAGCCGGCTTATCTTTTGTGCAGAAAATGAATCTGTCGCTAAGCACTCCAACTGCAAATCCAACTACCACGCTTCCTGCTATGAGTATGATTTTGTGTACTATTTCTCTGTTCATTGTAGCTCTTGATGGCTGCAGCGCTTATATCGTTGCTTTTTGGGAGAAGTGCGTTTGATTGGTCACTGGGCTGATTGCTTTATTGGATTTAATTAACGGAGATCGTTTTTATTTGTTTTGCAGCTTGTCATGCGATAGGTTCCCCCTTGAATACAGCTTTTTGCAGTTGTTGTAGCAAATGGCCTTCTTCTCCAGGAGCCCCATCATTTCCAGCGCTTCCTTCTCTGTTATGTCACGGGTGGCCTCCGCTATTCTCTTCTGTTTGGCCAACAGCTTTTCTTTCAGTATCTCCAGCGCCTGCGAGAACGGCATTTGTGTTACATTTTGAAATAGTTCTTTGCACTCTTCCATAAAAAATATTTTATGCTGCTGTATGACGAGAGTATTGACATTAAAATACCAAACGAATATAAAGACATATCCAACTTAATTGCAGCCCAGAACTACCAGTACATGTTTGTGGGCGGATCCGATCAAGACGAGGTTTTGATTGTTGACTTGATGCAGCCTGTGCCGGACGTGGACTTGCACATTGAGGACATTCTGGGCATGAACGACGTTGATGGCGCAACTGTGATTTCTGTGGAATACACATCAGACGAGTTCAAGCAGGGCATACACACGTTCTTGAACAAGTACAGGTCCAAGGTTGGCATTGTGCAGAGAGACAGGCACCCAGGCATGCTCAACTGGATGTGCACGCGCATCGACGGATACATATCTCGAAACGACGGGAAAGTGCGGCGCATGCACATATACATAGGAGTCACCAAGCACACGCTTTCCGACATAGTCATCAGCCTTTTCAAAGAGGGCGATATTGACCAAAAGCAGGAAGAAAGCATAAAGGAGATGATAAGCACTGTGCAGGTTATAAACTCCGACATATTTGTTACAAAGTAGCCGCCGAGCGAACTCTCCGGCATAAATAAATAGCTTCGCGCACAGGCCAAACCAAATAAAATGCGCAAGCACGCGCAAGAACACAATGAACTGCCACAAACAGGCCAGTTGCAGAAGGCAAGTCTGGCCCGCAGCCCTCTGGGGCAGCGCCCAGTCTATCGCCTTTGCACGGACGCGTTGATCTGTCTTAGGCAAATCAACCCTGCGTGGTGGTATCAGAAAATAAAAACACTTTTTGCACATATATTAGACTTTTCTGCCAAATTAGTGAATTCCAAAGCCTTGCCTGGGAGCCACTCTTTCGCGCGCAGGCTCGCATTGCTTGCTGTGCTCTTTTCCAGCTGCCGACCGCCCAGACGTGCCGCGCTGTCCTGCTCTGGTGCAGCCCGTGTCGTTGAAGCCTGCCCGGAAGGCAAAGACGCTTAGGCAGCGCGGAAGCAGTCGTATAATTTTGCCCAATAAAAGCACGGCGTGGCAGAAAATGCACGGCTTTAATGGAAGCAGCGGAAATATTTTATTTTCATATGGCGCAAGCAGACCAAGCGTATTTAGAAAAAGTCAAAAGCGTTCTGAGCAACCCATTTTCTGTTAGAATGAAAGAGTCCACATACGAAATAATACGCGCGCTGGCGCAGAAGCAGGGCGGCTTCTATCCCACAGGCGACCTGCACAAAGTGATAGGCCTCATTCGGGCGCGCGCAGACAGGGGCACCATATGTATAGGTGCGGAGGGCTCCGCCGAAGTCGCGCTGGTCAGCATGCAGGCCTGCGAGATCAGAGAAGCGTCGCACGAAAGGACAGTGCACATTGCAGGCATGGATGTGAACCTCGCGCTGGGCCTGAAGAGCATAGCATACAGCATAAAGAAGGGAAGCAGCCTGCCAGCCCAGGTGCACGGGGAAGTGCAGGGGATAGACAGCTCGTCGTACATAGTGAAAATGTGCGTGCTGAGCCTGGCAAAGGCTGTGGCGCAGACAAAGCAGGAGCACAGCGCGGAGTACTACAACAGAGCGGTCGCGATGATTGGAGACTCAAACAGCGCTGTGAAAATAAAGGCGATCAACTGCGCGCTCAAAACAGGAAATGCCGGGAGCCTGATCAAAAACACGCTTGCAGCGCTGAAGGAGGACAGCAAAAAGGTGATGCCAAACCCGGTGTGGTCCCCCGGCATGCTTGCTCTTGTGGGCATACACATATATAGAACACACGACAGAAAGGCGGAAAAGCGCGCGCTGAAGATCGTGAAAAGCTATCTTGTGAAGCTGTCAAACGAAAAAGTGCTGAACGGGCTGTTCGTGGTTCTGTGGGGGATGGGGCAGTCTGGGTCCACTCGGCAGCTTCCGTTTTTGATTATCCTGTCGCTGTTTGCGCGCACTGCAGACGCACGAAAGTCGGCAGTTGGGCTGCTTGTGGAGTACTTCGGGCACCACCCAAACGAGCGCGCGCTGGAGATAATTGACAGTCTAAAAAGCCCCTCTCCAAAAATAAAAAAGATCCTCCGGTTTGGGAGAGTCAGCAGGAAGCTGCTGTCGGAGTATGCGGACGTGCTGATCTCCGAGGGCGCGCCCCTTCTGGTCAAGCAGGGCGCCCAGCTGAAAGTATACGCAGGAGAGGCAAGCTACCAATGGGACGCTGCAGACACATTCAGCAAGGTGGCTGCGCTCAGAATATTCCTGCATTTCAGAAACACGCGCAAGCTTGAGGAGACGCTGCTCTGCATTGAGCCCAAGGCCCTGTCCTCGCTTGTGCAGATAGACCTGGAGCTTCTTCGGCTTGCGCTTAAGGCCGTGCAAAGGGTGGGCCTGCGCCTGCCGGTTGCAAAGGCGCTGCTCCTGCACTGCATGCGCAAAAACCTCTTTGCGCTGCACGTCCTAAGAATTGTGCAGAAAAACAAAAGCACGCCCGAGCTGTCTGCCATGGGGATAGAGAGAGCGCCCAAAACCCCAACGACTGTTCTGTCTTTGGTTGTGGCGCGCAGCCCCCTTCTGCAGAATATATCCCAAACGGGCATGGAATGCCCGCGGGCCTCTGTGTGCAAGTCGTCCCCTGCGTACGCAGCCTGCATGTATCTGCTTGCCCAGAAAAAAACAGTGTCTGCCAAGGCCGTGAAAGCCATCTTGTTTCAGCTGCTGGAGTGCTACACTGTAGACCCCTCTCTGGGAGACATAGGGGCGCACTCCAGGCTTGACGCGCTCTACCTCCTGGTGCGCGAGTATGCGGAGGGCAGGGCGCTGCTTTTAAATCTGACCGGGGGCGTGCTTCGGGAGGCTCCTATGTCGGTGACTATTTCGAAGTTTGCGCCAAGGAGCCTAAAAATGCACATGAGCAGGCGCGAAAAGCGCCTCTTGGTTGGGTATGTTCTCAAGCTGGCAGTTGACAAGTCCAAAAGAATCGGGATGCTTATCTACTCGTGCATACTCCCTGCGCTGAAGAGGCCTCCGCGGATTCTTTCCTTCATGCTCGAGAAGTACCACGCGGCTCTGGCGCGGCTGCCTGTTGAGGACGCAATGCTGGAGGCTGGCGTGGCCTCGCTGAAAGCTCTTTTAAAAAATCTGAAAAGAGCACGAAGGCGTGCCTCGCAAGGCCATGCAAAGCCCGCAAAAGTGCGGGAAACAATCAAAATGATGGTGGGTGGCATTATGAATTCACTTGTCTCCTCCGACGGGCGGCTTTATGCAAAAATAGCGAGCAAAATCCGGCAAACATTCGAGACAAAAGTTGTGCAGAAAATAGCGCATGAGCATGCCGAACGAATCGCCAGAGATGGAACGCAAAGTGCCCGAAGAATTATCAAAGAGCTGAAAGCGCAGATGCTGATTTAGCTATTTATTTTTACTTTTTTTAATTTGAAATGAACCCAGGCCAAGAACAAAACCCACGCCCCCCTACTGAAAAAGGCCCAAGCTCCGAAAAAGAGCCGAGGCCTGAGAGAGCAGAGGCTCGGCCCGAGCGAGGAGACCCCAGGGTGGACGACGGGAGAGACTACAGGCCCCCGTACAACAAGCATAGAAGGCGCACGTATCGCCCAGCGCAAAGAGGTCCGCCCGAGGAGTATCCGTACAGAACTTCTGACGGGCCGGACGGTGGAAATGGCTACTTCAGAGGATACAGGTCGTATGCGCCTCCAATGTACCAGCCCAATAGATATCCTTCGTACAGGCGGGACCCTCGCGCAAACTACGACCCGTATCCAAGAAGGCCGCACATGAGAAACGACCGGTCGTGGGGGCCGCACTACAACGACTACCGGCCGCGGGCATACTACAGAAGAAGGCCTGGCGCAATAGATCCGGTGCCTGTAAACATACTTAGCATTTTTGGGCTCGACACAAAAACAACAGAGGAGGAGCTGAAACATTGGATTGCAGAAAAAGCCGAGGGCATTCAAAGCACGAAGGTGGACTTGATTTTAGACAAATATACAGGATACAGCAAGGGGTATGCGTTTGTGTACTTCAACACTGTGGAGGACGCAGCAAAGGTGAAGGAAACCCTCACCAACCAGATATTCAACGGCGCAGCCATCCGGGTTGACTACTCCATCACGCCGGCGGGGCACAAGGAAGAAAAGAAAAAAGACGAGGAGGAGGGCGCGGGCGGGAAAAAGCCCGAAGAAAGCCCCCAGAATGACGGATAAATGCATGTTAAGAGCACATCGCACAACAATAAATGCACCACCAGAAAGCAAATTGGTGAAGTTGAACTATGGTTTATTACCTTGCAGAAAAGTTACTTATTAAGGCCTGATACTTCTAGGGGCTAAATGAAGAGCATGTCCAAAGCATTAAACTGAAATAGGAATAGTAGCCACATCATTGCACACATCACACTCAACATCTCCAAGAGAAAGCTCGTTGTGAAGCGTTTTGAGGCACTCTGCACACTTGCTTCTCTTGGAAAGAGAAGCTGAGCTTCCTATCTTATTCAGGATGTCGTCAAACTCGTTCAGGGTTATTTTTTTGTTCGCCTTGATTACTTTGGAAAGAGGAACACGCTTCTTGACCGTTTTCATCGTGCTTTCGAACCTCTCTAGCGTAACCATCAATACAAGTTTACCCTTTACCTCTAGGAAAATCGCGTTTTTTGAAAAAGTTAAGTTTGTGGCAGCCGTCTTGGCCTTCCTTTGGATGGCTTTAAACAGGAAGCACGCCTGGGTTTTTGGGCTTACTTGTCCTATTTTACACTCTGTTTCAGGAAGCCTTAACAGAGACAGAATGGCCGACTTATTGTACATCCTCTTCATCTGGGGACTCAGCTTGAAATTTGTGTTTTGTCTTCCCTCCTTTATGCAAAGAGTTGGCGAAGCAATCTTAAACTGCGGAGAGGCTCCTCCCATGCCGTTCACTCCCATGCCGTTCATGAACCCAGTTCCGTTCATGAAACTGGGCGAGCAATTCGGGTCAGTCTGCGCAAATGCAAGCACCCCCCCGCCGCCTATTGCTGCCCCCGCGTCTGCATAGATTTTGCTTAAAAACAGCCCTATGCATGCGGTTCCTAGAATTACCTTCTTTGATGCTTGGTATTTTTTCATTAGATATCCTTTCATTCAGAATTATATACTTTTGTTTTAGAGATCGTAGTAAAATGCACCAATTGCCCGCATTTTGAAACATAGAAACCTGAGGCAGAAGGTTTCATGCTGAATCGGGCTTTTTCGGGCCTCCCTATTCCGCGCGGAAAAAGGCAAAACACACCATGGCGCTTTCACACACAGATGCACACACTTTGCCGGGGCGTGCCATAGAGCAGAAATCAGTTTTCCGCGCGCGGCCAAAGCCAATGTTTTGCTTTCCATGCACTTTATGCCCCTTAGGCGCAGTGTGGGTGGGCTCCAAGTCATCTCTGAACTTCTGCGCCGCGCTCTGGACGCGCAGCAGGCGCGCACTCCAGAGACAAACATTCGTTGTTTCGGCACAAAGTGGGCGCCCGGCACCAGATGCTTCTAATTACATCAGATATCCCCGAGCCGTACTGCCCCGCCAACTTCTTCTTCAGCACTATTCCTGGGTACTCCCTGTGCAGAATGTCTGTTAGCTGGGTCTTGCCCACGCCTGCAGGGCTGGCAGACCTCAGCGCATGCGCGTACACCTCTGGAATCAGGAACGGAGATGCATACGACACAGAGCCCGCCATCCCTGCGCGGCAGTCTCGGTGCAAGTTTGTCTCCCAGAAGCCTTCCACGTCGGATTTTATCATTTGCTGCAGGCGCTCGGTGGTGCTTCCACAGTCTCCGCATGCACCCTCCTCCGCCACGCAAGAAACAGCCTCTCTATGGCGAGAGTACCCGAGAAACAGCTCGTCTCCGCCAGTTCCTGTGACAACAAGCGAGGCACCCTCCTGTCTCGCCCGCCTGGCAGTGAAGCAGTGCAGCGCCGCCAGGTTGAAGTCCATCGTGGTGCCTTTTGTTATCTCGAGTATTGCGTCTTTCTGCTCAAGAATTTCTGCCCGATGGACATCGTTCTCCACAAGGAAGCACCTGTCTCGGCACCCGTATGTTTCCAAAATTCGGGTGTAGAACTCCTTTGACGCCGCCCGGTCTCTCGACTGGAAGCGCCCATTGCTGGAAAAGCAGCTGTTTATCAAGTATATCTTCTTGCCCTTGACGTGCTTGCAGCACATGGTGGCGCACAGAAAAGAGTCTATCCCCCCACTGAACGAAATGTACACGCTCTCCTCGCCCTCCAGCAGCTGCATAAGGGACGCTGCCAGCAGATACTCCAAATAGTAAAGGCCCCCAGCCTCTGCCCCCGCGGGAACTGTTTTCGGGGCTTCCATTCGGCCGTGCCGGCATCTCTTCTGAAGCCTGTACGTCCGCGCTTTAGTTGCGTATAGTCCCTCCCCGTAACGAAGCGGCGCCAGCTCTGCCCTTTGTGCCAGACCCGCAGCCCCCCTCCATAGAGCGTCGAGTGGAACTGTGTTCATCGGGTCTGTGAGCACAATGTATCCGCTCCCACACTGCGCCACCAGCAGCTTTCCGTTAACACATGTACAGCACTCTATGGGAATGCTGTCCAAGGCCCCAGCTAAAATCTCTTTTTCTACCCTCTTCTCCATCTCCAGCATGCTCTCGTCTCCCTGCAGGAGCTGCACATTCTTTGCATTTTCTCCTGGGCCGCCCTGCTCTCTAAAGAGCGCTCTCAGCATGCTATACGCGCTTTCCATTAAAAATTTGCACGCACACCCACAAACACCCCATAAGTACCCCACAAACACCCAATGCACATCTGATGAACCTCTTTACACCCAGGAGCAGCACACCCTCTATATTTCTGCATGTTTACTGCGAGCACAGCATGGATTCTTGCAGGGTGTTTTTAATATCGCAAAGACGGCAGCTGCAGCCTCTATCTGCAAAAGTATAAATTCGCAGCACGCCAAAATAAATTTAGGTGCCTCTTAAGCTTTCCAGGCAGCAATTTCTGCGAGCGAAAAAAACATTGCAAGTTGTGCCCAGCCCGGCAGGGCGTGCAGCTTTTTGTTTATTTTTGTGTGCGACGGCGCGAAGCACTTTCAAAATATTTGTGAGCTGGCAGCCACAAGCACAAAAATGGTCTATTTGGTTTTTATTTAGCAATAGCATACAAGATTAGACAGGACTAATCCATCTAAAAGGGATGACTTTCCAATCGTGTCTAAGCAAGGCGTAAGCTCCCCAGATGCAACTATCTGCTGCACCCGTTGGGATGCCTGCACCGACTTTATTTTTTCTACGCAGAGCGCACTCGCCTCCGTCCCGCTTTCCTCCAGCGAAGCTCCAGAGATGATGCGCGATGCAAGGCTGGCTGCCAGCTTCGCCCCAAATCCGCCTCCTTCTGTTATTGCCTCGCCTGCGTTCAAAGCCGCTGGTGCTTCGTAGATGGGCGGACAGATGCACTGCCTGCCAGCTGCCCCCGATGATATTACCCCATAGACCATGGGCGATTCTGTTCTTTGGAAGGCTGCGTTTGCGCTGGCTATAACGGCACCAGCACCTGCCAGCACAGGGCTTGCCCCCATAACAGACACTGCAGGCTGAGCGACTGCCATCGTCGGCTGAGCTATTGCCATCGTCGGCTGAGCGACTGCTATCGTTGGCTGAGCCATTGCTATTCCTCCAACAGGCATGCCTCCCCCTATAGAAGACACGCCCCCAACAGCAATCACCTGCTGGGTTGCAGCTCCCATTTTCTGCAGGGCCTTGTATCCGTTTATGGCGGCTTTCGTGTTTTCTTGGTGCACCAAATGGGCCATTGCCGCAACTGCTGCCATTTCCTTGGCGCGCTTTGCCTGCGTGGCGCCCATTTCAGTGACTGCCACAGCAGCACGCGCCATTTTGTCGGCCTGGCTTGCGCTGTTTAGGCTTGCAGCTTCGGCAGCCTGCAGGATAATGCCGCTCTTCTGCATCTTTGCAACCTGCGCAGCCTGGATGGCATTCATGCTGATTGGCACCACACTAGCAGCTACCGGCGCTGCATGCACCAGAACAGGCGCTGCCTTTACAGACTGAGCTGCAATCATCTGCCCAGCGCCGCCAGTTGCAACGTACTGGGCTCCTGATGCAGGTGCTGCGACCATTTGCGCTGCTTGCGCAGGTGCAGCAACAATTTGAGCTGCTTGTGCTGGTGCTGCAACATATTGAGCTGCTTGTGCAGGCGCTGCGACATATTGGGTTGCTGCTTGTGCAGGCGCTGCGACATATTGGGTTGCTGCTTGTGCAGGTGCTGCGACAATTTGCGCTGTTTGTGCAGGTGCTGCAACATATTGGGTTGCTGCTGGGGCCGCAACAATTTGGGCTGCTTGTGCGCTCTGAATTGCCTGAACTGGCGCAGCTACTATTTGCGTAGCTGCAGCTGGTATTACTTGCGGCTGTACGGAGGCTGCTACATACTGGGGCTGCGCCGAGACATACTGTGCCTGCGAAGCGCCTGTCTCAACCGCAACAGGTATGCACGAGCACACTTCCGCTGTAGACTGCTTTGCTGCCTCGATGTTGAGCGCAATCGGGGAGAGCATTTGCGCGTTCAGCGCTGCGCCCCCGGACAAGGCGCTCCCGCTATTCTTCAGCAAAAACCCATTTGAGGCACCTTCTACGCAGATGCAGTCGTCGGTTAAGTACGAGCATGTGCTATATCTGAAAACCACAACAAACATGCCTAGAAATACTTTTAGCACTTTCATATGCACATCCTCCCCTCTCTGCTTATATTTACTATGTAAAACCAATTGCTATCATTATGTGTCAACTTTTTTTGTTTTAGATAGCAGTGCTCCAATGAGGCTGTTATCTACCCTGTACCGAGTCTTCTTCTGAATTTTTGTTTTGGATAGCCTTATTATCTGATCGCCTGTGCTCGCATATGTGAAGACGGCCCCCACCCCTATTTCTATGCCCTCCGTCTCTATGTATACAATCTCGTGCTGCTTCTTGCTGTTCTCCGTCCTTTCCACGACGGCCTTGCACACCGAGGGAACTTTCCCCGTTTCCTCGTGGTTCAGCAGAGGCTGGGTTATGTCCAAAATGCTGACCACCCTGTACTCTCCCATAAGTAAAAATATTGCAGCCAAGCGGCTTTGCTTTATGCGCAAAAACACGCGAAAAAAGGGCCCGCAGGGAGGAAAAAGCCCTCAAAACACTAGGCTGGAAGCGCCCTGCCGCCATGGAAACGTGCAGCGGGCGCCGCCAAGGGCCTGCAAAAAAGTGCACTTATATGGCTGCAAACGTGAAACACCAAACGCCCGAAGACGTTTCTGGGCTGCATTTCTGCAGACGCAATTCTGGGTTTAGCAATTTTATTTCCTACGGTGCCTCTTTCCCCAGGCAGTGCTTCGTGTGTTCTTTTAGTTCATTTACTGCCCAGGCGAAAAAGAGTGCACTATGCAAGGCCTAGCCTGTTTTTCTGCGCCGTGTGTTTGTGTATACCCCGTGCATGTTTGCTCTTTATGTCGTTCTTCTGGCACTTTTTGGGGCTCTCTACGTCTTCGCTGTTCTGCGCGGAGTGCTTCTTGTCTACATTCACGTGATTCTCCAAGAGCGCCGCCCACACAGCATGCGCAGTACGCGCGCCTCTCCATAGGGCGAGTCCTCTTCTGCTTAGTTCAGGAAGTTGTACAAATTCAGCCAGTCGTCATCCTCTGTGAAGATGTAGCTGGAGCCAATTGGGCTTCCAGGCGTGGCCCGCTCCATTGCGTCCTTGGGCAGCCACGCGGCAGCATTTGGCGCTTTTTCCGGGATGTTTTCGCTCTGGGGGCGCTCCACAGGGGCTTTTTCCTCTCTCTCCTGTATGAACGCGCTCTCCTTTTCCCCGAATATCTGCTTCAGCACGTGCACGTCCTCGTGTATTCTGTACGGGCTTGTAAATATGAACTTAAAGTACGACCTTTTGTCGTTTGTCTCGCAGTCTATGCGGGACTTTTTCTGGGTGCTTATCAGTATGAATGGAAGATGCAGCTTTTCCTTCTCCTCCAAGTACTCTCGCTTTTTGTTTCTTTCTATCAGCTTCATCAGAAGCTCTTTTCTTTTTATCGTCTCTTCAAGAACTTTCTTTTTCTCCTCAACCCGCTCCCGGAGCTTCGACGCGGAAACTATCGACTGCCCCAAGCTCAGCAGGCGCCTCTCCACCTCGTCCTCGCACGAGCACATTTGGTTGTCCGAAAGATACGCCATTTTCTTCTCCTTTCTAACCAGATTCACCGCACACATGACGTTCAGCGCATCGTACACTCGCCTTTTCACGTTTTTGTCGTCGCCAGTTCCCTCCGTCATGCCCATGATTATGTCGGCCACTTTCGTGTACTCGATCGACTTCTCTTTCTGCAGAATGGAGAGTATCATGGCGCTAAACGCCTTCAAGCCAGTTCGCTCCTTTTTCGGTCTCTGATTCATATTTAAATAATTTGGAATAAAGAATATTTATTTCGCGTGTATTTTTACTTTCGGCAAGTCCAGGCCGCCCTCCTCGCCCTCCTCCACGGAAACCGAGTCGACCTCAAACTCCCTCCGGAGCCTCTCCAAAAGCAGACGCAGGGCCTGCGCCCTCCCTGCGAGTATTTTTGGCTTTGCTGCAACATACTGCAAAACTTCCGGGATTGTCACCCCAAGCTCCTTCCACTCGCGGCCTCTCTCCTTCACCTCCTCCTGCGTGAGGCTCTGCGCCTTCCTGTGCCACGGCAGGAAGTCCTTCAGAAAAACAAGCTGCACCTTCCCCACGGCCTGCTTCTTCTTCTGCCGGGCAAGGGTCTTCTTCGTGTGCGCAATGACCTTGTCGATCCACTCGCCCATTTCCACGATGCTCTGCGCGACCTCGGACCTCCTCAGGATTTCCGAAGCCACAAACGGATTTTCCGTTGCGCGCATGAGGGCGTGCTCTGTCACGTGCGGGACAATCGGGAAGTTCAAGGCCGCGAAAACGAGCCAGGCGTACAGGATGAGCTTCTTGTTCTGGGAAGTGCGGCTGTGCTGCTCAATCAGCGGCTCAAGCGCGTAGAATCCGTGCATCAGGCCCTCCCTAAACATGACGTTTTCAAACGCGTCTATCGTGCTGTTCTTTATGGAGAGCACTCTGTTAAACATAAAAGAGTCCTCCGTAAATTCAAGCCCAAGCTCCTCCTTCAGGGATGCCTCCAGCTCCTCTATTTTCTTCTGCAGCGACGAAAACCTAACGCCCTCAAGCGCCTGGGCAAGGCTCTTGCTCAGCTTGCTCAGGCGCAGCGTTGCTGCATTGCACGCCTGCTGCGAGAAGTTGCTGTCCTGGTCTGTGTCTCCGCCCGAGGCCAGCGTGAGCCTGACTGCGTCTGCGCTGAACTTCACAATGGCCTCTTCCCCCGTGAGGAAGTTTCCTGTGCTCTTGCTCATTTTCTCGTTGTCCAAAAGAACGTGCCCGTTCGTGAATATCTTCTGCGGCCAGAGCTCCCTCCTGAAGAGCGAGACGTGGTTGTAAACGAAGAAAAGCAGGTGGTTGTTTGTGAGGTCCTTCGCAGACGTCCTCAAATCGACGGGGTAGAAGTACTCGAACTCCTCCCGCATTCTCACAACAGAAGGGTGCTTTCGGACGCTCTCTGGGACATCTCCGTCTCCGAAAATTGCCTCCCAGAAGTCGTAGTTCACTGCGTCTCTGTCAACCAGCGGCTCTTCTCCAAAAATGTCCTTTGACAGAAGGTGTTTTACCGTGTAGAATGCCATGTATATAGTCGAGTCGCTCAGGGAGTCAATCACGTACTGCTTGTCCCACGGAAGATTCGTGCCCAATCCGTAGCTCCTGCTGCACGCCCACTTGCTGAGCCAGCCCAGCCCGAAGTTCAGGGCTTCTCTTGTTTCTCGCGTGATGTTCATGCTGTCAACGCACTCCTGCGCGAGGGCCTTCCACGAGTCCTCCCCGTAGTTGATGTGCCACTGGTCGACAAGGGCGACAATGCACTCCGCCCCCGACCTGCTGACAACCTTTGACTCTGGCTCGTAGTACCGGATTTCAGGGTATATTTTTTCGAGGGGAATAACGTCTTTTTTGTCAACTTTCTCGGCGCCTGCGACCCTGGACACGACAATTTTGGACGCAGGCAGGCCCATTGCAGAAGTCCCCTCGATTTCCAGGCTGTCTCCTCTGTACGAAAGCCTTCCTCCGACGAGGCTGCTTCCCCCCATCTCGCCTACCTCTTTCAGCGTGTAGTTCTGGGCGCGCATGTTGGCAAGACAGCTCTCGGCAAGAACGAGCTTCTCTCCGTCCACCTCCACGACCTTGTACGTTATCGACGTGCTTACCACGCACTTGTACTTGTCCTGCCCCGACTTTCTCCCGTCTTTTTCCTTCTCCACAGCGAGAATCGTGTGCGTCTCCCCGCGGACAGTCACAGGCAGCTTCACAAGGGCATACTCCTGCGGGAGCACTCCCTCCCCGGCCTGCCGGTCGTGGTCCATGCACGGCTGGTTGTCCTTCGGGCAGTATATCGTATACCGCTTCCCAAAGGAGATTCTGTTCTGCTTCTTCAGCTTCTCAAACTGCCAGCAGATGAACGAGTCGTAGAGCCAGTTCTCGTCCGTGGTGATGAAGCAGCGCCTCCAGTCCACAGCAGCCCCAAAGAGCTCCAGCGTCTTCTGCGCCTCCACCGGGAAGTACCTAAGCCAGTGCTTTGCATCGACGAATTTCTCCACGTCCTCAATCCCCATGGACCGCATGATCTCAGACTGCCCCGTTTTCCTGACGCCGCCAAGCTCGTCCCTCAGCTTGTCTGCTGCGGCCTTAATGGGCATCCCCGTGCAGTGGAAGGCATACGGAAAGAGCGTGTTGTGCCCTGTCACCCTCTTGAATCTCGCCATAAAGTCCGCCTTGCTGAAGCTAAACATGTGTCCAAGGTGCAGCTTTCCGTTCATATACGCATACGGGAACGTGATAAAATACTTCTTCTGGCCCTTTTCAGGGCCCACCTCGTAGTCCTTTCTCTCCCTCCACAGGGCATGCATGGCTTTCTCTATCTCTAGCAGCTCTTCTTTCTTGTCCTCTTTCACAGGATTTGCACTGGTTCTGTCCATGCTTTCTTCTCTCATAGAATTTTTCTCTTGTTTTTTATTTATATGCAGCTGCTGCCCCATGCAGAATGCCCAGAAAAGGCTGCACTTCCTGCCGAGAAAAGCTGGAATCTGCGCTGAAAATGCCCTGTTTTTAATTAGGGGGAATCAGGCCCGGCCCGAGTTCGGCGCAGAGTGCGTTTGACAGGCCTTTCCACGCTCTGAAGCACGCCCGGGTGTTTGCGCTGCAGGCACTTGCTCTTTCCTCTGAGCAAGCCCGCCCTGCACGAAAGCACAGCCCCATCTTCTTGATTTAATCTGCTTGCGCCAAAATTAATCGAATTTTCAAAATCAAAACACACTGTAACAAATACATATGTTTCCATTGTTTTACCCATATGCAAAAAAAACACATGGCCCCAGAAACTTCGAACTGCTCTGGTGAGTACTCGCTTAGCACAGCGCCCCCAGCCCCGATCGTCGATACGTCTGTGTGTGCTGCCCCGCAGGAAAGCTCCCCCGGGGAGGGCAAAAGCCCACTTGAAAATATATTTTCAGCCTTTAGTTTTTGCCCTGTGAAGGGGTGCCCTTTGAACTTTGCCTCCACGCATGCGATATGCATATACTCGAACATTCTTTTCTGCTTGGGGGCAAAGCACGCGGGCTCTCCCTCTTCGGAGTGCAGCCTGCCATTTCGCGAAATATGCAACTTTGAGCGCGCAGTGCTTCTTGCTGTGCAAATAGACCGGACGTTTAAGCCGGCGCCTGTGGGGAGGCTGGACTTGAACTGCGAGCAGGACATTGAGTCTCTGGCTTTCAAAATCTACGAGCAAATGCCAGAGTCCCGCCGGAGGGCGATGGGCCCTGGAGATTACTACTGCATTCTGGACATGCTCCACTGCCGGGGCGAGTTTGAGCGGTTTTTTGGCGTGTATGACGAGTGCAGCTGCCCAAACCTGGGCGTGTACAAGCTTGCCCTGGTTGCCTCTCTGCATGCAGATAACGGCAAGGAGATGCGCATATTCTTGCGCCTGAAAAATGCGCTGGGCCTGAAAAAAGACGTTGACCCAAGCAGGCCTGCCCCGAAGATCGACAAGAAGTATGCGAAGCTTGTGGAGGAGGCGGCAGAGGGCGGGGATCTTCCTGCGTGCTCTGCAAGCGATGCTGTGACGCTTTTCTACACCGTCAGGGCCTGGTACATGGGAAAGTACAAGGAGTTCCACTGGACTGCGTACATGAACAAATGGTACGTGAGCAAAAGCACGGAGGGGGCGTCCGAGGCTATGCTGGACAAGTGCATTCGGTTCAAAAAGTACGAGGAGGGCTGGTGCATCTACAAGGAGACGGCGCTGGAGAAAATCACGCCGCTCCGGCTGCTGCGCCTCTCCAACCGGGCGCTCTTTCTAATCATGCAGGCCATAAACAACAGCAACGCCAACATGTGGGCGGAAAGGTATTTGGAAGTTGCCACTGTGATTTCGCGCCTTAATATCACCGACCGTGTGAAGATACACAGCACTTTCGCCGTGCTTTTAAACCTTAAAAACTACAACAAAATGTCGTACCTTGCATGCCTCGTTCTGAAGCAGTATCCAGACCCCCTCCTGAACAACAACGCGTCCATCTGCATGATATTTGGAGTTATTTATGAGATGTTCAAAAAGTACGAGTACATATTCGCGGACAAAAGCCCCGTGACCCACTTGGAGAATAATCCCCTCACAGAAATAGAGAGAACCCTCAACAAAAACGACGTCCTGCTCCCAGAGCTGGCCGTGGAGGCGTGCCTCATATACAGAAAGTGGCGGAAGAGCCACAGCAGAGGCGTCTTTTTTTCGCTCTTTTGGGGGAGATCCCACGACTCCATGTGCGTGTACAACTCAGTGCTGCAAATTGCTATTATTGTCAAGGCACGGGAGGAGATCTTGTCCATATGCAGCGACATGTGGAACGACAGCATCCCCGTTACTGAAGACGTGTCTAGCTCTCTCGTATATATTCACAGAGTGTTCACAGAGTGCGCCTGCAGCGAGTCTGAGAATGCGTGCACCCGCCCGTATCTAATGCATGTGCTTTCTCTTTTGGAGGCAGCGCCCAGCAGATAAATAAACAGATGCCTTCGGCTTCCCGCTTGCCTGCAGGAGTTCTTCCGCACAGCGTCTTGCTCAAATGCACGTATTTCCTTCACGCGGCTCTCGACAGAGTGCAGCCCTCTCTTTCCCAGCTCCTGCCCCGTAGAAATAAAAGCAGAAAATCCATTTGCAAAAGCAGTGCATTTTTTCTCTTCAGCAGGCGCCTTTGCGCTGATGCTTTTTTTTTATTCTTTTGTCACTCTCCGAGACAGTTTACGTCTATGTTTCTGCTGAACTCCTCCGGGGTCTTTGAAATTTCCCGGATGAGGCCTATCACGTCTCTCCGCACGGACTTTATGTCAATGGCGCCTTCCCGCACGTACGGATGCGCCAGCTGGAAGAGCACGGGCGAGAGTATTTCGTTAAAGGCGCTCTCTATTTGCTGCACGCACTCGGTTTCTTTGCTGAGCGAGAGACTCCTCAGAAGAAGAAGCACCTCAACAGCGCACGTTTTTGACGTCTTTGAGAAATACTCCGTTCCAGAAGAGAGCACGCGCAGGACTCTGTTCCGCACGAAAATCTCTTTGTACTCGGCGTCCGTCATGGGGTACATGGAAAGCAGTTTCTCCTTGGAAATGTACATTTTTGCGTTATTTACAGTGGGGATGCACACTTCAGGGAGGACCTCCATAATCTCTTTCTCCCCGTACTTTAGCTCAGCACACTCCAGGCACATCTCTATCATGGAGAGAGCGCTCGTATCAACGTCTTTCACGAGGAAGGTGTTGCTGTCTTCTCTGCACACGATTCGAAAAGTCTTGTTTTCCGTCAGAAGCACGGTTCCCTCTACGCCCTTGCTTTTGAAGCTGCGTATTTCCACATCTCCACTGACCGTGTTTGGGATCTTCAAAGTGAGAAGCTTATTAGGACCAGAGCCGAGCATAAAATTTTTTAGAGAATGCAAGACAAATACAAAGAGCTAAAGTTCCAGAACGTGGACGAGGTCAGAGCCGCCCTCGGAAAACTCACGCCAGAAGACGCCTCTTTGAAGGAGTCCCTCCTGAGATGCTACATCCTCAACCTCATCCTGTACAAGCAGCTGGATGAGAGGCACCCGATCAAAAAGACGCTGATTACGCTGAGCGTCTACATAGACCTCATGGAAAAGGCCGAGAAGGCAGAAACCCCCGCAGGCTCCAACATCATCCAGGAGGCAGAGGAGGACCTGCTCCTCCCGGAAAAAGAGGAAAGACGGCCGATAAACTACACGATGGAAAAGAACAAAATCTACACGGAGAAGCGAACTGCTCTAAACCCCGAGCAAAGAAACCCGCGAATCAAGAACAAGCGAAGGTACCAGGACGCACACAATCTTGCAGAGAAAGTCAGAAAAGACCACCCAAAACTCCACAAGCGATAGAGCCCGGAATAGCCCAAGCAGATGCAGAAAATAAATATAGAAGAGTTTTTAAACTAGTTAGATGTATTGAATAATTTCCTGCACAGACAGCGTTTCCAGCATGCAATGGCGATTTGGGACTCTTTGCAAAACTTGCAAAAATAAAGAATAAAAAGAAAAATGGAAAGACAGCTCCAAGTTGCTCATTCTCTTCGTTCTTCATCTGCTCCTTTCACCTGCCTGCCCGCAAATAATTTAGGGCGAAAAGGCTGAAAATCAACAGATGCGCATGTTTTGGCTGGCGCGTGCGTGCTGTAGTTGGAAGTAAGTGTTTATTTACGAGCCAGCGCCCGGAGTGTGCACTCCGGTAAAGTGCGGCAGCCTTTTGCTATTTGCTTCACGCGCAAGCGTGGCCTTGCGCTGCGGGTAAGGCCTAGAGCAGGGGAGACTCTGCGCTGGAGGAGTACAGGACCGTGAAGAGAACGACCCTTTTCAGGGCCCTCCCGTGTGCGGCTATGCACTCGTTCCAGTTGTACTTTTCAAAGGGCCCGCTCCGGATGTTTACTCTGATTATGCTGATGTCGTCGCCCGCACACTTTTTTATCACGGCAAGGACGCTTTCTATCCAGTCGGACATTTCCTGGTAATTTTTTGTCATTCCCGTCGTGAACAATTTGTTCGTCAGATCTGCCTTGCACTCCTCCTCGGAGATGATTTTCAGCTCCCGAAAAGTCACGCGGATTTCGTAGTCGGAAAACAACAAATTGAGCGCCGCCGAAATCATGGAGGACATGCTCCTGTACTTCCCGGATCTGCTGCACTTTCTCTCCTTTTTTGTCATCTTTAGAGAGTACGTTTCCAGCATAATATTCAGCCCTGGGGTGCTTTCTTTCACTTCGAGTATTTCCCCCACCGCATTTGCCGTGGACTCTTCTTCAAGGTACTTCATTCTCTGAAATAAAACTTTTTATGAGCCCAGAGAACACGCTTAAGAAGCTAGTCGACATCCAGACAGCAATCGACACAGCGAACATAGAGACGCTAAAGAAAGAGCACCAGCTGAAGGTCTCGTATTTCAACGATTTAAAGCCTACTTTGCAAGAGAGAGACGCCCTTCTGGCGGAGATAGACGGCTTTTGGGACACGGTTCTCATTTCCTCCGAGTGCATCGACGTGCTGGCGGAGATGGAGAACCCCGAGCCTGCAGCCGTTGACATTTCCTGGATTGGGGGCATACGCGTCGAGTACCGGGAGGACTTCAAGTACTACATCCGCATGGACGTGAAGGAAAACCCGTACTTTGAGAACTCCGTGCTTGAGAAGGAGTTTTCCCTCTTCGAAGACGTCCCCGGGACAAGCACGCCCATCCAGTGGAAGGGGAAGAAGAATCTGGAGAACCCCGTAATGCGCTTCTTCATGTCCACGGAGGCCTCGGACGAAGACCTCAACATGTCGATGCTTCAAATCTTCAGCGACGTATACTTCAACGCCGTGTACTACTACGTGCGCGCCGATGAAAGCGAGGAAGAGGAAGAATAGCAATAAATATACGCGTTAAAACGGCACTGTCTGCAGGACAAACTTCTTTGCGCTTCCGCGGTGCAGGCCTAGGCTTTTGTTAAAATATCTTATTTCCTTTATTCCGTGGCGCCTACGCTTCCATGGTTCCCTTTGCAACGACAAAAGTTCCGTCCAAGAACACTCTGAGGTCCTTCTTCTTGGGAACGCACTTCTGCGAGATGTTGGCAGCTGACTGAGAGACTGTCTGGATGTTGGGCCCTTCAATGAGCAAATAGTCCTTCTCCGAAGAAAGCTTTGCAACTGCGCTTCCTCTCATTTTTATGATTCTGTCGCACTTGCTCCCCAGGAAGTTCTTAATAATGACGGTCTTTCCAGAGTCCTCCACCAGCATGGTAATGGGGAAGTGCTTGTAGATAGCCTTCATTTTGTAAGAGAATCCCTTCGTGCATCCGATTACAAGGTTGTTTATAAGACTGGCGCAAGTTCTTACGATCGGGGTTTCCTTCTTCCTGGCAGACCACAGGCGAACAAAGACCTCGTTCTCTTCAATGTCCACGGAAAGCAGCATATGTGATATATCTAGAAGCTCCGTGCCCTTTGGTCCAGATACAGTTATTATCTTGTTCTTCTGTGTGACTGTGCATCCTTCTGGGATATCCACTTTTTCTTCTGTTAGAAGTACTCTCATGCAGGGACTAAAATAAAAAAAATATTATATCGACTGAAGTATGCGAGCACAGATGTGCAAGCGAAAGAAGAGAGCACATGCCAGAAAAGAGCAGGCCCAGAAATGGCTGCATCCCAGAGCATAGCAAAGCAGTGCAAATGTGCTGTTTTTGACCAGTGCATTTTCCAGAGAGGATGTTCAGTGCATAGTATCTGTATTGCGGATTGCTGGGTTCATGTTAAGTTCTTGCTGAGTTCATGTTGATTACGTTTTTATTGTGCTGCATGCATATTGCGTTTTATTGCTATGTTTTTATTGCGTTATTATTGCTATGTTTTTATTGCATTTTATTATTGCGTTTTATTGCCAAGTTATTATTGCATTTTATTATTGCGTTATTATTGCGTTATTATTGCATTTTATTGTTAAGTTTTTGGCTTTTTCGTTTTTATTCGGATTGTTATTGCGTTTTATTGCTATGTTATTATTGCGTTTTTGCTTTTTCATTTTTGCATGTGCTGATGCCTGTTGTTTTCCTGCTAAGTTTTTAGATATTTAAATCGCCATTTCTGCTCCATGTTTGCCACGCTTTTAACTGCATCTTTTGCCTGCATTGCCTGTGCTTCTACGCCTCGATTGGGGCTTTCTGCTTTTCTGCGCGCATCTGCAGAGCTGCATCTATGTCCTCCTGCAAGTAGTTCACCTTCACGATGAGAGAGCACGAGGGACAAGTTGCGACTTCCTCTCCGTTCATGAGATCTTCCAGGGATATTTCAAACATGTCTCCGCACGGGCAGGGATACGTGAATAGCTCTGTTTCTGCGCTGTACTCCATCTGCTCGATGTCCACTTCGTCGTAGTCTTCGGTGTACGGCATAAAGTCTCTGAAATATTTTTATTTTTATAGTTATGCTGGACAAGTGGCTGGAACAGCTCATGTCGTGTGAGCCATTGGCAGAGACAGAAGTAAAAGAGCTTTGCAGAATGGCAATTGAAATATTCCAAAGAGAAAGCACCCTTATCTCGCTTAAAGCACCGGTTACAATTTGCGGGGATGTCCACGGGCAGTTCTTTGACCTTCTGGAGCTCTTTAAAGTCGGAGGATTTCCCCCAGAAACGCCGTATCTTTTTATGGGGGACTACGTGGACCGGGGATACCACTCCGTTGAGACGCTGAGTCTTCTCCTGTGCCTGAAGGTGAAGCACCCGCAGTCCGTGGGGATGCTCCGGGGAAACCACGAAAGCAGGCAGATCACGCAGGTGTACGGGTTCTACGACGAGTGCTTCCGGAAGTACGGGTCTTCAAACGTGTGGAAGTATTTCACCGATCTTTTCGACTATTTGCCGCTCGCTGCGATTGTAAATAACGACGTGTTTTGCCTGCACGGAGGGCTGAGTCCTGCCCTGGACACGCTCGACGAGATCCGGAAGATTGACCGCGTCCAGGAAGTCCCGCACGAGGGCGGAATGTGCGACCTTTTGTGGAGCGACCCGGAGGAGAGAAAGGGCTGGGGGGCGTCTCCGCGCGGGGCTGGCTACACTTTCGGAGAGGACATAACAGAGCAGTTCACGCGGAAGAACGGGCTGAAGATGATATGCAGGGCCCACCAGCTGGTGATGAACGGGCACAACTGGAACCACCATAAGGGCGTGGTCACGGTCTTTTCTGCGCCCAACTACTGCTACAGATGCGGGAACTTGGCGTCTCTTATGGAGATGGACGAGCACGGGGCGTACCAGTTCACGCAGTTTGACTCTTCTCCAGAGCAGGCGCAGGACAGAAGCGCAAGCCAGCTGCCAAACTACTTTCTATAGGAATTTTGTACGAAAAGGCCTGGCCGGGGACTTTATGCGGCAAGCATGAGGACACGGAGCATCCATAAATAAAGATTTGAAATCAGCATATTTAGAAGGTGATTTATTGCGGAAGGCTGCTGCACTTCAGCGGGTATTCACTGCCCGTGTCTGGGGAGGCTCAAAGCCTTCTCCTCACGAGACAGATCTGCGTGTGAAGAGAGAGCGCGCGCTTTGCATGGCGCCTGCAGAAACTGCAAGGACCCAGCGGGCCTGCGCGGAAATTCTCTCGAAAGCGCTGAGAATGATCTTCTCTTGTCCAAACAGGTGCATTACAATGTACACAAACGCCATAAGAGCGATGTTTAACGCGATTGCAAGCAGAACCACAGAGATGTTGTTCTTGGACTTCCTGACAACGGAGTCTTCTGGGAGCATTTTTGTTCCGAGGCTGAGCAGGCATGAACCCCCGACCAAAACCAGGGAAAGCCCGAAAAGGTCGATGCACGTGGCATGCACCTTCGCGGAGAGGCATATGAGGATTCCTGCGGCTGCAAGGACGCTCATAACCATTTCGCCTATTCTAATTCCGGCCGTTATCCTTCCCTTTTTGTCAAGCATGTCGACGGAAGCGCGCATGTTCAGGAGGAGCACGCAGATTCCGTAGCCGAGGACCATGATCTGGCTCTGCAGGATCTGGACTGCAGACACGTTTCCAGCCAGAAGCAGGTATTTGACTGCTGGGACACTTGCTGCCGTGATTGGCAGGCAGCACGCGACCATGCAGGAAAGCATGGTTGACACTACTGTAACGACGGCGATCTTTCTTGCGGTGCTTTTCCTCCTTTCTGCTGGGAAGAGCTTGTTTCCTTCGCTTCTGAACGCGTACTCTCCAGCGTATATGTATAGGATGGCGAGCAGAGCCATGATGAAGGGCCAGTTCAGGAGCAGATTAGTGAAGAACGAGTTCTGAATGAGAGCGTGTTTTATCTGGTACAAGCTCAGAACGCTGAGCAGTGTCAGGACGACTCCCTTTGCCTTCTTGTATCCTGGCTTGGCGAGGAAAAGAGCTGCCACAACTGGAACAGAGACTCCAATCAGAGGGACTCCGTGGTATGTGAGTGCTGTGATGCTCGTGTCCATTGTGCTGAGCACAAGTGAGACTATTTGGTATAGAACTTGCCCCCCAACAAATATGTAAACTGTGTATACTGCCCTCTTGATGTTTACAATGCATCTGTAAAGGAACGCGTTTACAGCGGAGTTCTCTCTCGTCTTCTGGGCTTGCAGCTTGCACATTCGAACGTACTCGCTCTTAGTGAGCATGCGAGCTACAGTGTTTCCCTCTGGGGTAGCCTCCATCCACACGTATGGGGTGGGCTCGGGTACTTTCTCGACTTGTTCTTCAACTTTTTCTTCGACTTTTTCTTCGATGTTTTCTTCGACTTTTTCTTCGACTTTTTCTTCGACTTTTTCTTCGACGTTTTCTTCGACTGTTTCTTCGACTTTTGCCTCTGCAGTTGTCGGCGCAGCTATGTTTGGAATTTCCCTTACAGCTTCTGCCTCGGCCTCTTCGAATATTTCCATCTGCGAGTTCTGTGCGCCCTCTTCCTGCTGGCTCTCCATCTTCTCCGGGGAGGCCTCCACAGTGGTCTCATCCTGGCAGAAAAGGTTCATGATTCTGGCTTTGAGCGACTTCACGTTCTTGCCGTACTTTACATCGCTTTTCCCGGGGGCTTCCAGCGAAAGCACTTCCTCGTTTGCCTCTGCGATTGCCTCCACCTCTTCCATGGACTGCTCTTCAGACGCCGTCTTGGCATGCTTGTTCAGCACCAAAAGAACGTTTGATGGAACTTTCGCCCAATCACTGTGCGCAAGTAAGTTGTACTTGTTCGCATGCATTGCTTCTACGTCTCGGCAGCTTGCGGTGTGAATCAGCCCAATAATGAATGTAGTCTTTATCACGGTCTTAATCAGCTTATACATGAATTGCAAAAAATAAAAATATATTTATAGACCCGAAAAAAAATTTATTGATCTTTAAATCGAGGAAAACATATAAATGAAATATTTTCTGGAAAATATAAAAATTTAAAGCATTATTGAGGCGTGCAAGTAATGCCTTTGCTTCTTTCACGAAAAAATATTCGTGCATTTTTCGTGATTTTCGGGTGTATTCCTGATCACTGATCGATCGCTGATTGATCTTTAGCTGAAAATTCATTGGTGCATAGCGAGTGCTGCCCGGATGGAAGAACGTGCGTGTATATGAAAAAATCGTCCGATCTGGGCGTCCGCTGCTGATCTCTTCTGGGAGTCCGTCTGGGAAGTGCAAGAGTTCGCACTTTCTTGGTAGGATCGATTGAACAATAAAGCATAAATTTCTGCAAGCTCGCTCTATGGTTTATTTTACTGCTTTTTCACGGGCGCGCTGGACTTAAAGACGAGAATGTCCACGTTCGCCATCCTCATCTCCAAGAAGTTGTTTTTTGCGATGGAGCAGGAGCCCGTGAAGCTCTCCCCTATGATCACGTTCCAGCCTTTCTCGTACTTCTTGTCGAGCGCCTCCTTTATCTTCTTGGCAAGCTTCCGGTGCTCTGCTGGGCTTCTAATGTCGGCAATGGAGAGGCATATGTCTGCCACCATGGCCTGCACGCTCTCCGGTATTTCCTTGTTCTTGACCGTTATGGTTTTTTCGTTCAGAATGTCGTCTTCCTCCTTCGGGGGCGCACTCTTTTCCTGCGGGCGGGCGTCCTTCATTAGCACTTCGCTGCACGGGGCACTCTATTTAGTGGCTTGTTCCGTGTGGGAATGCGCCAACAGAATGTCTCCGATGAAACAGCGCGCCCAGATAAGAAACCCGCCTGCAGTTTCAGATGAGCAAAAAAGACTCGCTGCCAACTGAAAGGCTAAGCATCCACAGCCTCCTCCTGCGGCACATACGCCAGTGGGCGCTCCTGTGGTACTACCGCTACTCCGTGGAAATAGGCATATCCGTGCTTGACGGGTGGGAGGCATTTATCGTCAACTCTGTCTTTCTCCTGCTGATTGTGAGCATAGCAAAGCAGGTCACAAAGGGGGCAAACATGCTCGTCCGAGTTGTGTGCAAGAACGCGCCCGTGTGAGCGCCAGCCCCGAATTAATAAATCCCTGCGCAGCACCATTCTAAATTCCTGCCTCTTCCTGCACTTTCATCGCCTCTTTTCGCATGAATTCCGGCGCACAGCTCTCTCACGCGCAAAAGCGCCGAGTAAATAGCGTCTGCACGTGCAAATTTTTAATGAAAACGCCTCGCTTAAAGCAGATTCGGAAGCTAATTAAAAGCCTGGAAAAAGCCGGATACAGAGCCCCGTTTAACATCCTCGCAGACCACGAGTTTCTTGCGGCGTACAACAAGTCGCAGATGGGCGTGGCTGTCCTGGAGAAGTTCCTGCACGGGAAAATACGCCTTTTCACCACGCTGTGCGAGTACAGGAGATACACTGCGCTTGTGAAGGATAAGGCCCTGATTGGGCGGGTGGCTCTTAAGAAGTGCGCGCACAAGGAGGAGTTCAGGACGCAGGAGTGCCTTTCAGACGCGGTGGGCGACGGAAATCCAGCGCACTACTTCCTGGCAGTCGCGGGCAAGCACAGGAGGCTGAAGGAGGAGAAGAAAGTCCCGGTGATTTTCATGCGCTCTGGCGTGCTGTGCCTGGAAATAGGGGAGACGGAGGCTGCGGCCATAGAGAAGAAAAGCGAGTCTGCAGGGCTCTCGGAGGCAGAGAAGCAGCGCCTGGACGAGCTATTTAGCTAGAGCGTGTGTAAAATATTTTAAGATGCAAGCAAGCGACCTCTTCAGAGAGCAGCGCATAAAACTCTCGAAAGACGGGGAGGAGGAGCCCGAGCTCTCTCCCACGCAAAGCGAAAGGGACTGGGCGATTCTCTCAAAGCAGCTTCTGAGCCCAGTTTCGTACGCCGAGCAGAACATCCAGATGGAGGCGCACTTGGAGGCGCTGCGGAAGGAGCTCGAGGAGAAAAGCGTCATCCGGCGCGAAAAAGTAGAGCCAAAAACGTACGCGGGCGAGAGGCAGACCGTGAAGCCAAAAGTGCTTAAGGGGGCGTGTGCGAGGCTCAGCGAAGTGTGCGGGATAATCCGGGGCCTGCAGGAGGAGGAGAGAAGAAGAGGCGCGATTATTTCGCACTTTTGGGGGCGGGAGTACATCAGAAGAAAGGAGAGGGAGCTCACCGTGCACATCCAGGACAAAACTTTTCTGGCACTTTCCACGATACAGAAGGGGAGCAAGCAGGCGTACATTGAGGGAAGGCTCTTTATGTGCGGGGAGGAGTTTAGAGGGTACATCACGGAGAGAGAGGTCGCTGCATTTTCCGTGTACTCGTGCGAAGCGCAGGCGCTGCTTGACGCGTGCGAGGGCGAGGAGGTGCTGGCGAGTCTGGAGGAGGCCGTGCACTCGTGCAGAGACAGGATGAGCAACACGGAAATTGAGGGGGAGTACGCCACCCGCACGGGAAGGGCAAAAATCCAGAGAGTTTGGGCGCAGCCGAGCGGGCAGAGCGAGCGTGTCGTGTTTTTGATCTGCGCAATGAAGCACGGGATGCCGTTTGAGGAGGCTCTGCGCCTGCTGGAGGAGCGGGCAGCTGCAGGAAAATAAAGAAGAAGCATACATTAAGAGAAAAAATGCATTGAGAGACGGGCCTTTGCTTGGCTTTTTTTTTGTAGAGACGCTGCAATTTATTTGCGGGCGCTTATAGGCTTTCAAAATTTGTATTTTGCTCCCTCTTCCGAGTAAATTTACTATGTCGTAAATCCGGTTTAAATTTTGACTTTGGCCTAAGACAAGCGCCAATAAGGATTTATTAGCCTTTGGAGAATTACAAATGTCGACTATTGAATGTCGTACTGTTCGATGTTTAGAATTCCTTGACATTACTTCTGTATTTTATTTCTCTTTTTAAAATCGTCTCGCGCATTTGTGTATTTAATGTTCACTAACCCGAATTCATGGTTTACATCTTATTGATTGTTTTCAAGCCATGGTCTAAATTTGTGGGGATTTCAATAATTCATCGTATGTTTGGTCCAGAGAATTATTTTGCTTACAATCGAGAAACATACGCATACCCATAGGAATCTTAGTCCTATGTGTGCATATGCAGTTGTCAGAAGGAGGTACGCCAAGAAGTTTGCTGCCTGGACAATGGCTCCGTACACGGAAAATATTCTGGGGGATGTTTTTCCCATGTGCTGTGGGAGAACTCCCAGGAGGGGGGTCAGCGTTGCATTTACCAGGAAAACTATGAGTGCGGGGAGGAACAGCGCCAGCGTTGTGTTCCAGCTCCTCGACAATGGGAGCCAGTTTATCTTGGCCATAACCAGGGTATTCTGGCAGATGCCGATCAACAAAAATCCACTCATGGCACAGAAAGTCAGGTCTTTCTTGCTCGGAAGCACAAGCATTAAAAGGCCGCCCGCTAAAGGCGCTGCTGTTAGTGCGATTGCGGGCGCGCTGCTCGCGTACTGAATGAAAATGTCTTTATAGTACAGCAGCACGTTTATCCCCGTCATGAAAAACATAAAGGGATAGAGCACCAGCAAGAAGTCCTTCTTCATACACCGGGCAAGTGCGTATATGCGCTCTTTCTTGCTTATTCTGTTCTGCACGTCCGCCCTTTCTTTGGCGCGTTCTGCGTGGATCTCATTCAGCTCTATCTCTTCTTCGTCAATCATCTCTTGCGTGGTGCAAGGCTGGCCTTGTCTGGCCAGGTACCTGTCTAGAAAGCCGGCCAAAAGAATAGGCAAATGCATAACCACGGCGAGCAATCCCATGAAAACACTGCGCCCTAGATTTTTGTACATCCATATGAAGGCAGGGGGAAACACAAAGGCAAGGGATCCGGATACAACCTTCATGGCTCCAAACTTTGCAATCCGTCGGGCTTTTGTGCGCCCCTCCCCAAGAAGCTTGACCGAGCACAAGTCGATAAAGAACCCGTAGAACGCGCAAGCCGCTCCGGACAGGCCTCGGCTGATTGCAATCATGGTCAAAATTGGGTCAAAGCCCTTCGGGATAATTGCCAAAAGCAGGCAGTGGAAGGCCCCAGTCTCAAACGGTATGTTTGTGTACAGCGCCTTATAGTACGTGCACAGCGTGAATATGGTTGAAATCCAAGCGAATATAGCTAGCACCCACGTGAAAGCCCATGGCCTTTTTTGTATGATTTTTGAAAAGGCCAAGCACAGGGCAAACCCCAAGAAAAACCCCAGAAAGTTTGAAAGGGATCCGGTGCTGTTTATCGCGGCAAGACCTGCCTCTGCGATTTCCGGGCTGCACACGTCGCCCATGAAGTGCAAACCAGCCGCTATATCAGTTTTATTTGGCGAAAAACACTTCGAAAAAGACTCGTTTTGTTCTATTTTTATGAAGCAGTGTCTCGCGAAATCGGGGGAGTCTTCTATTATGTCCGTGTTGGTGTTTTTTATCTCCCTGAGAACTTCGTTCACTACTTCTGCGAGCTGCACTGGAATATTTGCCAGCATATTTAAAACCCCAAGCAGGGCCGTGACTATGCAAAATTGCATGCTTGTCATGAATGCAAAAGATCGCTGAATACTCTCCATGTTTTACACATTTTTGTCTGCTAAATATATTCGAAATATTCTGATCAGAATAAGTAATATACAACTCAGCATTAAAGAAAAACACGTCAGACTATAACCCAAAATGCAATAATTGCAATTTACCAAAACAGCATGCCATGTCAATGTGCAAGCCGCGCCCTCAGAGAAATCGCTCCTTTATCCCGTGAGAAAGCCCGCACCGTGCACAGATCCTACGCCCACAGCCCTTGCCTTACACACAATCCGTGCGCAGTTTCTGTTTGATTTAAGCAAATGCGCGCGTATAAGACCAAAGCAGAAAAGAGAAAAGAGAAAAGAGAAAGCAGAAGCAGAAAAGAGAAAGCAGAAGCAGAAAAGAGAAAGCAGAAAAGAGAAAAGACTGCCCAGAGCAAGAAGCAGGCGCTTTTTCATGCGGAGACATTTTTGCCCCCGAAAAGCGCATCCGCAGCCTCTGAAGAGAAAATAAACCGTGCAGAATTTAATTTGAGCTGCCAAAAAGTGGGCTTCGCCTTTTCTTGGGAGAATTCGCCGAATTTTTGCCTTCTCCCCCGCGGGCTGGCAGACGCCGACCGATCTCCTGCCGCCCGCACGTCGAGATAGAGAATTCCGGTTCGGGTTATTGATCAATTTCCCATGCACAGCACGTCGAGATAGACTGCGCCTCTTTTCTGCGCGTGCCCAACCACGGTGCAGCGCCCTTGGAAGGAGTATCCAAACACAAAAGACGCTGCTGTTTGGAAGTGCACGATGTAGACTTTCTCCTGGCGCGAGAGCACGCAGACTCCGCCCACGTGGGGAAACTCCTTTTCTCTGCGCACGAATTTCTCAAGCTCCTCCTTCACGCTCTCGAAGTCCCACGTCTCCGCTGCTTCGAGTATGCGCCTGGCAAGCTGCTGCCGAATCAAAGACTCTCCCGTTCCGGAGACGAGCACTGCCGCGCCCTCTGAAACGAACGTATTTGCGCCGTAGACGGAGCAAGGCCCAATCCGCCCGGGGGTCTTTCGCACGGGCCCTCCACTGCTTGAGTACGCTGAAATGTGCCCTTTCTGCACCTGAATAACCCCAACAGTGTCTGCTGCCTCGCTTTCAGCTTTTTCTGCAAAAAATGTCTCGGAGCGTGGAGACTCCTTGGGCGTGTGAGGGGCGTATGCCGTGCACAGGGGCCTTACAGCCCCCGGGCGTGCGCTCTTTCCTATTTGCTCCTGCAGGGCCTCGTACGGGGAGACTCCGCGGGGTATTATGCAAAGGGCCGAAAATTCTCCGGTGCTTTCCATGAGGCAGCACTCGTTCTCGACTGCGCCTTCTGACGTTGTGCTGCCCCCGCTTCCGCAGTTGAAGGCTCCAGACGCCTCCAGCAAAAGAGCGCTCTCTTTCAGGGTTTTTGCCTTTCGGAGGACGGCCTTCAGCTCCTTCTTGAGCCTCTGCAAGTGCGCGGGCGAGCAGGCGCCAGCTCCTCCGTGCAGCACAAGCGCGCTCTGCAAGTTCTCCATGGCGCTGTGCAGGGGGGCAAAAAAAGGGCGAACCCGGGAATCGAACCCGGCACCTCCCGCACCCTAAGCGAGAATCATAACCACTAGACCAGTCCACCGCTCACTTCTTGAAAAACCCGAGCGGCCCCATCGGGTGCAGGCAGTTAGGGAAATCCTGCGGTGTAGGTTTCTGCGTGCTTTTTGGAGTGCATTTGGGCTATTCGGGCGGCCTTGGGTTTTAACTAGTTAGATTTGTTGGGTCTTGGGCTTTATGCGCTTTTTCTGGCGGTGCCCTGCAGTGGGCTTTCTCTGCAGGGATTTTCTCTGGTCCCATGGGCGGAAATGCGAAAAAAAGTCTGCAGCTGAAAGTGCGATTTTTGACATTTATTGGTTTTCGGTTCTTTTGTGCAGTCTAAAGCTGCTCGAGGTTTCTGGAGAGCCTGTTTATCGTGCTCTGCAAAGACACGAGCACGTTCTCCTTGCTTTTTCCGATGAGGGACCGCATCTTCTCCTCCAGGACTGCGAGCTGGTCCTCGGCCATGGAGAGCTCCTTCTTTATTATTCCGGAGAGGTACGCCTTTCTCTGCTCTTTTTCTGGGGCAGTTACCTCCTTCACGTAGTCCCGAATCTCCTCGAGGTGGCTCAGTTTTTCCTGGATGTTGTACTTTACCTCGTCCGTGCTTATGGAGATCATCCCCAGCTCCTGCGAGACGCCTTTGTAGTAGATTTCTTCGGCCAGGGGAACGGCCAGCTCCTTTGCCTTTTTTCGGTGGTCCAGGCTCATGCTGTATATTTTTACAATTCTATTCCGCACTTCCTGCGGGATTTCCAAGTACTTGCTTCTGGACGTCACGCTTTCTGTCATTCGCAGTAAAGCGCACAAAATATTTTTTATATGCTGCAAACATTGTTCATTGTGGGAAGAAACTTCAGGCCGATCACGCCCTTCCTCTCAGTGTTCCTTGTTGAGGAAAAAGGCTTTACCACGAAAGACATTGCAGACCGCATTATTCCATGGTGGCTGTACTCCATGCTGCTCTTTTCCCTGGTCCTCTCGTGGATTGTGCAGAGAGTGGGGCTTATGCCGACGATCGTGAGCTCGGTTGTCTCTGAGATCGCTGCGTACGTGATTCTTCTGGGCATGAAGAAGCGGTCTGTTATCAGCACGATCACGATAGAAGTTCTCATGGCGTACCGAAACAGCACGCTCGTTGTTGATAAGAGGTACTACGCGGAGAACGACCAGAACATGAGCGTGCGATACAGCACCATCCGGAAAATATCCGGGATTATGGCGAGCTTTCTCTCCCAGAACATGTACTGCATCTCCGGGAGCAGCCGGCCCTCGGTCTACCTCACAATCATATCGCAGCTGCTCGTGCTCTTTTTCGTGCTCTTCGTGTGCAAAAAGAACGCCTTGCCGCTCGACATCAACGCAGGGATGGCCGGCATAAAGATAACGCCCGCTTTGGTTTCTAAGGTCTTCTCGTACATTGGGGCGTTTACGCTCAGCGTTTGCTTTAGGATATACATCGATCTGATTCTGATAGAGCGAACAGGCGACGCAGACATACACCCGGGGCTTGTGAAGGTTCTTATAGAGGGCATTTCCAGCGTGTTCTACTACGTCGCATACGGGACTATCCGGGCGCTGCAGCTGCTTAGACTTCCTGCCCGGATACAGCCGCAGAAAAATAGCAACAAGCCGGTGCACGGGTACCTGGAGGGGATTGCGCGTGTTCTGGCGGTTGTCTTGGCGATTCCCATGGTTATATACACAAGCGGATCCACCCGAAACTCGGAGCTGCTCATGTGCGTCTCCTGGGTCCTGCAGATCTCCGGGATATACGCCCTGAAAACGACAAAAAACATATACGGCGGGTATTTGGCGTACCTGCTTTCGTTCATAGGGGCAAATATCACCCTGTACCTGTCGTACAACGGAATAAACAGGGAGGCAGGCGACAGAATACTCTGCATTATGTCGCACATTGGGGGCATATCCGCAGCTACGCACGCCATAATAGACGTTATATCCCGAAGGAACAGATTGGTGCCGCAAGCCAGGTTCAACATATACGCGTACCTGGGAAGCGCACTCTTTGCATGCGCAGGAGCGCTCTCCCTGGCTGCAGTCTACATGGCATAGGCTGCGCTTCTTCCTGCACAAGCCAAAATTACACCGTGCTCAGAAAAGGCCAAAACTTCTGGGGATGAAAACACAAAATGCACTTCCGCACAGGAAAAGCCATCCCAGAAGGGAGTTGCATGGGAGTACCCTGCCCCGTGCACTTCCTGTGGGATGGCTTTTCTTGGTTATTCGGAATTTTCCCGGAAAGTGCTTGGCGTGCGCCTGTTTGTTTTCTGCACTTTATTTGTATATTCGAAGACTCTTTTGCGGGGCATCGCTGCTCCTTTTCAAGCAATCCCTTTCCAAGTCCGCACGCATTTCTGCCGTTTCGGGGAGTGCACTAAAGACTGTGCGGCCACCCTGTGGAAGCACCCTGCTCTTGGCAAAGAATAAAAGCTTCCACTTGAATACTGAATTTGTGCGGCCCTGCGTGGGGCTTTCTGTGGGCTCACGGCCATGCAGTGCCGCGAGCGAGCAGCTCTTTCCTGCTTTCCGCACAAAAACAAGCAGGACCCGGATAATCCGAATATTTTTGGGCCCCATGCAACCGCGCTGGAATGCCAAGGAAAACAAACACTGCATGTTTATGCCCTTAAAAATATCAAATTTCAGGGACTGTGCTCGGGTGAGAACTCGCACGAGATGTGCAAGTGCAGAATGTGTGGGTCCCCGTCCCGTGCAGCAGCAGCCCCACACTCTCGCAAAATACGCCATACGGTTGGCGGCATGCGATTAGTGCAGTCTCACTCCCTGCACGTGATATCACATGTTCTGTTGATATTTGTTTATTTTTGTTTCTGCACATAGATAGTAGATCTCTTTTCTACGAAATAATGATATTCAAATGTATATATATATATTATTTGACTTTTTTAAAAACGGCACATGAAGAAAAGTCAGATACACATAGATATAAAGTCTGCGCTGAAATGCAGCGTAATTGCACTGCACAGCCTGTGCAAAGTTTACTCGATTGTTTCCATCGCATCGCTAAACCAAAAGCCAGAAAATAACAGTGTTTCGAATGCCCTGTACGATGCAAAGCCGTTGCAAAACGAAGAGTCCCCGGCGTGTGACGCCGATGAGAAAGCATACTGCAGAAAAGACCAACCCGACCCAGAAGCACAAAATGCAGGCAGAAAATCCTCAATGTGCGTGAATTCCGGGAAGACAGACTCCAGGCTGGAGCTTAACAGTCCTGCCACCTCCCGCTCGAATAGTCCGAGAAGATCCACGGGCTCTCTCCAACGCGAGACTTCTTTCAGTTCAGCGAGCATAGCCGGCAGAAAAACCCCCCGCAGCAGAGAGAGCTCTCCAGCGTACAGCCAGAGGTCACCGACACTCAGCGTGGATGAGATGCTTAGCATGGACTTCGTAGATCTTGAAGCCGCTTCTCTGACTCCTCCTATTTCGGGTGGTTCTTCCCCCAAGGCTTCCGGGAGATTCAGAGAGCTAAACTCGTTAGCGGAAGAGGGCATTCTCGAACCCGAAAATGTAAGTCCTTTTTCCACTTCCAGGCGCCCGATGAAAAGCACCGAGAATTCGTTTGAAGACCATATATACGAAAACCTGCCTTCTGTGGCCATTCCGATCTACGACTATCCCCCTCTCCCGAGAAATCTTGACGGCACTCTGCACAGGAAGAACAATTCCGAGAAGGCGAAGGCTGAGCCTGCCCCAAGCAAACCGCTTCTGATCAACGAAGTGTCCGGTTTTTCCGCGGATAAAAAGCGCAGGAAGGTTACTCGCGGATGCAGATACGTTGAGATGGATGTGGGTGTTTCAAATGCCCCGCGCATGCCCCCCTCAGCAGTAAGATCTTCTCTGAATGCTGATTCTGACCGCGAGGAAGAGCCCATTTACGAGAGCATTTCAGACGATCGCCCCCACAACTCCAGCGCGGGCAAGCATGCAGAAAAAGCTCTTGGGGAGGTCCTGACGGAAATTGCAAAGAGCGAGTTCGCGAAGACAAACGGCGAAAACATGCACGCAACCATTACAGTGCATGTGCACCTTCCCGGGGAGGAACCCCATAATCTGGTGCTTCCTTTTGTGAGCACGCTCATTCTTGACGACATTCCCCTGGAAATGGCGAAGACTCTGATCACTGACCAGCAAGGCGCTGTTTGGGACCTGCTTTCCAACCTGAAAGAGAAATACCCAAACCTTCCCTCTGTGGTAAATCTCTCCTACATGAACAAAGAGCAGTTTTTGAATGAGGCTGGGCGCTTCAAGGAAATACACAAAAACAGCGCGGTTGGGCTGATTGTTTACAACACTTGGAATGTGCCGAACAGCATTGACAGGGAGGACAGCATAAAGCTTGTTCTTATGAACAACGGAGGCAAGAAAGACACCAGAAACTTCGCGTGCACCGCCAGCAGCTTCAACTACTACTACAAGAACGTCTTCCCGAACGTCAAGAGGGCGATTCTAAATAACTGCATATCGTACCGGGAGACAATGCATTCGAGTCCGCGCATCATAGAAGCCGTCAGAAGCCCGTCTCTAACCACCCTGATCATTTCTGAAAAAGAAGCCAAAACTATAGACATCGGCGCGCCCCTGAGCGAAGATATGCCTGCTCTACGCGACCTGACCATTTTTAACTGCGCGCTTCTGCGCCCATACGGGACTAGCCACAAATCGCTCAGGAGCCTGACGATTGTGAACTACCCGAAAGAAACACTGTTTTTCTCTGTGAGCGAGGCATTCCCCGCCCTGAAGGAGCTCCGAGTGCTTGACTCCTTCGCTCTCAACAGCCTCCAGGTATTTGGGCTCTTAAACAAAAGAACGTGCGAAATCTCCCTGGACTCTCTTGTAATAGAAGGCCATGTACACCTGGCTCATCTGGACATCTGCGTCCTGCCTGAAGACCTGGCAACATCCTCCTGCGAAAGGAAGAAGAACAACACCAAGTTCGCAGGCTTGATAAAGAAGGCGGAAAAATCCGGCAGACATAAGCACAGAGAAGAGAACAAGTACATGGTTTCCAGCATAAAAATCGCCAAAACCCCCAGACTGCCAGACTCTGTAGTACTGGAAGTAGAAAAGGAGCTGGTCAAAGAGAACAAGTTTGCTAAAGAAATATTGCTGTAAAGGGCAGAATCGCCCACACGCTCAGGGGCCTCGGGAAAATCCCAGACCCACGATCTTTGGCACACTTAATCTTGCTGCAAGTGTGCCCACAAAGACCCGAAACACCCTGCGAGGGTGCATCTGTGCACCCCTCACTCCGCATATGCACAATTATAAACAATGCGATCGATGTGATCTTCTGAAATTCTGGCATCGCGCAAAAGTATGTTATATAAAGTGTATTTACTGCTGCTAATCCGCATGGGGCTCTAGAAATCTACAAAATAAAGCAGGTGTTTCATAGCATCGTTTTCTGTGGGAGTTGCAAAAGGCCTATGCTGTGCTGCTTTTGTGCAAGATGCTTTCAAACAAAATTATTTTTCTGAGAATGTCTGCGTCTGTGTTTTTGTTGATGTAGTGCACCTGCCCAGGAAGCCCCTCCACGTACTTAGTGACTTCTTCCAGCTGCAGATTCAGCACAATGCACTCTCCCGTGCGCAAAATCATGCAGTAAAGATACGGCTCTACTCTGAGCACAGTTCCCTCGGGGATAAACACGGGGAGAAGTTCTCCTTTGGGGGTGCCTCTGGTTCGCGGGGACAGGCTTGCAAGCGTTGAGGACTCCAAAGACCCTGCAAGAGACGGGCACGTGCTGTGCTTTAGGCTGCCTCTTTTGCACGCTCTTTTGTCGACTGTTATGGGCCTGTCTCCGGTGCTGTCTCTGGCAAGCGCCTGCGAGGCCTCGTATATAAGCACTTTTATCTCCTCTCGCTCGCCCTCTGAAACAGCGACTTTTTCCTTGTTCTTCATGTTTTTCGCTGTAACTTCCCCGCTCTGCCACAGGATGTACGAGTCCTCGACGATGTACACGTAGACTCCGTCCTTCAGCATCTTGAAGAACTTCCCAGAGTCCGTCAAAATGATCACAACGGGAGTCCGCTTCTTGACGAGGCCGAGGATCGAGTAGCAGAAATCGACGAGTTTCAGCCTTTTTGTGTCGACGGCGGAGAAGGGCACGTAGGCCTCCTCCTGGCTCCGGCCGAGCTCGTATACGCCGCCCATCCCAGACTTTATCACAAACCCTCCCGTGCCTGTGCGCATTTTTACGGCTTCGTTTTTGTACTCGATGCGGCCCAGCTTTGTCTGTATCTGGAACTCCTTGATGCCCTCCAAAGGCACCAGGCGGGGGTAGAACCCATTGAATATGCTGCTGTTCAGTGCCTCCTCCGCGGATATTCTTTTGCTGGGCTCTTTCTCGAGCATCTTTTCCAGGAGCTCCAGGAGGACTCTGTACTGCTCCGACCGCTTCCCAGCCTCGATCCGGGCCCTGCTGTAGTCGCACCGGAAAATGAGAAAGTACACGAGCATGCCCGTGCTGTATATGTCGGTTTTCTTGGTGTACGGCATTCGCTCCATCATTTCCGGGCTTATGAAGTCCGGCGTGCCGCAGAAGGTTTTGGGGGCGCTGAAAAGCGTGTCCTTCGAGAGCCCAAAGTCGATGATCTTCAGGTCGTTCTCTTCGCTGATCATGACATTTCCCAGCTTTATGTCTCGGTGTATGATTCCGTTCGTGTGCAGGTATCTGACCCCAACCAAAATGTCCCTGAATATGCGCAGGATTGTCTTGTACGGCAGGTTCCCGGTCTTTGCCACAGACGAGAGCGAGAACTTGCACTTTTCCATGACGATCAGAGACTGATTTTGCGTCTCCACAGTTTCAATTATGCGGATGATGTTTGGGTGTGAAAGCCTTTGCAGAACCCGGATCTCGTTCGCGGCCAAATGGAGGCTTCTCCTGTGCCGGGAGTCTATCACTTTGATGGCCACCTTCTCTTTTGTCTTTGTGTTTACGCCCTCGTATACAACGGAGGTAGCCCCTTTCCCTATTTGCTCAGTGACTGTGTATTTGCCAACCATTTCAATGCGCAGCTTCTTCCGCAAAAGCAAAAAATTCATTATTTGAAAGAAACAAGCGCAAGACACAGCCGGGAATCTCCCAAAAAGCAGAATTTCAGAAGGTCCCGAAAATGCGCTGCATCCCCATAAAACGCCCTGGCGCACTGTCCTATAGCACCGCTGCGTCTGCCACCAGCTAAATGCACGCGAATTTTCTGCAAACTGTGAGCCCAGGCGGTAACGAGCGGGGAAAAACAGCATGAGCAAGCGCAGATAGTTTCAGTGCGGTTTTTGGAGTAGTTCTCGCTTGAATTTGCCAGTTTTGTTCTCAGCGCTCCTCGCCAAGTCCATCTGTTTGCTGGAAGCACACGCAAAAAAGCGTCCAAATATTCAAATATTCTGCAGTGTTGCAAGCAAAACTGAAAAATCCAGAATAGAAAGACACTTCGCACTTTCGAAGTTTCATTTATTTATCTCCTTGCACGGCGTCTGAGCACAGCTTGGCCCTCTTAAGAAGCATCGCCTGCGCGCTTTCCTGCATCTCGTCTTCGTTTTTCCACTCCGCCAAAACGCTGTCCTGCAGCGCCCTTCCGAAGGAGTATGAAATCTTCCACGGAGCCTTTTTTTCCTTCCGCACGCGGCTGGCCTCTTTCAGGTACTCAACGGAAACGTCCTCCGGGTGTCCTCCGCTTAGAAAGACGATCCCCGGGACTGAGGGCGGCACAGAGTCCATGAGCGCACGAAGTGTCCCGCACGCGACTTCTGCTATTCCCTGCTGCTGGCCCTCAGAGCCGGCCGTTACAAATCCCGTTTTTATGATGAGCCCTGGCACGTAAACGGCCTTCCTGTTCACGTGGTAGAACAAGCACGAAATAACAGAGGATGTAACGACTTCGCAGGTCTCAGCGGAGTACGACCCTGAAAACAGGACCTCCGGCTCTATCACGGGAACAAGGCCGTTATTTTGGCAGACGAGCGCATACTCTGAAAGGATCTCGCAGTTTTTGAAAATGCACTCCTCCGTGGGCAGGCCGCTCTGTATCGTGAACACGGACCTCCACTTCGCAAAAGAAGCCCCGAGGTTTTTGTACTTGACGCATCGCTCGGCCAAGTCGCTCAGTCCCGTGCTTGTTTTCTCGGAGTCGTTCAGCGGGAGCAGGCCCTTGTCCAGTTTCACGCCTGCGCATATTCCTCGGTCGAGGATGTGCTGGACAAAAAGTTTCCCGGTTTTGTCTTTTTGCTGGAAGGTTTCTTCGTTGAGAATTACTCCGCTCAAGCACGAAGATATCTCGCGGGGAGGCGTCAGAAGAAGCTCTCTATATCTTCTTCTGTTCTCCTCTGTGTTGGAAATCCCCAGCGGCGCAAATTTCTTCTCCATGGAGGAAGGACTCTCGTCAATCGCGAGTATTCCCTTGTTTCCTTCTACGAGCTTATCCGCTGCTTCTTTGAGGGCTCTTTTGTGCTTCTGCGCGTCTTCCATGCGTGCGATGTGCGCCCTGTATAAATACGCGCACGGGGACAGGCCAATCGCCGCGTGCTAGAAAGTGGCCAATGCCTGCCGCTTCGCGCAGAGCCCTTCAAACAGACAGGATTTATGCGGCACCCTGCACTAGGTCCTGCTGTTTCATGCATGCTGTGCACTAAGTCTTATTTGCTGTGCAATGTGCACTAAGCCCGGCTGTGCATTGTGCCATCAATTGCTACGCACTGTGTACTAGTCTTATTTGTTGTGCTGTGTGTGCTAAGTTCTAATATTTGATGCATAGTGTGCAGTAAGTCTCTGCGTGGATGTGGCATTACTTGCTGCACCCTACACATTACATTTTAATTATTACGCACTGCTTGCTAAATCTTGCATAAGCTACTGCCACCGCACACTGTGTACTAATTGTTCGCATGCATTTTGACAGTTCTTGCTGCGCCCTACACAATAAATATTACTTGCTACGTACTGTGCGCTAAATTTTTGCATAAACTTCTACTGCTGCAAAGTGCAGAATATGTAATATTTAATGTGTAGTGGTGCGTAATAAATAAAATATTTTACGCTATGCTTTTTTTTGGCAGCGCTTAGCACACAGTGCACAATAAATGGTGGAAGCCAAATAACACAAAAAGACGAAAATCCCCAAACACGAAAACAAGCCCAACCCGGCACTTTATCCATCTACACAAGCCTTCTCTGGGCCCTTCCAACACAGTTTGCACCCTCCTGCACCCTTCCACAGCGTGCTTAAAGCCTTTCCTCTCTTAGGCATACCCCGAATTTTAATATAACAAGGACGCACTTTGTTTGTGTGCATAAATACTTTTTTTTCCTTTTTTTTCATGGAGCAGCTGCAGGAGAGCCTTCGCCTCGTAGAAACACCCTCTCTAAAGGCAACAAAAGACGCTCTAAAGTTCACATACGACATCATTTCGGCAGTTCCCACAGAAAGTCTAGTAAATTTCAGCGATCCCGTAAATACCCCGCAGAAAGCCCTTCTCACGCTTTTCATCGCCCTCTCCCACACAATAAAAAACGAGCACGAGTCTGCGCTCGAACTCGCAAGGAGTGCCCTTGCAGAAATTTCCGAAAACAAAAAACAAGGTAAAACAGGGTGCCGAACCCGTGCTCTGGACTCTCTGCAAAGCAGCCTCTGGGCTGTCGTTAGAATCTCGGCCTTTGCCCTGGATAGAGACTGTTTGCAGGAGTTTCTCGTTGCTTTGGCGTATTCCCGTGAGAAAGGAGCCTTAGAAACGGAGGCTGTGCTTGTAAATGCCGTTTTAATGCACCTTCAAAGAAAATCAGCGTTTGATGAAGCAAATGTTTTTTTAAAAGGCGTAACTCTTTCAAAAGATGCTGATGTTTTGCAGTACGCTTTATTCCTGTATCTTTCGGCAGTTGTTCATTTGCACAGTGGAGACTTTTCTGCGTGCGAGAAAGCCGTCCAGGGAGCACTCGTGCGAAGTGTGGATGCTCATTTTACGAACGAGTGCAGAAAGATACACTTTTTGTCGCTTTTACATCAGGGTAAATTGCCCGATAAGGAAATCTTTCCAGATAAGGAGATGCTACCTGAAAACGAAAAGTACAAAAACATCCTCGCAGGAATTCGAACCTGCAGCGTGGAAACCTTCCAGAGGCACGTAGAAAAGCACAGGGACGCCTTTAAGAGGGACGGACTCCTCACAGCAATCACAAGACTCGAAACTGCAGTCCAGAAAGAACACGTCAGAAGAATCGGAAGAATTTTTTCAAAGATTACACTTTCAGAAATTTCTGAAAGGATAGGGGTTTCCCAGGAAAGTGCCCTTTTCCTCATGGAAAGTGCCGTTAGAGAAGGCACTGTGAAGGGAACCGTTGAAAACGGGTATTTCCTGGGCGGAGAAAAGCAGCAGGAAATGCCCCGTATGAGAGACGCAGAGATGCATGCAGTTTCTCACGCACTGGCTGCCGTTAAAAAGCACGAGGAAAGGCCTGCGAAGACTTTCGAGGAGATGCAGGCAGAAATGGCGTATAGTGAGTACAGAATTTGAGTAAATTCCCGGATTTGGAACTTGTATTTTTTCAGTATTTCCTATTATGGAAATAGTTCGTTGGGAGAACCTGAAACCCGATAATTTTTTAACCTTTTATACTTCACGCACGAAAAAAGCACAGCGCATCCAGGCTTTGCACAAGAAGCACAAAGCACCAACTATAAGTCATAAAGTTGACATGTGAACTCTTAGCTCCTTCCCCTTCTCTAAAGCATAAATACTTTTTCTAAAATGCAAATTTTTCATGTCTGCTTTTTCAGTGAGTGCTCTCTATGGATCTCACGGGAGAGCTGTTGCCGAGTACATACAGGCTTCAGATGAGATTGTCGTGGGCCTGGGAAGGCGCATAAAAGTGCTAAAAGTCAGAACGGGAGTCAGCAAAGTCCTGAACATAGAAACCGAGTCTGAAATAGTAAGTATTTCTGCTGAGAAAGATACGCTTTTAGTTCTCGACGAGTCCAGAAAAGTCTATTTGTACAGTCTCCTGCGGGGGGTCGAACTTGGCAGAATGAAAACAAACTGTACCATTTCTGTGAAGTTGGTGGACGGGATGATATATATGGAGAATGCCGGATACTTTGAGGAGTGGGTTGTGGACCCGGGGAGAGACTTTTTGTTTCGGAAAGTGCGGCACATCGTGGGGCACCAGGACAGCGTGCATTTCATAGAGAAATCAGGCTCTGGGGTTTTGACGGGGTCGCTGGACGGGGCTCTTAGGGAATATTTGCCTGAAAAAGAATTTTCAGGGGATGAAAACCTGATTTCCGTATCGGGAAATGATTTAAAAAATATTTGTCACGTGAGAAAGAGCGATGGAAAGTCCGTGCTTGTGGCAAAAAGCAAGAGCCGCGTTCTTGCAGCCAGGAAGATAGAGGGCTCTCTCGTTATCGTGTACGCATCCGGGGAGATTGCCTTCCTCGTGAAGATGGAAAGTGCGTGGGAAGTCACGAACAGAATTTTCACAAGAATTGACATAAAATGCGCAGATGTTTCCCCTTTTGGAAACACCGTTGTTTTTTCAGACCCGGCAGGCAACATTTCTCTATACAACACACAGTCCCAGAAAACAATCGCCTCAATAACCCTGGAGAACGTATCCGCCCTGAAATTCACACACGAAAACTGGATTCTCGTCTCAGGAAGTGGATTCACCGTTTGGGACCCGCTTTCCTCGTCTCTCCTCTACGAATACAGCACGCACGAGCAGAAACACGTATCTTTGAGGGCAGAAACTGGAGACTTTCTCTCCGCAAATGCGCTTGGGGATGTCTTTGTCTGGTGCAAAACAAGCACAAATTGCACCCGAAGGTTCGCCCACCACAAATCAGCAGCTAAAATTGTGCCTTTAAAAAGGGCATTTTTATCCGTCTCCAGCGACAGGTTCGTGCTTAGTAAGTACACAGGAGAAATTCTAAAAAGCAAAGACCTGAAAATAACGGCAATTGTGGCAGACTCAGACGGGGAAGTTCTGGCTCTTGCTTCTACTGGGGAGATGCAGATCTGGGACTTGACCCGGGTAAAACTTCTCCAGGAACTTTCTGTGGAGTTACCGGTTTGCATTTCCGTTGAGTTTGGGCGAGTTCTTTTGCTGAGCGTAAATTCAATATCTGTATTCGGAGTCCGCCAGGAAAGCATTTCCCTGCAGGAGAGTGTGAGTGCAGGATGCATCGAGAGCGGGCGCATTTTGTGCGTGGGAGAGTCTGGGATCTTGTACGAGTACGACGAAAAGTTGAATGAAATTGCAAGTTTTAGGGTCTTACCTGAATTTATGACCAAAATGGGAAATATTTCCATTTTAGGAATGACCGCCACAAAAGAAGAAATAATTTTAACGTATAAGATCAGAGTGCCTGATAGAATTACCCAGTTTAGAGATAAGCTGGTCTGCAAGGTTTTCCACGGGAGGTCTGAGCTCAGTCTCTGGACAGTCTCTGAAAATGCAGGAAACTCCTCCGGAGAAGTCCGAGTTGACGAGAGAGGGCACATTTTCATCTGCACAGACGCAGGGATCCTGGAGTTCTCTGAAAGGGAGTTCCCCGGGGGAGTTTGGGTCGCAGAAACTCCAAATCAGGTCCGAGAAAACCTGAAAAAACCTGAAAATATTTTGCAAAGTTTTTCACAGGCAATTTCTCTGGAGGACCCTGAAATTATCCGAGAGATTTTGGAAATGGGAGATCCGGAGGTGCTTTGCTCGTACGTTCCAGAGCAGCTTTTGGAGAAAAGCGTCTCTTTGATCCTCCACGCAATTTCTGACGGACTTGCGGAGAGGGGATTGAAGGCTCTTCGCGTGGTTTTGCAGAGACTTCGCGGGAGGGAGGGACTCGAGAGAGTCAGACCTGCCCTGGAGATGGCTTTGCGACGGATAGTTGCACTGGCCCACGAGACAACGGGATTTTCTGATGCAATTCAGGAATTCGGACACCTTTCAGGTTAGATTTCCTGTTTGGGAAAAAATAACGGAAATTACGGCGTATGGAAAAAATACCCGATAGAAAATGCAGATCCGCAGGCATGGGAGGATAAATAAAGCACGCCCTTGCACTCTACAATAGTACTTTCTACAATATGCACTTTCTCTGGATTATCCTCAGCTGGTGCACTCTATGATATTTCTGTTGCGTGCCTGATTTAACTGTTTTTCTTTATTTGGAAAAAAATACAGTTTACATTTATATGCTTCCTAATGCAGTAATTACTCGTGCTCGCCCGACTTTTAACGGATTCTCCTCGGGGAAAGGCGTATATAGCCCTTCCTGCACGAGTCCGCCTAATCCCCGCCCTCTTCCAGCCTATATCCGTATTTACGCTAAAGTTCTTTGTTTTTTTTATGGTTCCCCTCATGAGCACACACGCCTTCCGAGAGGCACTTTCAGCTCTTGAGAGTGAGATAGAAACTCTATCGAAAAATGCCTCTACGTTAGAGGCTTCCATAGGAATGAGCCGGAGAAAGAATGCACTTTTGGCAAAAGGCGTATCGGAGCTAAAAAGAAGAAAAGAGGAGCAGACGGGCTTACTCAACAGAGAAGAAAATAAAATATTTTCAAGCGCGCGCGAACTCTCGGAGGTTGAGGAAAAAGTAAACCAAATGGAAGTCGAACTCGCGAGTGTTCACGCGCTGAGGGCGAGCCTGCAGGAAGAGGTTGGGCTCCGGAGCGAGAAAATAGACGAGAACGAGCTCATCCTGGGGCTGTACGAAGGGTGCTTGAGTGCCTTCAAATAAACGTATAATATGCATGCAGTACACGTATATTTGCCCAGGACAATTTGTCTGTGCTCTCTTCTATTTACGGTGCAGTGCGCATTTACTATGGGACTTATTGCATAGTGTGCAAAAATGGTGCAAGATTCTGCTATTTATTTATTACGCGTGGCTTATTATTCGAGTATTTACTGCATAGTGCCTCTTTGCCGGCGGAGCAATCTGCTATTTATTGCACACTGCGCATTTATTCTGCTTCTTGTTGCGCAGCGCGCAGAATGTCTTAGATAGCGCACACTGCACAGCAAGTCCTGCTACATTTTGCCGAATACGCTCTGAACAATGTACCTCTCCATGTACAAGAGAATGATTGTGCTGATGTTTAAGCCCATCCAAACCGTAAAGAACTCGAAAGTGATCGACACACTTTCCTTCCGGGAAATCATCATTTGCCGAATCAGAAGCAGCAGCTCGCTGAAGTCTTTCCCTATCGCCGTATTCTTCGGCATAATAAAGCCTACCTGAAAAGCGTCTAAGTTACACTTTCCGTTCAAATATGTAATCAGGTCTTTAGCCGAGACGTATCTGACCTGCTTAAACTTCTGGATCGGACACGTACATTTGTGGTTGTAAACGGACGTGTTTTTTCTAATGACCTCCCGGATGCAAGTCCGGTGAAATTCTCGGTCATTCGGGTCTAGGCCCGTGATCGCGAAAATGTCAAACTCACTCGCAAGGACCATTTCCAGCTTCTCCTTCTTCTCGAGCTCCTGCAGAGTGTAGACCTTCACCCGCTCAATGTCCCCCAAAATACGCATGAAAAATAAAATATGCTGCACACTAAGTAGAAAGTGCAGAGACTTTTTGCGCGCTGCACACTAAGCAGTGGCATTTACCGTGCAGTGTGCACTAAGTCCCGCACTTTCCACCCACACAGCAGCATAACTCTGCATATACTCCACAGAGTCGCAATACAAGAAGTACTAGTGAAATCCACGGCCTTTATTTGATGCTTAACCTGCTTAAATACTTATGCGCCCAATCCGCCGAATCTCTGAGTCATGCAGCCCCTTAATCAGGCCATCAAGCCAGCATTTATTCCACAGCATGCACTAACTCGCGAGCATTCCGATGCACTCGCGTTCTTATGAGCACAGCATCATAAGTCCCACACTTAATCCACAGTGCACACAAAGCAACGCACTCTCGCACATATTATATAGTGTGGCATAAGTCAGGCCAAGGCAGAACCTGAATTCAGGACATTTTCTCCTCAGGCGCCTGCAAATCCTTCAAAGGGACTCCCTCCGCGCACAGAGCAGCGCGTACTTCGTTCCTCTGCAGTCTGTCCGACCTCCGCACGAGGAAGAACCCAGCAACTGCCTCAATCAGGCAGAAAAGAGCAAAAACTCCAAAGACAGCGTTACCAACCCGACGATAAGCCTCTATGTAGAAGAAAGAATACACAGACGCAAAAAGAGAGTTCGCAAGAGAGCCCAATCCAGCAGCAATTGCGACGTTTCTCTCCCCCCGCAGAATCATAGAAGGAAGCATCCAGGGAAGAGAAGCCAATCCCACAGCAAAGAAGAAAAGGTAGAAAGCAGCTCCCCAGCAGGAAGCTACAGGTCCCGCCTGGATCATCGCTAGGAAGGACCCACACGCGAGAAGTCCCGAAGTAAGAACCATATGCTTAAACCAGGCGACTCTAAAGAACATGATAAAGCAGGAGATTCCCGTTCCGAGGGCTCCAGATACGTCGAAAAAAGCCTTTGCTGGGCCTGTCTGGTCTTTTATATTCTCTGTGAAGAGGATAAATACGTTCGAGAGAATGGGGTTGATTCCTGTTAGTTGCTGGACTATATGCATGAAAAGGCAGACTCCAATGAAGAATTTTGCATTTTCATCTTCGGAGACTTTCTCTGCAGGGACTCCACTTTCTGTTGCGCGGATAATTTCTATTTCTCCTGGGTTATTCGGGCTTTCTCCTGCAAGATTTTTTGTCCAGAAAATGTTCATCAAAAGTGCGAGGAGGGAGGCTCCGGAGATGAAGAAAAAGATCCGGGAATTCCCGCTGAAAAAGTCGGAGTTAGAGAGTCTTCTCTCGAAGAGGATCCCCAGGTTTATGAATAGGCCCTGAAGGGTAGCAATTTTTGAGCCATTTTTTGGGCCTAAAAGAGCGATGTAGTAGACGGGTCCGAGGGCGCAGGCAGCTCCTGTTCCTGCTCCCATGAAGAACCTAGCGATGAAAAGGAGGGGAATATTCGTGAAGAATCCGCAGATTAGGTTCGTCAGAAGGATAAGGAGTGATGAAACAGAAAAAATCCCCTTAAAATGCGCGTGCGGGGTCTTTTTGAGGAGACCCATCGAAAAGAGTCCGAGAGAAAAGGCGAAAGCTCCTGCGAACATCGCGGAGAGAACTGAATTCCAGAAGGAAACTTCGTGCAGGGGGACCTGTTTCTGGAGAGTCTCCCCTGAAACTTCCGAAATAACCGAGACAGTTTGATTTGCAAGAACATTCAAGGAGGTAAGACACATCCCGAAGAGGATAGGGAGGGAGATTGGCCCTGATAGAGTCGATGCCTGTGATAGGAAAGTGCTTCTTTTGGGCCTTGCATTTGGCTCGAGAGTGTTTTCACTTCGCATTTTTTGGTGTAAATTTTATTTCTGAATTTACGGGGAGAGAGAAAGCCCCTGAGGACGGGAGAAATGGGGAAAAAAATCAGGGGGATCCGCTGGGGGAAAAAGGAGGTTAGGGAGTGTGGGAGTCCCCTGGAAAATCTCCGGGGCTGTGGGACGAGGGATCGAACTCCTTAAGAGAATTCGAGGGGGGGCATCTCACGGGGTGACTCTCCAGGGGAAGGCTCAGACCCGGGAAAGAGGAAGATGTTTATCCTCCCAGGGGGAGATGCAGGCTTCTCCCGAATGCTCCCGTGGTAGATGCTCCCAAGAGAAGAAGAGAAGGAGAAGAAGAGAAAAGAAGAAGAAGAGAATTCGGGTTATAATAACAGCATTCAATAGGACGCTATAGAGCCCTCACTTTATAGGCCCCTTAAATAGCGAATAGGCTCACTATAAAAGCACTAATATACTTAATACTAGTACCAATACACTCTTCTAGCATAATACTCTAATAGACTAGTACTAATACCAATTCTCTTTATTCTCTTCTAGTACTCTAATATACTTAATACTAATACTTTCTTCTAGCACTATTTATTCTAGCATAATACTCTCTACTCTAGTACTCTATACTTTCTTCTAGCATAATACTCTAATATACTTAATACTAATTCTCTTTATTCTACTAATTCTCTCTACTAGTACTCTCTACTAGTACGCTTTATTCTAGCATAATACTCTCTTCTAGCACTCTTCCATAATGCCTTTATAATGCTCAGGACTATACTAGAGTGCTACTCTCTGCTTATATAACCATCTTAATACTACTAATACTAAACCTCTTGTAAGCTGGAATGCTGGAATATTTATTACTACGCGACTGAAAGCACTATAAGCCCAGAGAGAAAGAGAAAAAGTCCTCTGAAAAGTCTATCCCGGAATGACTCTTTACTTACGCGGGGTCTCACTTCCTGCATCCCCCCTCTTTTCTTCCGCCTTATATGCGGACACGGGGCACTTCCCCCGAGAATTTTCTCCTCGTCACAGGATTTTTCAGACCCAAAAAAAGATCTCCGAGACCATCGAAATCACTCCTCCGCAAAGGGAATCTAAAGTGACAGCATAAACATGTATAATAGCCCTGTATTTTTCCTTTTATGGAAAACAATATAGCCACATTTAGTAAAATTATCAATTCTAAATGAATAAATAGAAAGACTCAGGAGAAATCTATGCAAAGAACAGTAAGGGACGTAGACAGAACAATCAAAGGAATGGACAAGGAGTACGACGCAAACTTTGGAGAGTGGGTGAGAAGCGAGGAAAATGTCGATGTAATAGCGATGAACCTGCGGAAGTATCTTGCAGAATATGCTGAGGCGACTTTCTCTGAGGTCCTCAAGTGGATCACGGAAGAGTGGGCTGTTTCTTCAAAGATTCTTCTTCTGCATAAAATATTTGGGAAGCAACTTTTCAGGGATAATTCCGCCCTGGAGATGAAGAGCTCACGGAGGAACGTCCGAATAATGAAGGGAATAATCGACGAGTGGGGACCTGGGAATATTTCTGAGCTTATAATAGAGTTTCTCACGGGGATGCAAAAGGAGGAAAAAAAGCTCTTTTTGCTCTGGGCTCTCGAGGACTTTGAGCACGAAAAATTGACAGAAATTTTTATTCGAATCGACACGATTGTGGACTGGTCTCTGAAAATCAGCATTATTAAGAAGAGCAAGGTTTTGGAGGGGGCTAAAGAGAGGAGAGTATGAGTGCAGAAAGTGCTCCTGCGAGGACTGCGAGAATGCTGGGAAAAGAGGCCCATTTTAGGGCTTGGAGGCGAGAGCTTGCCCTTTTTTGCGAGAGCAAGAGGAGGAGTTTGTGCTCTTCAGACCGAATGTGAAGAAAGGCAAGCCTGTCGAGGGAATTGGCGTACTTTACGAGGAGGGAGATCATTTCCCTTCGCTCGGAGTCTGCCAGCACGTCGCAGAATTCACTCACCGATTCCTGCATAAATAAAAATGAATTTTCGCTGAAAATCCCGGATTGCCCCTCTATTTATTGGACAGTGCATGGGAAGTGCGCTAATTAGGACTTATTGCATAGTCTGTGCTAAGTGGTGGGTGAATGTTTATTGAGGCTTATTGCATAGTGTGCAGAAAGTCTAACAATGCCGGAGTTATTGCATAGTCTATGCTAAGTGGTGGGCGAATGTTTATTGAGGCTTATTGCATAGTGTGCAGAAAGTAGTACATTTATTACACGGTAAGCACTAAGTCCTAAATACTGTACTTACTACAGGGTGTGCACTAAGTGGTGGGTGAGGGCCTGCACTTTACGCCCGTGCATATGGCAAACGCCTCCTTGCTTTTGTACCTGCTGCTTTTGGGCTTGAACAGGGAAACACTCTCAAAGTACTCCTGCAGCTCCGCAAGAAGCACGTCTGGTGCCTCCCCCGTGAAAACCTTAACGACAAAAAACCCCGAATTCTCCAAAAGAGACACGCACACCCCGCAGGAGGCCTGTATCAGCGCCGAGTGGAAGTACTCGTCCAAATCGTGGAGGCCCGTCACTTCAGGGGCACCGTCGCAGAGTATCAGATCAACTTTCTCGGGGAATATTTTCACAATTTTCTCAATGGTCGCTTTCTCTGTGATGTCGCCCTTTATCACGACTGCGTCGCCCACAGGCTCAATATCCTGCAGGTCCACGGCAACAAGCTTCGCGTGCGGGAACTCTTGCTTCACGACCTGGCTCCAGCTCCCAGGGGCAGCGCACAAGTCAACGACTCGGCTGATGCTTTTTGCGCGCAGGGCCTCGTGCGAGTGCAGGATCTCCAGCAGCTTGTACGCACTCCGTGCCCGGAAGCCGTCGCTCTTCGCCCTCCTGTAGAAAACGTCTCTCTCCATGGGGGAAAAAATTTGCTGCTTTTTCTGGGAATTCCCGGAAAGTGCCTGATCCCGCGCGAAAAAAATAAAATAAGGCTGGGCGGCTTCCTAATAGGGAAATGTTTCCTGTTTGGGCCACATGGAAAACTATAAATAGAATAATCTTTTATTTTTTTCCAGATTTTTCCTATCTAAACCCGAAAAATCACGCAAACCCCCAAATTACTCAGGCTTTTTGGCATCTTTATCCTCCGCTTCAGCAGAGGCACGAACAAGACGGAGAATCTCCTCAATTGCAGTGTTGTCTCCTTTCTTTGCCCTCTCAACGAGGCCCTCAACATCCACGCCTTTCGTTCCCAAGTACTTAACAATCGAGTCCAAGTCAAAGTTTCTGTTGGAGTCGTCGCCCAGAAGCTCGCCTTTCCCCTTTATAATGTACCCAACAACGGCATTGTCCTTTGTAATGGCCTTGAGTTCAGGTTCAGGGTAGTTTATAACGGAATCAGTCTCCGTCATAAACGAGCATCTTTCAACATTTTTCATTTCGCTGCACTTGTACCCGTTTGAAGAGAGGGCAGTCAAAAAGCCTTTGTCCTTGTCTGCGTCCATCTGCTTCTTCGTTGGGGCTCTTCGGGCAGATCCCTTTCCTCCTATGCGGATTGCTTTAACATTTGTCATGGCTTAAAAAAAGTATTTTATTTTTTATGCGGAAATATGCTGGAAATATTTCTGCTTAATATTCCACTTTTTTTTGGGCGGTGGCTTGGTCTAGGGGTATGATTCGTGCTTCGGGTGCACGAGGTCCCGGGTTCGATTCCCGGAGCCACCCTTTTTATTTATCCCGGCTCCGCAGCTGTGCTGACTGCCCCGAATAAGCCTGCCCGCAGTGCCCGTTAAAATGCAGGCCTAAACCAGGACAACTGCAGCATCACTGCACTGCTTTTTGTAAAATGCCGTTATAACGGACAGGCTGAAACAGCCCCAACCGAATATTGAATAATAGCCCAATAGACTGTGACAGTGTCCACAGCGCCGTTATAAATAGTAGACTGCAGTAAATGTAGTAGCTGTTATTCCCGTAAATACTCTAATAATACTGTATAATACCGCAATAATAGGCTGTCCCCGTGTATGTCCCTACTCCAGGCCCACGCTGGAAATGCCCTGCGACTCCACGTAGATCGCACAGGCCTCGGAGTCCCCGGGCTTCATCGTGCAAATAACGCCCTCCCGGGACGCCGTATACAAAAGCCCCTCTGAATACCGGACGCTTTCAATTCGCCCGATGTGGTCGCTTTCTGCCGTGGAGTCGAACTCGCTGAATACGCCCACGACTCGAATCGCATTTTTCACTGTAATTGCGCAAAAAGGCCCGTTATTCCCTGGGAAAACACACACGCAGTAGCTGCCAGATGCAACTGAAAGCGTTTTAACGACTTTTCCCCCGCTTAAAAGCACGCAGGTCCGCTCACTCCGCGATAAAACAGCAAGAACACTCTCAGACCCAACCTCCAAAATGCTGAAAGATTCCGGGAATTTTAAGGGCAAAGAAATATCCTGTATCTTTTTCAGATTCTTGTTGTAGACTTTTAAAATATTTTTTGTCAGGATAAGGAGCGCATTCCGGTGCACTTGCACGCATAGAATGGGAGAAGAGAGCTCAAGTTCGCCCCGAGAGATTTCCCCCTCAAAGCATTCGACGGTTCGATCCCCCACGAGGAAGACCAGGCTTTTTTCCTTCTCAAGAATAACGTGGATGTCCCGCAGTTTCTCGCGCAGACTCAGAAATACCGTTTTGTCCGTTGTAATTTCAACGTAATTCTGTGTTCCATAGGCCGTGAATGTCCCCGTCTTTTTGTAGAAGGAGAGATTGCTCCGCAGAAGAGAGGCCTCCTTCTTCTCCACGCTGACTGCGAGCAAGTCGTGCTTCCGTGTAAGAACTTCCATAAAAATAAAAAAACATCGTGAATAAGAGAACAATACCAGCTAGCGGTAGAATTAGAAGAAAATAGAAGAAAGAATAAAATACGAGCAGGACACGAGCAGGATATGAGCAGGATAATAGAACAGTAATAAGATAGTTGTAATAGTATAGTAGTAAGATAGTAATAAGATAGTTGTAATAGACTAGTACAGTAGTAAGATAGTAATAAGATAGTTGTAATAGTAGAACAGTAATAAGATAGTTGTAATAGTATAGCATAGTAGTATAGTAATAAGATAGTTATTATGATTGTAGCAGTTAGTATTCATTAGTATAGTAGCGTTAGTATAGTAGCGTTAGCATAGTAGTAGCTGTTTCGGGGCATAGTTGGTATAGAAAGTTAGTATAGAATAGCTGTTATAGTGCAAAGCAACAGCAGAAATTTCTGGTGATTTTTTTCTCCCATAAATTCCCCGCAGATTCCTCTTTCCCGTGGGATTTTGCTAAGTAAAATTGCCTCTCCTGAGTACCCCCCTTTCACCGTATACAAACACTAATTGATTTTTGCGTTGTCTTTTTCTCTTTGTCCGAGACATTTTCTTTTTTTCTCCCATAAATTTCCCGCAGATTCCTTTTTCCCGTGTGAATTTGCTAAGTAAAATTGCCTCTCCTGAGTACCTATCCAGTGCCGTGGGAGCGTGCTAAGTAAAAGGAAAGAATATTCTGCACTGCCAAACTGCAAGGAGTGCCTATACACTAATACATACTGCCATAATACTTGCGCCATCATACTCTACAGGTGCTCTACCAACTATTAATTACCATTGCTATTCTACTACTATTGCACTCTAATAGCCCGAATCACCAAGACTACTCTATTACTACTGCACCAACTATTCTATTACTATGCTATTATACTGCCATTACTACTATTATAACCACTCCTCAGCCCACAATGTCTCCCAAAGGGGAAATATTATCCTGCATAAAGCTTCCCCACTTTATTTTTTTATGCATTTTCGCGTGGGGATTCTCCTGCTGGCTCTCCTGGGAAGTGTCTCTTCCTTCTCTGGGATTGCAAAATACACAGTAAATGACTTCGCAAGTGAGACGCCTATGCTTATCTTCATATACTATGAAAGCGATAAAAGCAAGTGTCTTGCATGCAGCTCGTACAAAAAGTGGCTTTCTTCATTCCCAGAGAAAACGCTTGGAGTCTTTACGATTAAAAGGATAAACTTCAACACAGACCCAATCATGGCTCTTCGCTTTAAAACGAACAGTTTCCCCACTTTCTTCCTGCAGCACAAAAACAGGTTTAAAAACATAACGGACATCGACATTTTAGAGCACGATATTTCCTACAGAAAGTCATACTCTAACGATATTGATGCTGTTTTGAAAAACCCCCGAATTCTCGACTCTGTTCGCACGATTGAAGGGTACGAGTCGCCTGCTTCTTGCATTTCCCTGGGATATGCATATTTGTTTGCAGTTGCCTATTCGGGGATGCGGATTCTGGACAGAGTTTCCGGGATGCTGCCTTCTGATGGGGTTGTTTTCGGGGGAGTTACTTTGTGCCTGGTGATCTTATTGAGTAAAATTTTAATCAGGAATAATTACCGTATTTGGAAAAAACCGTTAGAAAATGCAGAACCTGAAAAAAACACTCGCAAAAGCAAATAAAGTGCCAGATCGTTGTACAAATGCGTGCAAGAAATAGATCGACAGAATATAGATAGTAGATAATCCATAAGGAAAACAACGATATAAGACAAAACAGCTAGATAATAACCCGAACTAAACAACTATCCAACTAGATATAAGACACCTAAATACTCAAACACACACAGGAATACTATACCCACTGCTGCATTGCCTACTACTATACTATGTCCTTCTTCCCGTGCAAATTTTCTTTTTAAATACTTATTTTTTTCTTTTTTTTATGCAAGGCAGTCAAGGCGAACCCGAAAACACATCCGCACCAGGACAGTTCATGCTCGAGGGCCCAAATAAGAAACTGGTGCTCGTGGGAGACGGAGGAACAGGAAAAACCACGTTCGTAAAGAGACACTTAACGGGTGAATTCACGAAGAGATATATCGCAACAGTAGGTGCTGAAACGTACGTTCTCCCCTTCTACACGAACTATGGACAAGTGAATTACACCGTATTCGACACTGCAGGGCAGGAGAGATTCGGAGGACTAAGGGATGCCTACTACTACGGGGCTGACTGCGGTATTATCATGTTCGACACAACCTCCAGAATAACGTATAAGAATGTGCCGAATTGGTACAGAGATCTGCGCCTGATTTGCCCGGATATTCCCCTCTGTCTCTGCGGGAATAAGGTCGATATCATAGACAGAAAAGTCAAGCCTGCGAATATGAAGGATAGAAAAATTATGCAGAATATCGTATACTTCGACATAAGCGCAAAAAGTAACTACAACTACGATAAGCCTTTCCTTTACTTCACGAAGACGCTGTACCAGAAGCCGGACCTTTTCTTTGTTGCAAATTCGGCTCTCCTGCCCCCAGAGGCGGTGGTTGATGAGGAGCTGGTCGAGAGATTTGCTAAGCTTTCGGAGGAGGCCACAAACCAGCCAATTCCAGACTACGAATAAACTAAGACATAGGAAAACAGGATATATCTTGCAGTTATAGTATTGTATGTGCATATGCTGCACTATTTAGATAGTCATAGCTAGATAGTTATTTAGAGATAACAGATGTATTTATGTAATTATAGCTAGATAGTTATAGCTAGATAGAAGTTATATACAGATAGTTGTTTATATATAGATATTTATTTAGAGATAACAGCTTTTTAGAGATAGTACTTGTATTTATGTAGTTATAGCTAGATGGTTGGATAGACTGTTTCTACATATATCCGTTATAGTTAGGCATATACTCTTGTTTAAACTTGTTCTGATAGACAGTTTTATATACCGTTATTATAGCTAGATAGTTGCATATATTAGATGGATGTTTACAGATACTTGGCTATTTAGCTATGCTATCGTATTTATTCTGTGCTTTCAGCATGCAATATCCCGTGTAGCGTGCACTGCAGCTGGAGTCTACCAGAGCCGCCCCCCAGAGTATATCACAAACCCGATGGAGAGGAGCTTCTCTATTTCCGGGCGAGACCAGGCTCTATCCTGCAGGTTTTGCAGGGTCCTGATAATGCCCTCAAAGTCGCTTTCCAGGAGAGAACCTGAAAGGTGAAAAATAATTCCCGCTGAAAATGCCTCGTTAAAACGCACGAACTCCTCAGGCCCCAGGGAGAAGTGCGCGTCAAAGACTTCCTTGTGCTGCATAAACTCCCGAATCAGGAAAGTAGAGACCCAGTTGTATGCGAAGTATTTCACTTCCACGCCCTCCCGGGAAAAGTGCCTTTCCAGGTCAGGCGCGTATTTTTTTATCAGAACCTGAATCTCAAAAATTGATCTTTCAATTCCCGCCTGCCTAGATGAAAAATAGTCTAAGTACGTGCAAACGATCTTAGTAAAGCAGAAGTAGGAAAGAGCCTCAGCCTCCTCCACGGAGTACCCTACAGCGTATACGTCTATAAAGAGCTTAAATATTTCGCACATCCCCTGGGCGTATCCAATCACAGAGTGCTTTCTAGTGAATATTTGCATCGCTTTTATATAACGGTCTGAAATGTCTGTGCCCTGAAAAGTGCTTTTTATGCGGAGAACGTCTTTCTGGATCTGCTTGTAGGCTTTGTTTAGGTTGGACGGGGAAAGGAGAAAGTCTGGGGTTAGAAAAGTCTCCTCCTCAGAAAGTTCGAGGTACGCTTTTATTCGGGCCTGAATTTCCGACTCGTGGGAGCTTTCGCAGGGAGAGATCACATCCAGCAAAACAAGCCAGACTATGCCTCGCTCTTTCTCGTGGAGGCCATTCCACGCCTTTTCTCGAAGGGTTTGCGCATTCTTCGGGTGCTGCATTCCCTTTATTTTGCTCACGAGAAAAATAAAGCAATACTTATTGCGCAGTGCATAGCAAGCACAGAGCATATGCTATATATGCTAGACTGTGCAGTAAGTACCAGAACAAATATGCAGTACGCAACAAGTAACAGAATATTCCATACTTACTTCACACAGAATAAACAATGATATACTCCACACTATCCCATAACTACCATACTTACTCCACGCTATCCCATAACTACGTACAAGCATACTCTACACAGTGTAATAAATATTGCTTTATTTCTGCCCTACAGAAGGCGCAGAGGCCCGTGAAGGTGCTTTACGGATGCCTCGTCTATCTCTGCCTTTCCCTGCATGACGTGTCTCGTGATCATATTCAGGACACTTTCTATCCGGTACTTATACTGCAAAGCAGCATCCCTTATCCTGGCAAATCGGGCATCCTCCGGCGCAGTCCGAGGGGAAACTACCCGCAAAACAGTCGTTTTTACGTCCTCCAGTGCCTCCTCTGCTGCTCCATTCGACATATCAACGACAAGGCTGTACTTCTCCAAAACCTCCTTCCTCGCAGCGAGACTATCCGGGCGGAAGACCCCGATAACGCCCTCTCTCCGCCCGGGGGGATTTACCTCCACGCGCATCCCGAATGCCCGGAGAAATACCTCGACTCTCCGCTCCTCCTTTGGCCAGCCCACGATCACGCACAGGTTTCTTATGGGTCTTGCCTTCGTCACAGAAAAAACAACGGCCATTTTCTGGAAAATAGTCTCCCCGTGAATGAAAAATTCTCGCTTGGAGACTTTTTTTGAGGCGAGAGCAAAACCCTCAAGAGAAGGGACTTCATCCCCTCCCTCGAGAGAGACGATCACCTGCCGGTCTCCAACTGCCTCCATTACCCCGCTCAAAACTTGCATCTCTTCGAGGATCTTGTACTTCCGGAGAATGACGATATCTATCCTCTCTGGGCCGGACAAGAGCTCTTCTGCCCTCTTTGCGCCTGCGATGCTCACCTGCACGCCCTCCAGGCCTGAGCACGTCTTTTCCAAGGTGCTTGCCTCACTTCTCAGCGGAGTAACGACTAAAACGTGCCCTGTAACGTGAGAAAGAATCGAAAAAACGTCCATAAAAGCCTTCACACGCGCATTCTTATCTCCTTCTCCGCGCGAAAACATCGCTGCTTCTTCCTCTCTCTCCTCCCCGGGAGAGTCCACCCCGCGCTCTCTTTCTCCGCTTTTCAGCTCCATTTTTTTCCAAAATATTTTAATTAATAAACCCCCAAGCATATTTCAATTGCTCTTTTTATTTGGGAAATGCATGAAGGAAGATTCAACTACGAGGAAAAAGAGACTCCAAAAACAGACACCTACATAAGCACAACAGTTCTAAACACGCTGATATACGAATATTTAATAAAGAGAAATTACATAGGATCTGCGAAGGTCTTCAAAGTAGAGGGCGATATTAGCAACATAAATATAACGCAGGGATCCAGCGCGCTTTTGGACTGGTTCGTCGCCTTCAACGACCTGTACAACGTGCGCAGTGGAAGGGGAAAACCCACAGGAATAACGGGGAAAATAGATGCAATCCTCGAGAAAACGGCGAAGGAGGAGCAGGAGTACAAGCCCAGACCAGGAAACCCGAATAACCCAGAGCCCAGAATCCCCCAGAAAAATCACTGGTACAAGGACGAGGGAGACCTCCTCGACAGCATCCTCGAGATAGACGAGCCCAGGAATACCCCGAATACCCCGAATAACCCGAAATCTCTTGCGATGAAGGAAGTCCTGAAACTCCGCCTCCACACACAGAAAATCAACAGCATCTCCATCTGCCAGAAGAATAAGATCGTCGTAACCGGGGGAATGGATGCCTCCATCTGCGTCCTGGACCTCCTGAACATGGCGGACGTCATCAAGTTCGAATCCCACTCGATGCAGATTTCGCAGGTGAAGGTGAAGGAGTCCTCCGCCGAGGGAGTGATGCACTTCGGAAGTGCTTCTCTCGACAGGGAGGCAAAAGTCTACAAAGTCTCCAGAGAGGCAGGAAAGTTAGGGGTTTCTCTCTTTCTCTGCCTGAAGGGGCATAAGTCCTCGGTTAAGGCCCTGGATTTCAGTCCCTCGAAGATTTACACGATGGGAATAGACGGGGAACTGCGCATCTGGGGGATGGATGGCCTCTGTCTCGGAGCTTTTGCCCTGAGAAGAACCGTTAAAATGATGTTTTCCAGGAGCGACAGTCTCATTGCCGTTTGCGACGTGAATACAGTCTCGCTCTTCAACCCGGAGAGTGCCACGTACGTGAAGGAGCTGAGCAGTAAGGGAGCCCTCGCCTTCCACAAGACCCCAACGAATAGCATCCTCGTATTCCCAGACGGAGTCTCCATATACGATAAGACTTTCCACAGCAAGAATTCGCTGCCTTTTTCCTCCGATAAAATCCAGTCCGTATGCGCAATTTCCGGGAGACTTTTCCTCGGGGGATACCAGGCCGTATACGAAGTCCACGAGAAAAGCGTCCAGAAAGTGCACGCGCACGACGGGATGGTTTGCGCCCTGGAAGGGACTCCCCTCGGAAGTAAGACCCTCCTCCTCACGGGAAGCCAAAATGGAGAGCTAAAAGTCTGGGAGGTTTTTGATAGGCCGTCCTCCCTGTAAATAGACGAAATACATCGATCGATTCAGAAATATTTATTCTTTTTCTTTTTTATTTGCATGGAGCAGAAGGAGGAGTACGCGCCTGCAGAGGAGGGAGTAGATTTGGGGAAGCATCCTTCTGGGCTTGTTCCCACGATACAGAATATTGTTGCTACGGTGAATTTGTGCTGTCGCCTGGACTTGAAGGCAATTGCTCTGGGGGCGAGAAATGCGGAGTACAACCCGAAGAGATTCGCTGCGGTGATTATCCGCATTCGGAAGCCCAGAACTACGGCCCTGATCTTTGCCTCTGGAAAAATGGTCGTTACTGGGGCTCGATCCGAGGAGGACTCAAAACTTGCAGCGAAGAAGTACAGCATCATCATACGGAGGCTCGGATATCCCGTGCGCTTCACAGAGTTCAAGATCCAGAACATCGTCAGCAGCTGCGACACAAAGTTCAGCATCCGCCTGGAGGGACTCGTGTTCGGGCACAGTAACTACAGCAGCTACGAGCCAGAGCTCTTCCCAGGGCTTATATACCGAATGGTAAAGCCAAAGATCGTCCTGCTCGTGTTCGTCTCCGGGAAGGTCGTCCTCACGGGGGCAAAGCACAGGGAGGAGATATACCAGGCATTCGAGAACATATACCCCGTGCTGAAGCAGTACCGGAAGACGTAGGCAGAGATAGAAAGAGAAGGAGAGATGAGAAGTTGTGAGAGCAGTTAGAACAGACGGAAGGATCACCAGGATTACTAGTATGCTGTAGCAGGAATAGTTGGAGTATTACTAGTATACTTAGATAGTTGGAGGATTCTGATGTATTACTGTAGTATTATGTAGTATTCTGATGTATTACTGTAGTAGGAATAGTTGATGTATTGCTACTGTAGTATTCTGGAGTATTGCTAGTATACTTAAATAGTTAGAGTATTCTGAAGTATTATGTAGTATTACTGTAGTATTCTGATGTATTACTAGTATTCTGTAGTATACTTAAATAGTTAGAGTATTCTGATGTATTGCTAGTATTACTGTAGAATTACTATAGTATTACTAGTATTCTGTAGTAGGAATAGTTAGAGTATTATGTACTATTCTGTGGTAGGCTGGACTTGCAGCTGGAGAAGCAACTGGTAGAGTACTTCTGGCAGGCAGGCTGTGAACATTATGTAGCAGCTGAGCTTCAGTGTGGGCGCAGTTGTCGCTCGCTCGTTATTATTTTGTGGTGATAGAATAAAGATAAGTATAGTTTATTGCTCTTTCTTCTTGAAAAGAGAAGATGGATTTGCTCCGGAGAGGCCCAGGGACTTGCTCCCTTGAGTGAAGCCGGAACTTTGCGAGAGAAGGCTGAAGGACGAATTGCCAGGGCTCTGTCCCGGGAAAGAAGCTCCCTGTGGGCTGCCCCCGAATAGAGTGCCTGATGCCTGCGGAGTATTCTGGAATGGGTTACTACTAGTATTAGTATTACTGCTTGAGAATTGAATATTGCTAGTATTACTAGTATTACTAGTAATAGTATTCTGGAATAGGCTACTATTAGTATTAGTAGTACTGCTTGGGAATTGAATATTACTAGTATTAGTATTCTGGAATAGGCTACTGCTGCTAGTATTAGTATTACTTCTATTCTGGAATGGGTTAGTATTGGTATTAGTATTCTGGAATAGGCTACTACTGCTAGTATTACTAGTATTACTACTTCTATTCTGGAACGGGTTACTATTAGTATTAGTACTATTCTGGAATGGGTTAGTATTGGTATTCTGGAATAGGCTACTACTGCTAGTATTACTGCTCTGGAATGGGTTATTATTAGTATTAGTATTACTGCTCTGGAATAGGCTACTACTGCTAGTACTACTTCTACTCTGGAATGGATTACTGCTGCTAGTATTACTACTATTAGTATTACTCAGTATCTGGCTATTACTATTATTACTGCTATTCTGGAATAAGCTACTGCCCATAGGACTGCTATTAGTACTACTAGTACTACTCTGGAATGGATTACTAGTACTAGTATTAGTATTAGTATTACTCAGTATCTGGCTATTGCTGCTATTACTACTCTGGAATAAGCTACTGCTACTAGTATTCCTGCCTAGGAGTGAGCTGCTTCTAGTACTATTAGTATCACTGCTACTAGTTAGGAATGACTCAGTCTTACTCAGTATCTGGCTGCTATTACCACTGAGTGACCTGCTCGCTTGCTGGCTTCCTTCGAATGGGCCTGTTTTCTCTGGGGCCTTTCTCTCGTGGATTGCCCGGAGAAAAGCTGCCTCGTTTGGGGACCTAAAGATGTGCTGCATCAGGCCGTCCTTTGAAAGTGTATCTCCTTGGATTTGGACGCTTTTTATCTTTTCTATGCACTCGTCCAAAAGGTCGAAGGTCTTGTCTCTGGCCTCTGGGAGGATTGCGCCTTCTTCAATCAGCGAAATTTCTGGGACGTGCATCTTCAGGGGCTCGCTATAGACGCTAATACTGCCTGGTGTGACCTGATCTCGTGCTTTTCCGATGGAGTGTGCCGAGATGTTGAAGATATTCGAAATTCTCGTGTTTATGTGCTCAATCTCCCGGGAGAAGTCGAGGGGTGGCCCGGAAAGGACTTTCTCCGCGCGGGAAAGCCTGCTCTCCACCAAAAGTGCGAGTATTTTTGCCTTTTCCTGGGAGGCCTCCCTCTCGCAGATTACATCTTTCAACCTGATCTTTTGATCTTTTATCAGGATAATTGCTTCTTCAATCCCTGCGAGGATTCCCTTCACGCTCAGAGAGGCAGAAGGCTCCTTTGGGAGCTCTATCTTCTCCATGCGCTCTCGGCACCTTCCCAGGATCTCGCGCAGCTCCTGGATGTTTTCTCTGACCTCAGAAATCGGTTTTTTTATGCCTGAAATTTCCTCTCCTGACCCCAGGTCTTGGAGCATGCTTTTTATCCGGGCCATGGGGTTCTCTCTTTCGGGTATGTTGAGCTTCACCGTATTCGGGAGCGGGTCTTTTTCGGGGGCACTTTCGACTTTCCGGGCATTTCCTTCCTTCCCGCGAGAGCTTTCACGGAGACCTGGCGGAATTTTCAGGGCAAATTTTTCTGCGAAATTTTCAGCGACTTTCAGGTTGTTTTCCTCCGGGTCCTTCACGAGAGCGGAGAGGGGGATTGGATTGCTTACTCTGGGCTTGCGCTCTTCCTGCAGGGGAGCCGTGCTCTCGCCGGTGCTTTGAGAGAGAACGCATTCCTTTTCAGGTTCTGCAATTTTTTCCTCTTTTTCCGTATCAGGTAATGTTTTTCCGTTTGGAATCTTTGAGGTATCGCTGGGCTCTTTCTCTGCATCTTTTGCACTTTCCGAAACATCCGCTGCAGGCTTCCCCAGGGCACTTCCCGCACTCTCCTGCTCTGTCTTCTCAGGTTTTGCCGCGGTTTCCTCCTTTTCCATATCGGGCAATACTTCCCCATTTGGCAATCTGTTATTTTTAACCTGATTTATTTCAGGCTCCCTCCCACGGCGCCCCTGGACGTACGCAGAGAGATCGCACAGATCAAGCATCATCCCGTACAAAGTGACTTTATCCTCCGTCTCAACAGCAACTGTCGGCCCCTGGAGAATCTCCTTGTCCTCCAAGTTCACGTCCTGCAAAACCGTTGACTCCAAAACGTGCAAATTTTTCAAACTCTCCCCAAAGGGCACAGCCAACCCGTCGAGTTCCTCGTGGGGAATGAACTTCTGGAACTTTCCGCCCGAAAAAACAACGTACTCGATGTCCACGGAGTTTGTATGCGCAACGACAAAGAACTGCTCGATCGGCCCAACCCGGAAGCTTCTGACGATGAAATGCCCGGGTTCTTCCTCCTCTTCAACGTCGATGCAAATTCTTACTTCCCCCGAAAATTCCGGCCCTGAAAATGTCAAAAGATCAGCCCTGACCGAAAGAACAAAATTTTCCAGCAAAAAATACTCTGCCCCTTCGTCGATCTTCTCCCGCCAAATTTCCAGGTATTTCTCTCTCCCCCACAAAACGAGCTCACCCGCATCCGCAGCCAAAACAGAGCCCTCAGAGACTCCCCGAAAACTCCCCGGGATCTTCGCTATTTCCTCCATCTGCAGACTGCGAACAGAAAAAGAGCCTTTTTCCTTCACGAAAATTTCGTCTTTTGAGACTCGAACCTTCGCCTTTCCAACACAGACCCGAATAACCTCCGAAAGAAAAGAGTTTTCTGGGCTCCCGAGAAGTGAAAATTTAACGAGGAATTCCCCTTGCTGGACCCAGATGGAGTTCCCTGCTGTCCCCACGTACTTTCCCTCGAGAGTGATTTTTTTGCTTTGTCTGGGGCTTACTAGGGAAAGCGTCTCTTCCTCCTGAATGACGAATCGACTCAAAAATTCCCCTTCGATTTTTGAAGGGCCTTTCTCTGTCGGGGACTCCTCCCGAACAAACTTCACTGAGACGACTTCGTTCATGCGAAATGAAAAAATAAATTTATTTATGAAGCATAATAAAACATAAAAATATACTTGCAGTTCGGGCTCGAACCTGCTATGGGCTCTGAGCGAAAGCCCGAATAACCCGAATAGAAAAGTCGGGAAGTTTTCGGCTACTCTGTGCTCTCCCCTACGGTGATGAAAAGCGGGAATAGGTTCACGCGCTGGATTTCTCCAGCCCACTCTCCGGAGTATCCTGCATGTCCTGAAATCTCTGCAGGAAGAACTCCGCAGACAAGGCCTGACACGCTTCCCTCCAAAACATCGTCGATTTTAACGGTCACTTTCCCGCGGACTGCAATTTTCATAACGACAAACTCAGCAGAAACTTTTACGTAAATTTTTGCATCTGTCCCCAAGATAGAGCCAACGCTATCAAGAATCCCCAAGCTCTCAGTATAGCAAACGACAAGGCCCCGAAACACTTTATGGTACGTCCCCACGAGATCGTTCAAGTACTTGTAAATGGCATCTGGAATGCTCCCCAGCTGGTCCGGGGTTATGGGGACTCTTAGAATTGCCTGCACTCTCTGGAAGTGGATTCCCTGCATCAAAAAAATAAAATGCTTCCAAGCTATAAAAAGGCAATAAAATAAGAAATAAAAATAAAAATAAAAACAAATATTGGAAAGTGTTTGCGAATGGGAGAGCAGGAAACAACCCCTCCAGAAGGCAGGCCCTCAGATAGCCTTTCTGACAGAAACATTATACTCACCTGCAGCACAAGAGAAGAAGCATCTATTCCCTACAGTATTTTAAGCGAAAGCAGCATTCTGAAGAAGATCATAGACACTTCCGCGTTTAAAGAGTCTTCAGAGTCTGGGATAAATTTGCCCATTTCCCACGCGAGCCTAAAAAGAGTCGTTGAGTATTTGTGGTACAAGCACAAGTACGGGCGAGAGTCTGGGAATGTGGAGGACTTTAAAATTGAAGATAGTGAAGCCCTGGACCTGCTTGAAGTCTCTTCTTTTTTGCGGCTGTAGGTTTATTTTCAGGTTTAGATAAAAATTTGCTTTTTTATTTCCCTTTTAGGTCGTATTATTTCCTTTTTCGGACATTCTCAGGTTCTTCCGCCGTTTTTTTGCTAGACTTCCTGCGAATCCTTCTCTGCCCCTCGGACTTGGCCTTCCTGTAGTACATCACGTACACAAGGACCTTCGGAAGCACGACAAAAACCAGGGAGAGGAAGTTCACAACGAACAAGGCATTGTTGAACTTCGCCAAGCGAGCAGCGCAGAGGAAGAGCATAATGGGAAAAAGCGTGAAAAAGCTCATCCCAGAAGAGCCCTTTAGCTGGATCATTAGTTGCTCCCAGAAAGTAAGACCTGAAAAGTCAGGGTTGAAGGGATCTCCTAGAATGGCATGGAAGAAGACGAAAGTGACTATATTATACAGCCAAATCGTGAGGGACCAGGCAACTTGTTTTGTGAAAATTTGCGTGAGAATAAACCAGACAGTTCCCGTTAGAAGCGTCTGCCCAAACCACGTTGACGGCTCGAGGGACCATTCTACGTTTGGGGATATGTATGCCTCACAGGTCATATTTGCGCTGCAGGCCGTGCTTATATGCCCTGAATTCAGGGTTTCTGTTTCAAAGTAGTCCAGTAGGATTCAGGTTGTTCAGGGCCCCAGCACTTACTATGCAGTATATACTAAATCATGGCACTTACTGCATAGTGCATACTAAATATTTTCACTTACTGCTGTTTATTACCCAGTATATACTAAGTACACCATTTACTGTGCAGCATAAACAAACCACTATTTACTGTGCAGTATATACTAAATATTGGTGTTTACTGCATAGTGCATATTAGCACATGCCTTTTCTGTTGTTTATTGCTCAGTATATACTAAATATTTTCACTTACTGCATAGTACATACTAAATCATGGCACTTACTGCATAGTGCATACTAAATCATGGCACTTACTGCATAGTGCATATTAGCACATGCCTTTTCTGCTGTTTATTGCCCAGTATATACTAAATATTTTCACTTACTGTGTAGTATATACTAAATATTTTCACTTACTGCATAGTACATACTAAATCATGGCACTTACTGCATAGTGCATACTAATAAGATAAAATCCGTCTTTGCTTTGTGATATCTGCATGATTTATTGGTGGACCCGAAGACTCGCTACAGAAGGCGCCTGACGATGAAATACGAAGTCCCCACCCCCAAGAAGACGCTTATAATAAAGAGCGCCCCTTTCGCTATCGCTTTGACTTTGCTCTGCCCTGGCCCCCAAGAGCCCCCGGACTTCCACGGGGTAAGCGTCCCGTACTGGCTGAAAACTATGAAAACCCCGAATAACCCGTATATAACAGGAGTCAAAACAGAAAAAACTGCCAGCTCTGCAAAGTCCCCAATCCCGTCAAAGAGTCCAAACAGAGCTCTTCCCGCAGTGGAAACAAAAGCACATCCGACGACCGTGAGAATCTTCACTACAATGCACTTGAACTGCCCCAAAGTCTCCTCCTTCTCATCAGAAACAAACCTGTACCTGCTCTCCGTATACGCTAATACGACAGTAGAACCCACTATAAGAATACCACAGAGAAGGGCATCCACGTGAGAGATCCTGCTATTTGGGACACTCGCAATCTTCCCCCCAAGGAATATCTCGTATATGCTCATATTGTGTTTCTCCTTCATCAGATACGTCCCGTGCCCAACAAGTCCAGAGATCCCGCATATACTCACGCAAAACATCAGGATAACAAGGACTTGCACGAGAAAAGTCCCTGCTTTAGAGAGTCCCAGGGCCTTCTTCTCGGGAAAGGCCTTTTTCACCCTATACATAAAGACGTAGTAATATCCCGTGTTTATGAGCGAGAGAAGAAACTGCCAGATGTTCAAATAGAGCATAACAAGAGCCAGGCGCACGTAATAAGGGTTCCCAGCAATGCTTAGATAGCATAGTGTACTTATAGGGGAAGTTATAAAAAAGTTCATGAGACTGGCTTCTCTGTGCTGGACTGCCTTCCAATACTCCGTCGTAAGAATGGGATTATCTGCTTTTTTTGCAGAAACTTTCTCCTTTACTGGGTCGATTTGGTGGCCCATTTCGCTCGCCCACAGGAAATTGTGGGTACTCTCCCCTAGGATATTCCTCATGTTTTCGCTTCTTCTTTCCGCAGTCATTGCAGGAACTGCCTCCTGAGTTGGGTCTACTCGAACTGAGCTCATTTGAAATTTTTTCTTTTTCTTCTTTATTTCTTCTTGCTTTGTTTACATGCGCTCTTATCACTTGATCTGGGAATTTTATTCATTTCTGGGGAGTTTTTGAACTTTTTGACTTTTATAGGAGATTAGATCGGGTTATTCGGGTTATATGAGAATATATGGAATTAGGTGGAGTTAGAATAGATTTGAATGCGCATTTGAGTAGATTTACAAGATATCTGGGCAGCCTTAGAAGGGGTTTAGTACTATTTGAAGAGATTGTAGGAGCTTTGACGGGTCTATAAGAGATTATACGGGAATTCAGCGGGTTTTGGCTGACTATATGGGGTCATAGGATATTTTGATGAACCTTCGCTTTTATAGGAGTTATTCGGGTTATTCGGGCTTTTCCTCTTATTATTTTTTCTTCTTGCTTTTCCATGTCGTGCTTTGCGGTGATTGGAGGAGTCCGCGCTGGGAAAACGTCTTTCATACGCAGCCTCTGCTCTTACGGGAAGTGCTGGGAGACTAGAAATGGACTCACCCTCGGGAAAAAGGAGCTTCCCCAGGGATGGGATGAATTCGTGGAGTTTTCCCCCCACCCTGAAAATCCCATCTTCTCGGGGCGAACTTTCGGCCTTTTCGACGCTCTCGTTTCCCTCGTCGATGTTTCCACGGGGTGGGATTCAGCATCTCTCGAGGCGATACGGAGGAGTAAAACGAAGAAAGTCCTGGTTTTCGTGAATAAAGCAGATAGGATCCTTTCTAAAGGCAGGGACTCCGAGAAAGTCCTCATCTCTGCTGTTTCTGAGATTTCCAGGCATCTCCTGAAGGAGGAAGGCCCCGAGACTGAGCTCTGGGTGGGAAGCTTAAAGCACGGAATCTGCATCTTCCAGGGACTTCCCCAGGACTTTCTGTGCCCAAGAAAAAGGAGGGAATCAAGCCTTTCCGAGCACGTCCTGAAGGTTTGGAGTGTCCTGGAACTCTCCGGAGCATCCCCGAAGGAGAGAAAGAAGCTTCTCTGGGGACAGGGATACTTTGAGTTTGTGAAAAGCAAAAAAACTCTGGAGAGAGACCTCCTCGTACACGCTCTCAGGATTCCCTCTGTGGAAAGTCTTTTCAGAGAGTTCGGGTTATTCGGGGTATTTCAGGGCCTTGGTAGAGACGGGGGGAGGAAACAGGAAAAAGACGGGCTATTCTGCGAGATAGTCTCTCTCCTGGGGGGTACTCGGGAGGGGAATATTCGGGTGCTTTTGAAGGGATCTGCTCCGAATGCGCGGATTCCTTCGGTTTTTGTCGCTGGGGAGGAGTGCAGGCTCTCCTGGGCTGAGCCTGGGCCCGTGAATGGGTACTTCCACATCGCAGAGGTGCAGATCACTGAGAGAGCGTCTTCTTTCCTGCTTTCTCGGATGGAGGAGGAAACCCCGAATAACCCTGGGATTTCCGTTATTTTTGAAAGTCCAGAAAAATTCTTCGGAGATCCCGGGGATATGCTCTACTTTGGCGTGCGAGTCAGGCATAAGGAAGCACTACAGAATTCGGGTTATTCGGAGACTCGGAGTACTCGGGTGGAACTCTCCAGCGCTGGCCCGCACTCTCTGCAGGCCTTCCTGGAGAGAAGCTGCACTTTCAAAGGCTCTTCTGGGGTTATAGGGCCAATATACCCGATTAGAAGAACTCCTGAAAGGCTGCAGTCCTTCTGCATTTCAGGAGATTCTGGCAGAATCCGCGTGAGCTTGAGCTCGATCCTTGGGGAAAAGGCGGGAGAGATAAAAAATATTTCAGGTTCGGGTTATTCGGGGTACTCCGACCCGGAGGAAAAGGTCTTTCTCCTGGGCCCTGCAGGGAGTGAGAACATGCCCGGAGTGGACTCGGCAGCTTCCCGCATAAGAAGTGCTTTAGACGCTATAAAGGACTCGGAGAACTCCCTCGCGATTTCTCATGCGAGAATATTCATTGAGCCTGCAGGGGAAGAGTCCACAGGCGAGGAGACGAGCGGAGAGGAGATTCGCCTGAGCCTGGAGAGATGTGCATACTCCGTCGTTGAAAAGAGCCTGACTTCAGAGGTCTTCCTCTCTCTTCCCGTGAAATACGTTGAAAAGTCCTCGGATTCTCTGATAAATAAGCTTATCTCGAAAAAGACCGTTGAATCTTTGGTAAAAGCTATTTCCTGTGCTTACAGGGCTAAAACACTCGAATTCTCGAAGAGTCCCTCCCTCCTGGGGGCGAGGATGACTTTTCAGGTCCCAGCCTCAGAGTATCCCGGGCTTCTCTCCGTCTTAGGCACTTTCTTCGAGCACTTTCCTCCGAATATCCTGGGGTCTGCGTATACTCCCGTTGTAGAAAGCCCAGGAAAGCCTCCAGCGGAGATAAATCTGCTTCCCCTGGGGAAATACAGATAAAATTTTTCTTCCCGTTAATCTTCGGGTTATTCGGGCTATCTGCGGAGAGGCGGAAACTTCTGTTTTTTTGGAAAAATTTTATTTTTGCGAATGAACTCCGGGTTCTCGATAGACGAGGCTATTGCGAAGGGCGAGATAAAAGCCCGCGCCAAGAAGATGAAGATAAAGGAAAAGAAGAGGGCAGACAGAGAGAGCAAAGTCTCTGCAGAAGTAGGCGCTCCAGAGGCAGATACTCTCGGAAAACGGGAGAAAAAGGCAAAGTTAAGCAGAGTCCAGAGAACAGCTCTACTCGACGGAGCTGCTTCCACCACCCGGGAGAGCATGCCCCAGATAGAGGAGAAGGAGCTGAAGGAAGTCCTGAAGATTGTGGTTAAGATCCTGAATACGATTCCCCTGGGGCAAGAGCCAATGCCAAAGTTCGAGGAAGACGCAAACCCCCACAGAAAAGCGAAGGGGGAGAGTCACATGCGGAGAAGAGACAGAGTATTCCCCGGAAAGAAAGGCCCTGGATCTGCACATAAGCCCCACGGGAGATCCCCCAGAGAGAAGTCCCCGCGTGAATAAATGCCTAATAGATAGAACTATGATATTTTCCCGAATAACCCGAATAAATAAAAAAATCACTTTGATATCTTCGGACTGCAATCATGCGTAAATATTCTGGAAGAGATCTCTTTTCTTATATACCCCGAACGATCAGGCTGATATTTGGGGTATATTGACGCCCGAATGCTCCGAGTCTCATATTAGCCCCTCGTATACGCTTACTGGGAATTTACGGGTAATTCCAGATAATAGCCCGAAGGTGCTGCAAATATCCGATCTCCCGGGATTTCCCTCGATGGAGCCCACAGAATCCCCACACCCTCTGAATTTGTCTCTTCCTGGGCCCTCCCACGCCCTTTCCCAGCCCCCGGAATTCCACGGGCTCAGAATGCGCTTTCCATCACCCGAATAAATATGCAATATTTTCTTTTGTTATGTCCATTCACGAAGTAAACATCTTTCGTCTGAGCAGCCATTTGGAAAGCATCGCCCCCGTGAAGTTGCAGGTTGTTCTGGGCCTGGGAACAGGATTATTCGGGGCTATCTACAGCGGAGTCTTTTATTTTAGAAACCATCCCCTTCCCAAGGGAATCTGCACGCTTTTGTGCACTTTTATGCTATGCATTGTATACTTATTCACGCTAAGAATGTATATGTATAAGGCCCTGGATATGATCATATTCCTCCTGGCAGTCCATGGCCGTGCACTTCGTGGGATAACGACGGCAGTAGATGCTGAGAAAAGCAAAAAGGCCGGAGATCCGCTCTCCTCCGGCCCTGGGAAATCTCTGAAAGAAAAAGTCCCTGAAAAATCTAGGTCCGGGTTATTCGGGGTATTCAACGCAAAAACTCTGGGGATTTCCCACATTGTCTTCCCCCGGGTCTCACAGGAGCACATTCCGTACGATAAGGTCTTCGAAGAGCTCATATTCCGGCTGCTGGTCCTGGGAAACCTCCACATTCTATACAAACTCCCTTTTGGAAGCCCCCGGATTCTTTTCCTGGGAATTCTCTGCTCTGGGCTTTCTTTCGGGATAAGGTACGCGGAGTACAAACTGACAAAAGGAACCCCCCCAGGAACCATCACCCCAGAGGGAAACCAGGTATACATGGGATTCCTCTACTCCCTGCTTGTGACAGAGCTCTGCGTATAGCTAATCGCTGCACCAGCATAATATTAGGCTAAATCAATCGGCTGGCTGCTAAAATAAATCAGGTTTTCAGATATCTAGAAAATCCCGGGTTATTCGGGTTATCCTCGCTAAAGTCCAACAAGCCCCCATAGCATGCCCTGGGGGAGGAGAGGGCCGTATACGCGCTGAAAATGTGCAATCTAGACTATCCGCCTCGAATTATCCTACAAATGCATATGTACGCATCTACCCCGAATAACCCAGAATTTTCTAGATATCTGAAAACCTGATATATCATCCCACAGAAGGAAAGAGACCTCTTCCAGAACACCTGCGCACGAATGTAATAACCCGAATAAGCCCGAATAAATCTCTGAGATCTCATGCCCCCATAACCCCAAAAGAACGAATTCCCCCGAATTTTCCAACCTTTCTCGTACCCAGGGAAACCGAAATCCCCGCTTTCCTGGGCTTTCCGTCTTAAATATAAAAATAGCAAAAATATTCCAAATAATGTACACAGCGCACAAGAGCCACGAAGAGAGGAGAGAATCCCTCCCAGCAGGAGAAGAGTTTGACAGCCTCATCAAAAGAATGCAGGCCAACGAGATAGAAGAAAAGGTGAAAATAGCCATCGCAGGAAAGTACTTCTCCGCAGGAAAGGAGGAAAACTACCTGCGCGTAATAGAAACAGTCTCTCCAAAGACCCCAGAGGAGTACGCCCTAAAGAACAACCAGGACATAACCGTCCACCTCGTGAAGTACGGAAGAACCAGAAAAATCGAGCACCTAACCGCCTCGAGAGAGCTAATGGGAAAGACTCCTATAATTCCCTCCGTAAAAACTCTTTTTTTACTTTCCACAGAAGCAGAAGAGGAGGAAATCCTCCGGGAAAGCTACAAATTAGACAGAATGTGCCCACACTCCGCCAAGTTAAAGGCTCTCTCCTTCATAAACGCAGAGAAGTACGAGGAAGCTAGCGCAGTGATCTCCCGAGTCCCCCCATCCCTCGAGAGAACCCTCCTGGAGCTGACAGTCTCCGCTAGAAGGGGAGAGGAAAAGGCGAGGGAGATCTACAAAAGACTCCTCGAGGAGGCAAAGGGAAAAATCGGATCAGATCTCCACGTAGAGTACGCGAAAAGACTTTTTGATGAGGGCCCAGGAATTGGCCCAGATCTAATCATCTCAGAAGTGCAGCAGAACCTGAAAAAATCTTCAAGTGTCGCCCTCGGAAGCGCAAAGCAACTCCTCGAGAAAACAACAAAAGCCCCAGAAGACGCAGTTCAGCACATAAATAACTCAAAAAAACTTTTCCTAGAAATCGAACTTATACGAGCAGAGGAACTCCTCAGCAAAAAAAGGTACCTAGAAGCAAGAGAACTCGCCCAAACCCTCAAGGAAAAAAAACTCCCCATGAAAGAGAGCACCTCCGAAAGACTCGCCCTCATTATGATAGTCTCTGCCCTCGGACTCGGAAAGACATGCGATCTAGACGTCCTCTGGATAGTTAATGCCCTCTCCCCGCGAGAACAGAGAAGGGGAGACGTACAACTCGCAGACTTTGTAGAACTCATAAAAGTCAGAGAAGAACAACCAGCCCTGAATAACAAAGCACTCTCCTCCGCGAAGAAGATGCTTCGCCTCGCAAAGAATACACATCTCCTCTGGAAGCCCACAGTAGACGAGGGAAAACTCCTCAACCGCATCGGAAACGTATACTTCGCACAGAAGAAAGTAGAAAAGGCGAGAGAAGCCTACGAAGAAGCCCTGAAACTCGCAGACGGTGAGACCGCAGAAAGAGTCCGTGAGAACATCCAGAAACTCGAGAGATGGACAAGAAGGAGAGATCTCTCCGTGCAGGAGTGGCCGGAAATGACCTGCCTCTTCAAAGCCCTCGGATTCGAAGGAGAATCCCCCTCCGTGAGAGAGTACGTTGTGAATACAACACACACGGAAACAACAGAGAAGGCAGCAGATATGCTCGAGGAAATAGCACACGCCCTGCAGGAAAAGAACGAGAACGGGAGAGAGACGGAGAGAATCGTAGATATCCTCGCCCTCTGCAGCCTCGTAAAGTTCAGAAAGCAGATCCTCTCCCCGGCAGAGGTCAGAGAGAGCAGCACTGCAACACTTTATAACCACATGCTTTTCTGGATCAGAAACGGAGAAGAGCTAGACCTGGGAACAGTCCAGGAGGCAGCGGAGAGATACGCGTCAAAATACTCCACAGAGTCCCAGGGAATGCTCGCAAGAGAGGCAGTTTTCCTCGCCCTGGAGTACCTCGCAAAACGAGGGAGGGAGAGACTCTTTCGGGAGGTCCTGGAAACAGTCCGGGAGAAGATCCAGGGAGACAGCGCGTGGAAGGAGGTGCAGGACATGGAGGCAGCACTCGAAGAGATGAACAGGCCTATGGAGGAGGAGCCGGAGAAGGAGCAGGAAAAAGAGAAGGAAAAAGAAAAAGAAAAAGAGAAAAGGAGCGAGCAGGAGACACAGGAGCTGCGCGTGAAGAGGGAGGAGGTCATGCGGATGCTCATGGAGACACCCCAGAAGAAGCCCGGGAAGAGGCGGAGGGAGAAGCAGGAGGAGGGCGAGAGAGCGAAGAAAAGGCGGCAGGAGATATCCAGAGAAGAGCCGAGGGATGAACCCGTGCCCGTCAGGAAGGCATCGCACACAGTCCTCACAAGCGACGAAGAGGATGCATAGGATGAAGAGGATGCATAGGATGAAGAGTCAGTAAATGTAAGAGTATGTTATTAGTATTAGTGTATTAGTAAGAGTGTATTAGTAAGAGTGTATTAGTATTAGTGTAATAGTAAGAGTGTATTAGTGTATTAGTATTAGTATTAACAGTTAAACTTAGTATTGTCTTAGTATGTGTCTTATTATTGTATTATCTATTCATCTATGACATTTGGTTTTCTCTTAATTCTTCGTTCTTAATTCTTCATCTTTAGCTATTATTCATCTATAACTATCCATTCTTAATTCCTCATCTTTAATTCTTCATCTTTAGCTATTATTCATTCTTAATTCTTCATCTTCGGGTTATTATTCATCTTTAATTCTTCATTCTTAACATTGTATTATCTATAACTATTATCTATTCTTAACATTGTATTATCTATGACAGTTGGTTTTCTTAACATTGTATTATCTATGACACTATCTTAGTAATCCCTTGGTAATTCTTCATCTTTATCAGATGCTTATTATCTTATTATCTGGAAATGCAGGGATTTAGTTTCTATTTTTTTATCCCCTGGCCTTGCACGTGGATGTACTGTATCCTATAATGAGCACTTTGGCTTGGCATACGATAATAACCCGAATTCTCTTTATTTCGTCTTTTAAAAATGTACACCCGTGCCAACGACTATCTCCCGTGCATTACAAGTGTCTGGTACATGTTGGGTCCATGGAGTAGTGGGGCTTTTTCTTCTAAATACTTCTATATTTTCACGCTGTAAAATTTTTCATGGACTTCGGAATAAGCACAGAATTGCAGAAAAAAGAGTCCGTTTCCTTCAAGGGAATGAATATTCCGATGGAAATTCTAGGGAATATCAGGTACTCCATTGCAACCCCAATACAGAGAAAAGTGATTCCAAAGTTGCTCCAGGGAGAAGACGTTATAGCAATATCCAGGACAGGAAGCGGTAAAACGTACGCATACGTCATCCCCATACTTATGCGCCTCCTCAAGGAAAGAGTGAAGAAGACCCTTTTCACAAAGGCCAGAGCCCTCGTGATTGTTCCCACGTACGAAATAGCACAGCAAGTCTCCGATACCTTCAAAGAGCTCAGCAGTAACGGAGTCCACCCCGCACTTTTCACGGGAATGGGAACATTCGCCCACTCCCTGAACTATCTCGTCGTTGGACAGTTCGAAGTCGCCATCTGCACCCCCGGAAGACTCGACAGACTCATGACGGAAATATCCGCATCCCAGCCCGGAAGACCCCTTTACGTCCGCGTGGAGGAGGAAAACGTAAAGAAGGAAGTCACCATCTCAGACGCACAAATTCTCGATAAAATAACAAACCCTGATATTGTCGTTATAGATGAGATGGACCGAATATTCGAGGATAGATCACTCGCAGAGTCTCTCGACGTAATCCTCGGGCAGATCAAAACAAGCCCACAGTACGCCCTTTTCAGTGCAACCCACCACACGGGAAATACCCACATCAGAAACATCCTCAACAGAAGGATAGAGACAGTAGAAGTCCTCGGAGGAATCACCGAACACCTGGAGGAGAGCAGACTCGTGATAAATAACCTCTTCGTGCAGGAGGGAATTAAACTCCCAGTGCTCCTCGCCCTCCTGAAGAAGCACCGCGAGAAGAAGGTCCTTGTCTTCGTGAGTACGTGCAGGAGATGCCCAGGAGTAGCAGAAGCCGTTAGAATAATCGGGAGAGTTGCTCACATTCTCAGCTCCTCAGAGTCAGAGGAGGCAAGGGCACTCTCCGTTGAGGCGTTTAAGAAGGGAAGGGATGACGTCCTTATTTCCACAGACGTAGGATGCAGGGGATTAGATATCCGAGGAGTCGACGTGATCATAGAGTTCGACTACGCCCGATGCAGAAGCACGTGCATCCACAGAGTCGGGCGCATGAATAGGGGGAAGACGGAGAGGGGCGAACTCGTCTCTTTTGTTGGGAGTCCGGATATTCCCACGTACTTGGCCTTTGTACAGCATATTTACAGCGAGAAGAGGAGAGACAGCACGAGAGGAGCAAATTTGTGCGTGGGAGAAGATAGAGGGAGTATATGCGCACAGAACAGACATAGATCGTGCATATACCTAGGACTGGGGAGAGTGCCCGTTTCCTTCTACGCGGGAGTCCAGGAGGCAGCACAGCGCGTGGATATACATCCAAGTCACGGAGAGTCGTATAAATCGTACCTGAAAACGCATCCGGTAGATACTGGAGTCGTCAGGGGAAGTCTCCACGTGGACGTGCAGGGAATTGAAGTGCACCCGGTCTTCGGAGTCAGCGATGCAGGGAGTATGATGGAGGCTGTGCGGACGTACAGAAGGACGGAGAAGGGCCCGGCTTTTAGAAGGACCGAAAGAAAAGACCTGAAGTCCTCGACCGTTAACATGGAGAAGTACCGAGACGTAAACTTTATCCCGTACGAGAATAAGCGCAGTGCAGTGTGCGAGAGCCCAGTCGTCCTGCAGGAGGTGATGGGGAAGAAGCGCACAGTCCGGAAGGACGCAGGGGAGAAGTTCGCCGCGTGGAAGAAGGAGAGCAGAGATCGCCTCAATAAGGGACACCTTCTGAAGAGGCCTGCAGCCGTGAGCGAGGAGGAAGAGACAGAGGAGAGGAAGACCAGAAAGTCAGACGGAGATACAGTCTCCGTGCGGAAGATATACGAGGCCAGGCAGAAGAAGGAGCGAGAAAGAGCCAGGATGGGATTCGGCAGGAAACACGCAGCAGGCGGAAGAGGAGCCAGAAACCCACGGGCATAAATAGCAGAAAAGCAGAAGAGAGAATAGCAGAAAAGAGAAAATATTGGCTGCTGAAAGCATATTTGCTCGTAATTGTTATTGCTTGATTCGGGTAGATCAGGAGAGAGTGATTTGGACTTTAGGGGATAAACTAAATATTGTTTATGCTCCAATAAGAAATGAAGGCTGGGAATTTCACTTAGAACTTCCCGTATTACATCTTTGGGCTTGTGGGAAGAGTCTGTTGTTCTGTGCTAACCCTCTGACGAGGATACGCTTTTTTTCCTTCTCTGCACTTATACGGAGGGAAAGGCTTGAAATAAATAGATTCGGGTTAAAAACTGTATATTTTTCATTTTAGATACACTTTTGTTGGAAAAAAGAGGAGAGTTGTAACTTTCAGGTGCTGGATTGCGATGGTTTTAGCGCGGGAAAAGAGAGCTGTGCTGGGGGCAGGCCGTGGATCCGTCGTAGAGTTTAAGAGAGAAGCTGTGCTCGCACACGGAAATACCTCGTAGCTTATGCGCATAGGAGCACAGAGAAAATACGAGAAACAGCCGAATACTCTGAGGGCTCGAATACGCTGCAGGTACACGTGTTCAGGAGCTTTAATTCTAGGCTTTAGAGGAGATTCGCCCTCTAATTGCCTTCTTTCTTTTTTCTGCGGGTGATCGCTAAGTTAGAAATTGCTCTCGCATTTGTGCTTCAGCCCTTTAAAGTATCTTCTACTCCCACGCAAAAGAGAGCACGGAGACTCTAGACACAAATTCTACGCACGCACTTTGAACAGACACGGAATCAAAGCAAAAGTGCAGGCAAATATACGCACCTGAAAAGAGGGAATATCCCTACTTCCAGAGAGTCCAATCCTTCCCCTGCTTTATACTCAGCCACAGAATATGCACCTTCTGCACGTACATATCCCATTCCGCAACGGCACCGCCTGATACTGCAGAATTCACTTCCCCAGGCGAATCTATGGCGTATGCGCACGTTTCCAGCCGAACTTTATCTTCCGACCTTCCTACCCGAATAACTCAGTCCAGAAAGAACCTCTGCACATTTTAAAAAGTTCCGGAAGAAAGTTTTATCCTTTTCCGAACAGCCAAAATAAATCTGATAACCCGAGTTATTACTGTTATAGCTGAAGCATATACTACTCGTGATTGAGCACTGTCTAGGAGACTAATAGAAGTACTCCAGAAGAGTTATGATGCAGAGATCACATATATCTAAGCAGTCGAAAAAGAATAAAGAGGTAAATTTCACTGCACTTCCAGTATTACAGCTATTACAGCTATTACAACTATTACGTTTACATCCGAGCAATCACAGCAGATACCCAGCCAGCATAAACTATTTTAATTCTGCATTTTTACAGTGCATCACAAATGCGTGTGCAGCTAATTATAGCAGAGATGCTGCTCTTTTGCCTTGCGCGTGGAAGACTCTCTCTTGACCAGCTCGAAGAACTTGAGACACTTGAGATAGAAGGGAGGGATAAAACCGTCTATGTAAACCCCCGCGGATCCCTGAACTTCCTGCACGGGTATATGCACAGGAAGAACGGACACATGCACAATGTCCGACTCTTTTCCCCCGAAGTAAAGACGAACTACTGCCTGGAGATTAGCCCGAGGAGCCAGAGCGTAAAGGACAAATTCCGGTATAAAAGAGCCCCACTGAAAGACGTTGCATACTACAAAAATAGCCAGAATGTAAGCGCTAAAACCATGCTTATGCAGTGCACGAGCATCGTTAAAATGTTTCCCTCAGAGGGTGGGGTTCTATCGATAGAGTCCAGCAACTTGGACTCTTTCACGAACTTTCTGCGCGCATTTCCCAACCAGAAATCTATATACGGACTCCTTGCAGCACTTCTTCTTCTGAGCGAGGGCGTCTCACTGAATATCAGAGTCTCTGGGGCGATTATTTCCCTGTACAAAGCAAATGGAAACCCCCTATTCCTGCTAAGTGAGATCATTGCGAGCACAACCTCACACGATACCTCCGAGGGAGAAGTTCCCTACTCCCTGACTGAAGTGGGGATAGTCGTGGACTTCTTCAAGCAGGCGCAAAAGAAGAGGGAGACCCCGAAAAGGACGAAAGAGTACGCGACAGGAGAGTTTCTAGGCACTCCCTGGTTTATCATACAGTCGTATATATACGAGTATATAGAAAGTGTAGATGCTGCAAAAGAAGTTATTCTAAGCGTCCACGAGATTCTGGCAAATATCATTGAGAATGTCCCCGACAAGAAGGAGAATAAAAAAGTGGAAATGGCAAAGTACGTATATAAAAAACTGTTTGTCTCCCTGGAGAAGATGCAGGCAGAGAAGAGTTTGCACGCGGTTAAACTTATGAAGTACTTAGTGATGAGTCCTCTCCCCTTTCCATTCTCGCACTTCAACGAACTGCCTGCATGCAGGATGATTCCGCCGCATATTCGGCATAAAAGAGGGAAGGACGCAGAATTTCGCCCTCAGTACTCGCAGTTCTTCATGAACTATGCGGAGAATGCCCTTTACACTCTCATGTGCTCTCTCCTGTACAGCCAGGAATTCGGAAAGTACTCTACGGAAAAGCTTTCAAATAACGAGGGGGCAAGAGATTTGAAGATGTTTTTCGTGCAGGAGAATCCCTCCCCCGGTGAAGTTGTGGATCTTAGCCTGCACAAGGCGTGGAATTCTGTAGTTTCCTGCCTCTCGAGCCTGAATATCAGGTATCTCCTGAGAAGCAGAAACCAGATCTGCTGTGGGCTCCTGAATATGCTTCTGGTGATAGCTGAAATCACGGGAAAGCGGAAGACCCAGGAAAACACCATTCTGGACTTCATGAAGACCCTGAAAAAAGACTCTGCACATGCCCCGTCATTCTACCTTTACCTGCAAAATTACGTGAGCTCCTTCCTCAGGACGCTTATTGTGGGGAATAACGTAGAAGTAGAGTGCGTGGGACTTACGAAGGGCATTGACCAAACAGGAGAATACGATGTTTTTGGGGAGATCCACGTGAAATACCGCGTAGACGCGAAGGAAGACACTCTCGCCATAAGAGTCGGAGCAGAAAGCACAAGCAGCGAATTCATACGGCGAGAGATTGCACTCCCAGAGAAAACGCTGAAAAGCCTCAAGAAACTCTCGCAGAAGTGCAAGAAACGAGGCACTTTCCTGGGCCTTCTCTCCTGTCAGTATGCGAAGGGAATTGGGCAAGTGTGCGACTCCGAAGTGGAAAGTACGATCGCTTCCATTGTCAAGAAAATCCTTCACGGCACAGAAAAAGACAGAATAGATACGATATTCGCCCTAAGAAAAATAGAAGGCTTAAAATACAAAAAACTTCTCGTAGACTTTTCTGTGGGATACAGCGTAAACTATTGGGGGCATGCGAGCACACATTTAGAGAATAGTGGGCTTTCACGGCTTGCTCTGAACATACTCGGAAGCACGCCTTTGGAGAATGTGCAGACGCAGAAAATGTTTTTTCCTATTTTTATATACACAGGCAGTTACTACCTTCTGCAGAGGAAGATAGATGTGCCTGTATCTGAATACAATCACTTATTTTCAGGCTGTGATCTCTTCATGGATCTGCTCATTTTTGCCTCGACAAATACTCTCTGCAACATCATTTGGCATATGGTGGACTGTTCTACACTGGAGGAGAAGCACCCGCACAGGAATATAAAAGGGCCTTTGGAGGAGCAGGAGAGCATGAGAATCATCTTTTCGACTTTGATCACTAACTCCCCGGACTGTGTCGTATACAAGCTCCCAAAAGTGAATGCGTACTGCCCGAAGGAGGAGAAGGTGCCGTACTCTCTGCTGAATCTGGCTATATTTTCCTTTGTCTGCAGGTACAGGAAAGACGACCTGAAAACCATCAATGCGATATACGACTGCATTATGTGCACTCCCAAGGAGACGCACTTTGTCCTGAGAAAGAGGTACTGCCAAGAAGGAATGCATGCACTGTCGTATATGCGCGATAATATCCAGGCTCTTCAAAAGAGAAAGCTCGCGAAAAAAAGGTTTGCTCTGCCCATTTACGTGAAGCACTTCGGGACGAGAAGAAGTGCCTATAAATACCGGAAAGTGCGGAACTTCTTTATGTTTAGAGAGGAGGGCTGCTGAATGCCGGCTTAGCATTTGCAGCTGCTTGGATCCCTGCGTTCGGCACCAATAAATCTAAATCAGCTTAATTTGAAGCGTTATTTCTATGCAAGGCCTAGTGATTTTGAAGGGAAACAGAAACTGTGCGTATTCCTTACTGGCACCTGCAGTAAGCTTTCAACAATCAACTCAACAAACAACTACAACAAACTCAGTCCAGCGAACTATCTATATCCTATTATTATCCACATGTACTTATACATACTTATACACTTATATACATATACTTATGCTTATCCACATGTACATATACTTATACATACATATAGTTTATACATATAGTTTATACATATACTACATACACATATACATTTGCACTACATATACTTGCACTTATACACATATACTTATACTTATACACTTGCACTACATATACTTACACTTATACATATAGCAAACAAGCACTCGAATATAAATAAATTCAAGGACTAAAAAACAAACTGTACGCTTTTTCATTTTAGATACGCTTTTATCCAAAGAAAGATAAAGCTCGCAGTCTCTAGCTGGCCATATACGCAGCATTAGACTACAGGAACTGAGAAATACTGAATACATCCCCTAGACACAACGTAAATGCCGACCAATGGGCTATACTCGCATACTTGAACACCTTGTAACACGAACATTTTCGGAGAGGCTATACTTTATTTTTATTCTACAGAGAATGGCCTGGCCTTTAAACTCGTCCTTCGCAGCCCGTCATTTACTGCACGGAGAACACGCAAAAAACAGAAAATCGATTAAGCACGTCAAAACATACGCGAAAACTCTTCACTGCGTTTAAGATGGCTTCTATGGCACCAGCACCAAATCCCCACCCGCCCAAGACTTTTCTCCGCGCAGAAAGATCAAGCTCCGAGTTTCCTCAAAAAGCAAATTCCCCAAAAAGCACTCTTTCACTGTTTACCATGCAAGCACATAAAACATCGTATGAAAATTTATTATTTGAGATTTTTCTTTGCAAGTACAAATAAACACTGCTGAATACTGCTGAATGGTAAAGATTGAATTTATATTTGACACGAAGAAAAAAAGAAACGAAGTGAAAGACTTCTACGAGTCACTCGGGCTTATTTCCACAGTCCAAAAGAATCTTCTAAGAATAAAAGGCTCTGAAAACACAGCCATCGTCTCTGCAGCGCAGTCTAAAATATCCCTGCGCGCAAAGAATCACCGAGAGATACTGGAAACCCACAAGGACCTCCTCCGAGACCTGGAAACCGTTCAGCTGGAAGAAGACGTGGAGATATCCTGTGCCCACAAAGAGCACCAAATCCCGTTCCGAATAAAGCTATTTGACCCCCTGGGAAATGACGTGTGCATCTCCCCAGCCCTCAGCCCGAAGACTCTGGGGATACTCACGAGCGGAGGAGATGCCCCGGGAATGAACTCCGCCATTTGGGCGATAGTGAAAGCAGCAGGAAAAAACGGCGCAAAAACTCTCGGGATACTAAACGGATTCGAAGGCCTCATAAACGACCAGGTACAAGAATTGAACGAACAGGAAGCGTACAAGCACATGCAGGAGGGAGGAACTTTCCTGCACTCCGCCCGATCGAAGAAGTTCATGACCCAGGAAGGCCTTTCCTCAGCCCTTCACACGATAGAAAAGCACAGAATAGACGCCCTCATAATCATAGGCGGAGACGGAACAATGCAAGGCGCAGGGTACCTCTCAAAAGCATCTCCAGATCTCTCCGTCGTCTTCATCCCCGGGTCAATAGATAACGACATCCCAGGAACAGAGTCCATCGGCGCAGCAACAGCCCTTCACCGAATCATAGAAGCAGTCGACTGCATAGAATCTACGATGATATCCCACAGGAGGGGATTCGTCCTGGAAGTGATGGGCAGAGACTGCGGATGGCTGGCTCTCTCCGGAGCATTCGCTACTGATGCAACGTACGTATTCCTCCCAGAGTACCCGCAGGAAAAAAGTTGGAGAAGAGACTTTACAGCAGCTCTGCAGCAGTGCACGGATAAGTGCGTATACGTTATTCTCTCAGAAGGGGCAAAACATGCAGACGGAAGAAAAGTAAGAGCAGAGGAAATATGCGAAGTTATGGAGGAGGCAGGAATAGAGAGCAGAAGTACTGTCCTCGGACACGCTCAAAGGGGAGGATCTCCGTGCGCATCCGACCGAATACTCGCCCCCTCCCTCGGAGTTGCTGCCGTGGAAGTCGCTCTAAGCAGGCGAGGAGCATACGCAGTATACACGGGAGAAACTGAGAGAGTGCTAAGCCTGGAGACGTGCATAGAAAGGTGCAGAGAAGCAGCAGATGCAATAAAACTCCCAGGAGGAGTCGTAAAAGTGCGGAGGAGAGACTTCGTGGAGATGTACGAGACTTTCCAGGCGAAGGCAAAATCCCCAGAAAAAAGAGCAGAGAAAAACAAAAACTTCGCCGTCTGCATATTCGGGGCTGTGGGAGCAGGAGCTAGCACAGTCCTGAGTAAAATGACGGAGTACGGGAGAATTCGGGGAGTCACTGTCACGGACTTCTCAAGGCATGCGTACTTCAGCAGGGCGAAGAAGGGAAAGACGAAGCGCCCAGAGGCAGATCCTGCCCTTCTCTCGGAGCTGAAGGAGGCACTTGCAGCGCAGGGAATCTCTACGCTCGTGCTTATCGGGGGACTTGATGCCCTCGCAGAGTCTCGAAGACTTTTCTCCGTTGCTGCGAGTGTGTACGTTATTCCGTGCACGGTAAGTAATAATGTCCCAGGGTCTTCTGTGAGTATAGGAGCAGATACTGCGCTGGATACGATCACTGCCCTGTGTGATAACCTGAAAATGGGCTCATCCAGGAATACTGCGTATATAGTAGAAGTCCACGGGGGAGCCTGCGGGTACCTGAGCGTATCCTCTGCGCTTGCTGTGGGGGCTATTGACTGCTACTTTCCGGAGGAGACGGGAGTCCTTTCTCGTCTGACGCGCTCTCTCAGGGCACTTTGCAGTGTTTTCAAAGTCCCGGGTCCTCCGCAGTTGATCATGCGAGGGAATGGGGCGATGAAGGGAGTGTGTAATGACACGGCTGCGAAGGTGCTGGAATTGGACGGGAGTGGGACGTACTCCGTTCGACAGTGCACGCTGGGACACGTGCAGAAGGGGAATAAGCCAACGGCTGTGGATCGAGTGCGGGCTGCACGGACTGCGCTTTTCGTCTTCAGTGCACCCCCCGGGAGGAAAGTCCTGGGAGTGAATCGATGGTCTCCGACAGTGACGGAGATAGACTCTGCGATTCTGGAGGTGAACGAGGACAAGAGGCGAGTGAAAAGGGCGTCCTGGCTGGAGATGGCTCGTACGTATCGGGTGCTGAACTAGTTATTCATTTAGGGAATAAAGAGATATACGTTAATGCTAGGTTGTTTAGGGAATAAAGAGATATACGTTAATACTAGGATGTTGTATAGGTTATTTAGGGAATGTTGTATAGATGTATAGTTAATACTAGGTTTTGTTCCGGGATGCATAGTTAATACTAGGTTGTTTAAGGATGCATAGTTAATACTAGGTTTTGTTTAAGGAATGTTGTATGGATGCATAGTTAAAGAAGGAGTTAATAGTTGAGTAATAGTTGACTAATTATATATGAGTATTGAGTAATACCAACTAACACTGACTAATAGTTGAGTAATGCTGCCTATTTATTCTATATATGTGGGTATTTACTATTTGTTCTATATATTCGGGTATTTGCTATTTGTTGTGTGGGTATTGGCTAATTTTATATTTAATTCGGGGCAGTCCCGCCAATAGTTGCCGCCTATTTTTTAATATTTAATTGGAATATTTTTTTACAGCATGGCCAAGGAGTCTATTGCAGTAAATAGTAGAAGAAAAGTGAAGAAAATACGCGGCGAAAACGAGCCGAAAAAGCCTACTACTGAGTACTTTATGTTTTTACGGGACGAAAGAAAAAACCTGCAGGCAGGCCTATCTGTGAAGGAGCAGACCAAGATACTGAGCAAGCTTTGGGCTGAGCTGGATCCCTCCACCAAAAAGAAGTACTCCGAGGAGTATGCAAGCTCCTTCGAGAAGTACAAGGCTGAGCTGGAGGAGTACAAGAAGACTGCGGAGTATCAGGAGGTCCTGAAGCAGAACCAGGAGCAGAAGCTGTCCGGGGAGAAGAAGGGGAAGAAGGCGCAGGTGACCCGAAAGCCGTCTGGGTACAATCTTTTCGTGAAGGAGGAGCGAGCCCGCATGGCTGAGGAAAGGGGGAGTGCAGCAGCGCTTTCTTTCAAGGAGATTTCGCAGATGATCTCGAAGAAGTGGCAGTCGCTGGAGGCGGGCGAGAAGGAGGCGTACAAGGCGAAGGCTGCGAGCGAGGAGGGCGAGAAGGCGCTGGAGAACGTCGAGCCGCAATGAATGAAAAAATGATCCTACAGGGACTCGAACCCCGACTCTTCGGTTCCGTAGACCGACGCCTTAACCATTAGGCCATAGGACCCCTTTAGCATTAAATAAATATTTCGTTACTCCAGACCCAGACCCCTGCACAAGAGGAAAGAGTGGAAGGGCGCAGTCTCCAGGGACTGAGCGTGGAAGCAGAAGTTTTGTTTGTTCGGATACTTGCGTACGGAATAGTTCGCTTTCTAGTTGTTTATGCAACTAATAGAAAGCAGCAGTTAGTAACTGCACTTCTGTTAAGAATAACGGCGTGACTGGAAGCATATTTGCTCGTATTGATTGCTGTTTAATTCGAATAATAGCCTGAAATAGCCTAGTTTATCCAGGAGAGAATTGTTTTAGTCTATATAAACACTCCAATAAAAAAAGGCCTGCATTTCACTAGCACTTCCCGAAGAATTGCAACTAATAGAAAGAAGCAGTTACTAACTACTAACTGCACTTCTGTTAAGAATAACGGGGTAACTAAGCATATTTGCTCGTATTTGTGCTTATGTTCCTGATGCTAAGGGATGTAGTGGGCTGTTTATAGGCTTAAGAAGAGGCGGAATAAAGAGTGCTTTTTCCCATAGTCCAGGAGAGTCAGAATTCGCCCGAACTCTCCCGTATAAATATAAAACTTTTCTGCTCTTTTATTTATGGGAGTTCCCTCACTGTTCAGATGGATAGCAAAAAGGTACCCGAAGTCAATATATCCGGCAACAGGCCAGGAAATAGACAATCTCTACTTGGACCTCAACGGGATCATACATCCGTGCTGCCACCCCAGGAATAAGCCTGCTCCCCCAACAGAGGAGGCAATGTTCCGGGAAATATACAGGACGATAGACCATCTCGTCGCAATATCCCGTCCGAAGCAGCTCCTGTACATAGCCGTGGACGGAGTAGCCCCCCGAGCAAAGATGAACCAGCAGCGAGAGAGAAGGTTCAAGCCCAAGGAAGACGCTGAAAACTGCGGGGATTTTGACCCGAATGTGATCACTCCCGGGACTCCCTTCATGCAGAGACTCCACAAGAGCCTTCAGGAGTACGTGGAGAGCAGAATGTCCGAGGGCAGAAACGGGTGGAAGAGTCTCGCAGTGATATACAGTGGATGCGATGTCCCCGGGGAGGGCGAGCATAAAGTGTACGACTTCATACGGACGATAAAGGGAACGGGAGTACGTCATGCGATATGCGGACTGGATGCGGATCTGATATTCCTCAGCCTGGCAACTCACGAGAAGTCCTTCCGAATCCTGCGAGAAGACGTTTTCTTCCTCGAGCGAGAGGAAAGATCTTCCTGTAAGAACTGCAGGAAGGAGGGACACAGTACAGGAAATTGCGAGATGCAGAATCCCCCGTATATATACTTAGACGTAGATATGATCCGGAGGTACTTGTACAGCGACTTCAGCAGGGCAGTGAATGCCCGCTTTGACTTTAACCGCCTGCTGGACGACTGGATTTTCCTTTGCTTCTTCGTGGGGAATGACTTTCTCCCGTCTATCCCTTCAATGGACATAAAAGTCTCTGCGATCGAGACACTCACGAACTCATACATAGAAAATGTAATTACGCGCAGAGAGTACATCACAGACGAGTGCAGGATAAATATTCCGGAGCTGGAGGTGCTGATGAATACGCTTGCAGAGTGCGAGGATAAACTCCTCAGGGCAAAACTCGCAGGGTACCTGAAAAATGCGAAGAGAAGGGGAGAAGTCCCGCGGGAGGAGGATACCCGCATAAAACTGTACGAGAAAAAGGGAAGGGCTGAGTACTACGCAGAGAAACTGCACGCACGTACTCCAGAGGAAATTCAGAGTGTTTGCTTCGAGTACGTCCGTGGACTCGCGTGGATCCTGCAGTACTATCACTCAGGAGTTCCCTCTTGGGACTGGTTCTACCCGTATCACTTCGCCCCCCTCGCAGGAGATGTCTCACAGGCCCTGAAGAGTCTGCGGAGTGAGTACAGCGCATTCGAGAAGGGGATGGCGAGAAGTCCCTTGGAGCAGGTGATGGCAATTCTCCCCCCGAGCTCATCCGCGTGCATTCCGAAGGGGCTGCACAGGATTTTTGAGGAGCTGAAGGAGAACTACCCGGAGACAGTGCGGATAGATATGTTTGGGAAGACGCAGGCGTGGCAGGGAGTAGCTGTAATGCCCTTCTTCGACTGCGATAGTTTGGTCGACCGTGTTCGCAGATACAGCGGAGACCTTACGGTGGAGGAGATAGAGAGAAATGTCCTGGGGGAGAATATTATATTTCTTCCGGAGGGGAATAAGAACTACTCCCTCCTGGAGAGTGTGTACGTGAACTTCTCAAAGGCCTCGGGAATGAAGATACAGGGGAAGTTCTACTCCGGAAGAGCAACGACATTCTCAAAGGGGAGAATGCCCGGGGAGAAGGGGGTTCTGCAGGAGGAGAAGAGGAATTACACGGTCAAGTCACTCTCAGCCGTATTTACTTCGATGCGAAAGGTGGCCCAGTAGGAGCAGTGCAGTTACTAAAGATCTATTGACTATCAGAGCGCGTACACTTTACTTCTTTATTCGGGTTGTTCCTTCAACGGGTTTAATGGGTTACACTTTTATTGGGTTACACGTTTATTGGATTAACATTGGGTTGATTCTTCAGTGGGTTATTGTTTTAATTCTTTGTTTTTTCAGTAGATTATTGTTTTAATAGTTTAATTCTTTGTTTTTTCAGTAGGTTTAATGGTTTAATTCTTTGTTTTTTCAGTGGAATATTGTTTTTTCAGTGGGTTAATGTTTTTTCAGTGGTTTAATGGTTTAATTCTTTGTTTTTTCAGTGGTTTAATGGGTTAATTCTTTGTTTTTTCAGTGGTTCACACTTTTATGGTTAAATTTAATGCTTCACTTCATCAACACTTTATTTCCTTAATGCTTCAAACGTCTTCAACACTTAAATTCAACACTTTAATTCAACACTTCAACAATGCATCAACACGTTAATTATTTACTTCTTAATTATTTACTTTTCAGTGCTAAACTCCTGAATGCTTCTGCTATTTTCTCCACGGACTGCTCTCGTCCTGACAGGATCTTGTCCATAGCCCGGACTATTTGCTCTCCTGCCTCTTCCGGGGAAGTGTCCACCTCCCAGTGCCTGAGAATAGCTGTTTTCACCTCGTCCCAAACGGACTTCTCCGCAGAAACCCACTCTGACCCCCTTCTTCGCACGGAAAGAGCCTTCACGTACCCGAGAAAGGCTGCAAGGCGGTCAGCGTGCGGGCGAAGAGCATCCTCCGTGAAGGCCCGTGCCTCCTCAATCTCCCTCTCGCGGAGAAGGCGAATCTCCCCCTTTTCTATCGCATCCTCTCGCTGGAGGGAGTCTCTCTCCATTATATCCATCTCCGTGTCGCTGCTTCCCCATACTGTGCAATCCATAAAAAAATACCAGCAAATTCCGCACTTTTTTTCTGCTCCCATGCGATAATCAGCACAGCCTGAACACAATAATAACTCACTCCTTCAGTTTATTTAAGAATCCTCTCTATTCTCTCGGGGGAAATGCCTGATTTCTCGAGTATTTCCACCACCCGGAAGTCCTCGGCTGTTTGCACGGAGACATCCTCCGTCCCACTCCCGTTCTTTATGAGGCTGGACCCGCATGCGATCGTCTTAGAGCACTTCTTGGAAAATTCCTTCACCCTCGCAGGAGTCATGAATACGTGAAGATTCCTAACGAGAGTCACCTTCTTGTTTCCTGAGACTCTTTTCGTGCTCACAATGACTTTAGTCTCTCCCTTCGCAGGGGCTTCCTTCTTTTCTCCGTTGCAGGCGGGAGAGTATTCGCAGTACTCTGGGGGGAATCCACACTTCTCGCAGTATATTTGCTCCTCCATCGTAAATTTTTTCCCGAATGTCCCCAGAAAATAGCGAAGAAAAGGCTGCGATATTCCACCTGGACGAAGTGCAGAGCAACTTCTACAAGCTCCTGACGCTTTTCTACAGTGGGATTGGGATCATACAGAGAGATGCCCCCGCCCGTAACGAGAGAGAAAATCCAGATGCTCTCCTGCGCCTGGAGAACAACATAAAGGAGATAATAGGGCAGTTCATAACGACGAAGGAGAAGCTGAAAGTTCGGATTGAGGAAATAGAGGGCCGGACAGAAGAATTCAGCCAGTTGGGTGCTTTAATAGAGGAAACCCGGGAGTTGGACGAAGTGCTCCTCGAGAAAGTCGCCCTTCTGGAGGCAGAACTTCCCCTCCTAAAGGAAGAGGTAAACCGCCTGGCAGATGAAGTATGCAGAATGTAGAGAGAATTCCAACGGAAGATGAATCTTTGAATATAGTAAGTGTCTAAACAGAGTAAGTGTTTGAAATAGTTTACTGAATGAATGAAATACTTTACTGAATGAAATAGTTTACTGAATGCTTTACTGAATACTTACTGAAAAGTGAATGAATAATCAGATGAGAAAGTGTTTGAATAGTTTACTGATGAATGAATGAATGAAATACTTTACTGAATACTTTACTGATGAATAAATAAAATACTTTACTGAATGTTTGAATATACTTATACTTTTCTATTCTTTAAATGTTTGAATAACACGAATCCTCTCGACTGAGAAAGTCTTTGAATATACTTATACTCAACTACTTATAACTACTAACGGCTTTATTTCCCTGTCCTTTTGTCGGTACTTCTACTTCCGCTCGAGGGCATATCCAGAGAAGCCTCTACACTCGATAGGTCTTCCAGGTTTCTCTGGACTCTGCTTTGGAGGTCGTTTGCTATTTGCCTGCTTGTGAGCTCACCTGATAGTTCCCCCAGCCTGGAAGAAGTTCTCCTCCTTTCCTCCTCCTCGATAAATCTTTGCACTGAAGAAATTGCGAGTTCCACTTCAAGTTCTTCTCTTCTTTGCTCTATCCTCTGCCGGATGTCAGATGGAAGGAAGGAGTAAGTTGGAAGGGGATAACTTTCTGCAGAGAGAAGACTCGTAGCAGGAGAGCTCTCGGGAACACTTCTCGGGGAAGTAAATCGGCTGAAATTCCGATTCTGAGCCCTTCTCACACTATTCCTTCGCTCAAACGCTATTTCTTCTTCCTGGAGCCTCCTTCTCTCCTCCCGGGCTTCCCTCTCCCTTCGCTCTCTCTCCGCTCTCTCGGCTTCTCTTTCGGTGCTGTTTCTTCTCTCCAGGAGAATTGCCTGCTCTCTCTGGTGTCGAACTCGCTCCCTTTCAGCTCTTTCTCTTTCAAGTCTCTCTCTTTCAAGTCTTTCAGCTCTTTCAAGTCTTTCAGCTCTTTCTCTTTGAATTCTCTCCTGTTCAAGTCTTTGAAGTCTTTTCCTCTCTCTTTCAGCTCTCTCCCTTTCAAGTCTTTGAAGTCTCTCTGTTTCAGCTCTTTCTCTTTCAGTTCTCTCTTGTTCAGCTCTTTCCCTTTGAATTCTTTCTGTTTCCAGACTCACAGGTCCTCCCCTCTCTAGAATTCTTCCTATTTCAGTTATTTCTCTTTCTAGACTTTCTCTTTCAGCTCTTTCGCTCTCTAGAAGTCTTTCTATTTCAGCTCTCTCCACTTCCAGAGTCACAGCGCTCTCCTGTTCAAGTCTTTGAAGTCTCGCCTGTCTTTCTTTTTCGAGTCTTCCCAGTCTCTCCTGCTCAGCCTGAACTATCTCCGGCCTTTCCTCGTCCGTCCTGGAGCTGTTTGCTGCTGCCTGCTGTCGTGCCCTTCTCTCTTGCTCTAAACTCGCAAGAAATTGCGTCCCGAACTCGTCTTCTCTCCTCGGGATATTTTCTCCTTCTCTTCCCCCATCGTCAGTGATCGCTGAAGAGTCTCGACTGATGCAGCTGCAGATGCTCCACTCTACGCTCACTCTCCCCTGCAAAGTCACAGGAACCTCCAGATCCCCAATAAACTCCCGCTGAGATACTCTCCTCTTCTCGTGCTCCTTCTGACACTTCGAATCCCCGCACGTTACCTTCACTGCGACACTCCCAGCCTCGAAGGAGAACAGTTCCAGCCACTCCACCAAAGAAGAGAGCGAACTCTCCAGAGTGTGATGATCTACTTCCCCGAATACTTCCACTAAATCAGCACGAACTTTTGCTCTTTCCTCCAAACTACTTCTCCACCTTCTCCAGTGACTTTGCTGATTGACTATCCTCGAGAGAGAGGGAAGATTCACTCGAAGAGTCCCTGTATCCACGCAGTATCCCTCGTATTTCTGCAGTGCAACCTTCTCAAAGAGCCACGAGTCCAGGGTAAGCGCATCTCTCGCCTGCTTGGAGATCTTCCGCAGGAATCCGTACTCCTCACTGGAGATGTACGGGACTTCTTCCACGTGGAGTTTTGCTAGAGAGGGATCTGCAAGTGCTCGAGAGTGCAGTGTTTGGAGCTGAGTCAGATTCTGGAGGGTTATAGAGTGAATCTTAGCCTCTGGAAGGAGCTTATCCAGGAAGTGCATACTCTTCGTATCTGTGCTCCTGAGGAAGAGATTCTCTGCACTCACAGGAGCCCACTTTGAGAGGACTCTCTCCACGTCAGACTGTGACATCTCAAATACGTCGAGAGACTTCGTATAAGTGTCGATCTTCCTGGGGATAGAAGCTTCCTGTGGGTCTGGGTGCAGGGATATATTCTCTAAAGAGACACTCTCCGCCCGTATTTGGGAGAGAAGGAAAATGAGCTTCTCCAGGCGTACTTTGGAGGGGTACTTGGGCCGAATACGGACTGTACTGTTTCCAATAGGGTACTTTTTCAGCGTATTTTGGAGGGTTATTCCCATGGGATGAGACGGATCTATCGTCAGGGGGGTAGTTGGACTCCCAAATATCACGCAGTTATTGTGGGGGTTCAGCATCAATGAAAGTTCTGGGTCATCTGCGCGTGTTTTACTGTGGATAAGCAGACTCTTCAACTCGTTCAGGTCTACTGCATCTCTCCTGGGGCCATTGTTGGAGAGAATACTCCCGCATGAAATGAGACAAAGTGCGAGTATCCATGCTTTTGTCCTCTTATTTGCCTGCATGGAGTCAAAAACTCTCGTGCTTATATGCTTTCGTCCTATTGGAATTGCAATACTCTGAATTCAGACATTGTTCAGAGGAGTATAAGTAGAATACTTTACCCAAAGGAGTAAGTTAGAGCATAGTCTGTTTAAGCAGGCCAATAGAAAAGAGTGCACTTCCAGTATTACAACAGTATAACAGAATAACAGTATAACAGTATAACAGTATAACAGAATAACAGAATTATAGCTGAATGAGTGAAATATATCTCTAATTGAATAACTGAATAACTGAATAACTGAATAATAACTGAATAGTATCTCTAACTGAATAACTGTATATCTGAATAATAACTGTATATCTGAATAATAACTGTATATCTGAACAATAACTGAATAACTGAACCATATCTCTAATTGAATAACTGAATGTCTCTAACTGAACCATATCTCTAACTGTATATCTCTAACTGTATTTCGCACCTGAAGCACTACAACAACACTACAACCTGAATCCTACACAAAGTATCATTTATTAACATCACATTCCTACACTAGAAAAACATAAACCCAAGCGATCCCCTCTCTCCTGCTCTTCTCTCGCCCTCTTCTCTGTCCGCCTCTCTCTCCTCACTCCGCGCCTTCTCCTCAGCCTCCTGCTTCATCCTGATCTTATTGCACGTCTGCACCATCCTGCTGATGAGCTCGTGCTTCTTCCCCGTGTATGCGAGCCCGAACTCCTTCATGATACTCTTCAGCTGCTGGACTGTGAGGGAGTCGTAGTCGATTCCCCGGATCCTATCCAGGAAGTTACTGCTGATCTTCCTAAACTCCATCCTCTGTGCAGGCCCGTCAAAACTCGTTGTAGCGTTCAGGTACAGCGGCAGTATCGAATTTATCGTGCTCTTCTCCTGGGGAACTTCCAGGCTCTTCATCACTCCCAGGCACAGCTTCTGCTTCTTTCCCTCCCTCTTCCCGTATACGTCCGCGGGGGAGTATCTCTCCTTCTGCGAGGGAATGTAGTTCCACGGGGCGCTGTACGGGCGCCTTTTCTTCTTGGAGTACCACGTATCTATATGACTCGTCTCCTCCATCCCCTCGGGATATCGTGGATGCTCTACGCTGTGCCCGTTAAAGGTGTACAGCTTTCTCTCCTCGAGGATGCTATGCAGGTCGTCCGAGAGGGAGAGAGAAAGATCTACCTGCAGATCTGACTCATCACTGCCCACCTCATCGAGGGCGAATATCCTGTTCGTGTTTCTGTAGATGTTCTTGCTTGAGTCGGGACTTCCCATACACTTTTCAGTGTCCTTCTATTAATGCCCGCTATAAAACCGCAGTTTCACGCTAAAACACTGTTTTAAGTCCGCTGGGTTTACTACACGCGGAAGAACATATTTGAGCCCTTTATGATCTGCTCTATTCTGCTGCCTTCCTGCACGCTGGGATCCTCCTGTGCGGATACTTCCCTGTTCTGGAGGAATTTGCACGCTTCCTCCCCAACGGAAAAGTGGGTTTCAGGGAGGGAGGAAAGCGCCTCCTTCATCTGGGGGATGTCTCCAAGGACACTGGCCTTCCACAGCCGATCAATTGCTCCTACAACGGGAAAAGAGCCCTTCTCCAGAAACTCTGCAATTTCCGCCCTGTTCAGGGAGTACCTTCTAGCATCTCCCTTCGCGAGCAAATAGAGGAGGAAGTACCCGAGGACGGAATCTGTGTGCTCAGTTACACTTCCCCCCGTGAGAAGTCCTATCTTGTACTTCTGGAGGGATTCTGAGAACTCTCCCTCCCCCTTTTTTATGCTTGTGAGACACGTCTTCTCTACTTCTTCCATGCACATGCAAACAACAGAATTTTCAGAAATTTATACGGAGAAATTTCATTTTATTTTATTTCTGCTTAAATTTTATAGCCCTGTTATAATGAGAGACTGCATAGAGAAAGGAAGAGTAGTAGAGTTCAAGTGCAAAAGAAAGGCAACCCAAATCGGGGTTATAGTGGACTTTGTGACCCAAAACTGCTTTGTAGTGCAAATAGTGTGTGCTAAGACGGGGAAAGCCCTCGAAAGAGAGAAAATAACGAAGAAGCACATTCTTCTGACAGAGAACGTAATTGCGTACGAAGACTCCGAGGAGGAGAGAGGGCCTGCTTTTATTGCCTCGATTGAAGCCAACATAAAAGACGCTGTTTTGCAGAAGCAGAAGTCGCAGGAGTACGTAAAAACAGTCGAGTCCGAGCAGAGGAGGGAGATGAACGACTTCGAGAGATTCATGAAGGAGCAGGAAGACCTTGCGAGGGAGAAGATACTCATTGCCCACGGATTCTAATAAATAGCACGAATTGAGATAGTCAGGATATTTGGGGAGATGAGATAGAGTTTACTCGTCCTCGTATTTGCCCGTTATGCGGATAGCCCGGGAAACGGGAAGTTTTCCCTGGCTTTTCAGGTTCTCTTTCAGGAGCTCAATGGGAACGGTTGGATTTCCTTTTATGGCCTGCTCTTCTGCGGGGGTGATCTCGCTCGGGCTGTCGGAGGAGGGGAGAAGAACTTTCCCGCTTGCAAGGACTTTTATCTCGCTGTAAAGGTAGTACTCGTTGTGGAGGATCAGCTCTTTTATGTTCGGCTTGTCCTTTAGGAGGTCGAGTATCTCCTCTTTGCTGTGGGATATGCATATGTTTATGCGGGAGTTGTCGTATATTGGGTTGAATGTTATTTCAGGACTGTGCAGGTCGTAGAGTTCTCTTATGATGCCTTCGTCCTCTAGGGTTACTATGTTCAGTGGGATCTTATCCTGCAGGAGCTTCCGAATCGTTTCAACTTCTTTCTTCATCCACAGAAAATTATTTGCGCTTTTATTAAGGCAAAAGTAGCTAGAAAAAATGGATATTACAGAGAAATAACTAGAAAAAATGGATATTAGAGGGAAATAGTTAGAGAATGACTAGACAAAAGCTAGAGGGAAATAACTAGACAAAAGTTAGAGAGAAATAGTTAGAAATAGTTAGAGAAACAGTTAGAAATAATACTAGAGAAATAGTTAGACAAAAGTAGTTAGAGGGAAACAACTAGACAAAAGTAGTTAGAGAGAAACAGTTAGAAATAGTTAGAGAGAAATAATAGTTAGAGAATGACTAGAAAAAATGGATATTAGAGAGAAATAACTAGAAATAATAGTTAGAGGGAAATAGTTAGAAATAATACTAGTTAGCAATAATACTAGAGAAACAACTAGAAACAACTAGAAATAACTACTAGAACTAGTTAGAGAAACAACTAGAATAGAACTAGTTAGATTTATTGAATAATTTCCTGTGCACACAGCTGTTTCCAGCATGAACAACTAGAAATAGTTAGAGAAACAATACACTAGACATAAATAATACTAGACAAAAACACATAGAGAAATAATACGAGAGAAAGAGCCAACGAAACTTTCTGTTCCGAATGCGGAGAAGGAGCGCCTTTTCCTTGGGATGTCCCGTGTGGATAGTCAGCACGTCTTTATTGCTTGCGTCTGGATATTAGCAGAGGAGCTGCACGGCCAGGCACTAACTTCCCTCCTCTGGGGAGTCTGCGTCCGAGAAGAGGGCATCGACTATATTTATAACTACTATGGAGAAGAGCGTGAAAATAGCTATGAGTATCAGCACCTCCACCACGCTAACGAGCAAGTGCCTCCTTGCACTGAAAAGTCCGGGCATACTCTCTGTTTCTGCTCGCTCCGGGTGTATCACAAAATGAAACTGTCAGAAAACATTTTCAAACAGCCAGTCACACCACAAGAACTGTTTTTTTCAGGTTCTCCAGAAGAAGAGAAAAAAGATCAAATTTCATCAGGTATTTTGATCTCCCCAAAATTTTCAGGGTCTTCCTGGAGCGAGTCAGTGCGACGTTAAGGCGCTCCCTCGAGAGAAGAATCTCCTCGTGCGGATCTCCCTCCAGGAAGACGTCCAGAACCAGGAAAATATGCGCAGATTCACTCCCCTGGAACCGATCCACCGTCTCTGCATCTCTCCCCAGGGACTTCACTCTCCGAACCTGCTCGTTAAAGTAGCAGAGAATCTGGACATCACTCCCCAGGGCCCGAATCACCTCCGATATCCTCCCCCTCCCAGCTCCACTTGCATCGAGGAAGAGAACAGATCCCTCCTCCTCCCTCCGGCACTTCATCTCCCCCGAATAAAACATCGCATTGCTAAGCTCCATAATGCACGCGGGCATTCTGTACTGCATCGTAAGGGGATTTAGCGGGGACTTAGCCCGCAGAATGTCGAAAAGACTCACCTCCAGGCAGGGAGTCCGAGCAAGAGGTCGCAGCTGCAGGTGATCCCCCACCAAAACCGCAGACTCCGAGATCAGGCACGGAATAACCGAGCACAGAAAGTTCTGCTGCGTGGCTTCATCTGCAATGTACGTGCTGAAAGTGCGTCCGTCAAATATAGGATCGCTGAACAGGGCCCGAGTCGTCGAAAGAACTACGTTGTACCCACTGAAAAGATCTTCCTCTTTTTCCTCTTTTTCTTCCCCCTTTTCTTCTTTTGCTTTTTTTTTAAATGCGAAATTCTCTACTTTTGTTCTTCCTGTCCTGTATACGCGGACTCTCTCGTCGGAGGAAATTCTTTTTTCTATATTTGTCAGGGCATTGTGCGTGTGGCAGCAAACGAGAATTTTTTTCTTTTGGCTCGCAAGTATCCGAATAAGCAGAGAAATAACCGTTGTCTTTCCTGTTCCTGGCATTCCATGGATGAGCGTATACGGGGAGTTGCGGAGGGCACTGAACATGGCCTTCTGCTGGTCCGTGTTCATCCGGAGGAACTCCCCCGTGAACTCCCCGGGGATATTTGCAGGGCCCTGTGTTGGCGTGTGCATCCACATACTCTTCACCTTCTCCGAGGAGAAAAGATGAAGGAGAGAAGTCCTGTACTCTGCGAACATTTTCAGGTTCGGATCCTTAGAAATAAAAACTCTTCCGTTGTGTTTGTAGATAAGTCTCTCTCTCAGGTGAACTTCTATCGAGCCATTGCTTATCGCTGTGATTACACCCTTCCCGAAGGCGCATGCATCTCTGTCGTATATCACCAGGAAGTCATTGCAGAAAAGCCCCGTTGCAAACTCTTCTTTCACGTGGATCTTCATGTGGTTATTATCCCACGTCTCTACAACTGCGAGGATCAGGCTCTCCTGTGAGAGGTCCTCCTCCTCCTGGATCTGCCCCCAGATGTACCCGAATACGCTGAGATCCGTAAACTCCGCATTCCTCAGGGCCTTCATTGGGGCATCTCCCTCGGTCGAGGAGAGACGGAGTGAGTCCTCTATCTCCGCGGTGACTTTGCAGGTTTCATTTAAGTTGCAGATCTCGCAGTGGGATATCTCCTTCCTGGGGGGCATTCTCGTCTCCCGAACCATTCTGTTCCTCCTGCACAGGATGTGGATGACTTCACTGTGCTTCAGCTCTACCTCCTTCAGGGCGTTTGTCTTCATGTGGAAGAGCTTCTGCGAGACGTATCCGCTCTGCTCCTTCTGCAGTAACCCGTACAGAATGACCTGCGCAATATTTTCGATGTACAGGTTTTTTCCTGTTTTTACCTCTATCTCCGTCCGGATGGAGCTATTCACGAGGACGATATCTGGCTTCCCCTTCATTTGCAGGAGCTGACTGTGGACAGTTTTGCTCTCCTCCGACCTCTCGTAGGAAAGCGTGCGGATGAACTCCCGGAGAGCCCCGAAGTACGTGAATATCTCCGAGAAAGTGCTTTCTGCAGACTCATTTACGCGGTGCAACTGCAAAATGTACCTGCAGATGATGCTTTTAAGCTCAGAGGCAACTGCCATGACAGAAGTATTCCTGTTCTTCACGAGGATGTCGATCCACTCGTGTATGATGACCCCGAATATAAGGGGCTTACTCACTGCCCTGTTAAACTGCACTGTTTTCTCCATTAGCATAGCTTTTCTAACGCACTCCAGGGACTCGATTATGTTCGTTGCTACAAGGGACTTCTTCGAGTGGACTATCATGTAGTTCTTCTCGTTGCTGATCTCGCTCAAGTCCGAGGCGTCTGAGGGGCAGCAGAGACACGGGATCACGCTGACAGTATTCCCTATGCGGGGAGATCCCTGTCGCCAGTCCCCGAAAATGTGCAGGATTTCCCCGTTCTCCCCCGTTACTCTGTCGTACTTCGCAGTTTTGCTGAGGGAGAGAACTTTAAACGTTCTCACATGCGGGATCTTTGGCTCTATGAAGGACTCGCTGCTGGACGGACTATCAGGCATCTTTGCCCCCTCCCAGAACGTAAAGTCGTGCGGATTGTCCTTCACGGGGACCTTCATCCTGTCGACCTTTTTGTGCTTTTTGGTCTCCCACCCGATGCTCATAATATTTTTTTAGTTTTCAGAATAAATGATGCTGCACTTACAGAGAGTCTTGGAGTGCGTTCTTAAGGAGGCAGATGGAGAAGAGTACGACAGAAAGTACGTTTACAGCAGACTCGATGCAATCCCGTGGGATGAGAGGCCGAAAATCCTCGAGGAAATTTGCGAAGTTCTGAAAACGTGTGTGCTAAAGAGCAGGCTCTCCCTGTGCGAAGCGTACTTCCACTGGAAAAAGGCGACTAAATCCCTGGAAAGTCTCTTTTCTGCGCTAAATATCCAGCCGGGAAGAAGAAGAAGGGTGCAGAATATGCCGCTTAGAAGGGCCTTCCGCCAGGGCATCCTCGGACTAGCTAGTGCCCGGAGGGGGGAAGAAGTCTCGAAAGTCGTGGAGAGTGTCGTATCCTTCATACGGGGATCGGAGGAGGCAGAAAAGTCCGTGGGAAAGAAGACCCTCGGAGTGCAGATGCGGCTTCTTGCAGGGATCTGCGAGGGTGCGAGGACTGAGGCTGAGATTGTTCGGGTGTACGCTGAAGCTGCGAGGGCTTTTGTCTCCCGCGCGGAAAACCTGAAACTTCACGGGGAGCCCAGAAAAAAAATAACGGAATTTTTGGAGGAGGCTCCTGGCGTGGGAAGGAGACCGCGGGGACTCTCTGCGCGGATGAAAGCAGAAATTAGGAGGGAAACCAGCAGGATTATAACGGGATCTTCTCTCGTGGCGTGGGATGAGTTCCTGGGGCTTCTTGCAGGGGGAGATGTTTTGGCCGTTTCTTCCGTTTTTTCCTCGGGAGTTGCCAGGGACGGAGTTTCCCGGGGGAATCTCGTGGGGGTTTTCGGGGAGGCTGTGCGGAGGTGCGCAGAGTCTGGGGAGGGAGGTCCTTACGAGGGACTTATGCGCATCTGCAGGATGCCCTGGCCTGAAAAAATGAAGAAAACCGTTAGAAAGATCGTAAAAAATCAGGTAAAAGATTTAGTGCGAGTAAAACCTGTGGAGTACTCGGGGTTCCTGGTGAGGAAGATGCAGAGCCTCATGCGGGATAGAGACGCCCACCCGAAGATCCGACAGGAGAGACCTTTTCTCAGGATCATCGCAGAGGAGGCTTCAAGCACGAACTACTTCGAGAATTCTCTTGTCTTTATGCTCGTGAATGAACTCCTTTACGGAGCATCCCTGAAAAGAGCCAGAAATGTCTTCTCAGCAGTCAGAGGGACCTGGAAGTACCCCCTCAGAAGGCGAATAGAGGGCCTCCTAAACGACTTTGCAGAGGCTGAGAAAGTCAACGGGGGAAAAGTCTCCCTCATACACGCGAACAGCTTCCGATGGCCCTCCCCCCTCCAAAGGCTCGACTTAGACGTGCCCGAAATAGCAAAGGCAAAGAGAAAAATTTTGAGCGACAGAAAAAGAAAAAAAGTAAAAATAGAGTGGATGGACAGCCTCTCAGTCGTGGAAATCCGCATAAACTCAGGAAAGGCAGTTCTCTCCCTCCTGCAGTACTGGATAATCCAAAAAATTCTTGAGAATTCTGAGATAGAACTTTCGGAGGTGGAGAGTAAAATGAAGATGTGCTGGCCCCATATACGCCCCCTTGTAGATGGAGGGATTCTCGCCTTCTCTGAGAGCACACAGAAACTGACGCCCGGAGAAAACTTCAATAGAGAAAGCGAATGGGAGAATCTCCTCCCAGAATACGATCTATCCAGCAGGGAGGAGGCTCCGAGTAGTGCTAGACTCCTTGGGAACCTGGCACTGGACAGTGCTATATCGAAGTCCCTGAAGAGGAATTCTCCGCAGTACCTGAGCGAATTACTGCAGGAAATAGCGAAGACCCACAAAACCACGACAGAAGCCGTCCACAAGAGGCTGCTTTCTCTCGTTGCGAGGGGGCTGATTCTCCTCGAGGAATTCGGGGCTTCCCAGGTCTCGTACATCCCGTAGGAGTTTGTGCGCACGGTGTAAAAAGTCTGGAGATGGCTTGTTTTTGGGTGTTCAGGCGGAAGATTCAGGGAGTGCGCATGTGCCCTGGAGTTTTAAGCGCTCCCCGAGTGGGAGGGCGTGAAAGAGCTTTTTTCGGGGGTTTTATGTGGGCGGAAGTTCTCGCGCGGAGACTGCGGATTTTCGAGGTCGCACCCTCGGGAAAGTTACTGGGAGGGTTCTCCCGTGCTCCTGAGCGTGCCTGCTGAGTGGGGACAGACTTTTTTCTCCCGTCTTTTGCGCCTTCCCGTGATTCGGGTTATTATTCCGTGCGAATATTTTTTATGTTTTTATGGTGAGGGAAATAGCAAACCCGAAAGTCGCCGAGTTAATGAAGAGCCTGAAGTGCACGGAAAACCAGGCCAGGAATGCACTGAAACTCTCCAGAGACGACGCAGAGATGGCCGCTGCAATCATAAAAGAGCACCGATCCGAGGACAGAACGACGTACGCAGGCGGACAGAGTGGGCAGATTCTCGAGACGCCAAAGTCTAAGTACGCGGAAGAGTTCAGCAAAATGATGCAGGAAGACGCTGAAAATCCCCCGTCTGACTCCCCCGTCGAGAGGAGGAAGCTCACAATCTTCAAGAACGGATTCCTCATCGACGGAAAGTTCACCCGCCTGAGCGACCACGAGACAAAGCGGATAATGGAGAAGATCATCAAGAAGAAAGAAGTGCCAAGTGATTTATTCAATATTAAACAGGACGAATTGGTCGATGTTGAGGTCGAGGATAAGTCTGGCGAAATGTACAGGGAGAAGTGCCCGGGAGACTCTCGCACCGTAAACCTCTGCATTCCCGTGGAGAATAAGGCAAAAATCGAACTCGGCGATGATTCTATCGTGTTTAAGCTGACAATAGAAGGAAAAAATACTATCGTACAAATGGGAAAGTGTTCTTCATTCGAAGAATTAAAAGCGTATCTTGGAGAAAGAGGAGTATCTGGCAAACTGTACATGGAAGATAAAGAAGTCTGTTGGAATGAAGATCCTTCTAAGTACAAGAGAACACTTCTAAGATTGCTGCAATAAATGCCTATATCTTATACCTTTGCTGGATCTGCTTGATCTTCCTGCCTATTCTCTCTATTTGCTCGGAGGAGGGGGGCTCTTTTCTTTTCATCTTTTTCTTCAGATGCTTCACGGACTCGAGGGTTTCCTCCATGAAGAACCCCCGGAGTTGCAGCGGAGAGACGGGGAGAGAAGCTATCGCGACTTCATTAAGGTCCAGCGTATGATAGTCCTCTAGAAGCATCAGAGTCCTCAGATTCTCTACGGCCTGGTCCCACTCCAGGACTTTATCTGCCTCAGAAATTTCCTGCGTCTGGACGTGCTTCTCCGCTTCTGCTGCGACTCTCTCCTTGTTCCGCAGGAGGAGAAAGAGCCCAAGAAGGCGCAAGTGCGGAGATGCTACGTGCAGGTTGAACTTCAGGGCATTGCATATCTCCAGCTCGTACTCCGCGAGGAGCTTCACATCCGCAAAGCTCAGCTGCTCTTTTATGCGGGCTGCCGTTGTAAAGGTATTCTCCACCTTCATCGCCAGGAGAATGCAGGCAACCACAAAGTTCTTCATGTCGTACTGGAAAACCCGTCTTTTACTGAATAGAACCTTAAAGTACGTTATTGCAGTACTTTGTATCTGAACGGGGATGTTCATGTGGTCGCACAGGCCAAGCATCTTTATCTGATAATAAAAAAGAAAAGTGTCTTCTTCCTCTTTTGTTATGTCCATTGCAGAACTCTCAGACATTCACTCACAAAAAATTTTACTTGAAATAGTAGCCTCCAAATAGTGTTTCACTGGAAAAACATCTCCAGAAAACCTGTTGGTTATAACCGTGTGTTTGGAAATGCGTTTTACATACGAGATTGTTAGAGGTGTGCCAAATAGGAGGTGCACGGGTGAATTCAGTGCTCAAGGCGTACTGGATGTGCTGGAGATTGTCTTCTTCCTGGGAATTTCAATCTTTATCTGCAGGATCTGGAGTTTCTCTGGAAGAAGAAGGGAGAACCTGAAGATGTTGTAAAAAGATAGAGGAAAAAGATAGAGGATAGATCGGACTCTCTGGGATATGCCCGTGTTTTCTCTGGGCTGCTGGATGCTGTATCTAGGGGAACAGGCTGTAGCATGTGTAAAACGCACACAAAAAACAGCCTGAGAAGAGGCGAGTGTTTATCGATGCCTTTTATGCGTATACCCGTCTTCTCTTCCCCTGGCATTTTTATCGCTTCTCCAGCAGCTTCTGAGATGCCTCTACGCTACAATAAAAGTCTACACTTTCAATATTAAAAAGAAAAAACTAGACGCTTTTAGAGTGCACTGGTACTCCTGCACGCATAAAATGCTAGTATAAATTATAAAAATAAAAGATCCTTGCAAATTGCTAACTTATTTTAAGCATCTGAACACTCTGAAATTATTCGGGTTATTATTCAGATATACCTATCTGTTTGGGCTCTTTTCTAGGATGATGCCTTATTTTCCCGAATAAACAACAAACAAACATGCAAAACGTGCTCTGGGTGCTTGCAGGGCTAATGTATGCGCATATGTGCAGGTCCTCTGTTGGAAAACCCCGAGTGAATGGGGAAGTTTTTCCTCTGAAAATTCGGGTTATTGTGGAGACTCTGAAGATCCCCGAGTGGAAGGTCACGCAGGCAGTTGAAATATTCCAGAGGATATACGCGGAGAGTGGCCTGAATGTGCGCGTAGAGTGCACTGAAGTCAGATACGCACCTGAAACCAGGGGAGAGGAAAGGCCCAAAGAGATATACTCGGATGATACCCAGGAGATAGAAGGAATTGCACTTTTCAACGCCCTTCAGACGGTAGCAGAAGGAATAACGGAAAAAAAGAATTTTTCAGGCAGGAATCAGGCGATGTTTTTCCTCCACTTGGAAGAGAGTCCGAAAGTCCACGGGGCGTCAATAGAGGGCGGACTCTTCAGGGGAAGCCCAATTGCTATTTGCACGATAACCCCGCAGGATACTCCGAAGGAAATAGGCGAGACAATGGCCCACGAACTAGCCCACTTACTCGGAGCAAAGCACGACGGAGTAAGCAATTCCTGCCATCCCAGGGGAAGTCTGATGGAGCAAGTGTATACGAAGCAGGCGGAAATCAAGAGACTCAGTCCGTGCACGAAGGCATCTATAAAAGACAGCATCCAGAGAGAGATTTACGCGAGAGAAAGATAGTTCCCTCTGAAAAGAGCAGAAGGGATCGGTTGATAATCAGGGTCCTTCACAGAAAGAGCGAAGACTCCGAAGAAGTTGGGAATTGCTGTAGATATGCAGGGGACTGCCTGTATCTAGAGCCAGATTCTAGTGGAGATTTACTGCTGTGGAGTGCCTTACTATTTTTCAGTGCTGGCTAGTGTTATACGAATAACTATTTGGATTTATTGTTTAATTTCCTATGCCCACAGATGTTTCGTGCTGAAAATTCGGGTTTTGGGACTCTTTGAAAAATTTGCAAAAATAAAAAATAAAAAATAAAAAGAAAAAAGAAAACTGGGAACGCTCTTCCAAAAGCTTCTCTCTAAAGTGAAGGTTTCTGTAGTGTTCTAGGCTTTCAGCACGTTTATATTTACTCGTAAATGGTTATTGTTTAATCCGCACAACGGATAAATACCTTTTTGCTTTACCCCTAAAGAGCAAGTTAAATACTGTCTGTTTGGGCAGGCCAAGAGAGAAGCAGGAGAGTTTTTCCGATGATATTCCAGCTACGGTCGCTGCGCTGGGAAAGTATTGGGAAATTTGGAAAAAAGTCACCAGAAAATTTAAAGGGAAAATATTTTCCAGAAATGAAGCTGAAGCACGTGAAGTGGGAGCTGGACGGGATTGAAGGGTTTGCGTCGCCAAAAATCAGGTACGAGCAGTACATGACGCCCTCGGAGCTGGCGTGTTCTGTCGCCCACGTTATGGCCGTTGAAAATGACGACATTTCTGGGAAGAAAGTGCTCGATTTAGGCTGTGGGACGGGCATGCTAAGCGCTGCTGTTCTCCTCCACGGAGCTTCCAGAGTCACGGGCGTGGATATTGACGGGGCCCTGGAGGAGACGTACAGAAAAAACCTGCAGGGACTCCCAGGGGAGGGAAAATTCCGCTTTTTACGCCTGGACGTCTCCGGGGACGACTTCTCCGGGGTTGGGAGGCACGATACTGCAGTGATAAACCCTCCTTTTGGCACAAAAAGCAACAGCGGAATAGACGCACTATTCCTGGAGAAAGCCCTTAGCATCGCCGATGTCGTCTACTCTATGCACAAAACCAGCACGCGAGAGTACTTCCAGAAGAAGTACGCGGGCAGAATAACGGTCCTTTCAAAGATGCTTTTCGAGCTCAAAAAAACGTACAAGTTCCAGAAGAAAGAAAGTGTCCACGTAGAGGTAGATTTGATACGGGTCATTTCAAAGTGAAATAAAAAAAAGAACCAGTGCATATTTCCCCAAAATGAAGGCTTTTATAGAGACAAACTCTGCTTTTATTCTGGATATTCTACAGTTTCAGAACACTCGATATTTTCCCACGGCCTTTCTCCCTCACGCAGAGTATCTTTCCACAAGATCATCGAGGTCTTTCCCAATTCTGTCGGAGGGACTCTTCTTCTGCCTCTTCCGCAGGCAATCTATCTCCGTGAAGAGCTTCAGGATGCGCTTTGCGGTGGGACTCTCCAGGTCGAGGTACTGCACGGACTTGTAGAGAACGGCAAAGTCATTCTCCAGGGCGTCCATCTGCCTGTACACTTTCAGGGCGGAAATACCCTCCAAAACTGCCTCCAGGACGGAGTCCAACTGCCTCTGCAGGAATCCCGCGGGGACTCTGTCCTTATGCTCCTCCAGTGCCTGCGAAACTCTATCCGGATCTATCGACACGGCATCTTCCTCCGATAAGTTCCTGAGCTTCCCCAAAAATCCCCTGGAAATTTCCTCTATCCTTCCCTGGAGGGAGTTCTCCGCCCTTTTAATCGCTGCCTGCTCGTGATCCGTTATTTTCCTGAGCTCAGGAAGCTTCAGAAGAAGTGCCCCCGTGGAGATGCTGTGCCTGTGCTCTACAAGCTCCTTCTTTATGCTCTCCAGGAGGTCCGAGGCAAATCCCTGCACTTTCATCGCATCCTGCAGCGGAGCATTTCGCACAGCCTCCGAAACAGGCTCTACGATCGAATTCGTGAACTTCAGGATAATGTCGTCCAATTCGTTCTCTGCCTGCTCCACCTCGTGAATAAGCTCCCTCGACTCCTTGAAGAATCTCCGAATCTCCGAAGCCACTGCGAAAAGGGTCTCCCGAAGCCCTGCCTTCTCCTGGAGGATTCCCTTCACCTTCTGCCGGGCTCCCACGCAGTCACTCTCTATGCACTTATACGCTGTCTGTATAAGAAGGTCTGAAAGCCCCCGAAAATGCGTCTCAGATCGTGCCTGAACTGAGACAAAAAAGTGCTTTATCCGCCTGAATACGAAGAGATCGTCCACGTACTCCCCAGGGACGGAGGAAATAACACTCTCCAACTTCTTCACGAGTGCTGCATCGTACTCCTCCTCCGCAGGATCGAGACTCTGCACGAGGCACGGCTTTATCTCTGCATCTGCCTCTAGAAACTCCGAGAAGATCCGGAGGATGATCGGCAGCTTATCCCGCGGGTTGTACTGCTCCATCTGGGTCCTGCACAGCTTCAGCATCTCTCTTCGCCTGGCATTGTTCACGTACTCTGCGAATTCTTCGCCTCTGTCCAGCTCCTCGTATATGTACTTCCCTATGTGGAGAAACTCCTTATTCCTGCGGGCGAACTTCCTCGGGGCGAGAACTTCCGCGGGAATTTCACTCTCCTTTCTCCCGGCTTCTTTTTGCTCGGCTATTTCTGGGATTCCTGCGACGACTTCGCAGATCCACCACTGGATCATCACATTCGCCACGATCAGAAGCCTTTTTTCGCTCTGCCCCAGGACTTCCTGCACTCTCTGGCAGAAGGAGAAGTCTGAGAAGTGCCGAACGAGGGCGGAGAGCTTCTTATACGCACAAACCCACAGGAAAACAGTTCTTGCATCCTCCTCGGAAATTTCCTCCCTCCTTGCAGTGAGTCTCTCTATCTGCACCATTCCCTTGTTGGAGACTCTCGATAGATTCTGCGTAGTCTCCACTAGGATCTTTATCTGCTTTATTCCGGAGATTGAGTCTTTTACTCGCTCTTTTATTCTTTTTATTTCCTGCAGGGACTTTTTTGTCTCGCTCTTCTGGAGGCTTGTAGCGAGTATTTGCTCTTCTGCCTCGTCTATTTTTTTATTGAAAGTTTTCATTCCCTCGATCACGTGGGGGAGTCTGTCCAAGTCCTTCAGGACGTCTACGCTTCCCTTCAGCATAAGGGATTCGAGCTCTTTGGTTTTCTCCTCTATTTCCACGGTATTTACTGAGATCTCCTTCTTTCTCTGCTCTGGGCTGAGTATTCTCATTATGTAGTCTCGGGAGGCTGCGCTTGGGATGTACTGGGGAGGGCTTCTCTCTTCCGTCTCGTTCTCCATTGCCTCTGTAAAATTTTTGTTCTCCCCACATAAATGCTTAATTGCTCCCAGGCGGAAACAGCAAAATAAGACGGAGAAATACCCAGAATAACCCGTCCAGAAAAAACTCAGAACGTTTATTCGGGCTGGGAGAAATACGGCAGGAAGACAGTATTCAGCAGAAACTCCAGGGAAGAGCGCGGAGAGCCCCAAAGATTCCGCGGATATTTTGACATTCCTGGAGTGTGCTTCTACCCTTTATCCCCGTGCTTTATGCCCTGAATGTATACAGGAAATTACTCAATAAACTCAAAATCAGTTAAAACCCCGAATAACCCCGAATAGATTTCACTTTTTATGCTATCAGTTCACTCGCCAAATACCTGAACTCACAGTGGAATCTTCGCTCTTTCCTTCTAGTGTTTAAACAGAAGGTGGACTGTGTATACGGAGAGTCCAGCGTCAAAATGGTCGAATGACCCTTTCCTGCAAACAGGCCTCCCGTCGAAGAGAAAGGCAATACTCTCCCCAGGGGAAGTTTTCACCGTTAAAACCGTTGAAATTTCTCCCTCCTTCACTCCGTACGAGGGAATAAACCCTATCTCCGAGACTATACACTGCAGGAAAACCCCCTCATTCCTCCCAATCCTGCGGATGTACCAGGACAGATCCCCAATATCCCGAGTCCTCCGACTCCCCGTCTCTCCCGGTGCTTCCACTCTCATTTTATATTGAACTTTTTCATAATATTTATGAAAAGACTCAGCAGGAAAGTGCGGGTTACGCTTTTAGATCTAGTTGATTTTCTGCTGGAAAATAGCACAATCAATGCAGCGTACGAATTCGCATGCATCCACATGAAATGGATATTTATTGCATCTCCCGTGGTAAACTTCCTAATTAGGAGGCTCAGCGAAGCAATTACTCCCCCGGGTCTCTCCATAGCTATAATAATGGACGGAAACAGAAGGTATGCAAAGTCTGCGAGTATCTCGAAGAAGGCAGGGCATGAGATGGGATATGCCCACGTATACAGCATCCTAGAGTGCATGAAAAGGGCCAAGTGCAGGAGTGTGGGCTTCTTTGCCTTCGGGATGAAGAACTTTTCTCGCTCGGAGGAGGAAGTGTCCGATATAATGGGGATTCTCAGGAGAGGTCTGGAGAAGGCAGAGAATTCTCCGGATAAAAAGGCCTTTCTAGACGCCCTGGGAGTAGTTGGGGATATCTCTGCAATGCCTTCAGAGATGCAGCCAGTCCTTCTCCGCATACGGAGTACTCCCCAGAAGAAAAACTGCTATTTATTTCTCGCGTATTCCTCCCTGTACGAGTACGTAAGCGGGAGAGGGGATGGGACTCCAGAGAAGTTCGACATAATAATACGCCCGGGAGGAGAAAAGCGGCTCAGCGACTTCCTCCTCTGCAACTCAGCGAATAATTCGACACTTTGCTTTGTTTCATCGAAGTGGCCTGTTCTCTCCGCAGGGCACATTCTCATGGCCGTGGGAAAGTACGTGCTGGAGTCGCAGTTGAGGAGTGAAGGGGTTGAAGGGGCATGAGGGGGTTAAAGAGTGTTCGAGTGAAGTTTTCTCTTTGAATGTTCTCGAAAAGATTTTTAAAAGATCTTGAAGGGTTTCAGGTAACGCCTTTGCTCTTTTGAAAGGTTTTTGAAAAGATCATTCTCTTTTTGAAAGTCCCGAAAAGATCATTCTCTTTTAAAAGGTATTAGGGCAAAGTTTGCTCTTTTAAAACTCCCTGAAAAGATCATTCTCTTTTAACAGATCTTTCAGGTAACGCCTTTTCTCTTTTTAAAAGTTCTCGAAAAGATCTTTCTCTTTTTAAAAGTTCCTGAAAAGATCATTCAGGTAAAATTCATTCTTCATTCTTCATTCTCCTTATGAGCTCTTTCTTGTGAGCTCTCTTTTGAAGGTTTTAGGGTTAGTGTTTCAAAGGTGAAACGGCTATTAGAAAAGGCCTTCCTCAGATATTGCAATGCACGGGATGTGGAGGGCACTGCTTATGGGGACAGTCCAGACTCTGGCTAAAATAGTCCTTCTGGACGATATCGATGCCCCAGAGAAGCACGGATACATAACGATAGATAGCACAAACAACAAGATAGACCACATTTCCAGGAAGATACGCAGTAAGAAGGCTTCTCTCCCTGCCCCTCCAGACGGGTACGTGGAGACTCGGAAATATACGGAGAGAAGGTTCGAGCCCGTGGAAAGAGCGAGTATAGGCGGTTCTACCCCGAGGAAAGTCGTGCACGTGGAGGAGGAGCCTTTTACAGTGGACTTGGGGCGAGTCCCTGTGAGGAGAGTCTACGCTCCGATCGACAGGCGGATAGAGGGTCTTCTCCTGGAGACGGACCGGATAAAGAAGGAGCAGGACAAGTACGACCAGACTCGGTCGAAGATCAGAACGAGAAAGATAAAGCTGAAGACCCTGAAAAGCGACAGGAAACTCACAGAGAAGTCGATATACTTAACGCACAAAGAGATAAATGCCGTTGAAAATGCCCTGGAGTCTCTGAAATTGCAACTTGCAGAACTCAACGGAAAATTCGAGGCAATTTCCCGGCAGGAGAGCGAGATAGAGAAGGACTTAGTCTCTCTCCAGGGCAAACTCAACGAGAAAGCAGCCCTTCTCCACAGACTCCACAGGCTCAAGAAGAAGTACAGGTGGCTGCAGAGTGAGTACAGTTACTACGAGAGTGAGAGCAGCGGATTCCAGACATAATTAAACCAATAAAAATCCCATAAAAATTGCAGTACCTGAAACCTGATAAAACTCCAGGAAATTCCCCATCTACCGTATTTATGCGCTGGAATTCTTCCACGCGAAAGCAGTTACTCCTAGCGGTGCGTATACCCCGAATACAGGGCGCTGAATACGTGATAACAGGCTGTTATATGCTGAAGGCATAGTTACTCGTAAATAGTTACTGTTTGGTGGTGAATTGGCATTTGTTTGGCAGAAGCTATAAACAAGGACGAATTAAATATGTCGAAAATCCGGTTTAAGTGTTGACTTTGGTCCAAGACAAGCACAAATAAAAATTTATTAGCCCTTGGAGAATTACAAATGTCGACCATTGAATGTCGTACTGTTCGATGTTTAGAATTCTTTGACATTACTTCTGTTTTTTATTTCTCTTTTTAAAATCGTCTCGCGTATTTGTGTATTTACCTCTTTAATGCTCACTAACAATTTCATGTTTCACATCTTATTGATTATTTCCAAGTCATGATCTAATTTTGTGGGAGTTCCAATAATTCACCACATAAACACACAAATTTAAGCAGCTCTAAAAAGGCCGTAATTTTCACTAGAACTTCCACTATTGCAGCCTTCATTTTTTCAATTTTGGTATATAGAGTTAGAATCTACTGATTTGTCTTCCCTGTCTGAGTCTATGCCTTTTTTCTATATCCACTCTCTGCAATATCCCACTTCAGGCTTACATGAATCTGCCCATATACCTGTGTGCTTACTCTATCCCTTAATCCCAAGGTATGCAGCCTCTTGAATCTGCCCATATAAGCAATAGCCCATTCCAAGTAGCTGATTTCAGCATAGAACAGTATTTTTTATTCTGGCACTTACGAGCTAGCAAATTGAGAAAGAAAGAAGAGAGACTGCCTCCACTCTTTCTCACCTGCGTATAGCTAAACCCGAATGCATCTTTGGGCAAAGTAGAAATCTGTTTATCCCGTATGCGATCTAACAGCACCCGCCTACGAGTGACTATGCTTCCACTCGCACTTTACTCTATTACTACGGCACTCTACAGCCTAGCAGAATTCTCCGTGCTTTTCCTCTGCTTTTATGCATTTTAATTTTTGTTTGAGTATGGCTGTGCACGAGAGGGATGTGTCCGATAGCATCGTGCAGTATCAGATAGAGATTCACAGGAGCATACGAAAACAAAGAATGTGCGTGATCGAAAGGAAAATACGCCGGGGATTTGACCAAGCAAAAAAGACTTTCTCCGCGCTGGGCCTGTGCGTGGACGCTCTCCCGTACCCGAGGATGGACAACTACATCGCAGGAAGCGGAAGAGCCAAAATTCTCGAGGGGATAAAGTCCCAGAAGTCAGCAAGCGACCAGATCTCCATCGAGGAGGAAACGCGGAAGGTCTACGAGGACCTCTGCAAGAAGGCAGTTCCGAAGGTGCACAAAGTCCTCGTGCAGAACATCGCAGCAAAGCAGGCACAACACAAGAAGATCAGCACAATATGCCAGCGAGAGCTGAAGAGAGCCCTCACAAAAACGTCAAAGACAAATCCCTCCCTCAAGGGGAAGAGAGTCACGAAGGAGCTGCAGGGATTCTTCAAAAGGGCCGAGAGAAACACGCGAGAGAAGAGGCGGAAGGAGGAGAAGGAGGACTACGACCGGAGAAAGAAGGAGGAGGAGATGCGGGAGGAGCAGCGCCAGGAGAAAAAGCTTAACTTTTTGATCACGCAGACAGAGCTTTTCTCCCACTTTATCCTCGGGAAGAAGGGACGCCCGGAGGAGGAGACTCCAGAGGCAATAATCGCACAGAAGGCAGCGGAGAGGCACAGACAGGCAGTTATGGAGTACGATGCTCCAGGGTCAGGCGGACAAACCGTCTACAATAATTCGACTCTCCCCATTTCCGAGACAGTTTCTGTCCCGGGGATGCTCCAGTGCACGCTGAAGGACTACCAGAAAAGGGGACTTGAATGGCTGGTCAGCCTGTACGATCAGGGGATAAATGGGATGCTCGCAGATGAGATGGGCCTGGGGAAAACGGTCCAGGGAATCTCCTTCCTCGCACACCTCGCAGAGAATGAGGGCATTTGGGGGCCATTTTTGATCATTACCCCAGCATCAACCCTCCATAATTGGGAGCAGGAATTTGCGAAGTTCGTCCCTGCGTTTAAGGTCGTCTCCTACTGGGGGACAGTTGCAGAGAGAAAGGCCCTGCGGAGGTCCTGGCAGCAGAGGAAACTGCAGAGGGAGGACTCCCCATTTCACGTGGTGATTACGTCGTACCAGCTTGCAGTGAGCGATGAGAAGTACTTCAGCAAGGTAAAGTGGCAGTACATGATTTTGGACGAGGCACAGGCGATAAAGAGCAGCAGTAGCACGCGGTGGAAGACTCTTCTCTCGTTCAAGGCGAGGAGTAGGCTTCTTCTCACGGGGACACCGATACAGAATACGCTGCAGGAGTTGTGGGCTCTCCTGCACTTTATTATGCCAACGCTTTTTGACTCTCACGGGGAGTTCTCGGAGTGGTTTAGGATCGAGGACGGGGACAGTGTCACGGAGGCGGCGAGGCTTCGGATGGTTTTGCAGCCGTTTATGCTGCGGAGGGAGAAGAAAGACGTCGCAGATGAGCTGGGGATGAAGGTGGAGAAGACGATAGTCTGCGAGATGAGTCCGAAGCAGAGGAAGTTGTACGAGGGAATTCGCGCACGGGCTCCGATGGCGACGTTTTTGGATCGGGGGATACCCGACGGGATTGAGGGGATTGAGGGGCTGATGAATTTGGTCATGCAGTTTCGGAAGGTCTGCAATCACCCGGACCTTTTTGAGAAGAGGGAGGTCTCTTCCGGGTGGAGCCAGCCTGTTTCGGAGGCGTACATTCCGAAGATCGTGAATGAGGAGATACTCGTGGAGAAGTGGGCTCCGGTGGGGCTTAGGGTGCCTGAAAAACGGATTTCAGATATTTTCAGAGTAGAACCTGAAAAGATCAAACGGATAAAAAAGACTGATTTTATTGCCTTGAGTGAGATAGTTGTTCCTAGGTGCTTGCCTCCTAAGAAGGTTCTTGTATCGCCAGCGTACATACACGGAGGGAAGATTCCGTTGGAGATTTCTGAGAGTCTGCGGCAGCCGCCCGTATACGTTCCCTCCATGGAGAGGTTTGTGAGCGACTGCGGGAAACTCGTTATTTTGGACAGTTTGCTCCCGAAGTTGAAGGAGGAGGGTCACCGCGTCCTGATGTACTTCCAGATGACGAAGATGATCGATCTTTTTGAAGAGTATTTGACCGTTAGAAATTACTCGTACCTGCGCCTGGATGGGAGCAGCAGAATTTCGAATAGGAAGGAGCTCGTACGGGACTGGCAGTCCAGCAGCGATAAGTTCATCTTCCTCCTGAGCACGCGGGCAGGAGGTCTGGGGATAAACCTCACGGCAGCAGATACCGTTATATTCTACGACAGCGACTGGAATCCCACGGCAGATCAGCAGGCGATGGATAGAGCCCACAGACTTGGCCAGACGAAGCAGGTGACCGTGTACAGGCTGATCACTGCAGGGACCATCGAAGAGAGAATTATGGAAAGAGCGGAAGTCAAGGGAGAGATCCAGAGGATGGTCATACAGACAAAAGACGACTAGAGCCGGCAACTGATAGAGAGAATGCAGAAATTTTGAAGGAAAGGCAGGAAGAACCTGCACAATAAAGTGAAACTTATCCAGTCGACAGAATTTTAATCTTCCAATACATGGATATACCACAAATATACCACAAATATATGAATAACATAAATCAATCTATAGATCAATAGATCTAACGAGTCTTATAATCGTATGTATTGTATGATGAAAGCATAGTTGCTCGTAATTGGTTATTGTTTAGACACAAATGAATGTTTGTTTGACAGCACATTATAAACAAGGATAAATTAAATACATAAGTGTTTAAGCAGGTCGAAAATGAATAAACGACACTGTTTCACATGACTACTTCCAGTATTACAACTATGAACATAGCATTAAGTCTATCGATGATCGAAAGCCGGAGCTCCAAAGGCTAATAAATCTTTACTGGAACTAGCATAGATTCAGAAGCAAATATGCCCGGATTTATGGCACAAGCATTGCACGCCCTGAACAGATGCCGCTTTTGCCCACGGAAATTAATGTGCTCATAGCTCTGAAAATCTTGGGAAATCCCGTCTTTTCCAAAAAGGCATCTGGACATTAAAAAACAACTGAGCAAACCCCATCAAAATCTGGTTTTGCGCACTACAAAGACGTTTTTCATGCGCAAACACAAAAAATGCTCAAGGAGAAAAAGTCTCTCGATGTGAAAAATCACGCATTTCCACATTACAGCGCCTATTGCCCTGGATTTAGGATAATTTAATTTTCAGCAGTTGCATCATCATTTAGTTTTTCCTTTTTTAATTACGGATCCCTGTTGAAATGAACACTGTTACAAGCACACAGACAATAGTAGAACAAGAATTAGGCAATCAGAATGGAAACCATAAAAACGTTTCCGAGCAGACTGCGCCCACCAGAAACGAAACAGGAACTTTACTCCATTCAATGGTTGTGGACATGGAAACATCCAACATCAGTGATGCTGAAAGGGCAGCTGCCAGCAGGCGTGCTAGAGAGAGGGCTGCTCAGATGAGAAGGGGTTTTAAATGCGGGCTCTGGTCAGGCATGTTGGTTTGTTTTTTCGTTTTACTCATGGTACTGGGTAAAAGTTCTATGGTTAAGATGTAATACGGGAAGTGCTAGTGAAATTCACGGCCTTGTTGCATGCTGAAAGCATAGTTGCTCGTAGTTGGTTATTGCTTAATAGGGCTAGTTAAGGAGTCGATATAAGTTAGACTTTAGGAAATAAATTAAAATAATGTCTATTTAAGCAGGTCGAAAAAAAGGACAATGTTTCGCATGACTCATTCCTGTATTACAACCATTAATGCGCTCATAGCTCTGAAAACCTCGGGAAATCCCGTGTTTTCTAAAAAGGCATCCGGACATCCAAAAACAATTGAGTAAACCCCATCAAAATCCGTTTTTGCGCACTCTAAAGATGTTTTTCATGCGCAAACACAAAAAATGCTTAAGGAGAAAAAGTCTCTTGATGTGAAAAATCACGCAGTGTCCCATTACAGAACCTGCCGCCCTGTATTTAGGATATTTTTGTTGTAAATCCGGGTTTGATTATGGCTGTGGGCTAATACAAGCTCCACTAAATATTTATTAATCTTTGGAGAATCCCGGTGGTCGACCTTTGCTTGACTTGATTTTTGAATCTTCGAATTTCTTGCCATTTTCTTCTGCTCTCTAAAATTAACATCGTGTCGCGTTTTTATACTTTTAGCGAGCACTAATCAAATTTATGTTTCAGATCGTGTGAAATTCAATCAAGTGATGGTCGCCGTCTCCAGTTTTTTTTGTTTGTGGGAATTCCAATAATTCACCACAATTTTAATTTTCAGCGGTTGCATCATCATTTAATTTTTCCTTTTTAATTCGGATCCCTGTTGAAATGAATACTGTTACAAGCACACAGACAATAGTAGAACAAGAAGTAAGCAATCAAAATGGAAACCATAAAAACGTTTCCGAGAAGACTGCGCTCGCCACAAACGAAACAGAAACTTTACTCCATTCAACGGTTGTGGACATAGAAACATCCAGAATCGTTAATGTTGAAGGCGTATATACCAGAGGAAGACGTACTAGAATGTGTGGTAAGCTGATGAAAGCTATTTTTGATGTCGGGCTCTGGTTAGTCCTGGCGACTGGTTCTTTTATTTTGTTCATGGCAGCGGCTCAAGTTTATAGGACCAAGTTGTAATACAGAAAGTGCTAGTGAAATTCACGGCCTTTATTGTTTATTGGAGTGCTTAGACAGAGAATATTTAATTTGTCCCATAATAACCCCGAATTGCAATGACCTTTCAATTAGGCTCTATTAAACAATAACCATTTACGAGCAACTATGCCTTCAGCATATAACAATTTTAACGACTATTCTAATAACATGAATGTTGTATGCTGAAAGCATAGTTTCTCGTGATTGGTTATTGTTTTGGAGACAAATGAATGTTTGTTTGACAGCAGCTATAAACAAGGATAAATTAAATGCATAAGCATTTAAGCAGGTCGAAAAAGAATAAAGGGCGTGAATTTCACTTGGCACTTCCCGTATTACAACTCATAGCATTAAATCTATCGATAATTGAAGGCAAGGCTCCAAAGGCTAATAAATCTTTACTGGAACTAGCATAGATTCAGAAGCAAATATGCCCGGGTTATGGCACAAGCATAGCTCTGAAAACCTCGGGAAATTCCGTTTTTTCCAAAAAGGCATCCAGACATCCAAAAACAATTGAGCAAACCCACCCCTGCAAAACCCCATTAAAATCTGTTTTTACGCACTCTAAAGACGTTTTTCATGCGCAAACACGAAAACGATGCTCAAAGAGAAAAAGTCTCTCGATGTGAAAAATCACGCATTTCCCCATTACAGCGCCTATTGCCCTGGATTTAGGATATTTTAATTTTCAGCGGTTGCACCATCATTTAATTTTTCCTTTTTAATTAGGAACCCTGTTGAAATGAACACTGTTACAAGCACACAGACAATAGTAGAACAAGAAGTAAGCAATCAGAATGGAAGCCATGAAAACGTTTCCGAGCAGACTGCGCCCACCAGAAACGAAACAGGAACTTTACTCAGTTCAACGGTTATGGACATGGAAGAAGGCCGCCTTAGTAGAGAAGAAGCTGCCGAAGCCAGAAGACGCATCGGGAGGACCTATAAGCGGCGAATACGGTGTTTTAACCTCGGGATGTGGCTAATCATGTCGGCTGGCTTTTTCGTTTTAATGATGGCAGTGCATAAAAGTTATAATGCTAAGCTGCAATCCGGGAAGTAATAAGTAAAATTTACGGCCTTTATTTTTTCTCATTCTGCTTAAATCTGTGCATTTAATTCGTTCTTGTTTATAACTGTTGTCAAACAAATGCCAATTCATCACCCAAGCAACAACCATTTACGAGTAACTATGCTTTCGAAGACAACAATTCCAACGGTTTTTAATAGCATGACCATAAAATGAATATAACATGAACCCGAATCAATTTATATATCTAACGGTTTTTAATAGCATGAATCAATCTATATATCTAACGCCTTTTCTAATAACCTGATTAGCCTGAGCCTGAATACATCAATAGATCCAACGGTTTTTAATAGCATGAGCCAATATATAATTCTAACGCCTATTTAATAGCGTGAATCGACCAAAATTTAGCCAGAAACTCTTCCAGCCCCTATACACGGCCTTACGCCCTCTCTACAGGAAGTACTGCAGAGGCTTTGTCTCCCTCCTCTGCTGCTCTGAGACGGGAACCTCGCAGTACTCCACGCCCTCTTTCGTGATCTTTGCAACTGCTGCCTTGTTCATGCATCTATAGCAGTAGTTCGGAGCACTCCAAATCGTGATCACTTTCCCGTCAAACTCCTCCTTCCACCCGTCCTCCACGAGCTGGTGAGACCGTATGATCTTCTCCAGGCGCGCACTCTCGAGGAATTTGTTGACTTCACTCTCCCCGAAGTAGTACCCGACTCCTCTGCTGCTCGGGGAGAATCCATCCGTCTCCTCCTTCGGGTCACTCCACAGGAGATCCGCCAGGACTCCCTTATTCGGGACATCCCCCACCCGGACTATTTCGTTCAGCTCCTCCAGCCGCAACTCCGGGCTAATTCCTGCGTGCACTGCGAATATCTTCCGGTCGATGATCCCGCAGATCGGCATAAACTCAAAAACTTGGCATATCTTGTACCAGAGAAGCTTCGACCTGTGCATCCTCACGCACTCGTCCATAAACCCGTAGTTTGAAGAGGTTTTCATCGACTCGTGATTCCCCCGGAGTATCCAGACTTTCTCGGGGTACTTCCCCTTCATGTAGAGGAGAAGGACGATCGTCTCCATGGAATTTGCTCCTCTATCGACGAAATCCCCCAGGAAAAGGTACTGCTCAGAGGGAGCTACTGCAAGGATCTTCAAGAGGTCGAAGAACTGCCCGTGGATATCCCCAACTACGGTGATATCTGACGACAGTTCCAGGAGAAGTGGCTCAGATGCAAATACGTCCATTGCCTGCTCGCATATTCTCAGGATCTCGGAGTTGCTGACCTGTCCTTCCGTGAGTCTCTGCACGAATTCTGCCTCGTTTCTGCTGAAATCCTTTAATGAAGCCTCCTTCGTCATTGGAAATTTCCAGAAGGCAGAAAAAATAAAACAATTTGAAAATGCAAATGGAATGCCGAAGAAGCAAACACTCTACGAAGTTCTGGGGGTAAGCAAGGGAGCAACAGATAGTGAAATACGCTCAGCATACAAGAAATTAGCCAGAAAGTACCATCCTGATATGCACACGGGGAAATCCGAGGCTGAGAAGAAGCAGATGCAGGACAAGTTCAAAGAGCTGAACAGTGCGTACGAAGTTCTCACGGATAAGGACCAGAGAGCGTCCTACGACCTCACGGGAATGACGCAGGAGGAAATGGGGAACCAAAGGGCACGGTCCAGCCACGGATATGCTGGATTTTCTGACTTCTTTTCAGGTTTTTCATTTTCAGGTTCGAACGCCTACGACTCCGCGGAGTTTGGGGCGGGGCATTCCTTCTTCAGTGAAATGCACGGGTCAGACGGGATCTTTGGGGGGTCGCGCGAGAAGTCTCCGGAAAATGGGATCTTCGAGTACATGCTTGCAGTCTCTCTTGAGGAGATTTGCACGGGCTCTATCCGAAACCTGCGGATAAAGAGAACTTCTATCTCGATGGCTCGGGAGACGGTAGAACTCAGCGTAAATATACAGCCAGGATACAAATACGGGACTAAAATAACGTATAAGAACGCCGGAGACTACGACAGGTTCGGGAGGGGCACTGACGTAGTTGTAATTCTAACGGAGAAACCGCATCCACTCTTCAAACGGGCAGAGAGTGACATCGTGTATGAGTTTGACCTTTCCATCAAGCAGTACCTGCGGGGATTCGCTCGGACTGTTCCTGGCCTCTGGGGAAATCACATAAAAATAACGGATTCCATGATAGGGAATAACGGAGGAGATATCTTAGTAGAGGGAGAGGGGATCCCAGATAGAAGGAACGGAATGAAAAGGGGAAAGCTTATTATTAGGCCGCGCATTATCATGGACTTGACCCAGAAGGAGAGAGCGCGTATGGCAGAGTCCATATCGTGAGAATAAATAAAGCACAGAATACATTTATTTTTCAGGTTCTGATTTTTCAGGGTACTCGCAGAAATCTGGCTATCCCTGAATACTTAGCAGATACCGTCTGTAATGCAGCTGTTCTCCTGCAGACTCTCTCATTTGCGTGCCTCCATCCTCCGGATCTGCTCGTCCTTCTCTGCGATGTCTCTCTTGAGCTGCCCGATGAGCTCTGAAGAGTTCGCATATTTTAGGTCGCACAAAAGCGTCTCAATATTTTCCTTCAGGTACGAGTTTTCTTTTTTCAGCTCGTTCAGGGACTTCTCTGCCTGCTGGTGGATGAAGACTATCCGGGGAGTGAACTTGCTCAGAAGGCAGAAGGGATGCGCCTTTTTGTACGCCTCTATTTCCCCTGCACTTTCCTTTCCGTACTTATCCAGAAGGTCTTTCTGCATCCCAGAGACGGAAATACTCCCCTTCACGATCCCGTATACAAATTCTGCAAGAATTTCCTGATTCAGGCACGAAATAACGTCCATCAGGATCATAAACTTATTCTTGCTAAGTGCAGCCGTATTCTGTACAAAGAGAAGAAAACGGTCAAACTCCTTCTTCGTCATATCCAGGCCTCTTTTACTGCAGAATATCCCGTTTATATTAGAAGCCAGGAAGAAAGCCACTTTAAATATCTTCTCCACGCGGTACGAGGAAAAGTACGTGAAAGCCCCTATGCATATCCCGAATATTTTATCCATATTCTTCTTATTCACTCTCTCGCAGGAGATTAGCATATTATACTCGTACGAATTCTTCAGCGCCTTCATAACGACCTGCATCATATAGTGCCTCTCCTTCGTGCGAATGTGCTTGTTGGCTTCCCTTGCAAAGTCACAGTCCAAGTGGCTGAGAATTGACTCGATTTCAGACTCTTCAAACTCTTCACTCTCATCATCATCATCTTCTTTCTCTTTTTCTTCTTCTTTTTCTTCTTCATCTTTCTCATCTTTCTCTTTCTCATCTTTCTCTTTCTCTTTTTCTTCTTCTTTCTCTCCGGAGATGGCACTCTCGAGGCTTCTGACTATTCCCTTCGTGCTTTGGGAGGTCTCTCTCTGCGCCTCCTCTGCCCGCTTTCTCTCGTCTCTCCGGTGGCAGTCTGGGCACGGGAGCTTCTTCGTGCACGATATAAGCGTGTTGAAAAGGGCGAATTGCGGCCTTTCCGTCCGCCTGTGCCAGGACTTCGTGAATGCGAGCCCCCACACGGCGATTCTCGCATGCCCAGGAATATTCTCGCTCTTCAGCTCCTCAACGTACTCCTGCATGTTGTCTATCTCGCCAGTTGCCAGCCACTGTATAAGCCTCTTCTCCATTTTTATCAGGGGAACTTCTTCTTTTATGCTTCCTCTGATTGGCTGCTTCTCTCTGAAACATGCTTCCTGTGGATTTTAGCGTGCATCTTCTCCTCGCTGGAGACGCCTTCTGCGAAGATCACACCGCACGTGTGGCACTTCCTATACATCCTCTGCCCAAAGTTCAGGCACAGCTGCCTCTTTTCCCCCACTTTCCGGCCTTCTCCGCCCTCTTCCCGCGCAAGACCCTCTGAAAATCCACCTCCAGACCCCGCTTCAAAGAGCCCTACACCCGCACGCTCTTTCACCTCCATATACGAAGTTACAGCCCTACTTTTTTCTGAGGGTTTTTCCTCGGGTCTCCCCACCCGTCTCCTTGCGAATGTTTTCATGCTCTGAATTTTCTTTATTTTTATTTATTTTCCTCTGGGAAAGTCTCTAGCAAATCCTCTATTTTTGCCCCGATAAGAAGCAGAGAAATCGCATACGCAGAGAGTTCAGAGATCTCCTCCTTCATCTTTAGAATGGCCTGTTTCCCCGTCAGAGGCGAAGGAACAGGCGTAACAAGGGCATTGTTCCCGTGGAAGCACGCTCTGGACACTCCCTCCACATCCCCACTAGAAGGAATAGACTCGTCAGCAGTAATAGCAGGAGAAATAGATCCACCTATAACTCCACTAGTAACCCCATTAGACCTAGCAGTAATAGATTCACTGGATTTACTGGTAATAGTAGTAAATCCACTAGCAGTAAACTCACTACTAGTATCAGTATTACCAGTATTACCAGTAAATCCACTAGATATAAATTCATTACTACTTCTACTATTACTATTGTTATTACCAGACTTACTAGTAAACTCACTAGATATAAGCTCACTATTAGTAAACTCACTACTTCTACTATTGTTACTGGTACTTCTAGTATTGTTATTACCAGACTTACTAGTAAGCTCACTAGATATAAGCTCACTATTACTACTATTGTTACTACTATTGTTACTGGTACTTCTGGTATTGTTATTACCAGACTTACTAGTAAGCTCACTATTAGTAAACTCACTACTTCTACTATTGCTGTTAGTATTGCTGCTATCCCTTTCACTTCTGCTGGTATTGTCACTTTCTATTTCCAGCACGCACATCCCCTCTCCTGCTCTTGTGCTCTCGCTGGGTGCGTGTGCCTTACTGCCCTCGAGAATCCTTGCGCTGATTCTGTCGCCTTCCTGGTACGTGCTTCTCCTCTTGTACGTCTCTCGAATGTGGTAGTTGTCGTCTAGGACTTCGATAAATTTCTCTATCAGCTCGTCCACGCTCTCTCTCGCGTATACGCTGCCGTCTGCCTGGCCTCTCTTGAGGTATTCAGCGTATTCCTTGTACCTGCTTGGACTCTGCGTCTGCCCGATTAAAAGTGTCTTCATTTGTTTGTTTACGCTTATTTGCTTTCTCTTCCAATTTCCCAGAGGATTTCCTCTATGGCCCTCTCCAGGACCCCCGAATTCTCTCGCTTCCTGGCCTTCTCTGCCTCCAGATAGTCTAGCTGCTGCACCAGGAGGAAGTACTTCTCCTCCCGTGCCTTGTACGCGTGCCAGTCGCAAACGGCTATTTTCATTCGCGTGATAAGGTTTTTTCGTACCTGATTTTCAACGGAATTTTCCCCCTGATAGAGTCTGGCCAGCTCCTGCACGCTCTCACTGCACGGCCTCTGGAGAGTCTCCTTCAAAAGGGCGAACCACTTCCCAGCGACTTCCTCAGCCCTTGCCTCCCGCCTTCTCTCAGGGCGCGACAAAAGGAGGCAGCACTCCCCGCAAGCACTCACTCCCTCGTAGGACTCGATGCATACAGTGCACGCCCATAGTCCGCACAGTTTGCAGTTTACCCCGCACAAATAGACCTCATTCCCGCACTCTTCGCACTCTTTGCTGTACCTATACGCACAAACGCGACTTTCCACGTAGTTTCCCAGGACGGCAGCAGAGACGGAGAGAGTCGTGGGCTTATCCGGGGCCTTTGGGAGGATTCTGTTTCTCTCCTTGTACTCCTGCAGCTTCTTCCTGAGGGCGTCTCTCGCCCGGACTTTCTCCCTCGCCTTCTGCAGGAGGCAGTCCAAGTACTCGCACGTTCTGTCTCTCATGGGGGCTTCTTTCTGCGGAGTATTAATCTCAAGTGGCAAGTGCCTATTCGTTCATGCTGAAACTGCTTTGAATTTATTCTTCCTTGGAGGGTTTCGCCTCCTTCACAGCCTCTACAGAGCTCTTTATTCTATCAGAAGCTGCGACCTGTGCTGCCTTCAGCACTTCCTTCGCGTCGAACTGGTTTATCTTCCGGATGACGTCATTAGCGGGGGCAAAAACAGAGGCATTCAAGTAGTCTGTTAGCTGGGTTCTTCGGACTGAGAGATAGTAGAAGAAAAGGAACTTTCCGTGGTAGTAGAAGGGAATCCTCCGAATAAGGGGGAAAAAGACGGCTTCTCCCAGGCCAAATAGGGCGAGAGCGAGGAGGTACGACAAAATGTGCTTTACATTCGCTGTCTCCGGGGAGGCTTTGCTCACGATTATGTTTGTTGCGGGGGTGACTATAAGCAGGAAGGAGAAGGCACTTGTGACTGCGCCTGCCAGGCACCTACAAAAAAGGCTGACGAATATTATCGAGGCCAGAGCGATAAAGCTGTACTCTGGCTTGATCTGTCCGTTTGACATCTTCTGTATCTGCTTAAAAATAGGGTATGTCTCTGAAATCTTCCTGACTCTTTCCATTCTGGATTTTTTAAAACAAAGAAATTCCAGTTTAATAATCGTGCAATTCCCAGAAGAAAAAGGGGCCAGACAGTTCTGGGAACAACATGCCGTACTTTCACGCTTTTTATTTCACTCTTCTCCTGGGCTTTACGAGTGTCTTATTACTTGACAGAGAAAGTCCCTTGCAGTACTCTACGACCTCGCTGTCTTCTAGCTTTGTGAATTTGAGGGTGAGGCCGCTGATTTGGACTGGGTCGATGCTCTCCTGGTCCTCCTTCGTGCGGATGTGCTTGTTTGGCATATCTACGAAAGCCACTGCCTGCTGGAGTGCGAGCTTTATATCTGATATTTTCAGTCCTTCGTCCCCCTCGAGGGCTTCTCCCTCTTTCTCGATCTGGAACTTGAACAGCTTATTCTTGAAGGTCTCTACAATTGCGCTCTCTACCTCCTGCTTCTTCTTCTCCTTCTCTGCCCTCTTCTCGCTCCTCTTTTTGGCGAAGTACTCTGCTGCCTCGACAACTTCAAGTTCTATCTTTGCCTTCTTCGCTGCATTTCCCTCGTTCTCTGAGTCTGTGGTGGTTTCTATTGCTAGCTTTGACTCTTTGAAGATTTCGAGGTCGTCCTTCGTCTTCAGCTCCACGAAAACTGAGCCTTTAAACTCTTTCAGCGCGTCTCTTCGGAGGGCTATTCTCGCTATCCTGTCTCTGTGCTGGATGAGGGCCTTCTGGACGTCCTCCAGCGAGTAGTCGGTGGGGAAATTACGCACTAGAAGCGTCTTTTCTTCGCCCTTGTGCTGATCGAACGATGGGATTGGGGCTTTTCTCTGAACAGACCCGCTCTCCACGCATAAGATGTCGCTTTCTTTCAGAATCTCTTCGAGCTCGCTTACAGTTTTCTTGAAAGCCTTCATTTTTCCAAAGGAATTCACAACGTCCAACGGGGCCCAGCCTTCGTTTGCAGCCATAAGCCTCTTCAGATACTCGTCTCTTACTATGTTGGCATCGCTGAAGTAGAATTCGACTTGCCGTAAAATCTCTTTATTCTCGTTCTGCGTCATTGCTAAAAAATTTTGCGAGCTCTGAACTTTTATGCTTTCTCTTTTCTACGGGGGCGCGCCCATTTTCCTGCGAATAAAAGGCCTTTAGCATGGACAATGAGGCCTCTAGGGGAGTATATACAGCTTCAAAAGTGTGGGCTGTTTTTGACTCTTTCTCTTCGTAACGGTATATTATATGGGTATTTCCAGCTTCTGGCGTGCCTGGGCCTGCATTCGCGACTTCTTTTAGGATGCCCTCCTGCAGAAAGGCTGTAATCCCCCCAAATCTTGGGTTTTTACACGCGAAAAAGACCCTTCGGATGCGCATTTTGACGATCACGGCCAGGCACATGATGCACGGCTCGCATGTCACGTATAGGTCGACTTTTTCTCGGAGGCTTCTTTCGAGTCTTTCCAGGCATAGGATCTCCGCGTGTGCTAATGGGTCTTTTTTTAGGTTGGTTAGATTATGGGCTTTTTCTATGCACACTCCCTCGTGCAGTATAGCGCAGCCTATGGGGACTTCCTCCATTTCTAGCGCTTTCTGCGCGTTCTGCATGGCAATTTCCATTCGATAAATTTTTTGGCTTTCCATTTCTGGAGACAGCCGAGAAAACCCACTTTCGAAAACAAAATCGATGAGAAGGCGTGCGGTTGAAGATATGCAATGAACTTTTCCTTTCCGGAAACCTTGATTTTTCGAAAATTTGGCTTTATTTTTGCCCCCTCTTTTCTGGGGAATTTTCTGCTCTTATTTTCGGGCAGTGTTTGGGTTGCGAAAAAACCCGTGGAAGCATGCCTTTCCAGGGTAATAGCGCGATATTTTTGTAATATGCACGTTAAGCGGACCCCCTGAACTTCAGCGAGATAAGGAGGCCTTTTTACACACACTCTTGCAAAGAAACAAACTGAACGTGCTAAAATCGAGCATGCAAAGAGACTCTGCCTTTCTCGGGCTGGGGCAGTTCCATTCTTGCGAAGTTCAGAGCATTCCCCCAAAAGCATCCTCTTCTTCTTTCTAGCACCCACGGAAAACTCTGCAAAAGCACCATGGCATAGCCCAAACACCCAGAAATGCATGTTTTTGAAGTAAGAGGCCAAAGTGTGCAAAGCATACCGAGAATGCCCCCCGAGCACAAGCATTTACCCACCCTGAGAGTGAATATAGATAGAAATAACCCGAAGCACAGTAGAAGAAACAGGATTATTTATATACACGCAATAACCCGAATAAACAATGTGGCATTGCTACAATGGCATACATAATATGACAATATGATTGCTATGGTGATACCTTGCAATACTATGATGACAATATGACGATATGGTACAACACTATGGTGCTACTACAATGCTATGATACCCATACCGTGCTAGTATAGACTATATAGAAACACACGATACATGCATGTCTCTACTACAACACAATAATGCCAACTATTCCGATACTATCCTAGAATATCTGTGATTTATTCACATGCAGGCCTGAAATTCAGGGTCTTCTACTCTGCAAAGAGCCAGCCAAGTGCAGGATATCCCTTCTAGCTGGTGTGCTGTGTGCTGAAAGCACGGTTTCACTTACTACTTTTAAATATAAAGCATGGTGCAATTCCATATGATCAGGAACGTAGGCAGAGAGGCAGCAAGGGAGACCATCGAAAGGAAGCCTATCAGCCTAAAGTAGGTCCGAAGCTTCCTGGGAGCCAGTGCCTTGTTCTGTGCCTCCACATCTATGCCCTCTTCAGAACCATTCTGCCCCTCCAGAGCCCTTTTTGCAAGGCTTTCTCTCGTTCTATCCAGCATATAGGCGACCATTCCTATGTTCAAAAGAGTGAATAAGTAGATACTAAGCCACTCGATCATAAATCTCCAATATAAACTCGCTGGGTCTGCATACTTCACATTAAAGTTTATGAGAATCCCAGCGACCCCGAAAACAAGCGCAATAACGACATCTAGCACGCCTATAGTCACTCGAGAGTCAAGACCCCACATAAAAAAGAGAACTACAAAGTAACAAATCCATGCAGTTTTCAAAATAAAAACAGAGTACAGTCTAAAGAACGAGAAAACAAAAAACCCAAAAGACACTTTTACAATGGGGTCAAAGATTGTTCTTTTTAAGACTATTCTCACTATTAGCGTAAAAAAGGAGAGAAGTCGAAGGCCTTTGGACCAAAAAATAGTGCAAAAAAGGACAGCTTCTATCCCCAGTATGAAGAGCACCAGGAAAGTCCCGAGATACCATGAGATTTTGCTGAAAACTTCCCTTCTTTTGGCAGTATCCATATTGTTTAGGGCCTTGCTGACCTCCCTGTGGCCCAGGAAGGTGTCTAATACGTTGGCTGCAGCCAGCATGACTTCAATCCCGTGGGAATTTTCAGTTTCAGCGCCTTCTTCCGGGACTTCTTGGTCTGAATTCGTGGAGGGAGGAGAATTTCCTGTGCTTGGACCGTGCAAATCGACTGTGTGATGGGCAGGATCCTGCTGAGTGTTTTGTGGGTTTTCAGGGGCTTCCTCTTGGTTTGGATCCTCTTTCCCATCTTGATCTGATCTTCTTTCATCCTCTTTATCCATGCAGGAGAAAATCACGTTCTATTTGTGCAATAAAGATCAAAGATCCGATAGAACGAGAAGGGGCTTCGTCGGGCGGGGATTGGCTGGTTTTGTGCTACGGCATGCGCTTTACAAGTCTTGTGAAAGGCAATTTCCAGCCGCTGCGGCTTTTAGCGGGGTCTTGGGGCTATTCCATGCCAGAAGCCGATGCTTATAATCCCCGAATGCCCAGCATCTGAAGAAGGGCAAAGTAAAAGCACAGGAGCCGTATAAGGCAAAAATGTCAACGCAAGCATGTCAAACCCAAGCACATCAGAATGCAATGTCTGGATATATCCAAATATAGAAGGAATGCACCAATGCGGTATAAATGGTATAGATTGCAATATTACAATAGAAAGGAAGTAATAGAGAACAAGAAAGAACATAAAGGAATAAAACAATCATAATAGTTGTAAAACTGGAATAAATCATCTGAAGCATAGCCCTTTGTTCATTTACAGCCTGCTTAAATGCCTATACATTTAGATTGCCCTGGCTTTCTGCTGGAGCCAACCCCCCCTCTAAAACAATAGCTAATCACAAGTAACTATATTTTCAGCATAAAACAATAAGCATAGCAGTAAAACCATAAAAAGTGTAATTTTATAACTCAAGTATACCAGTATAATAAGTATAACAGCAAAACTATACCAGCATGACAAACAGTATAACTACTTCCAGAATCAGAACGGTATAACGGTATAAAGTGGAGAGTATTCCGGGGAAACCACTTTATTGTACTTTATAGGACGTAATGTTGCCTAATCTGCTCAAGCGTAGCAAATTGTATGTCCTTGTGCGTGCTCATAAACATCCCAAAGACCCATGATCCTGTGAGAATGGAGACTCCAAGAATAACTACTATCATAAATATTTCCTGGATGAAGTAACTCCTGAGCTTCATTGGCCTTGACAGGTCTTTTAATGAATTATTTAAGTCATTCACCTTTCTGGCTTGGCTAGCATCCATTGGAACCATCCCCTCTGTCTTTTTCAGGATGTTTGAGGTTATGTTTATTTCGAGAACCTCCTTTATGTATGAGACAAGTCCAAAATTCAGCGTAACAAATAGGATAATCATCCCCTGTAAGCCGCAGAATAACCCAAGATTGTTTCCGAAGTACGGGCAAATATCCTCAAATGAGGCAAGTCCAACGGCAGATCCTGTCATCAGGAAGAGAAGTGCCGTGTCAATGAAGCCAATTTTCAGCCTTTCATCTGCGAACCAGAAAGTTCCCATTATAAGGTACAGGAAAGTCCAGGCGTACCAAGCGACAGGAGCCAACATCGAGAGCAAGAATACAGTAATGCTGGAAAGGAGGCAGAATAACACCGTGAAGTTTAGGTATGTTCTCAAGAAGACAGACCTTATCAAGGCAATGCTTGCAAATAGATAGATGAACATGGTTGGGTCCTGGCTTGCGTAATAGGCAAAAAGTTCTAGCCCGAATATCCCCAGAATGGATATAATCGCAAGAATAATGAGAACAGTCGGAAAAAAGAAAGAATTGTTCTCAAGCAAATGATTCTTCCAAGAATCAGGATGGCTCTTATTGCGGTCAGTGTAGAACTTTAATGCTCGAACAAATGTTACTGCGTTTGTCTCCCCAGGATTTCTCTCGAAAAAAGCAGCGTTTTCTTCTTCTCTCGCGGGATTTTCTTCTCCTCTCGCAGGAATTTCTTCTTCTTCCACGGGAATTTCTTCTTTGATGGATGCTTTCTTGGAGTCTGATTCAGAGCTGGAAGCATTCGAATGAGAAGATGCGTGCGCTAAACCTGTTGTTTCAGGTGCAAACGCTCCATCTTCATGACCTGTTATGGATTCCTGCGGAGTGTTCCCAGGTAACTCCCCGATGGTATGGCTTCTTGAGAGGGTAGCTCCATTTATCGTGTCAGACTGTTGGCTCCCGCCTTCAAAATTGAATTCTTGAGCAGGGCTTCTCTCGTTAGAATATCTCATTCTCTCTCCATAGGCATTCCCAGCACCAGTGTATAATGACTTGCCAAGAATAGACTTTTCTTCTCTAGGATTCATTAAGAGAATAAAAAATCAAATATTTATAGAAAAATCAGAAAAACAGAAAAAATATTTCTATGGGGTAGGAATTCGCTGTTGTATGTGCAAGCAGTTACTCCTAGATTGGTTATTGCTTAGTGTGAGCAATAAGAAATAGCTTTCACATGCACCTAACGAGTAAATAGGAATTTAGTCTATTTAAGCCGGCCGAAAAGTAATCGATGCCTGGCAAAACAGCATATTTCTACACGAACCTGAAAAGTGGAAACAGTCGCTTTTAATCTACCAAAATTGAAGGTATAAATACCCGAAAATTTTTGTAAATCAGATGGAAAGGCAGAGCACAAGAGACAAGTCAGCGAACCAGAATAGTCCAACCAGGAATAATAAATCACTGCTAGAACCTCCTCCTAGACCTACGGCACAGCCTCACACGGATTTACAAGAAACTAACAATGTTTCATATAACTACAGGTGTAATACGGGAAGTGCCAGTGGAATTCACGGCCTTTATTGTTTATTGTAGTGCTTAGATGCTTATGTGTTTAATATATCCTTGTTTATGACGTACTGTCAAACAAATGCCAATTCATTATCCAAACAATAACCAATCATGAGTAACTGTGCTTTCATCACAAAACAAACTACTTCCAGAAGCAGAACAGTATAACGGTATAAAGTGGAGAATATTCCAGGGAAACAACTTTATTGGATTGTATAGGACGCTAGTTGCCTAATCTGCTCAAGTGTAGCAAATTGTATGTCCTTATGTGTGCTCATAAACATTCCAAAGACCCATAATCCTGTAGGGATGGAGATTCCAAGAATAACTACTGTGTAAATTCCGCCCTGGATGAAGTAACTCCTGAGTCTCCTTGGCCTTTTCAGGTTTTTTAATGAATTATTTAAGTCTCTCACCTTTCTGGCTTGGCTAGCATTCATGGGAATTGTCCCCTCTGTCTTTTTCAGGACGTTTGAGGTTATAATTAGGATGAAAACATTAGTTATGTATGAGACAAGTCCAAAATTCAGCGTAACAAATAGGATAATCATCCCCTGTAAGCCGCAGAATAACCCAAGATTGTTTCCGAAGTACGGGCAAATATCCTCAAATGAGGCAAGTCCAAAGGCAGCTCCTGTCATCAGGAAGAGAAGTGCCGTGTCAATGAAGCCAATTTTCAGCCTTGCGTCTCTTAGCCAGAGGATTCCCATTATAATGTACAGGAAACTCCAGGCATACCAGGCGACAGGAGCCAACATCCAGAGCAAGAATACAGTAATGCTGGAAAGGAGGCAGAATAACACCGTGAAGTTTAGGAATGTTTGCAAGAAGGCAGACCTTATCAAGGCAATGCCTGCAAATACGTAGATGAATATAGTTGGGTACTGGCTTGCGTAATAGGCAAAAAGTTCTAGCCCCAATGTTCCCAGAATGAATATAATCGCAAGAATCATGATAATCCACATAAAAATGGAAGAAATATTCTCAACCGGCTGATTCTTCCTAGAATTAGGAATGTCTTCAGATTCGTCAATGTATAACTTTACGGCATTCATGTGTTTGATATTTTCTGTCTTCTTTGGAGTGTTCTTTTTTTTCGGGTTCACAGAAAAGCCAGCGGCTTCTTCTTCAATGGATGCTTTCTTGGAGTCTGATTCAGAGATGGGAGCATTCGAATAAGGAGGAGGCGCTAAACCTGTTGTTTCAGGCGCAAACGCTCCATCTTCATGTCCTGTTATGGATTCCTGCGGAGTGTTCCCAGGTAACTCCCCGATGGTATGGCTTCTTGAGAGGGTAGCTCCATTTATCGTGTCAGACTGTTGGCTTCCGCCTTCAAAATTGAATTGTTGAGCAGGGCTTCTCTCGTTAGAATATCTCATTCTCTCTCCATAGGCATTCCCAGCACCAGTGTATAATGACTCTCCCAAAATAGGCTTTTCTTCTATATGATTCATTAAGAGAATAAAAAATCAAATATTTAAAGAAAAACAGAAAAAACAGAAAAATATTTCTATGGGGTAGGAATTCGCTGTTGTATGCTGAAAGCAGCTACTCCTAGATTGGTTATTGCTTCTTAGGGTTAATTAAGGAGCCAATATAATTCGGAAATTTTGAGAAAAATTGAATAATGTGTGTTTAAGCAGGTAGAAAAATAATAAAGACCGTGAATTTCACTTAGCACTTCCCGTATTACAACTTTCGAAAAGATCAAAGTACCCTATAACTTCACTAATGTATTTATTTAGTGCGGAGTCTCCTTATATGCGAGTTTCAGCGGAAATTACAAACAAAATAGCCTGTAGACAACCCCCCCAGGAGAGCCCCAAATCCAAATAACCCAAAAACTATGACAACTCCAGAGCCTAGCCCCATAGAAAAGTGCTCGGAAAGCTTCTTCTTCTTTATCAGATCGTGCACGGCCTTCTTCTCCTCTGAGTCTGTCTTTTTGTCCTGCGACTTGGCCATTCCCACGTCAGCTCTGTTCTTCAAGTAGTAGCAAGCTCCCAGGCTGGCTCCAAAAAGGAGGGTTGTAACTATCCTTCCCCAGAAGAAGAAAGCTTGGTTATCGGTCAAAACAGTAGAAAGTCCTTCTAGAATGCCCATTGCACTCATGGTGGGGGTGAGAATTGCTATCACAATCAGGTCTAGCTTTGAAAATATGGCGTACTTGTTAGCTGCCCAAATCATCCCTGTAAAAGGCCCGAATGAGATCCATAGGATGCGAATCTCCGGGATAGAGAATGCCAGAACGAAGATGCAGAATGAAACGGCAGCTGCAACCATTGCTGATGCGATGATTTTATCCTTTCCCACAAAGAATGCTCCAACTGCAGCTCCGAGCAGCCCAAGAGCAAGTGCTTTTGGCTGGTTGTAAGTCCTACATATAATTTTAAAGGATGCGAATGCAATGAGTGAAAGGATTATGCTGAGGACAAATATAACCGCCTTTATAGCAGCAGAGTCTGAGATCCAAGTTGTCTTCTCCAGGAAGGTGCTTACTGCGTTCTCTCCGAGCATGATTTTCAGAACTTCGGAGAATTTGAGCGGGGTCTTTCCTGCAACGACTTCTTTGTAGTGCTCGTTTATTCCGAGCAAAATTTGGTTGAATCTTGTCTCTCCGCCTTTAACTTCTGCCATGTACTTTTTCATTTGCTCGAGAATGATTCCGTTGTCTTTTTTGTCTTCCATACTCTAAAAAAAAATCAAATATTTATTCTTGTATGATAAAAGCTGGACTCTCACGGGAGAGTGCGGATTCGCGTGAAAATGCACTTTTTTCGCGTGATGCTCCTTACTCTTCGAGCACGGCATAAGAAGCTGCTAGTTGAAATTTCCGCATCTTTTTTCGTCTTTTCCCGCCTTTAACGGATAACTGATTTTTCCAGATAAGGAAAAACCCACCTGATTTTACAGGTTTACCACACTCTCTCGCTGCAGGAAGCACCTTCTCCACAGACACGGGAAATCCTCACTCCCTGCGCCGGCCCATCCTACACTTGAGTTCTCTCGGAGAAGTACGGGAAAAATGCCAATGTTTCATGCCTGCTTGTGAAGGAAATGAATAGAGCCATCCCCGTCACGGCAGAAACAGCGAGCAAAGTCCAAATCGTCTTCTTTTTTGCCCCCAGGAAAGTCCTCGCACGTATTGGGCCTGTGCTGTTCAAGATATCCGGATTGAAGTTGAACCTCACCCTTCCGTCTAGGAAACTCCAGTCTATTTCCCCTTCCCTCGTCTTTTTTCTAATGAAAAGAATCCATGCGAAGTATGAGAAAATTCCAGAACTCCCCATAACGAACAGAAGCATCAGTATCTGCACCCCCAAGAAAAGGCCGATCTCATTCCCCATGTACGCGTAGAACTTATCAAGCATAGCCAGGCCAAACGCAGATACTCCTGCAGCTAAGGCCAGGAAAGCATCGAATATTCCCACGTCCACTGCACTGTCGTATATCCAGAAGAAGCATGTGACGGAGTAAACAGTTCCCCAGAGAGACCAGAAGATTGGGAATATAACCACAGCAGAAATCCCTATAAGAGAAAAAAAAAGACATAGTTCTGTAATGGGATTTTTTACAGTTTTCTTCATAGCAGCTGCCACTACGGCTGGAGTAAGGAATATCCCCAGGTAAATCTCTGGGTGTGATATTATCCCGTAGAAAACTGCTTCGATCAAGAGAATGGTGATACCTGTTATTTTCAGGATATTTTTGGGCTTCTCCTCCAATTGGGGATAGACCTCTGAAGATTCTTCTTCAAATGCATAGCCCTCCTCTGGGGATATGCTCAGTTCGTATATGTCAGCTTCGCTTGTGGAGGTTCTGCGGATTCTTCTGCCTCCTTCGTATTGAGTTTGCCCTGAATTGTGCATGGGACAGTGAAAAGAATCAAATATTTATTTTAAATTTCAGCGAAGTTTACCCTGCAGAATCCCAGAAAACATTTGCTTTATTTTTATTCTGGTAAAAGCATAGGCACTCGCGATTGGATATTATCCACGGAAACCAATAGAAGTACTCCAGAAGTGGGAGATCAGGTGAAATACGGTGATTATAAGGTGTCTAAGCACTCCAATAAACAATAAAGGCCAATTCTTCGCTTAGCACTTCTCATTGCAACTGTTCGCATCACTAAAGCCCACACAAGTACGAAACACACACTCGAAGAGCTGAGAATATGTGGGCTTATGCGATGCTGAAGCTCAAGAAATGGCGAGTAGAGGGCGGCCGTTCAGACTTAGAAATGCCTGAACAGGTTTAGAATAACCCGAATTCAAGGGCCCACTGTAGTCAGTCTAAATCCAATATTCAGACTCTCCAAAGGCCGTAGTAAAGCCTCTATTGGAGCGTATGCAGACTCCAGTGGAAATCCCGTGGAGACTTAGCCTGAGTTTATGCAGGGATATAGTAAGCCATAAGTCAATGGAAAAAGCATGCACTCAAACCAACGAGTTACTGCTAGAATTCAGGCTAGTCGTAATACGGGCAGTTCTAAGCGAAGAATTGTCCTTTATTTTTTATTGGAGTGCTAGATGGGCGTATGCGCTTGATCCGAACTCCTTCTTTGTCTCGTGCGCAGTCTCTTCTCTGGGCCTTTTCGGGTTATTCGGGAGTAACTGCTGCTCTTTCAGCAATTCTAAAAACTTTCTGAAAAGTGGATTTTCTGGGACTTTCCTTTCTCTGGGGAGTATCTGCTGGAAGGCCAGAATATGCGGGAAAAGTCAAGGGGTCGCACTGGACAGGCAGAGAGGGAAGGGCGGGAGTGTGCATCCTCTTCTTTTTCAGACTCTCCGAGTGCTTTTTCTGGCACTTTCTCGCATATTTCCGTGGGAGCGAAGATATCTCCAAAGCCGTCGGGAAAAGTGGGGATTTCACGCGTGTGCTGGGCATTGCATTCTGGAGTAGACTCTCCGCGGACATATCTTCTTATTTCTCCTGGTTTTTGGGCCTTTCCTGCTGAAGTTCCTGCTATGGGAGACTTTTCATGCCGTGGAAGGCTCCAAATATCCCGTGCGGGATAAACTCGAGTCCCTCATTAAGGTAGAGAAACCGCAAAGTCAGAAGCAAGCCAGTAACTGCAGAGGCCATGAATATGGGGATAACGATAAACTCGCTTACGCTGATGTAGGACCGCAGGCTTCTAGCCTTATTCTCCTGGGCGGACTCTTTCTCCGCGATGTTTACTTCCACGGGTGAGTCCGGATCAGACCCCGGGAGGTATACGACAGTGCACGCTCTCTCGATGAAGGGGGAAAACCTCCTCTTCAAACACGCTAGAATCTGAGCAATATTCAGGAATAGCCCGAAAATCAGGGCAACCATCGCCAGAAACAGGCACATTTCATTGAGCATATAGACAGAAATCCTCTCAAAAACACTCAAAAGCACCGAGGGAATAGGCATCATCAGAACGATCAGTGCATCCACCCAGGAGACTGACGTCTTCTTGTCAAATGCCCAGAATATGCACATGCCTATGTAAATACCCCCGAATAAGTACCACGCAGTGAATAATACAAGCACTAGAAAAGCAGGGAAGAGAATGATGGAAAATGCCAGAAAATTACTCCCCCCGTCTGCTTCCTCTCTGCTGACAAGAATAATTGCTCCTGCAACGGCGCAAAATCCTAAGACATAAAATGCGTGTTTGTAAATGCAAAAAAACAAGAATTCAACGAGCAGAATAATAAGGGTAATTATAAAGCCCTTTAAAAAAATAGTTAAAGTGTCGATTCCCTCGGGAGTAGAGCCCAGAACAGTCGCATTTTCTTCCAGTCTTTCCCAGCCGAACCTGGAGTAGTAGAGCCTCATGCGAATTTTATCCGAGAACTCTGTGGCTTTTCCCCGGATCCCGGTCCTTCTTGAGGCTTCTGCATATTCTTCCTGGAGTCTTTCGATGGGGGGAGCACTGGGGAAGGTATTTGCAGGGTTATCCTGCGTCTTACTGGAACTTTTGGAAGAGATGCTCGCAGGATTCCCCACGGAAGAACTTTCTGCTGCTTTTTCCCTGCTGAGTGGGATATCTATGGGCTTCGGAAGGTTTTCCTGCACTATCTCCTTCGGGGACTTCTGGAGTGATTCGCGTATTGGGTGGGTGCTGCCTTCTTTCTCGCTAGAGGCGCCTCCAGGAGAGTTATTCTCTCCGCCCGTCTTTCTCCTTGTAGAGACTATGTGCTTGCCCTCTCCAGAATGAAGGCTTTCATTTTTTCTATTTTGCATGAGTAAAGGAAAGAAATATTCCGATATTTATGTATAAGCTGCAATCATACTGTGAAAATTGATCGTAGAGCGAATATTCAGAAAAAGTTTATCCTTTTAATATCCCATGAAAAAATAGTTAAATATGCTAGGTTAAAAGAGAAGTTATAGCACTATAGCCCGATAATAGCACGCGAGGGAGAATCTTTATTTCCTTTGCAGTGCTCAAATAGGAGCATCTGCTTGGCGTATGAGCTCTTCGAGACTGCGCTCTCTCCCAATAACCTGATAGTAAACTTCTGGGAGTTCAAGCACTTCCACCTTAAGCCCAACTTTCTCTATGCGGGGAGTACTAAGCCAGATAATCCCATAGATGCAAAGTCCAGAGAGTAGAGAAATTCCTACTTTTACAGCGTACATGCACGTTCCCTTCGCAAGCCAGCGCATACTCTTTGCTCTCTTCATATTCCTCGCATCTTTCGCCCGAGTCTTCTTTTTTCTCGTTGGGCATTCGTGGATTTCTGCCTTCTCCTGCGAGTCTGCCTCTTCTGCGACTTCCTCCAGCAGGCGGATTAAGGCGGAAGTACTTACGGAAAAGACTGCGAATATGATGTACAGCTGGCACAGAAACAGGATCACACTCTCCCAAACGGCAGGTTTCCTCTTCCAAAAGTCCAGGATAAGGTTGAACCCCGTGATACTCCCCAGAGTAGCTCTTCCCAGGTTGAGGATTTCCCTTTCTATCCCGAATAACCCGAATACCCCCAGAGTACCCCAGGAAATCAAGGCCCCGTAGGAAAATGTGCTTAGAAGAGTGAAGAATACGGCGCATACGGAGGATGCGATGATCCCTTCGTTGTAGAATCTCTCCCACCTGAAGGGAGCCATCACTAGGAGGGAAGCGTATGCAAGAACGAGCAAAAAGCACTCTTTTCTTAGCTTGTAGTGGAATACTCCTGCAGCCAGAATGAGTGTTGCTCCTGCCATCGAGTATACGTGTAGGTATATGTCTATCTGCCTCCTGCTGAGTCTTTCTTTCTTCATGGGGCTGGACATGTATAGGTAAACCTTACGCGGAAGCTTAAATGCCTCCTTGCAGAGTTTAGCTAGACTTTTCGCAGTTTTCCCTCCTCTTTTTAGCAGGAGGCTTTTAAAGGGGGAATATTCAGACTTTTTCTGCATGCGAATAATAACGAAATTTCAAATGCTTTTATTCTTACGGAAGATCATAAAAGATCGTGCCAGAATGTGGAAAGTACGTGCTAGAATATGGGAGTGCAGGTTCTGAGAAGTGCAGGAAAGTCTTTGAGGGAGTGCATGCGAGTGTATTTCTGTGGGAGTTTGCAGGATATTCCCTCCTGGGACCCGAAATATCCAAAATCACAGAGTATCCCTGTACTCTCCTACTTCTCTCCTGCAGCATATTCTGGGTGCATTTTCCCGTATTCCCATAATAACCCCATCTTCCGAGTCCAGAATTCCCAGAGCAAAAATATTCAACGCATTTCTTCCGTGGAGGAGAGCAAGAAAAAAGACCGAAAACTCCCAGAGAATTCGGGGTATATCATACCAGGGCATAATTAACTGCGTCCAGACACAGGATAGCCTGAAAGAGCCTTCGGAGTGACTTCCTGCAGGCTTATTATCGTATAGCATCTTTTCCCCATTACTTCACTACTTCACTACTTAGTAATTCACTACTTCATTACTTACTCCTTCATCCTTTGGACTTCATTACTTTACTACTTAGTACTTCACTACTTAGTACTTCATTCCTTTGGACTTTACTACTTCACTACTTAGTACTTCGTTCCTTTGGACTTCATTACTTCATTACTTTACTACTTTACTACTTACTACTTTACTACTTAGTACTTTACTACTTAGTAACTTCACTCCTTCACTCCTTCACTACTTCATTACTTTACTACTTAGTACTTCATTACTTCATTACTTCACTCCTTCACTACTTAGTACTTCACTACTTTACTACTTAGTACTTCACTACTTCACTCCTTCACTCCTTCACTCCTTCACTCCTTCATTACTTCATCCTTTGGACTTTCAAGCAGGGAATGTGCGCATTTGCTCTGGCTTTATCACTCAATCCGCTATCTGGATAATACCATTGGGAAAAGCAGCTTTCAGACCGTGCGAATCCACGAAAAGAGCTGACACTGCTAATCCTATCCCCAACAGGAATACCGTGTGTATTCTCCTATTCGACCAATAGTATGTGTGAAAGCTATTATCTGGGGGCCCTGAGATTGCAGAGTCCTGCTCTATTCTCAGGATGTACTGGATCCAGGTCCTGGCCGTTTTTATGCACGGATTCTCTTCCGTGGGATTGCGCAGTTTGAGTGCGGACTCATTCCAGAACTCCGTGAATGCCCCGTGGGAACCCCACACAAACATGCATACGAGCGAGAAAAGGCTCGGAACTATGACGATGTTCCCGTACATATACGGAGAAAGTGCCTCAAATCCCATCAGGAGGTAGTAGTACGCAGTGAGAAAGATGAAAACAATCATAAAAGTCACAGGAAAATCCTGGCTCTTATCCGCGAAGTATGCGATCGCTGAGAATATCCCGAGGGCAGCCCAGGCACCCAAAGCCCCCCAAGGAAGCGTGAGAAGCCATATGTAAAGCAGACAAACGACTTGGAATACGAAGAGTCTCGGCCTGTGGAAGAGTCCACTCCCTAGGATCACCACAAAGAAACTCCCCAACAACAAAAAGATATCTCGGATTAAGACTCCGGGCATTTCATACCAGGATATCACTGCAGTAAAAATAGCTGCTCCGGATATAAAGGCGTACGTACATATCATAAAGTTGGTTTTGTTCGCAGAACAACTGTCGAATATGGGCTCTTGCAGTAGATTCCAGCCTTTTGGCTCTATCTTGGGCTTTTTTGTATAGAAGATTTCTGCCTCGTCAATGAACTTGGCTACACCGAAAGCTCCGTCACAAAATACTCGCAAATAATTAAAGAGGCTGGGCTGCACTATCTCGTACTCTGAGCTGTAATCATCACTACTTTCAGAATTATTGTCCATGGATAAGAGAAAAAATGTGCATTTATACTTTGAATTCGATCAAAAAGTGGGAAATCTCTTCTATTTTGTCGGAGTGTAATCAGCGATGGGATACTCATGTGCTTTTCGGTCTAAAAGATGCCTCGTATGACTATGCTCTGGCTCTTTATTATACAATGCGCGGGAGTACTCCGCAATATATGCTCACAGCAGAGTCTAATTCCTGCATTACAGCTAAATTACTGCGTAAGAGGCAGAAAGAAAGAGCGTGCAGTTTAGCCTTTATTTCGTGGGAAACTTCCAGGACTCCGCTGAAGGATTAGGACTGACCCACAGATGGGAGTGCTGAGTCTGTGGGGGATTCTACGAGTACAGGAATTCCTTCCACGCAGTTGCCCTCTTATAGAGCTCAGACAGGTCGAATCTGGCAAATTGAAGGTCTGGATGGGTTAATATGAATATGTAGAAGACGGTAACTCCTATAAGTGCAGAGACTGTGTACATAGCGTATATTCTTAGGTCTGTTTTCACGAAGTAATGCTTAAAAGTGCTGACGCTCTCCTCATCTGGGTAGCTTTCGTATATAAGCCTTTCCAGATCTCCTCCTACGAAGACGACATCCTCCCCTGGCTTCGGTATAGCATCTACATCTATAGTACTCCAGTACGGGCATATATCATCGTCAAAAAGGTAGGAAAAAAGCCCCCAATTCAGCTTAATGAAGAGGTAAATGAGCAGCTGTATGCCAAAGTATAGGCCGTGCGTATTAAGTGCGTATGCGTAAAAAACATCGAGTCTCCACAGGATGCAAGCAGCTGCTGTCATAAAGAAAAGGCTCACTAGATCTCCCCTCGTGGTTTCTACGTACTCGTTCGTGAGAATTCGCAGAATAACAATGGTGTAGTAGATCCACCAAAACCACCAGAAAGACCTCCGCATGAAAACAGCGAAGGCATTTAATAGAAGGATATATGCAGTTCGGAGAATGGTAGACCCCTCCGGGGGTTCGAGCGTGCAGGACTTCATAATCCCGACTCCTGTGATTATGAGCATCGATATGCTCGGGTATATGTAGCCGAAGCATATATTTATCAGGACAATAACTGCTATAACAGTGTATATGCACACGAACGCTAAAATGTCTTTGTATATTTCATCCCGGGTTTTCCCTTGTAGTGAGTATATATTATCATCGACTGCCTTCCACCCAGAAGTACTGTGCAGCCTATACCGTGCCTGTGCAAGTCCTAGCGTGACTTTTTTTTTCTTGGCGACTTCTTTTCTCATTTACAGTCCGTGAAAATTCTCCATATTTATAGAGGAAAGATGATTTTGAATTTTGGTTTTCTTATTTTCTGGGGATCATGATCTTTATTCTAGAAATAAAGTCTCCAGATCTGCATCAAAATTACGCAATTTCTCGTAGATCCGGGGAAAGAGGGAGAGATGATGTGGGAGTTCGGGTGCGTGAGCATTTATCCCTGGAGGAGACGTGCATTTGCCTATCCGCGGGACAGCGTGTAAAATACTGAAGAAACGGGAAAAGCCTGGATTCCAGGGGACAGATCTGGGGAGTGCACGGGAAGATCGAGTACTCCATCCTGAGGGTATTCCTTCCGTGCGAGGGATAAATCCAACGAAGCACTTTCCCGTCTTCTCTCCGTGGGCTTGGACTCTCTTTCTTGTAAGTGGAATTTATTTTCTTTTTTCAGTCACTGCGGGAGAGCTTAACTTTCTGGGGTGAGGGCCTGAATTTTCTACTGTATCTGCGATTGGAGCAGGCAGACTGAGTTCTGCGGGTGGAGCAGATACTCGTTTTTCTGGGGGTCTGGCTTCGTATCTGCCTTTTCTCGCTAGGAAATGCACTTTTTACCGGAAGTTTTTGGGATGAGAATTCAGGTGAACTTTCCCTACTCCAGCCACTCGCAGGAGATGTCGTGATCTGCCAGGGCCCTGCAAAGTGCCTCCTTCTCCGGGCATGTGTAAAGTGCCCTGAAAAGCTCGTTTGGATCGTCTGGGAGGGTGTTTATGGGCATGCTAAAGACGGGGAATACTTCCGGCATCTGCTCGAAGGCTGGGGAGTTCTTCAGTGCATTTTGGAGCTTTGTCGTGAGATGTCCTCTGATCTCCGGGGAAAGGGCGTTTATCGAGGCCTTCAACTGCGAGGAAGAAAAAGGCCCTAGTTTCAGGAAGACAGACCCTGTGATGACGCCTTTTCTCTGCATTTCCACGAACTCCGTGAATTTTCTCAGGTAGGGAAAGCACGCGTACGGGTCCTCAACCCCAAAGTCTATGAGGAGGGAGGAAAGCACGTCCAGGCTATTGTGCAGGTGCATCAGGTGCTTCGTAGAAACCTTCTTCTCTCGTTTTGTGATGTGCTCAAACCCTAGGGCGTCGATCCTTTTTGCGATGTACTCAAAGATCGAGACAACGACAGCCTTTGGCACGTACAGGCTGCAGAGAACAGAGTGGACCATCTTCAAATGCGAAACAATCGAGTCCAGAGAAGGCTTTTTGAGCAGTCTTGAGAGAAGATTCCCCCCCTCCAGGGCGTTCGGCTTAAAGAGAAAGTCAAGCCCAAAGTTCACGATTTCCTCGCAGAGGGCCTTGCACCCCTCCGTGAAGATGCTCTGGAGAGTCTCCGAAGTCTTTGCAGAGGGAGACGTTCTCGCTATGAAGATGGCATTCGTCAGGAAGAATCCCGTGTATAGGGGAATCGACGACTTTTTAACAACAAGAACTGCATACGCTGCGGATTCGAACTCGCGAACTCCTGCCAAAATATTCTCGGATATTCCCCCCCTGCAAAGAGCAGCTACTCGGAAGAGGGCGAAGGAGCAGCTGACAGCCTGATAGTAGGAGGGATACTCTGGCCGTATATTCTGTATGAATATCTTGCATATCTTCTTGAAGAGGCCAGACTCCCTCCCAGGAGAGGACTCTGCCTGAAGACTCTCCCCCCGAACTGTCTGCTGGGGGTTTGTCGTTGTCTTGAAATATTCTCCGCTGGAGAGTTCGTACAGCATTACTTCTATCTTGTGGCTTAGGTCTCGGATTAGCGTGTCTTTTTCCGTTAAAATTGTTTTCAGGTTTTTTATCTCGTTTTTTCTTGTTTCTTCCTCGCCCTGGAGCTCCGCCAGGAAGAGCGACTGCATTTCGTACTTTTCCTCGAGTCGGTGACAGTTCGAGCACGCCCGCAGGGGATTCGCATCGAAGAAAATCACGGACTCATCGGAGCTCGAATTCCTCGAGGGTTCGCCCTCCGCCTGCTCCTCCTGGAAAAAACCCATTCCCCCCCTCTCCTTCGGGCAGGATCTCTCCTCCACGAGAGTATCCTCTGGGAGCCGAACTTCCTCCTTCTCTTCCTCCTTTTCCTTTTCTTTTTCTTTTTCCTTCTCCTTCTCTTTTTTCTCCTTCTCCTCTTTTTCTTTCTCCTTTTCTTTTCTCGCTTGTATTTGGAGCCTGCTCCTGAGGAACCTTTTTATTACATCGGCTGCCTGATCTTCTGCCTTCTTCTTCTGGGCTTCGAGGGTGTTGTAGGCCTCCTCTGTTAGGAACACGTACTTCTTTCCCACCTGCACGCCTGGGGTCTCAGATGGGTCTCCAGCGTATCTCTCGGAGAATTCTTCCCTCGTGGTTTTCAGGTAAAATCCGAGCATGAAAATTTTCACCGTTTCAAAGACTCCTGTGAGGCGAAGCTGGTTCTTTACGTAGGAATCTGCGAATTCCTCGCAGGGTCCTGGCTTTATGCATCGTACGTAGTGCAGAGTGCACTTATTCACCTCCTCCAGGAGGGCGTTGAGGCTTTTCTGGAACTCCCCTATAACGCCAACTCGAGTGAGCTTTCCCAGGAAGGATTCTGGCTGCTGGAGAAGGCGTATTCTCGTCGCATTCAGGAAGGAGCACGTGTCTGAGTATGCATTCCTGTTTTTCTGGACGAAGTCATCCGCCGTATACGAGACAGATCCTGCATAGTGCTCTATTTCCATCGAGTTATTTCTCGTCCGAATTGTTCCTGTGGAAGAGACTTTGCTTAGCCAATTCTTAACGGACCCACTGGGAAGGAAGGATTCTTCGTCCAGGAGCTTTATAATGCCTAAAGACCCCTCAAAAACGGACTCTGCCTGCGCGAGAAGCGAGATATTGTCTAGTTCGATGCCCTCCTCCTTGAAGGCGTTCATGTTTTCTGTTATTACCCTCTTAACGTACTCCGCCTGGATTTTTTCGTTCGCGTAGTTTATGCAGAGTTGATCTAGCCCGTTTTTTTCCATGATCTCGAACCCGTATATGTCGAGGACTCCGATTTTTGCAGTTTCCTCGCGCTCTGGGGGTTTGCTGCTCTCTGGGAGGGGAATTTCCACGGGGAGGGATAGATTCTGCAGGTCCTCCACAAATGCGCGCACTCCTTTCTCGTCCAGGGACGCTTTCAGAGAGTCTTTCTCGCTTTCCTGGGATTCCTTCCTGGAAAGTGCTGAATTTACAGTGAAAACAGCGAGTTCGAATGTTTTCTCGTATACGACCCGAATGAGCGTGTTCTTGCTTGTAGTCGCGTCCTTCAGGGTCTTTTCTTTCGTGATGTTCTCCCCTGCGATTCGCAGGGACTTCCTCAGGAGAAGCTCCTCCAGGGCAGAGGATGGCACCCCCAGCATCTCCGAGATCCTCCCAAGATCCCCCTCCACGCGACACTTTCCGTTCTCTTCAAGCACTTCCACCTGCACGAGGAGATTCACGAGGAGAAGCATCCGGAAAAGGCCCAAGACCTCGCAACGAGTGACTCCCAGAGCGTGGAAGTCCGCCAGTATGCTCCGCATGCGGTCCCACGCACTTTCCGCCCCCTCTCCCTGCGTGAGCTCCTGTAAAAGCACCATTGCATGGAAATTCTGGCTTTTTCCCTCGGCTCTCCCCTTCTCCAAAAGAAAAGCCTTCACACTCGCAGAGACTATGCTATTTTCAGAGTACGAAATTTCAACGTATTTTCCAAAGCGAGACGAGTTTTTGTTGTTTTTCGTGCAGGCATTTCCAAAGAGCTCCAGAATAGGAGAAGCGTGGACGAGTTTTTTTCCTGTTTTTTCTCCCTGGGATCTTCCGGAGAGATACTCCAGGATGTAGTTGGCATTTACGCTTTTTCCAGAGCCTGATTCTCCGCTTAGGATGATGACTTGGCTCTTCCTCTGCTTTACTCCTTTGTACGCTCTTTCTGCGATTGTGTATATGTGCGGGTGCTCTGGGTTCTCTCTCGCAGTGCTTTTTTCCCTTTCCCCGTAGGCTTTTGGTATTGGCCTGTTCGGATTGACTGAGACTAGGGCGGGTCCTGCTAAGGTGTATATCTTGTCGTTTGTGTATCTCTCCTTCACTATTTGAAGGACTTCATTTTCGTCGAACTTTTCCAAGAGGGAGAGATTGTCTATCTTCTGGTGCTCTTTCATGCGGGACTCCATTTCCGTGACTTTAAGAAGAAAGTGAAATTTTATTTCAAAGCAAAACAAACACGGGCCAATCACGCGGTGGGTCTGGGGTCGTGAGAGAAAAAAGTCCTTTGAAGGGAGGGCCTGCGGAGATACTTTTTGGCCTGAACGCAGGATGGGGTCGGACCAAATACCGGTTTGTTTATGTGATCCTTTCGTGGCACTTTTAATATACGGAGCAAAAAGCAAACACTCATTTATTGCACACTCTGCATCAAGTTTAGTGGCACTTATTATGTGGTGCACAGTAAGCCGTGTTTTGGAAATGTGCAGTACTTGTTGCACGGTGGGTGGCAAGTCATACTTAGTGTGTGGTGTGCAGTAGGTCCTGCCCGGCATTGTGCAGTACTTATTGCACCGTGCACGCAATAAATCGCACTTACCCCACACTGCACAATAAACCACGCATTGGAAGCACCCAGAACTTATTCCACACTCTGCAGTAAGTCCAGAACTTATTCCACCCTCTGCAGTGCTATATGCGAAAGCAGTTGCTCGCAATTTGTTATTGCTTAGATGGGCCTAGTTAAGGGATGGGGCAATACATAAGTACTAAACTCCAATAACAATAAAGGCCGTGAGTTTCGCTAGCACTTCCCGTATTACAACGCACAGCAAGTCGCACGTACTGTGATGTTTTCAGGGTTTCCCAATGCGGAAATACTACCTGTTTTTCCTAATATAGAAATATTACCTGAAACACATTTATTTCTCTCCGCAGTTGGATATTACAATCCTGGAAATAGGTCTATCGCTTCCATCCGTGCGTGTTCCTTCGATCTTTCGAACTACATCAGCACCTTCAATGACTTTTCCAAATACAACGTGTTTTCCGTTAAGCCACTCCGTGACTGTTGTCGTTATAAAGAACTGCGATCCGTTTGTGTTTGGTCCAGCATTTGCCATTGAGAGCAAGTATGGCTCATCGTGCTTCAGCTTGAAGTTCTCATCTGCAAACTTAGCCCCGTATATGCTCGCTCCTCCAGTGCCATTTCCCTTCGTGAAGTCTCCGCCCTGGATCATAAAGTCCTTAATAACTCTGTGGAAAATAGAGCCTTTGTATCCCTTAAGGTCCTTTGCAGTTCCAGTGCAAAGTTGCCTGAAGTTTTCAGCTGTTTTTGGGACTACATCTGCTGCCAGAAGGATAACTATCTGGCCCAGGTACGATCCATCTGCAGTTATATCTAAGAAGACTTTTGGGTTGTTAGTGTCTATTTTTGCCATGGGCTAATAAAAAATAAAAAATAAAAAGGAATAATAGTAGTAAAATAGCAAATAGAAAGGGTATTAGTAATAGAGTATTAAGCCAGACAGGGAAGATATAATAAATAAATTCAAAATAGTTATAATAGAGTATTAGTATGAAAATAGGATAATGATCGAAATAATGCTAGCAATAGAACAACAGGAAGATATCAGCAGGTCATTAGGAAGATATTAGCAATAATACACTAGTAGGAATATTAGGAAGAATACTAGTAAGTTATTAGGAAGAGAGTAGTTGTTAGTAAGTTATTAGGAAGAATACTAGTATGAATAGAGTAGTTATTAGTAAGTTATTGGTAAGTTATTGGTAAGTTATTGGTAAGTTATTAGGAAGAATACACTAGTAGGAATATTAGAAAGTTATTAGTAAGTTATTAGGAATATATTAGCAATAATACACTAGTAAGTTATTAGAATAATATTAGTAAGTTATTAGAAAGAGTAATAAAAATAATGCTAGTAAGAATATTAGTATGAAAATAGGATAATAATAGAGATATTGGCCGGTTATTAGGAAGATGTTAGGATAATAATAGAGATAATACTAGTAGGAACAGAGTAGTTATTAGTAAGTTATTAGGATAATACTAGTAGGAATAGAGCAGGTATTAGTCAGACTGCTATAATAGTTGTTGGTATGTTACTACTCTGCATGGCTACTGTTCAGCTTAAATGGCAGTGTTTGCTCTTTTTGTCTTTTCTTTCTGTGATTTTCCTTTTTCTCGAAAATTTCCTTTTTCCCGTGGGATTTTGCTAAGTAAAAAGGCCTCTCCTGAGTACCCCCCCAGCACTGTGAGAGCGTGCTAATTAAAAGTGCAGAGAGAAAAAGCAGGAGTATATGCTAAAAAGTACCAGAAAATACTACTGCTAAATGCCGAAGGCATCTAATTGCTAATATCTTACTATAATAACTTACTAGTTGCTGTAACTTATCCACTAACACTATCTTACTATTAACAGCTGTAATAACTTACTGTCTTACTATAATACTACTGTCTTACCATAATATCTTACTATCCTATCCAATAACTTACCAATGACTTACTTATGTCTTGCTAATAACTATCTTACTATCCTATCCAATACCAATAACTTACTTATATCTGACCAATGACTTACTTATATCTTGCCTATAACTTACTTATATCTTGCTAATAACTATCTTACTATCCTATCCAATACCAACTTACCTATAACTTACTTATGACTTACTTATATCTTGCTAATAACTATCTTACCTATGACTTACTTATATCTTACTTATAACTATCTTACCAATGACTTGCCTATACTTACCTATATTTGCTTATGTCTTGCTATAATGCCTTGGTACAGCCATCCAATTACTATGCCTGTGCTTATTGCGCAATAACCCGAATATCTTGCTCCCTTTATTACTGCAATCACGTGTGAACATTCCCGGAAGCATCTGCCACCGACCCCGTCAAGTACACGTGCAGAGTGAGCTTGTACGAGAAGAATCTGAGCAAGTTCGGGAACTCTCTCTCGCGGTTGTTCAGAAGTATCTTTCTTCCGCCTAAATCCTCCACGTAGAAGAGGAACTCCGTATACTCCCGCAGGTCAATCTCCTCCTCTGGGACTCCCCCGTATGTAGGCTGCAGGGAAGCTGCCAGCCCGAGAATGGCCTTCCGAATGAAGGAGTAAAGGGAGTCTCTCCGTGAGAATTGTATAAATACAGTTTTCTCTCCGAATATGATCTGAGCCACGCAGACTCTTCTTTTTTCGTCTGAACTTCGCCCTCGCATTTGCCCGTATTCCTGCATATCTGAAAATTTATTCCGTGGAATTGTTTCACTTTAAAACATGGCAGTTCGCGTGGAGACTCGGGACGGAAAGGTGTACAGGCTGGAGAAGGCCCAATACGAGCAGAGTACGCTTCTGAGGGAACTTGTTGAGAGTGTAGGCTCATTTGAGCGTGCTTCTATTCTCGTGGAGAGTGATGTTTTTGAGAGGATTATTTCCTTCATGGACGCTCACTCTGGGGAGAGCCTGGAGGAAGTCAGCGGGGAGGTTTTACTCGGGGATTTTGACGAGGAATTTCTCTCTGTGGAAAGTGCCCTTCTATTTCGCATTACGTCAGCTGCTAACTATCTGTGCATGCCCCTTCTCCTGGAGATGTGCTGCCAGGTCATTTCCAGGAGTCTGCGCGAGAAAAGCGCAGAAGAGATAAAGGCGTATCTGGATGTGCCTTCTCGGAGTGTGGGAAGTGATGTAAACGTCCAAAAGGAGTACAGATGGATTGAATAGTGGATTACTCTGGGTGGGATAAGGATATGATATTATGATAGGATATTACGATAAGTATGGTAGTAAGTTAGGAATGTGAGTATTACGTTATGAGTATAGTACGATATAAGTATGGTATTATGATAAAATTATTATAAAATAGTATTACATTATCACGTTATCAGTATAGGTATGAGATTTCTCTATTATTACGTTATTACGTTGTCAGTATAGGTATAGGCATGTTATTATAGCATTGTTATTACATTAAAAGTATGATACTATGATAAGATTATTATAGCATGATTATTACGTTATCGGTATAGGTATGTGATTGCTCTATTATTCCGTTAGAAGTATGGTACTATGATATGATTATTATAGCATTATTGTTACGATAGGAGTATGCTGTGGTTATTATTTGGGTGTAATTATCTCTTATTTTTCTATTTCTTTATTTCTTATTTACTTTACGGGGGCTTTTGCTGAATAGACACAGCAGGCTCTATTTTGCGATATATTCGCGTATGCCTGAATTGAACGAGACAGTTCCTGCGGGGTGGCTCTATGCGCGTGATTCAGTGGAGAGTGGGCGAGAGCAGAGGCCTTTGCTGCCTGTGAAAGGAGAAGGGTCTTTTTGCTGCAGGTGTGCAAAGAGGCTTCTCTCTGGAGGGCTCTCTGGAGGGCAGAGAACGAGCGAATGTTCTCTCTTGGGCTGGGGAGTATCCCGAAGTCGCAGGGTATTTTCAGCCTGAAAGAGACAGAATCACGCAGTTTCTGGCTAGAAGCACTGCAGCATCTCGCAGTCCCATTAGACTCTTGCCTGCGCAGTGCAGTGTTAACTACTTCACTAGTATTAACTACGTCATTATTAGTACTAACTACTTCATTGGTTGTATTACAGAGTATTTCATTATTAGTACTAACTACGTCATTATTAGTATTAACTACTTCACTAGTACTAACTGGTTCATTATTAGTATTAACTATTTCACTAGTATTAATAACTACGTCATTATTATTGCTAACTACTTCACTAGTTGTATTAATAACTACTTCATTATTATTATTGCTAACTACCTCATTATTATTATTAATAACTACGTCATTATTATTGCTAACTACTTCATTGGTTGTACTGCTAACTACGTCATTATTATTGCTAACCATATTATTACTACTAACTACTTCACTGCCATTAGTACTGCTGTTACTGCTGGCCGTTTTGTTTTTTTGTTTTTTCTGTGTGCTTGCGCTCTCTTTTCTGGTTGTGTACGGGAGTATTTTGTTGAGGAGTTGCTTTGTCTCCCTTTCGAGTTCAAGAACGGTTTCTGTCACTTCCCCTTTTTTCTTCATGATCATAAGCAGCTGCCTTGGAGTTAGGCTATTTGCGTCTCTTTCCATCAATTCCTTGTGCCTCACGTATTTTGGAAGAGTCTTCCTCCGCCGGGTCTTTCTCTTCTTCACGGGGATCTCTTCTATCTCTATGTGGGAAATCGGGGAGGGAGGGCACTCCTCATACGCCTCTTCTGGGATCTTCATGTGAAAACTCCGCAGAAAAATAAATGCTTATAAAGTGGAAAAGGCGGGCGCGGTTAAATGCAAAAATATTAGAAAGTGGGCGATAACCTGAAAATATCCGCATTGGGAAAGTGTGGATGCAAAAAAACGGAATGCCTGCCCGAATACTCACGAGAAACACAGGAATACCCCGAAATATCTGAGTTTTCACCAGATGGTAGATCATTTACAGCTATACGATATGGGCAAGCCAACAAGCTAAATCTTGCTCTATTTATCGAATAGTTCTTGCTCTTGATCTTGTATGGTGAAAATTCAGATATTTCGGGGTATTTCTAGGAAGAGAAGGGCTTTATATAGCCCAAAGAATGGGTATTTGCGACAGTCTATTTAAGCGTGTTGAGCTTAACGAATATATTAAGCAGTTCTCTCCCATGCTTAATACTCTACGCATTGAAAATGTGCCAGGCCTCTTCTGTGCTACTGCAATCTATTTATTTACCGCGCGAGCGCGCACCAAGAACCGCAATTTTTTTCTTATATTGTTTTTGCGGTGTCCATATTAGGAAATATTTCCTAATCAGGAATTCTTACCTGAAAGTTTCCTCGATCCCATGCTGAACTTTTTCCTGCAGCACGTGTATAGGATCGTAGACGTGTTCCCAACTGCCATCATAAAAATCAGGCACGCCCCAATCGCGGGCTGGTAATTCTCCCAGCGGTGTGACACCTGCAGGCTAAAAATGTAGTAGGCCACGTATACCTGAACTCCCTGGAAAACCATCAAAACAGAAACAGCAACCCCGAAGTTGGCGGTCATGGACAAGTTCATGACTTCGCTCGTGATCTCCAGCGGATGTGCTCTTTCAATCGACCGCAAAATGTACAACCGCCGCATCTGGTACTGGTACTGCACGACCTGCGAGCAGGAAAGCACAAACAGAAACTTCAGAACAGGCACACGGATGTAGACAAATGATGAATCAGGGCACGTAAGCATAATGGCTGTTATCACTATGCAGATATAATGGTGTAGAATCCACCACATCTTTATGTTGCTTCCGTTATTTATGAGAATGTGCTCTCGTATCGTGAGCGTGGAGTAAATGTACATTTGCGCCAGTATTTGCAGCGTGTCCAAGATCTTGCTCGTCATAAAGAGGTTTATCAGCGTAAATACAGTTATTATTATCGTGGAGTAGAGCTTGAAAGACTCGTAGTCCGACTTGTACTTGTACTTTGACGGCTCTGGGAGCTTCAGCTGGCTCACCCCCAGGAAAAGCGCAAGAAAGTTCGAGGTTGAAACCTCCGAGGACGCCTTTAGGAGGTGCCTAGCAGGAATTTCGGTTTTATTTGCGGCAATTTCTGAAAGAAGTTTCTTCAGGGCAGACTTCTTCTTTTCAGACTTCTCCGATAAAACGGCCAAATCCTGCAGGATATCAGCAACTTCTTCAGAGGGACACTTTCTTGCTGGTTCTTCCATGCAGAAAAATAAAAAAAAAAGAATATGCGAGCAAGAAAGAGAGCAAGTGAAAGAGAAAGGGAGAAATAACCAGAACAAATTTATTACAGGCACTAGACTGAGAACAAAATACTATTGCCACTATAATAACAGCCTTAATATTCTCTTGCCAACTATCCTTCTATTATAACTATACTACTATAGTAACTAACTATTCTTCCATTATAACCCGAATTCTCTTACTATAATAACTATAATGCTATAATAACTGTCTTGCTATAGTAACTATAATGCTATAATAACTAGTATTCTCTTACTATAATAACTATAATGCTATAATAAATATCCTTCCATTATAACTGTCTTACTATAATAACTATACTATAATAACTGTCTTGCTATAATAACTATAATTCTATAATAACTAGTATTCTCTTACTATAATAACCAACTGTCTAACTATCTTGCTATTGTTACAGCCACAATACTATCCTTCTATTTCTACTATGCTGTAGCAACTGTCCTGCTCTTTATTTTCTCTCTATTTTCTATTTATTCTTTTCTTTTCTGCACTTCCATGGATAAAGCCGTGAAAACCCCGAAGGGAACTCGCGACTACGTGGGAAGCGACAAGATTAAGCTGGACAGGATCATCGAACAAGCAGAGAAAGTGTATAAGTCCATGGGAGGAATCCCCTTCGATACGCCTTCTTTCGAGATAAAGTCTACCCTCACGCAAAAATACGGAGAAGAGTCTAAGAAGCTCATTTACGACCTCGCAGATCAGGGCGGTGAAATATGCGCCCTAAAATACGACCTGACAGTTCCCCTCGCAAGATTCCTGGCAATGACTAAGACCCAGAAAATCAAGAGATTCCACACGGATAAAGTCTACAGAAGAGATCAGCCTGCCCTAAACAGGGGAAGATACAGGGAATTCTACCAAAGTGATTTTGACATTGTAGGGGAATACTCCCACATGGCAGCAGATGCTGAAATAGTCTTTTCCGCCTGTGAGATTCTGCGGGCTTTCTCTGGGGAAATTTCCAGGGACATTCTCGTGAGAATAAACCACAGAAAACTAGTCGATGGAATTATGTCTCTCTGCGGGATAGAATCGGAGATTCGCAGGGATATCTGCAGCAGCATAGATAAGCTGGATAAGATCCCGTGGGAAGATGTAGCCCTGGAAATGCAGAGTAAAGGGGCTTCTTCAGAGAGTATTCAGGAAATCAGGAAATTCACTCTCGTAAAAGGCAGCATTCAGGAGGTTATTCGGGGAATTCCGGAACTGGCTCGGGCTGAGAGTGAGGCCGTGCACGATCTGATGCGGCTTGACGAGTTACTCTCGCTCTACGGGGTCGGAGAAAGCGTAGTTCTGGATCTGAGCCTGATCCGGGGCCTGGAGTATTACACGGGACTCCTCATAGAGGGCGGATACGTGGGACTGGAGGGATCTTTCGTCGCAGGAGGAAGATACGATGGACTGGCAGATGCCATGGGGGCTAAGCGCGAGAAGAAGAGCAGCAAGCCCAAAGAGAGTAACTGTCAACAGATGGATAGTAGTAGTAAAAACACTAATAACAAGAGTACTTGTAACTGTCAAGAGAGTAACTGTCAAAAGATGGATGGTTGTAATAGTAGTTGTAATCCTGATGATACTGCTGTGGAAGCACTTTGTGATGGAGTGAAAAATCTAAAGTGTACAAAAACCCCAGAAAAATGCAGAGTTTTAAATACATCTAGTTCGAGCGTAAAGTGCGTGGGGATGAGCCTGGGCGTAAGCAGACTCTTCAGCGCCCTCGAGGGACCGGAGAGGAAGACGTACACGGAAGTGCTCGTATGCTCTGTGGGGTCGAACCTTCTCAGTGAAAGAGTCAGAATGTGCCTTCTCCTGCGAAGGAGCGGAATCAACGCAGAATACTTCATGGGAGAGAGCAACAACTTCGCACGGCACAGTGAATACGCGGAAAGTGCAGGAATAGGCACTCTCGTCCTCATCGGGAGAAAAGAGATAGAGACGGAGACGTATCAGATCATCTCAGGAGAGAGAAACAGCAGGAAGAAAGTGCCAGTGCACATAGACAGAATAGCCGAGTACATCAAGGGAATGCGAGAGCCAAAAAATGAATAAACATGTCACTTGAGATATAAAGAGATAGCAAAACAGTTATTATAGTAAGATAGAAGGATAATACAGACATATAGGAAGAGCTATATAGATAGCTATTATAGTAAGATAGAAAAATATTATGATAATTTGATGTGTTATATAGCTATACTACACTATATAACTATACTATTATAACTATACTATCTAACTACACTATATAACTACACTATAGATCTATACTATATAACTATACTGAAACAATCATATACACTATCTAACTATCTTATTCTACTACTATATTCTTCATTGTTCTGCTATCCTTCTGCTATCCTTCTGCTATCCTGTTGTTATGGTGTTATGCCTTTCTTTTTTTTCTTTGCAAATTTTGCAGAGTAAAATACATGCGAACTCTTAAGCACCACGAGAAGAAACTCCTCAGAAAAGTAGACCTTCTAGAATGGAAAGGCACTTCCACTGTGAGAGAGCAGGCAGTCACTAGAAGGTATCAGCTCCAGGACAGGGAGACGTATACAAAGTACAACTACATCGTGGGGATGATAAAAAGACTCTCCCTCGCCCTGGCTAAACTCAACGATAACGAGCCAATGAAGCAAATCCTCGTTCGGGAGCTGTCGAGTCGCCTTTTCTCTCTCGGCCTGATCAACGCAAAGACTCTTTTAGAGTGTGCGGGCATTTCCGTCGCTGCTTTCTGCAAGAGAAGGCTCAGCTCTGTCCTGGAAAGCACGAAAATAGTCCCAGATATAAAGACAGCAGTGACTTTCATAGGAGATGGGCACATAAAAGTGGGGACGGAAATCGTCACTGATCCCTCCCTCATCGTATCCCGAACTATGCAGGACTACATCACGTGGAGAGAAGGATCTGCCGTAAAACGAACAATCGATGAGTTCACAGAGTAATCCGGTATTATAAGAATATGAGAATAAAGAAAGTATTTAGATAGATAATATCTTATTTAGATATATATATAGTAGTAGTTAGTTAGACAGTTGGATATAGTAGTAGTTAGTTGGTTAGTTTGATAGATATTAGTAGTAGTAGTAGTTAGATAGATATTAGTAGTAGTAGTTAGTTAGATAGTTAGTTAGTTAGTAGTTATTTAGTTTGATAGATATAGTAGTTGGCTAGATATAATATGTTGTTTAGATGGCTGGATAGATATACATTTGGTTGTTGCAATAGTGCTATATCCACGGTAGTAGTATAGTAGCAGACTACTAGAAAATAAAATAGTAAAATATTTATTAATAAAACACTAACTCTCAGTATAAGTACACATTATAATAAAATCATTCAGCACAAAAATATATTATTAAAAAGAAAAAAGAATACTATTATACTACTACAGTGTTATACAGTACACCAGTATAACCAGATAGTATTACGACGGTCTAATTATACTACTATACTACTCAGTAGACTATATGGATATATCAATCACTGATTACACAATCATATATCTAAACATGCTATACTATCCACACAAACATACTACTACATATTCTACTAACCATCTAAATATGCTACTATCCGACTCTTATCCTATGCCAGCCATCTTACTATACTCCTGCCTCTTTCTGTAAAGAAAAAACAAAAATCCACGGATCAGGCCTTCCTGGGTATATATAGTTGCTATTATTATTTTTTATGTTTTCATTTTTGAGGGTAAACCTTCCAGAGTGGAGTGCAGGAAGTACACTTTTCAGCAGATTCACATCTTCAGCAGCAAATATGCTACTCGCTCGAATGCGCCGCATAATTCATCCGCTGCAGATAGAAAGCATATCTTTCGACATAATAAAAGGCATTTTTGTGCTGGAGGGCATAAATGCACAAAATCACACGGAGGAGGGCCTTCTCGTGGAGATTCGCATAGAAGCTGCAGTAATTCGCAGCAATTGGTTCAACAACGAAGTCCCCAGCATCCACTGCAGCAGTGCCCGCATAAAGTGCAGTCGGACAGAGTCTCCAGGAAAGTGTAGAGAAAGCAAAAAAAAAAGTACACTTTCCAGAATGCTTGAGGCTTTATTCGGGCGCGTGTACAAGGCGCTTTCCTGCAGGGTGGAGGCAGAAAGTGTTCAGATGCTCTACAAAGGATACGCTTTCTGTGGGAAAAACCTCTCGGCAGAAAAAGCCCGGGACGGGTGGAGAGTTTTGGGAGAGTTTTCCGGGGAGAGTTTTGGGGTGAATCTTCGGGAGGGATCTGTCCGCGGGTGGATATGCCCGGAAAGGGCGGAAGTTTCTGCGGAAGTCTGCGGGAGTGTGGACTTGCACGCGCTGGAGGCGGGGGCTTCACAGATTTTGGAGGACTTTTCTGGGAGGCATAGAGAGAAAAAACCTGAAAATTTCAAACCTGAAAATAACGGGGTGGTTTCCTTATTGGGAAATTATCCCGTAAAATTCGAAATTTCAGGTTCTCTTCAGATGCGAACGTCCCAGGAGGCGAAGCCCTTGGAAGTCTCGATAGAGGCGTCCGGAGAGGGCACGGGGAAGGCTGCAGCAGGAAAGGCCCGGGTTGAGGCTACCTACAGGCACAGCACCGTGAAAACACGGGCAAATGCCCGCCTTGCAGAAGAAAGCGGGAAAAAGCCCGCGCTGCGGGTCCACGTGCAGAAGACGCAGGCGGAAATAGACAGGAAAGACGCGGGGGAGATAGGGCATATGGTGGGTGCTGTTAGAAAAATTTTAAGAGTGTTTTTCTATAGACCTGAACCTGAAACTTCCTCATTAGGAAATGACAGTTGCACTCCCAGCAAATTTTGCACTTTCCTATCGATTTACAAAACAAGCGTGTTTTTCCTGGCAGGCAGAAACAGCGTGCACTTCCAGGCAAGACAGGCCTTCTTTGCCTTCGAGAAAAGCCAGGTTCGCATGGGCGGGCTCTGCATGTGCACCGTAAGAAATAGCCTCCTCCACGAAAAAGAGCCTTTTATTGTAGGGATAAGCGCGCTTTCCGAGTACGCAAAGGAAAACGGGGTTTTGGACGTGCAGGCTCTTGACGTGGGCGTGAACAGCTTCGCACAGGCTGTTGTGATGGGGGTTTTGCTCGGGGCAGAAGGGAAAGGCGCTAGAAAAGGGGAGCCCCTGAAAAATAGAGACAAAAAAATTGCAAAGGTTAACGGCATTTCCCAAATTGGAAAAGTTGACTCCGATGAGGGAAATATCGCACCAGAAGACGGAAACATCCGCATAAAGAAGTGCACAGTATCAGGGAAGCTCGGGGCAAACCACCTTGTGGGCGTGGGGACGGACCTTTTCGTGGGAAGTTCGGGAGTCCTTTTTGTAGACGTGTTTGCCGCATTCGTGAACGGAAAGAGCCTTTGCACAGCGACGCCCGTCCACGTGCTCTTAGGGGACTCGCTGGAAATAGCCTGCACAAACACGGAGATACACTTCCCCGGGGATGCCTTTGTCGTGCAGGTTGTGCGAGAGTGCAGGGCCATGTACGCCTGCATAAAAGAGGGGAAGGCCGAACCTGAAATTTCCGCATTAGGAAATGTCGTTTTTTCAGATAAAAATTTGCAGGACTCACCCAAGGAGAAAACACTGCCAAGTTCGGACGGGGGTTCTGTTCCAGGGCAAGGCTCTTCAGGTATGATCTCCCTGAAGAACACGACCGTGCATCTTCCCCTGCACGGAAGCACAGTCACTCTGCACTCGCCGGAGACCGTCCTGGGAATAGACACGGAAGGATTTCAGATTTTGAAATTAAGCGTAAGTGTTTTGTATAATTCCTGTACACTTTGCGTTCTGTCGAATAAGCTGCTCTTTCTCCTGCGGGAGAGGAGAGTGGACGGGGCCTTCTCCTGCAAAGGACACGTGGACGCCGACTTGTACGTGTACATGGTGAACAGGGCACTTTTCATACAGGAAATATACACTATGGTGACAGATGACGTAATTTCAGACATTTCTGTATACGAAAACAGGGCAACGGATCTTTCTCCAAATAAGGAAACATCGCCCGATGCGGAAAATGGCTCGGAAAAAAGAGAAAGCACCGCAGCAGACGACTCTGTCTCCGAGGAAAAGCCAGACAAAGCCCCCGCAGAGACACCAGACACTCCAAAAGAGAGGACAGAGGAGACTCCTCTCATTGTCGCCATCTTTTTCGACGTAAGCGTGTACCTCGTTAAAAACAAGAATACTCTCTGCAAGGTCATCAATAGCGTATCTCTGGAAATTTTTAAGAGACACTTTTTTTCAGGAACAGTCGCACTCTCAGATACGAAAGTGTGGGCGGACGGATCCCTCGTCTGCTCGGCCCCAGAAGTTTCCGTTGAGCTCGCAAAGACTTCGGAGATCGAAAAGGCCTTCAACATTCTCGTTGGAAAAGTATCCGTCTCAGACGATATTGGCCTTTTCCTGGACATTTACACAGTTCTCCACAGGGTAAACTTCGTAAATAATATCCCCTCTGTGGGAATGCCCATAAGCATAAAGATCCGCGTCTCACAGGTCAGCATAAAATCAGACCCTCTCGAAGTCGACATCCGGAACCTCCTCGTGATCAACGCATACATGCAATTTGAGACCCTCTTTTTCCTCGCGAAAAAGCCTCTCCTGGCCTTTGCCCCATCACCTCCACCGGAAAAATCGGAAAAATCGGAAAAATCTCGGGAAAGTGAAAAATCTTCCCTAAAAGTGACCGTTAGGATCTCAGCGCATGAAATGCAGGAAATCCACGCGGTTGTTGACCCCGTGGAAACACGGACGCTCTCCCAGGAGGAAATAGCCGATCTCCTGCGCGTGGGGAGGACTCTGAACGTGAAAAGACTCCAGAAGTACCCAGTCCCTGGAAATTCCATCTTCCGCGTGGAAGTTCCCTCGATAAGAATTTCAACGGCAAAACCTCCTATTATGGCGTGCTTGAGGCAGTTTTCCCTCTCCGCAGTGCAGCTGCAAAGCAGTCCCTCCGTGACTGTCGAAGGCTCTTTCCTCTTCAGAGTCTTCGTCCGAATCCGAGAGACAAAGCAGCGCGAGATCATGTGCGAGACAGTGCCCGTTTTTCTGAACTTCCAGACGCAGAAGTCCCTCGAAAAGGAGGAAGTAGGCTTCTGCAGTGTGCCCTGCGGGGAGATTTCGGACCTGAAAAGCGAGTCTCTTTTGGTGCTTGTCGCTTCCTTCATCTTCAAAGACACAATCCGGGTCCGGCTCAGCAAGAAAATTGTCGAGTCTTTTGAGCCAGAGGAGAGGAAGATCCTGCTCACGAACTTGACGAATACGAAACTCGCCCTAGATGGTGCTCTCGTCTTAAACTCTCTCATTTTGGAGCCTCTTTGCAGCACGAAGATCCACCCGGACGCAGTAATTTCAGCAGAAAGTGCCCGGATATTCGACACTTTCACGCCTGGAACGAAAAAAGTCGTTGAAATGTCCGGGAAAACGTACTTTGGGACTTTCACGGAGGAAACAGCCGTTATTCGCGGGGGAACCAACTTCAAAAACATCACGGACATCACAATTGCGGTTGAAGTTCGGAATGAGCAGGTTTTTCTCTCGTCTTTTTCCGAGTGCTCGCACGCAGAGATGCTTTCAGACTTCGCTGTTCGCCTGGAGGGGTCGGAAACGCGCTCGCGCGTGGGATTTTCTCTCCCGGAAAGCGGAAAGTTCCCGGATGGGTCCATGCACGTCCTGGGGAAGAGAAAAATAGAACATAATAGCACTTTTATAAGTGCAGTCTGCCTTTTGGAAGTTCATGGAAATAGTTCGGTCCTGCACTTTCTCTTTCACCACGACTTCGTCATCAGCAACTTCACCCCGTCCCCCGTGCACTTCGAGATAAAAATTTCTGCAAAGTCGAAGGTCGAAAAAATCGTTGGAAATTCGCTCTCCGGGGAGGTAAAGCAGCTCTCCGGGAGTGTTTCCGTTGAGGAAATGAAGAAAGTCCGGCTCCGCATAAATGCCAAGGCCGACATAAGCAACATCTTCGAAGAGTCGACCTGCAAAGTCTCCGTTACGAAGGGAATAGTCGCAGTGAAGGAGGTGAAAAATGTGCTTATAAGCGGATTCCCGGTCGACGTGGGAATTTCCCAAATCACCGTTTTCCCCGTGGTAGTCGCAATTAACAAGACCCCAGACGCGCTCAGCCTCAGGTCCGGGAGCTCGCTCGTCGAACTTCCCCTGAACGCGCAGGTTCCCCTCCACACGGCCCGGGAGAGGCACAGCATCGTCTTTAACGGGGCAGAAAGCCCCAGTTTCAGCTCGAAGATACAGTATAATACCGTGTTTCTCGACGTAAAAACAGAGGCCCTGAATAACTACCTGGTAAACGTATACTCCGGGGAAGGGGCAAAGGAAAAGATAAAATTTGTGGTCGTAGAGTGTGCGAATGTCGTAAGAAACCTGACGGGGCTCGATCTCACGATTATCACGGACAGGGAATTCTTCTGCGGGACGGGGGAAGACGTTCCCCTGCACTTCCCCAGGAAAAAAGGCGCGAGTTGGATCCGCTTGGGAAGGCCGGGAGCGTATCCGGAGGCGGAAAAAGGCGGAAGTTCAGCCCCGAATCTCCAGGAAAAACATATTTCAACGGAAAAATTTTCAGATCAAAAATCAAACCTGAAAACAAACTCCCTCTTCACATTCGCAGGAGGATTTGAAGAAGATTTGGGGGATTCCTTGGGGGCAAGCTATCTCCCGATGGAGGGCCTGAAGAAGCACTTTGTGAAGATAAACTCCGTTTTTTCAGAGGCTCCTTCCGCAGGAGTCATCTCTTCCGTGGTTACAGGCCAGCAGGACGCAGTGAACCCGCAGGAAAGATCGATAAATAGGTCGATCCTCCTCTCAGTGACGATACAGAGCCATAACTCCCAGAGGAGAATAATCCTGAAAAAAGAGAGAAAGTGGCCGTACCTGATAAAAAACACGTCAAAATCCGTTATGAAATTCGCACAGAAAGACCACCCAATAGAGTACGTCCTGCACCCGGGAGAGTCTCTCCCGTACTATTGGGACAGCTTTAAGGCGCAAGCCGCCTTCAGAGTTTCCGTTGGAAAGACCGTTTTGGAAATCCGGAATTTTTCTGTTGTATCCGCAGAAGGCTTTAAGCTCACACTTTCCTCGGAGAGAGACCGGAAAATTCTCACCCTCTCAGAAGAAGACACAGAGACGGGAGTCGAACCCGCGCCCATCCAGGGGACCCTCTTAAAGCTCCGAACAGGCAGAGTCTCCTTCAGCCTTATAGATAGAGCAGAAAACGAGTTTTCAGCCTTCCATCTTTTCAACATAAATGCAGTCTTCCTGGTCTCAGATAACGGATGCGAGTTTATGGTGAAAACAGGAAGCGTCCAAATGGACAACCAGGAGCCCCGCGGGTTCTACCCCATTCCCCTCCATACGCCTATTTCCTCGGATGTTTTGACCGTTTCCGGGTGGGTTTTGGACCGGTTTACAGTCAGGTACCTTAGCGTGGTTATGCTCCCGGCAGTTGCGGAAATCGAAGAGGTATACATTATGAAGGTGATCAGACACTTTTTCTCGCTGAATGAGCCCACGGAGGACCCGAAGTACTTTATCGTGTGCAGCAGGTGCAAGCTCCTCCGATGTAAATGCACTTTTTCAGATCCTGAACCTGAAAAATCAGGTTTGATGGAGATTGGGTACCTGAAAATTGAAGCGATAAAGTTCAAGTGCTCGTTCAGGCGCGCGGAGAAGGGCTCTCTAGTCCCGCTTTCCTCAGTGTTCTGCAACATAACGAGCAGTAAAGTAGCCCTTCCCCCCGTTGAACTCTTCGACATCTACGCAGAGTCCTCGGAGATCTGCCAGATCATAGGGAGAACGTACAAAAGAGGACTCATACGGAATATCGTCTCTCTAGTGCTCTCAGCGGATATAATGGCTTCCCCGGGGGAGCTCTTCGACAAGCTCGGGGTAGGAGTCCACGACCTCATTTACGCCCCGTATAGGGCCCTCGATAATCCGATGCTTCTTTCCAGGCACCTTCTAAAGGGAGGAAAAAGCCTTGCCACGAACGTAGTCACGGGAGTCGCTGGATTCGTGGGGAATGTAATGGGGAAGTTCTCCCAGAAACTCGCGGATATTTCGATGGACGAGACTTTCGCAGAAGCACTTCGGGAGACCAGCTGTACGTACGTGGAAGAGGCAGATCTGGGACTTCCCGTGAGAAAGACGCATCTCTCAAAGGCAGGGGAGAAGTTCATGGGATCAGTCATCAGCGGATTTAAGGGCGTAGTCCACAGTCCCATGCAGGGAAGAAGGTCGAATGGCCTCAGTGGAATGGTCCAGGGGGTGGGAAAAGGCCTTATTGGAGCAATAATAAAGCCCATCTCCGGAGCAGTTGGACTTGTCCAGGGAATATCAACGAGTATCTCCGGAGTCCTTGGAGATGATGCGCCTCTCCTGAGGATTCAGCTCCCAAGAGCCCCTTCTCTCGACGGAGTCCCATGCGAGTACGAGTTCGAGAGAAATGCATACTTCCGGGCGTATTCTGTGCTGGCTCGGAGTGAGGGGGAGAGAAAAGGGGAGAAGTTCCTCACGGGGGGAATTTGCTCGCGGAAGTATATCGGATGGTCAGTCCTGATTTCAACGAAAAGGCTCATTCTGTACAATAAGGAGGAGACGCAGGAAGTCCTTGGAGTGCCAATTGCCGAGAAAGTCGAGGGGGAAAGAGACACTCTCGTCTCAGTCGGAGCCCTGGAGGTGCATTTGGAGGGAGTGCGCGTGTTCAAGGACATGCAGAAGTATAGTAACCTGATGGTGCACCATAAAGAAGGCAGTGAATAAAGGCATTGTTCAGAGTATAGTATAGTAGTATAGTATAGTAGTATAGTATAGTAGTATAGTATAGTATAGTTATAATAGTATAGTTGTAATAGTATAGTTATAGTATGATGGTATACTAGTAGGACAGTATGTTAGTATAGTAGTATAGTTATAATAGTATAGTTATGGTAGTAGTATAGTATGTTATTATAGTATAGTATAGTAGTATGTTAGTATGTTAGTATGTTAGTATAGTATGATGGTAGTAGTATAGTTATAATAGTATGTTAGTATAGTATAGTTATAGTAGTATAGTATAGTTATAATAGTAGTATAGTAATAGTAGTATGTTATAGTATGATGTTATAGTAGTATAGTAGTATAGTAGTATAGTATAGTTATAGTTATTATTGTAGTAGTAGTATAGTTATAGTATAGTTATAATAGTAGTATAGTATAGTTATAATAGTATAATAGTATGTTATAGTAGTATAGTATGTTATTATAGTTATAATAGTTATAATAGTATATTTACTCCTTTGCTTATTCTTTTGTTTGGATAGTAGTTAGAATTGCCTTTTTATTTTCCGTATGATGAATGCGCGTTCAGTATAGTATATACGGCAGGCCTTGCAGAAATAATAGCCCAGGAACTAACTATACTAAAAGCACATATTATCGTGCAATGTTTGCTTAGGACTTCTGCATTGCATATGAATATGAGTGTAGTGCTATGAGTATGCGGGTGCAAGTGAATTTCATGCTATCTATTCTCTTGCCCACTGTATATTTCCTTTGTCTTCATATTGCATGCGATGGAGGACTCTCCCCTTTCTATGTGAAGTATAATAGCTTGAATAACTAGACCACTGCATCTGTCTCGAGTGTTCTAAGCAGTTTTAGTATTTGGCCGCTTTTCCATGTCTGACGCTCTTGCAAGTACTTCTTCAGGAGGTACTTGATAATATCCAGATCCATAGAGGAGTGACATGCATTCAATATACGCCTAATAAGCTCGGTTGTTATTTCTATTGGGGCAATTCTATCATAAAGTTTTTCAATGAGCATTTTTTCGCTGGAATGTGCATGCAGTGCGTATATAAGCCAGAAAAGGTCTAGCATATAACCGACCTCCGCAGAATTCGTCAGTTCATTACAGCCCACGTCAAAAAGACGCAGGTTAATTTCATCCGCTAACTGGATAACATTCCCTGTGAATATGGCCTTGGCTACACCCACTTTAAATAGAGCACTGCAGTAAGAGAGGGGCTGATCCGCACAAGATCTGTAGTTTCTGATATAGTCCATGACGCCATCTGCAGCGAAATCACTCCCTTCTGGAGCATATTTGTGCAGGTGTTCAATGCAGTTCAATCCCAAAAAGAGACGGCGAATATCCCTGTGCATTAAAATGACTTTTGGGCTTAGTGCATATATAAAACCTAGCTGCGCAGGAGCCTGCAAGCAGGCCTGTATCAATCTAGGATCATCTTCCAATGAAATATATGCTATGATGTTTAAGACTAGGCGCACTCCTGGGTGGGTTTTATTTAGGAGGATTTCCTTCCCTTTAGCATGCAGGAATATACTAGATATAATGTGTTTGTTGTGGTGCATTCTTAGAGTGTGATGTAATAAGAAGATGACGTTTTTCTTATCAAGGCTAGAATCCACTACAATATATTCTGTAATTCGAGGCATCATCTCTTCTATGGAAGAGTCGGAAAACTCTACATGCTTTAACGTCCAGTACAAAAAATACTCTGCTAATATGCAGCCTACAAATGTTTCATCAGATCTGTAGTTGCTTGAAGCAGCGTTGCACATCTCCGATTGACCATTTACGGAGTTATATCTCTCCTGCAGGTCCAAGAACAAGTGTCTACAAGAAATTTTCATATCCAACCCCAGGGATAAGCCAGTTTCTTGGTTTTTGTAAGTTAAGCAGATAGGGGCAAAAGCATCGAATTTACCGTTCTTCTGGACGCCTATACACCCATCCGAAACAGATAGTTCAATCTCCTTATTTACTGAAAGCTCTTTAAAAAGGCTAAAAATATATTCCTCTATTTCACTGTATATGTTTTTCTCTGGGTCTTCTTCTCTGTTTAGTCTTTGCGCAAGTCCGTCTATTTTTTCCTGCTCAGTGTCCAGTCGGCCTGTTACTTCGGCAATCACGTACAGAACGTTCATAATGCCAGACCGCATCTCATTCCTGTACTTGCTCTTGTAGTCTATTCGGTCGCACTTTAGGCCAGACATTACTCTATTCCACTCTTCAAGCACTTTTATAGTCGCACACTTATTTGGAGCAACATCTTTCAAGCTGAAGAAGTCTTTCAGCTCCTTCGTCTCAGGCCGGTCTTTCCTGTCGCCTAGCATCCGTAATACGTCGTACTTCTTCTCTTTTGCATCGTATGCCAGAGAGCAGAATAGCGCGTACAGGCCTGTTTCCACACAGTTAGAGAAAGTTCCATTTATAAACTCACCTTGACATTTGTCGTACAATCGCACGGACTTATAGCAAGGAAGCATGCTTTTGGTGTAAAACGGGACTAAGCGCATTCCCACTAGGTCTGACACAATGTTCGAAAGCGGCTGCAAATACTCTTCTGCCTTCTCCTTCTCTTCAGTTGCACAGAAGCACTGGTTGTATATGTCTTTTTTTCCTGCAGAAAGTTCTTTTACACATCCCAAGGACTCGAGAAGAGTGTGGACACACTCCAGAAACTGCACTGCATCTTCCTGGCTTTCTATGTACTCAAACACGTACGCCTGTATAAGAAACTGCGGAGTGTTTAGAAACTTGCCTGTGATAAAGTCCTCATATGTGTCCGGAAGTTCTTCTGGCTTGTTGTACTTCTTGAAGAAGGCTACGACCTTTGCAAAGTCTTTCTGCGGAACTGACATATGCAGTTTAGCGTCTATGTCAAAGAATACATGCTCGCTATTAGATGTTTTTTTGTCTTTTTTGGCTTCTCTCTTGTACAGGCTCTCCGCATTCCTGGTTTTCCACAGTGTGACTTTGGTGTGTGTTGCATCAATGGGGACTATCACGCCCTCGCTCAGAAGCAGCAATGAAGCCAGCACATAGTTCGCCTGCTCCTTCGTGCAAATGCGCTGTAGAGTGTGGATGAACGAGTCCTCCTTTGCCACATGGATCGAGAGGTTTCTGCCGTCAACAGACGGGAACATCCGTATAAGCGTGTTGTGATAGTTCTCGGAGTACTCAGAATGCTCTGGGCTTTCCACAGCAGCATTTTTGCTTGGGCCATATGCCTTGTCGTTTCTCGCACTTCGGGTGTGCTGGTACGCCCCGGCTTCCGGATGATTTAGGTTTTTAAGCCACTTCAGCGTGTAGTCTGTTTCTATCTCGGGCGATAAAAACCGCTTGCAGTGCATGTATCCCATTTCTGAGTATACGTATCCGCGAATCATGTTTAGCGGGCCTCTTGGGTTTATAATCACTTTGTTCTTTCCGAATTCTGCCTTCTGGAGATCCATCAGCTCCTCAAGCAAGATCCTTGCGTGAGAATAGCACACCAGAAACGCTAGAAATATTGCCGTAAACTGTCTTTTCATGCGCAGATTCACTTAAAAAATCTTTTTTGCAGAAGCTACTTTTCTAAACTGCATTTATGAAACATCATAAGCTGCATTTATACATCTAATCACTGGGGGTTGGGACTCCGCGCTAAGATCTATTGGTCAAACTATGCATATAACTAGGCTGTTAATTGATTGATCTACTGTTTATCCTCCACTAGACACCAATGAAGGCCTAGACCAATGTTCTACCACAGATTACCCTGTTGCTTGCGCTCCCAAGCCTCAGACAGCGCAGCTGATGACTTCTTTCATCCAAATCCGAATTTGTGTGTGCAGATGCAAAGTTGTTTTTTAAAAGTCTGCCCAAAGTGCGCCTGTTTTGTTTTGATACAGGTTTTTCCTATTTTTCGTGTTTCAAGCCTCTGTATACATCAGATACAACGCAAACAATTAGGATAATATACATTTTAGGGCGTGGTGCAAAAAAGAAATAAAATAAAATCTTCATAATAAACACGCACTCTCTGTGCATAATTATACTCTAGAGAATGTAGACATTATATTTTTTTCTGGATGCAAGAAGCAATAACTAAACAAAGGCCAAACCATAGACCAAGAAAGCAGAAAGTACAAGTACTCACACAACAAGCACAGCAAGACACTACTATATGTTGTGTACTGAAAGCATAATTGCTCGTGATTGTTATTGCTTAGACGGGCCTAATTAAAGGGACTGCATAGCTTAGATGTTAAGGAATATACTAAATAGTGTCTATATAGGCAGGTTGAGAAATAATAAAGGCTGCAGTTTCACTAGCACTTCCAGCATTACAACTCTTCGCATGCGGCTTTGGTATAGTTAGACCATTCTCAGCAATAGATAGAGCAAGTACTTCCAGAGTAGACTTATCCCCTTTTTTTTTCTTTTTCGGAGGTTTCTTATACGGGTAAATGTAGTAATGTCTCAGGTATTTTTATTTTTCACTTGATGCAGAGAATTCGGGTTCTGTGGAACTTTCCCTCTCCGGAGACAGAGTCTGAAAATGTGTGAGACCGTTCGGAATTGGCCATCGCAGAATTTCACGGGCGAAAACATAGTTTATTCTCGGGCCGGCTTTTGAAACCCGCACGACTCCGCATCATCTTCCACACAGACCCGGGAGGAATCCGCTGAAAGTCTCTTAAAAGATAAAAGACACGCTGCAAGAATACCTCCCAAAAAAAAGAACTTCCTGAACTCCTTGGAGAACTTAGAATCCACCTGGTCCACTCCAGGGTCTGCATTTTCTAATTCACTCTCCAGGACGAAAAACTTCTCGTTGTTTTTCAGGGCCAGTAGTATCGAGGCCAGCTCTAAATTCGGGTTTTTCTGCTTTTTTACAGGCGTTTTAATCGGCCTGTAGAAGGGGGATTTTTCTATGCGGTGGAAAACTCTCTCAAGAAGGTCTTTTTGCGTGGCATTATCCAGGCTAAGACCTTCGTACAGGAAGGGCTTAAAACTCTCCATGTGGTTTAGGCCCAGCTTTGAGAGGCAGCTGGATATTATTTCCGTATTCTCATGGAGTATGTCGGAGTTATCCTGGCTGTGGGAGGAAATGTACGCCTTAAATTTAGAGATCAGCTCTGAGTCCTCGCTAAAGTCTCTCACGCCATTTACGAGGTATATTGTCCTCTCTTCTGCGTCTCTGCACTTGAAAAAAGAATCCAACGGCCGCTTCCTAAGCATGTTTAAAGCCCCCGAAAAGAGCTTATCCATCAAGTCGTATAAGTTATCAGAAGGAATTCCCCCGATAGTTTTTATACTCTCCTGGAGGCTTTTCTTTGGGTTTACTCCCTCCCTGTAAGAAGGCTCTAACTCTCCCGGGAGGTTTATCATGGGGAGAAATCCCTTCACAGCACGAAGCCAGAGCATATCCACGAGATTAGTAAGCAAAAAACTCCCTTCCTCCTCGCATTTTGCCCATTCTTCCCTGAATCTTTTGCGCAGGGAGACGTCTTTAACCAGTTTCAGCCGGGATAGAAATACTACGAATGTGCTTGGATCCACTTTAACCCGAGCTAAGGTGTCATCCTCCATGACCATTTCGAATTTATTCTGGAATCTCTCCAGGACGGGCGTCTCCCTGTTCTTGGCATCTGCTATGGACCTGCAGTGCTTCTTGGCTTCCTCCTTCTTCTCGCACACGCGAATCGACTCAACACTCTTCAGTGCCTTGTAAATCCACTTGTTACAGTACATCTTGTAATAGTCTGCTCCCTTCTCAAGTATTCCGTGTTCCACAAACTCTGTATCCGGATACTTCGAGGCAAATTCAGAGAGAAGCCGCTTAAACTCAGTGTTTAGTTCGGCATTATCCAGATCCTCAGCCTCTCCCTGTGCGATAAGCTCATCCGACCGAGTACTCCCACCGTCTAGGAGCAGGCTGAGCACTCTCCCCTGTGCCATATCTGCATCATTCCGGGCAATAGTGAGAGTATCCAGGGAACAACCATAGAAGCCTTCGTTGTAGACAGCCATAAAGTGCTTCCCAACGTCCTGCAGGTCCCTATAAAGCACTCCCTGGTATAGCCTGAGCAGGCATTCCTCCTCCTTTGTCAGTGGTTTCTTCGTATTTAGCCGCAAGTGAGCATTCAGCGCGGAGAATAGCCGCAAATTCAGCAAATCCGGGTACGGGAGAAGAGAAAACAAAGTCCCCGCACACTTCTTCAGCTCCTCAAAGAGAAGGTCCATGTGAAACATCTCTATTTCAGATACTGCTGGTGCTATTTTGTTCTTTATATACCAGGTCTTTATCCTTTTGTCCTCGTCTTTCTCAGAGTAAGTTCTTTCTTGCATAAATAAAAAGACATATTCTCTCTTTTATATAGGGTGATAAATCTTTTGATTTTTAAATATTCGATTTCTCACAGAATAAAAATATACAGAATATGATATTTTTACAATAGGCTTAAATACGCTCTGTAGATGTCGCACGGTGATATGTCGCATATACGACAATCGATAAAATGCCCATGGATATGCCGAACAGGCCCAGAAAAAAGCCATCCCAGTAGAATGTGCTGGTGGTATTCATTCTGCCTGCGGGATTCAGTGAGTTATTCTGGCCCGATGCAAAGAGAAGGCTGTTTTGGGGTGGGGAAAACTCTGGGATTGGAAAGTTCTCGGCTTCTACTTGGGAGTGTGTGCTAGTAAATGTCTTATTATACTGCATCTTTTCATCCTCTTTCTGTTCCTCCGTCTGAGTATTTATAATAGTAAATTCACTCTGGGATAACCCGAATTCAATGTTCTCTTCCTCCGGCTGGATAGTTATACTATTAAGAGCTTTCTCTTTTTCTTCATTTTCTTCTTCATTTTCTGTTTCCGTTTGGATACTTATACTATTAAGAGCTTTCTCTTTTTCTTCATTTTCTTCTTCTATTTCCGTCTGGATAGTTATACTATTAAGAGCTTTCTCTTTTTCTTCTTCTGTTTCCGTTTGGATAGTTATACTATTAAGAGCTTTTTTTTCTTCTTCATTTTCTGTTTCTGTTTGGATAGTTATACTATTAAGAGCTTTCTCTTCTTTTTCATTTTCTGTTTCTGTTTGGATACTTATACTACTGAGAGATTTCTCTTTATTTTCTTCCTCTGTTTCAGTTGGGATACTTATACTACTATGTATTTTCTCTTTTTCTTCCTCTATTACTGTCTGAGTACTTCTAATGAAAGCTTTCTCTTTATTTTTTTCTTCTTCATTTTCTGTTTCCGTTTGGATACTTATACTACTATGTATTTTCTCTTTTTCTGTTTCTGTCTGAGTACTTCTAATGAAAGCTTTCAGGATGGAACTCTCTGGGATACTTTTGTACTTCAGGCAGGGACCTATCTTAAGGGAGGCCCATAACCTGTTGAACATCTCATTGGTGCTTGCATTGATGGGATTCACTGCCTCGTACAGGAAGGGCTTAAAACTTTCCAGGTGATTTAGACCCAGCTTTGAGAGGCAGCTGGAGATTATTTCCGTATTCTCATGGAGTATGTCGGAGTTATTCTGGCTGTGAGAAGTAATGTACGCCTTAAATTTAGAGATCAGCTCTGAGTCCTCACTAAAGTCTCTCACCCCATTTACGAGGTATATCGTCCTCTCTTCTGCATCTTTGCACTTGAAAAAAGAATCCAACGGCTGATCCCCAACCATGTTTAAAGCCCCCAAGACAAGACTATCCATCAAGTCGTATACGTTATCAGGAGGAATTTCCCCGATACTTTCCATACTCTCTTGTCCTACCCCTCGGAGGCTTTTCTTTGGGTTTACTCCCTCCCTGTAGGAAGGCTCGAACTCTCCCGGGAGGTTTATCATGGGGAGGAATCTCTTCACAGCACGAAGCCAGAGCATATCCACGAGGTTAGTAAGCAAAAAACTCCCTTCCTCCTCGCATTTCGCCCACTCTTCCCTGAATCTTTTGCGCAGGGAGACGTCTTTAACCAGTTTCAGCCGGGATAGAAATACTACGAATGTGCTTGGAGTCATTTCATGATGCTGCTCCTCTTTGCAGGCACTGCTTAAACTGTGCATGTTCGTGATCTTTCTGTGGATTCTCGCTATCTTCTTGCATGCTTTCCTGAGTTTTTTCTCAGTCTCTTGAATTTCAACTCTTTCCAGCCAAGATATGAACGCATCCACTTCCTCCTGGGTGTAGATCTTCCCTGGGTTTGTGACAATCTTAGCCATTCCCAGCCTTGGAGGGATATCTCTGGAATGACTTGACTGGGCTTTGGATAAAGTCTTCAAAAGCCATTCACTGTCAAATTTCACGGGAGACTTTGCACGGGGAAATAACATCGTGCGGAATCTGGAGTGGTGATCCCTCTGGGAAATAGCCAGGAGGATTGCTTCCTTCTGGGCTTCCTCCAAGTCTTTGTAGACAGAGTCGATCGCCTTGAAAATGCAGAAGTCAGATATTTCCCTTTGGAAGGCTGAAAACAGAGTTCCTCCTATGGCTTGTATATCCATGAAAAGAATTGCCAGGAAAAATCTTAGAATATAATTATCTTCTTCTGTTGGAAGATCTTTCTGGTCGAACTTAAGATGGTCCTTCATTATGCAGATTAGCTGCGCTGTGAACATCTCGCGGTTGTTTGAGAGCCTGAAAAGCCTCCGGGAGTTTTCCTGCAGGTCATTGAATAGGGCGTATACGTTGAAGAGCTCGCTCCCGCTTCCTTCTGGGTTTATTTTGTGCATTTTGTTCCATATCATCTCCTTTGCTTCTTCAAAGATGGATTCCGGAGTATTCGGATTATTTCGGTCTTTCTGGGTCTCCATTAAAAAATGCTTTTCATGTGCTTATATAGCTATTTGTGATTGCATCTTTTTGACACCGAGATTCAGGGGAAAACACCTGCAAGCGACAGCTCCAGGGAAAGCACCTGCAGGCTCAGATTGGCGGGAGAGCGTACTCTGTGGAAGCATATCGCCTGAAACTGGCTCTATGGCATATATCAGCACCTTGATTTTTTTGATCTTTTACCCGTTGGAATGGGTTTTCTCGGGAGTTCGACTCTGATGGATTCCGGGCGTGCACGTCATATTTTGATAGCTGTGTGATGGAGAGTTCTCGTATTTCCCTCTTGTTTTGCCGCTAAATGACGTGTGTTTGACAGCAGTTCCCCGCACAAAGTGACAGGATGTAAACATACCCAGAATAACAACCCAGAATAACCCGAATTTTAACAAAAAGCCCGAATAACCAGAAAGTGCTCAAACTTAACGTATAACCCGCCTGAAACACCTAGCACACTTTTAGACTCTGCCTATATCTGGTAGATATTCTGTTCCGCGCGTCTTCTTGCACTTTGTTTTTTCCGAATAATCCGAAGCATGAGAATATGCAAATTTTGACTGACTGCAGAAAGTGAACCCTTTAAATATTTATATTTATTTTTTTAATTTCCTATGCCCGCAGCTGTTTCCAGCATGCATCGGCGTTTTGGGGGGCTCTTTGAAAAATTTGCAAAAATAAAAAATAAAAAGAAAACTGGAAACGCCCTTTCAAAAGCTTCTTAAGTGAACCCTTTATAGAAACCTACCCTGGAAGAAGCAAGCACATACTACGGCAAAGAAAGCAAGCATACCCAAGGAAAGCGAAGAGTCCACCCAAAAGAAGTGCTATCCCTGCAAGGTTCAGCGCCCAAGAGAAAGAGCCCTTATCTTTTCCCTGTAAATTTGCGCTTTCTCCCTTCTCCCCCGAATCCAGAGCCTCCACTTCTCCAGCAGGTTCGAACCCGCAAATACGGGCTCTACTCGGAAAAAAGAGAAAATCCAGCTCTTCCGGGGCCTCTCTGGGCTTCTTCTGCTTTTGTGTTTTTTCATGCGAGAAAACGCCGTGGGACGAATATACTCGAGACCATCAGAAAATCTGCAAGAATAAAGAATAGGCCAGATTCAAACATCTTTCTGGGCATGGTCTTGCACCCCCATACGCCTCTTCCCGTGGATTCCCGCACATTTTCAGGCACTTTCCAGGAGGCTCCACAAAAAGTCCAGAATCGAAGCTATCCACCCTCAGAGCAGGCCAAGGAAGAACGGAAGGAAGAGGAAAGTGCACTTTCTTGGGAGAAGTCCACGTACCAGGCAACCCAGAGTCTACCCAGTACTTCGCACTATTCCTTCAATATCCTGAATAACCCAAAGGTGCGATAGTAGCACAAAAATATCTTAGGAGAATCCAGAGTTTATTTTCTTAAAAAAACTTCGGAATAGGAATCCGAGGCCCCCCTAACAGGCATAAACCCATGGTAGCTGCTGCCATTCCCGCAGATGCCAACATCGTTCCTTGTGGAGTTGTTGGCGTGAAAAAATCGATAGTATCCGATACTACGTCGAGTAAAGACGTCTCCTCAGCCTGGGCCAATTCTCGCATGCGTTTTTCTCTTTCTCTTTCTCTCTCTTTATTCTTACCCGAAACCAATTTATGCCTACGCCTAAGTTCTTCGTTTTCTTTATTTCCCTCCTTAAAAGCCCAATCTTGCATAATTTCTTCAATTTCCAAATGACCCTGCACAACCTGGTTCATACGAATAATTTCTTCTAATTCTTCATCTGTCTTATAAGACCATTTGTGCATAAGTTTTTCTCTTTCTTTCCGTTCCTTCCAGCTCTGGTGCCTACGATCAACTTCTTCTAATTCTTCATGCATCCCCTTATGAGACCATTTTCGCATAAGTTTTTCTCTTTCATCCTGTTCCTTCAGGGCCAGGCGCCTTCGCAAAATTTCGTCTAATTCTTTACTTATCTCCATAATAGACCATTTTCGCATAAGTTTTTCTCTTTCTTTCCGTTCCTCCAAGGCCTGCATATTTCTCTTCTTTTCAGCTTCTTCCTTCTGGAGCTTCGGGAAATTCTTAATTATCCACAGTATCATCGAATACATATGGATTGAATTGTAGAAGCGAGGTTTTCCTGTGTCTTGACTGCATGCAATAGTTGATGGCATAGGCACTATATCGTACCTCCCCTTCATAGATACCAAGAATTTGACATAGTTTAATTCCTCCCCTTTGCTCAGAAGATCGAAAAAACTACTCTGGGGCTGATTCTTTACAGAGGGATAGTTCGGAGGCATATGTATCTTAAAGAAATCATCGATGAACAGAGAATTGTCTGGATTACTGTGCAGAATAGTTAAGATTATGTGGAAAATAGGCGGAAGACTATCGTCAAACTCTGTGGGAATATTATGTTTTCGTGTCTCCTTCTTGATTTTAGACACGCACATCTCACGCAGGAATCGGATGAAGCACTTTGGATCTACACTCTTCGGAGTATTCGGGTTATTCAACCTGGAAAGGAGTTCATTCGCACTTGTCTCAATTTTTGCTAGGGATTTACCCACAGCTGAATGAGCTATTTCGAAATTCTTCTGCAGTTGTAAATCCAGGAAGGAAATACACGATAACATTTCATCAAAGGACAATTCTTCACAGCCTGCCCCTTTCTCTCTTCTTATTATCTCCTTCACTTTCATCCTTGCTCCTTCTTCAGTCAATTCTTCAGATGCATCATCATCTGCATCAGAAAGGCCAAATCCATCGGAGGACTCCAGTGCTGATATGTGCATATGTTCCATTTCCGTGCAGATGCTACTGGAGGGATCTCCATCATTCCACCTTCTCCCTCTAAAGTTTCCCTCCATAGTAGACTCACTTCCTGCGAGCTCAGCAGATCCCGTAGGTCTTTGGGCTGGGCCATTACCAGTTGAATTCCCATCCTCCAAGTCGTTTCTACGTCTCTCCAAGCTAGAGGATCGATTAGAGGGGTCCTGGAATTCATCATTTGGCCCTATTTCTGGGGTGGGAGAATTCGGAGCGCGAGCATTTTCAAGCTCTGAGTTGTTTAAAAAGTCTCCAGAAGGGTTTTCTCCATCCGTGTCATCATCACTATCGTCATTATTGTTGGATTTACGTTTAGATTTACGGTGGCTATGGTGGTGAACGTGGATATGAAGGTGATCGCCGTGAGGAGGGGGTCTCGGAGGAAGATCGCTTGAAGTTTGGAGATCATCCTCGGGAAAGCGGAAAGAGCGGAATTCGTGAGGAGAGTAAGGAGAGTGAGAAGAGTAAGAAGAGTAAGAAGAGTGAGAAGAGTCGCTGCTGTTGCTATCATTCCTGTTTCTTCCCAGGCCAATGGCATTGCGAATCATATTCAGCAATTTCATCCTGGGATTATTCATTATTAAAATAACCAATATATCGATGAAATTATGGTTCGCTTCCTGAATATTACCATTGCCTTGATCCTCCGACACTAACCCCGACTTTTTTACTAGGAAATGATGCATTGATAGCTTCTTGGCTTCTTCTATGCACGCAGCCTTCGCAGATTTCAGCTCCTTATACAAGCAGGAAAGAGAGTCGAAATTCTCCTCGCTATCCAAGGCCAGGATGTAGTGGCCTAGTTCTTCTACGTCCTTATGTAGAACCATGTAGACTAGCTCCTCCATGCGGGGGTTTAGTTTCCTATCTGGGCATGTGTCGAACAATGTTAGTTTATCCACCAGAATATTGAAGAGTTCTCCCATGAACTTGTCTCGGCTGGTCCCAATGCTTTCTATAAGGTAGTGGATTGCTCCTTGGAAAGACTTGAAGAGGGGAAGTATGTCAAAAGCGCAGGCTTCGAATGAAAATGTCATTCCGTGGGCTTCATACCATTCTGCAAGCTCGGTGAAATTAAAAGTTGTGTTTGTATTAGTCTGCATGAATTTTCATTTTTCGATTCCTTTTATACTTTTATTTGAGATCATCTGATTTTTTGCGATGTTTTTTGATGTATCAAAAAGACCCGAATAACTCCAAATAGGAAAAAAATCAATAGATCTAACTAGATGGATTCGTGTAGTAGCTGGAAAGCGGGAGTGATCTTTTGAGGTTGGGCTGGGCGTGGTTTCAGTGGATATTTTAGTGGGCTTGTAAAGAGACCTGTGCTTGCGCACTATTCTAATTTCGACACCATTTATTGCGCAGGGCATCGAAGGTGGCCTAGCAAAGGCACTATTTGTTATGCCCGCTGCAAAAAGTCGTACTTGCGAGGCCGTGCGCAAAAAATACTGTGACGCGCACTGCACTTACTTAATGCACAGGGTGTAGTATGCGATAAACCCCGAATAACCCGAATCTTTGCGCATAAATTTTTATTTCGCATTTTATTTTGTGTTTGTTATGGAGAGAAAGGGAGAGCTCTCCCTCGTGGGAAAGTACATAAGGAGCAGGATAAAAGAGATAGAAATAAACATGCAGGTGCGGGAGATAAAGGAGCCCTCGCACATAAACAACACTTCGTTCGAGGACCACATGAGGGAAAGGCTCGGCAGAGCCAAAAAGAGAAAAATTGATCCAAACTCTGCAGAAAATTCTGAAAAAGATACGCTTTCACTCTCGTCTGATTTTGAGGCTGAGTCTGAGCCCGTGCAGGAGGTGAAGCCGCCGCGCAAAAAGATGAAGTGCGGATGCACAACGCACGAGGCAGAAAAGCCCAGCAAAAAGGCAGAAATTCGGGCAAATAGAAGAAAAAGCATAAACTAGCCAGCATTTACTGCGCACTGTGTAATAAACAATTTACCCTGACTTTTTACAGCGTGCGCAATAATTTGTGGTGGCCGACTTCTCCCTCTTTACTTTAGTGCACAGCGTGTAAAAAGTAGTGCATTTAGTGTGCTGCGCGTAGTAAGTAGCGGCATTTACATCAATAAATATGCAGTGTGTGGTAAGTAGTGATGCTTGGCTTGTCTTTATTTACTGTTCAGTGCGTAGTAAGTGGTGAATTCTGGGCGCTCCCGTCTTGTCAGGTACTCCCCAGGTTCCCCGGTGCTCCTGCAAATTTTTCACTTTCCCGTTTTTCCGCGCGCTCCTATATACTTTTTGCGCGTATAAAAAGCAAATTTTTATGCAAAATATTCTCCCTTGAAAATCTTCTGGAGGTCTTCCCCGTATCCCTCTAAAAAGCTTTTTTCCTGTAAAAGCTCGTTATAAACCCCCGAAACCCGCGACTGGTGCTCGCTTTCCAGGCGAATTATCTCTTTTTCCAGCTCCTTCGCTTCCCCGTGGTTTTTCTGGATGAGCCGGTCCGAGTTCTCTCTCCCTGCCAAAACCTGAGAGTGTCTCTCCCTTAGCGCGGCAAACTCCGTTTTCAGGCCTTCAATTCGAGCAGCGTCTTCCTCCGTGAGCCTGCTCATTTTCTCCACGATGTACTCGATCTTCTTCTCGAGCAAGATCTTCCTGGAGAATTTTGACTTGTTTTTCGTCTCTAAAATAGAATTTTCATTTTTTAGTTTTTCCAGAGAAATTTCCTTGTTTGCACAATCCTCGCTGTATTTCCCCAGTAAGGAAACGACCGCTGTAAAATTTTTAATCTCCTCGGTCACGCGGTTAAACCTGCTCAAGTTCTCCTGCAAAAGCCTAAACCTGACTTCATACTCCCGCAGAATCTCATTTTCATCCTGCATCTGGTTTTTCATGGCAATTAGCAGCTCTTTCAGCTGCTCCGGATTCTTCACAATCTTTGCTGTTAGTCTCGTGATTTCCTGCTGCAGGGCAAGAATCTCCGTCTTCTCGTGGGAAATTGCAGCGCTGATCTGCTTCTGGTCGTTTCCTGCCTTTTCTATCTCTTTCGTCAGGGACTGCTGGACTCGGTGGTAATTTACAATCTCCTGCTCCTTCTGGGAAATGTGCTCCAATAAAAAGTTTTTTTTTGCTGCACTCTCTTTTTTCTCCTTCCTCTTTTGGAGGAGAATCTCCCTGTTTCTGAAAATATTTTTTTTTGTTTCTTCGATCGTGCCTTCTATCTCCTCCCGCCGCCGAACAATGCGGTTTAGCACGTGTCTCTTGTTCTCCTTGAAGAGCGCATAGTTTACGACTGCGCTGAGTATTTTCACCGTTTTTCCCGCCTCTGGGGAGATGATGTCGTGCATTGTAAAGAGCGCGGCCTTAATTTTTTCAACAAATGTTTTCATGTGGAAGTAGATTAAAATCATAGAGACAGACTCGTCCGCTTCTGGGATCTTTTTCTCCAAAAAGACGTTTAAAATCCCTTCATAAAGCCTGCAAATATATGCAGGGTTCGGGTTTGTGATGTCCGTCACCAAAATGTTAAAGCCGTTCTCCGAGAGAAACTCTGCGATATCCTTCGGGCGCATGGAGGGAATTGTGTAGTATGTCTGCTGCATCTTCGCACGTACACAAAAATAAAAAAACAAAAAACAAAAAGGGCTTTTATACTAATAAAACAAAGCGCCCAAAATCCAGAATATACGCCGGAAGGCGCATATTTGTGCTGCTCCAAACCACCAAACTGCGCATAATATACAAAATTGCAGAAAAAAAGTGCAAAATCAAAAATGCAGAGAAAGCTTATTTTATTGCGTATAAATAGAAGTGCACACTTTTTTTTATGATTCTTCCAGGAGACGGAGAGTACAGAGCAGCGGTGGTTCGCCCAACTGTGAACTCTCTTGTAACGGCAGTGGTCGAATACGTAGCCCAGACCCACGCTATTTTACGCATAAAAATGGTCAATGGAGTCCCCTCGATAAATTCCCTCGCTATTTTGCACAGGGAGGATGCTCTATACGGGATAAAAGACAGCGCAAAAATGAACAGGCTTTTTTCAACGGGAGATACCGTATACGGCCGAATAGTCTCATTCAGCGACTCTGGGCACGCTGTAATAGCGACAGCAGAGGAAACACAAGGTGTAGTGCGAGCAGTCGATTTCAGTACGCTTTTAGAAATAAAACGCGTAAAGGGAAAATTCGTGCAGGGAAAGACTGTGCTGGAGAGAAAGGCTGCCTCCATCGGCATATAATATACGCGAATTCCTGCAGGGCAGATGCAAAATATACAGAGAGGGCGTGTATATTCAGGAATATTCCACATAATTCGAATAAAGATCAAGTATAAAGCGCTAAGAATTAAAAAATCAAAGTGTGTGGGCGAACTCCAAGGCCAGACTTAAAAGCATCAGCACAATACTAAGCCAGTGCTATTTATTGGTATAAGCTTATATAGTGCCTCCAGAAAACTATTTATACTGCGAATTCAAATAAAATTTTATCTCAGTCCACCCTGTCAGGAGAGTAGAAGAGCAGATCACTCGGGCATATTTCTGCATGAAACCACAAAAACATTATGGAAATTATCTAATTATGCGGGCGAACCTGCCCTGCAATTCAGGAAATACTCACGCGAAGTTTGCTCTTTATTCTGGTTCTTCCTGCTTTTAGCTCTTAATGGGCTGTTTGATTAACCCCACTCCTCTGGGCAGGCTTTTTCTGGCCTCCCGAATCAACCGATGCACGCAACCACTGAAAATCCAGCACAAATGCCCACACAGCCGTTTATTTTTTTCAGGTTTTTTCTGTGGAAGTATTTTCACATGTTTCCGCATTTGGAAAATATCTCCAAATAAGGAAATATTTTCAGGTTCACTTGCTAAGTATCCCCTTCTGAGGCTTTTTCTTCTTCTGAGCGTGCATATAGTACACCACCCCCGAGACAAGCACCGCAAAAACCACCCACGACATCACAGGCCGTGTATACGGGACTTCTTCCTTGAAGTTTTCCACGCGGGTTCGAATCCGGTACACAGAAATGCTCTTTACATTCCCGTCCCCCTCCGGGCCTGCCAGCTCCCCAGAGATGCTGAGGAAGCTTCCCTCATCGATCGAGACGCGGTCCATCTCCCCCATAGTCTGGACTTTTTTTCCCCTCTCCGAGTACCCCACGGACAATTTTCCGTCCACAAAGTCTACCCGAACAATGCAGTCATTTTTTGCAGAGATACGCTTTTGAAAGTGCACGACAGAAGATCCCCCGTAAGCCGTAGCTACTCCAATGGAGGGACCAGGGACTTTCCCGAGAAGGTCTCCCTCGAGCTGCAGAAAGACCAGGATCCCGTTGTACTGCTCGTTTCCCCCGAAGAGAGGCCCTCCCGAGAAGTTCCGCATAATCCAGAGGCCGACTCCCTTCAGCCCAGGCTTTACGCTCAAGTGAACGTCAAATCGCCAGTTCTTCATGCCCAGGGGATGCTTTCCCGTGATGCTTCCAGCAGATCCGGAGTATCCCGAAGTCAAGTGTATTCCTGCTTCCATGCCTGTTGAAACCACGTGGGCATGGCCAGATAAATTTCCGAATGGGACTCGTCCTGTGATTCTATCTACGTATGGCCTATACAAAGACTCTTTGCTTTTGTAAATGGACTCTGTTTTTAGCGCGAGAGCAGATGCTGCGAGTACTGCAAGCGAGAGACGGAGTTTCATAAAAAAGAAAACACAAAGAAATAAAAGGCCAAGAAAAGGGAATTATTGTGGAGTCAGAAGAAAAGAATGAAGTAATAGGGCATAGTAGTGGGAATAGTCTGAAGTAATAGTACTAGTAGAATGGTAATAGTAGTAATAGTGGTATAGTATGAAGTCTGAAGTATGTATAGTGGTAATAGTAGAATAGCAATGTTATGGTAATAGTATGAGTATATGATTGTATGAAGTAAAAGTAATAGTGTGGAGTAAAAGTAATAGTGTGGAGTAGATGAAGTAATGATACATATGAAATAATAGTAATAGTATGGTATGATATAGTAATAGCATAGTGTAGTGATGGTATGGTAGATAGTATAGTAACAGCAATAGCATGAATATGACTATATGTTTGCATGGTGTAATGATGTATATGAAACAATAGTATGATGTAGTAATGGTGTAGTATAATAACCCGAATAGTATGAACTGATAGTCTAGTCTAGTAACAGTAATAGCAATAGTATGATATAGTAATAGCATGAATAGTATGAACTAATAGTAATAGTATAGTATATGCTTGTGTGAACTAATAGTATGATATAGTAATAGCATGAATAGTATGAAATAATAGTATGAAATAACAGCAATAGTATAGTATATGCTTGTATGCGTATGCCTATATGCTTGCATGAAGTAATAGCGTTAAGTATATGGGCAACTACCAGAAGCACGCTTTATTATTAGGGGGTGAACACAACGACCTTTCTTCTAATTGGGTGTCTGTTCTGCGAGTACTTTGCAAGCATCTTTTTAGGCATAGCCACTCGCACTGATCTGGGGAGCTTCTTCTGGAAGCACTTTGGAAGTGGCTTGTTCTCTCGCTCGCACTCTTCCTTGATCTCCTCCCGCTTCTTCTCTCCAAGGATGGTCAAGCATCTTGCGATGTCTTTCTTGGTTGTGATCCACTCGGCAGAGTTCATGTAGTCTTCTCCCTTTGGGTTGTTTCTCATGTTAAGTATCAGCATTTTCTTGTCTGAAAGTGTCTCTTCCACCTCGGTGTAGGACATACTTCTCAGCTGCTTGGAGTATTCATTACGGCCCATTACAGGGGATAAAATTTGCGAAAATAAAAAGAGAAAAGAGAGAAAAGAAAAGAGAAAAGAAAGAGAGAAAAAAGAAAGAGAAAACATTAAGTCTAAAGCCGGGCACAGCATCTCTGGCCGAGCCTTTTCTGGGAAAACGGTTTCCTGTGCACGGGTTATTCTCGTGCTAAGTGATTTATTGAGTTAGTTCTGCCTATCTATTCCAGGAATCCAGTTATTTCAGGACTACCTGGCAAACTTCCGGATCTTCTTCAGGTGCTCTGGAGCGTGCGGGGAGTCATCGACCAAGTCCGGGAGCAATTCCACGGAGACGTATTCCAGAACCTCCTCCCTCCTCTCCGGGACTATCTTCACCCACTCTCTGACCAGCCCCATCCCGTTCTCCAGGACTCTATCGTAACCCTCGACTGTGATTTTCACGAGCCCAAGGAAAAACAAAACATTCCCGGCAAACTCTGCGGAGAGTTTCCCAGCCACCTTCGCGGGTTCGAATCCGTCCTCCTTCAAGATTTTTACGACGATACTCTCCATGCGGGCAGCCTCTTCCGGGGCCTCCTCGACCAACTCTGCGACCTTCACTGCCCTCTTCGCCTTCACTGCGGGCTTCTTCTTCTCCTTTACCTTGCTGCTCTTCCACTCGCTCTCCTCCTCTTCTCTTCTCTCCTCCTTCGAGACCCAGTTATTCCTTGCGAGATCCAGGACTTCCTCCACCATAAACCTGTACCTGATGGACAGATCCTGTATCGCAGTCTCCAACCACTGGATGTACTTCCTGAGGAATTCTCTTGCGAGGGGCTGATCAAACCTCTTCCCTGCGTGTTTCAGGATGAAGCAGAGTCTCTCGACGTTCTCCGGGCACTTTCTTTCGAGGATATTGTGAACTGCCGAGTGCATGAGGTTATCCGAGAATATTCCCTGGAGGTACATCTCCACGATGAAGCTTACGAGGGTGAGGGCTCTTTTCTTCGTGAGGATTCTCTCGTACTCCTTCTCCTTATTATTTGATATTTCCGTGACTCTCTGGGTTATTTCCTGTGCTGAGAGTGACTGCGGCTGTGCTGTTTCCTCCGTGGATGCCCAGTGAGTTTCTCTGGAGAACTCTGTCTGTGCGAGGTTAGAGATTGTCCTGACGAACAGGGACTTTCCGGTTCCCTTCTTCTCCTCCTTCGCGTATAGCATGTGCTGGAGCTTCTCAACGAGGGATGCGTATATTGCGGTGTACGCGTGCTCCTGCATGACTTTGTTGAAGAAAGCTGTTGCGAGTTTTATGGTTGCTGCTTCCGAGGGGGGTTTTACTGCGAGGATTCTCTTTGCAATTTCCCTGATGTTATTCTGGGAGACCTGGTTCAGTGCGAGGTTGAAGTTTGCCTCGTACGGCTCGACCTCTTCAAACTGCGTCACTGGTGCGGTCTTTCTTGCGTCCTTAAACTGTGTCTTGAAGGATCTAAACTCCTTCTTCTTCCTGAGGAAGGACTTCGCGAGGACTGTCCTGTCGATCTGCGGGGGGAGTTCTGGGAGGGAGTCTCTGAGGGCGAGGAGGGTCTTCTTCGAGTACAGGATTGGGAGGTGTGTGATTTCCATCTCTGCGGAGAAGTCTATGGTCTCTGGCTCCTCTACTGTTTCTTGCTCTTTCACTGTCTCCTTCTCCTCTTTCACTGTCTCCTGCTCTTTCACTGTTTCCTTCTCCTCCTTCTCTGGGGGTGACTCTCGCGGGGTCTTTGGCTGCTCCTGCGGGGGTGCCGGCTTCTTCTCTGCCTCTGCCTTCTTCCTTGGGCGGGGTGGGAGTGTCTTTGCGGAAATTGGGGCCTTTCTCTCTGTGAACACGTTTTTTCTGATTGCGTCTGACATTCTGGCGTCCCACGAGGGGATCTTCTCTCCTGTTTCCGGGTCTGTGCCGACGGGGACTCCTCCCTTCACTGTGCAGTCCATCTTTGGCAGGGCACTTTCAGGTTCTGCACTTTCCAGGGGTGCCTCCTCCTTTTCGGAAGTTTGCGCTTCTGGTGTGCTCGCAGGGAGACTTTCCTCGGGGTGTTTCTGCGCCTCTGATTTTATTTCTTCCTGCTTCTCCCCGTCTTTTTCTGAGTTTTCCTCTTTTTTTTCGTCTTTTCCCTGGGGAGAGACTTTTCCAAAAGCCCCTTCGATCAAAAGATCTTTTTCGTCCTCGTGTTTTTTCAGGTCTGATTCTACGCCCTGGGAATCATCGCCCTTTTCGGAGGGATCTTCAGGAGAAGCTTCTTCTAACGTCTCAGCGGACACTCCAACGCTGTGGGGAGCAGGGGCCAGCGGCTCCTCCTTCGTGTCAACTTCGATGTGGTGCTTCTTCAGCTCCTCCTGGACAAGGTTCTCGGTAAGCGCAGACCCATCCATAAAAACCAGCTGCAGACCCTTCCTCTCCCTTTTCGGGGGAATAACTGCCTCGGGAAGAGCCTTCTCCTCCTCCTTCCGCACGGGCTTCTTCTTCTTCTTGTCCAACTCCGGCTTTTTAGCATCTATTCGCACTGGGGTTTTAGATGGGTGCTTCCTGTGCATATTATGTGAAGAATCCCTGCTCGGGTAAGCTGCTGCCCTCTCAGGATATCCTCCACCGGACACAATAGCAGATCTTTTGTCTTCACTATCCATACGGGGGCTGAGTGAAAAAACTAAAATAAAAGAAAATAAACCAATAGCCAGCATCCAATAGAAAGTGAAGCAAAACAAAGCGAATGAAACGCAGAAAAGAGTGCAATTCATCGTTTATTCGCAAATACCCAGAAGAAACAGAAAGTCTCCCACAGAAGCCCAATTCTCTACGCCTTCCTCTCAGCCCCCCGGATGACTCTGTTGAAGGAGAGAATGCCCTGGGGGAGGGCAATCCACCCGAGGCCCACAGAAGCAGCAATCACCAGGAGGGAGACGGCCTTTGAAATGTGCTCCTTAACTGCAATTCGGAGAATAAGGACCCAGTAAAGCACGTACGTATTACTGTCTCCTGCGTGCATTCTCTCGTAGAAGCCTTTAGCCAGAGAAAAGTCCTTCTCTATTCCGCAGCCCATTTCGTACATCCACCCTGTGAGATACTTTCCCTCAGTGCTTCCCATGAGAGCAGCTGCGTAGTACCTGGAGAAGGCTCTGCTCATATTTACATCTACTCCGATCCCGTAGTAGTGAGCATCCCCCAACTCCAGGAAGGCATCTGCACTCTTCACCTCTGCGAGTCTCTTGCAGAGTATTACGTATATCTTCTCAATAGTCTTATCAGTAGTATTCTCAATAGATATAGTCTCAGTGGAGTTATCAATAGGTATATTTCCAGGAGATATATTCTCAGTTGATGTATTCTTGTTGGAGTTACTCTCAGAAGTATTTCCAGGAGATATGTTCTTATTGGAATTATCAGTAGAAGTATTCTTATTGGAATTACTCTCAGTTGACGTCTTAGCAGAGTTCTTCCCTGGGCTTGCGAATAACCCGAGGAAGTCCCAGTTTCGCAGGGCCTTCATTCGGGAGAGTCTCAGGAGAAGCCTGTTCTTTATCGTGTACGCTGCATTTATGTATCCTGCCTGCGATCCTAAGTCCCCGATGAGAATGGATAGATAGAGTGCAGAAATATTCCTTCCCTCCTGGAACATTCTAATTGCCTCTTTCTCCAGGTCCAGGAGACTCTTGTAGTATATGGATATGCTTTTGTAGTGGTTTATAGTGCTTTGCTTGTAGCTTCCCTTCTCCCAGGACTTCTCTGCGTATTTGTACACGGCAGGCAAGTATCCGTCCTGCTTCGCCGACTTCATGAGGTGCAACTCCCCGAGGAAGCTCTTGTTGCTCTTCTCGTGCATCAGGAAGAGGTTGTAATCCGCAGCATTCGATCCCATTGCAGATGCTTTCTCCAGGTAGGCCTTTCCCCTTTGCGGGTCTCCCTCCTCCAGGGAAAGCATCCCCAAGCCGTTCAGGGAGTCTGGCTCGTCACTTCTCGCTCCCTCGGAGAAGTAGTGCCTCGCCGTGATCTTGCTCGCCGGGACTCCCCATCCGTAGTAGTACATGTTCCCGAGAAGGCCCATCGCATCCGGATTCCCCTTTCGGGCGCACTCCTTCAGGAAGTCTATGTGCGTATCCAGTTGAACATGCCCGATCTTTATGAGGGAGAGAAGACTCTCCGCTGCAATTTCATCCCCTCCTGATCGCAGCGTGCTTATGAAGTCGATGATTTTCTTGTTTTCCCCCTGTCTCTCCAGGTCGGCAAATTCCCACTTCGCGAAGAGGGCGGGCTTGCTCTTGAAGAAGTCGTTGAAGACTTGCTTTGCCACCTCCCGGAAGTAGTAGGCCACTTCTTTGCTCTCCCCTATCAGATTGTGCTTCCTATCCAGCTTATTAGCGTATACTAAGTAGGCTAAGTCCCTTACAGGGCAGGTGGAGTATAGGGACCTGTAGAGGGACTCCACGCCTGTTTTTATGTTGAAGTCCACGTATGTGCTAATAAACCACCTGTAGAAGTGCTTGCAGGGAGTGTGGGTTTTCTCTATTCTTTCCCTGGCTGCTTCTATGTCCGTATCTATGAATATGTCCGTGTATATCCTCCTGCACTCGCAGGGACTATCTGCAAGAGTACTTCCACCATTGCAACTTGCAGCTACCACCAGCACGAGAAAGGCCAATACTCTCTTAACAAACATTAAATAAAAAGAAAGCAGGAAATAAATATGTAGAACTAGCAGGAGGTGCAGGAATAGTATGAAGCAGAGTATAACCAGAGTATATGCAGAGTATATGCAAAGTATAAGCATAATTAGTAAGTTATAGTAATCGAGTAGTAGTATAGTAGTAGTATAGTAGTAAGTTATAATAGTAAGTTATAATAGTAGTAAGTTATAATAGTGTAATAGAATAGTAGAATAATAGAATTAGATAGTAGAATTAGTAGTAGAATAATAGAATTAGTAGTAGTATAATAGAATTAGTAAGTTATAATAGTAGTAATAGAATAGTAGAATATTTTCAGTAGGTTATAATAATAGTATAGTAGTATAGTAGAATTGGTAAGTTAGTAAAAATGTATAATAGTAACTGGAATAACAGAATAGCAGCCTAACAATAGTATAGTAGAAAACAAATAGAATATTTTCAAAGCACAAAGCCAGCATACCATAATAGCATATAGTAGAACCAGTAAGTTAGTACAACATCATTACGCCGTTACATCACTAGCACTGTATACTTAACCCTCAAGGGCTCTCATCTGGGAAGGACGGATTGACCGTATTTATACTTTATTTCCGGGATTCCATTAGCTTCTTCCCTACAGCAGCCCGGAGACTCTGCTGACGATTTCCTGGAGGGTTTCCGGGCCCACCTCCAGAGCCCCTGCCAGGAGCAGAAGGGACTTTGCAAGTTCCTGGTTGTTCGCGTGCGGGTTCTCCCCAAGGCGCTGTGCCATGATAAGAAGCACTCCCGGAATGACTCCTCGCACCTCCTGGGAGAGTCTCTGTATCTCCAGGACTTTCCTTCCAATTTCCTCGGGGGTTCCCCTGGGGATAAGCTCCGTCCTCTTTATGAGGCTGACTGCATTATCCCCGGAGGCTGCGATGCAGAGGGAGTCCCACAGGAAGTTCGTGACTGGGCTGTTGAAGTGTCTCACAATTCGGCCGACTCCTTCACTCTCGGCGTACTCTTTCTCCTCTATCCTCTGGACGAGAACTGACGTGAGAATCTCGAGGGTTCTCTCGCTGCTTCCTACATACGAGATCTTCAGGGCTTTATCCAGCTCTCCTGTTAGGATGTAGTACTCGGAGACTTTCGAGATGACTCTCTGCGCCTCTACGTTAGCGTATTCCCCGAGGGTGCTGTGGATCTTCCTTCCTGAAGCATCTATGCTCCCCAGAACAGCGTAATCCTCCGTGGCTATGAAGACTTCTGCAGCCAAGTCCTCCAGCCACTCCTGGGAGACGAAGGGGGATGCCATATTCACGACTGCGAGTCTCTCCCGGGCCTGCCTGAAGAGGGTGGAGATGCTCTGTATAGAGTGAATAAATAGCTCCAAGCAGAGGGTTTGCTCTGAGCGCGTGCTTCTTGCGAGGGGATAGTTCTCCGGGGCATTTCTTCGCATCTTATGGGCTATTCCGTACGAGAGGAAAAGGACTTCTCCTGCCGAGAAGGTTTCGTCCTGAAGGATTTCCATCGCCTCCTTCCACTCTCCGAGGACGAGAGCTGCCTGGAGGAGCTTTGTCTCCGTGATCTTTCCCCGGAGGAGCGAGAAAATGCGCGGATACTCCCTGGGACTCCCTGAGACGAGGATCTTATACCACAGAAAGTCTTCTATCGTGGTGATGACCTCCTGCGGGCACTCCTGGGCCTGCCTGAAGAGGTTCTGGAAAAGGGCTTTGAAGGGGTCAGCGGAGATGGGGGCTTCCTGGGGCTTTGCAGGCGTGCCCTTCTCCAGCCACGCACAGAAGTCCTCGTAGAAGTGCCCTGAAATCTCCTGGAAGAAGGGCCTGTTATTGTCTGCGAAATCCTTTGCCTCCTTCCTCATTCCTGCGCGAACAAAGTAGTACAGAACAGCAAAAACTGGGACACTTTCGTACATTTCCAGCCTGAACATTCCCCCGTGCTTTTTCTGGACGTATTTCAGGACTCCCCCCAGGGAAGAGTCTCTCAGGGCGTGCTCTCGGAAGGTGTCGGATAGGAACTGGAGAGGGGTCTGGTGGGAGGTTATGTACTTGTAGACGTCAAAGATCATCTGGGAAGTGAAGACGTTTCTTCCCAAAGTGTCTGATCTTTTTATGGAGTTGCACCCTTCTATTATAATATCGCAGAAGTCGTCCTTCCTCACGCGGTGCTTTGCCTTCGGGGAGGAGAGAAGGGCTTTTTCCTCCTTTATGAAGGTCTCCTTCAGGTCGCTCATGAATGCAGTGAGGGCATTTTCCACCTGGGACTCCCCGTATTCTACGAGCTTGTTCTCGAATATTCCGTCCAAGTATCTTTCTATCGTTATGTACTCGCTTTTTTCCTCGTATTTCATTATGTTTCCCAGCTCCTTGATTCTCTTTTCAAGCTCTGGGTGGTAGCTGTGCAGCTCCTTTGGCCTGTTTTTTATGGCCAATTCTATCTCAATCAGGGACATCGGATACTTTCTCAGTATGCACTCACTCTCTGCCTTCATCGAATAAAAATAAGAAAATAAAGTTAGTAAATATGGGAGGCACACAAGAGGAAGGGGGAAGCATGGGGAAGAGAAAAAAGAAGCACCGGGAGAAAACTATTCGCACGAACAGAAAAAAATGAGCATGCCCGGAAAAATCAGTGCATGAACTTAATATGGGAACCAGCAGGTCAACAGGAGTAAGTGCGTGAATAGCAGTATGCTACTAGAGAGTGAATTAGTAAGTTAGTAGAAGGCGAGTAATGAGTTGGTTAGTATTCGGCCTATTCAATAAGCAGATTGTTAATAGTAGGCCAACATCAACAAGCCAGAAGTGAGTCAACATTAATAATAAGTTAATAGCACTAATAACAGTAATAGAAACACTAACGTCAGCAATATTAACAGTAATAGACTAAACACTAACAGCAATAACAGAAGAAATACTGTACTAGCAGTAATACCAGAAGCAATACTAGTAATAGTAAACTAACAATAATAACAGTAATACCAGAAGCAGTAGACTAGTAATAGTAATAACAGAAGCAATACTGTACTAACAGAAGCAATACTGTAATAACAGTAATAACAGAAGCAATAGACTAGTAATAGTAAACTAGCAGTAATACTAGTAATAGTAAACTAGCAGTAACAACAGAAGCAATACTAGTAATAGTAATACTAGCAGTAATAACAGAAGCAGCGATCATCTGAGCTCCAAGAACGGGGGCGAACATGGCTTCTCCTGTGATATTTGCTTTTTGTTTTTGCTTTTGTTTTCATGAGTGTCTTCGAATACGCCAGCCCCAGGGCTCTTGTGCGGGTTATTAGCCCAGAATTCCAGAGGAGCGAGCTCTCTTACTTGAGCATGCGCTTGCAGGATGACATTTCAGAAGACAGGATTTGCGTGACGTACCTTCCCTTTCTCGCGCAAAGAGAGTTATTCACATACGAGCACTGCAGGAGTGTGCCCTTTCAGGACGTCTCCGTGGACGTGGAGAATCTCGTCATGGACTTCACGGGGTTGCAGGTCCAATTCCTGAACGGGGTCGACTTCTGCCACTGGAAGGGCCACATTCAGTGGCTTCTTCATCCGCTAAATAGGACCAGGAAGCACAAAATAACGGCCACTTCCGGGGATATAAACGGGTCTTTCCTCGTATTCGGAAAGTACTTTACAGTAAATGCCTGGAAAGACTCGATCCAAATCAACAACAAACTCCCGTATGCTGGGGATATGCTGCACTTCTCGGTGGAAAACATCAGCAAAAGACTCTCTGAGGGCAGCAACCAGAAAATCACCGCGAATATGCACTGCCCCGGGAGGGAGAGTCTGAACATCCAATTCTTCCTCCAGGAAAACTGGGAGAATCCTGCGGTTTCTTCTCTGCTGGAGGAAGTTCACGCTCCAAGCAGTCTTTTCCACGTCTCTCTCTTCGGGAAGTACTTTAGACTCCCCATTAGCAAGGAAGAGCCTGCGACCTGCAGCGACTATAAGACCAATCCCCACTGCTGCTGTGCGTACATCCAGTACCGGTCGGATGGAGACACTTTCGAGTGCCCTTTCAGCGAGTCCATCAGTGCCTCCTTAAAGAATCGCCTGAATACGCTTTCCTCCCTTTTCCCGCACAGTTTCCTGCTGAATAAGTACTGCACTCGATACCTGGAGGAATTCCCGAAGATATCCGAGAGAATGCAGAATTACCACGCCTTCATCTCCCGGGAGGAAAGCCTCCTGCAGAAAATACTCACACGCTCGGAGAGGGAGGACCTGAAGAAGTATGCAACGGAAAGTGATATTCTGGCCTTCTCTTCCGGTGTCTTCGGAGTCTCCTGCAGGGATACCTCAAAAAATCACGTTATCCTCCACGGGGGAGTTGAGTCCAGAGTGAGTGAAATCCGGAAGACTCCAGGATGGTATCCCACAAAGACCCCGCGGGTATTCGTGCTTGTGGGCGAGTCCGTATACGACGTATCCTTCAGGTGCTGCACATCCCTCGACTTCTTTGTGCTGGCTCACGTCGGAGTATCCCACGTCCTCAAGAACTTTCCAAGCACAAGCCAGAACATGCATAGCATATACATGGAGTACATCAGCATATTCACAATGTGCCTGCACAGTAGCTCCGTAGAGTACAGGAGACTGAGCGAGTTTTCGAATTATTTGGAGGTTTCCAGCAGGGAGTCACCTGAAAACAAGCGGGAGACTCTCCCTGTTTACGTAGGCCTGCACGATAGCATCGTCCATAGCATCGGAAGAATCGACCAGATGGAAAACAGAATTTCTCCACTGGACATTGAAACCCTCTATTTTACAACTGTCTTCCTCTTTATGATGTACAGCACGGACGTAAACAGCATAGTCGAGTGCATTTGCACGATTCCCGGAGTGAACTCCCTCCACATTCGGGCATGCACGAAGATTCTCTACTCCCTCCAGGAGTATGCGTATATCATTGGAGAGAATCCCGCGAATCCCGAGAGAGATTCTCCAGAAGATGCTCGGGCTGAGAATATCCCCGGGGGAGTCCATGGGAACAGTCCGAATTACGTGGAAAGAGCCGTGAAATTGCCTCCTGAGAAGATTCTCCGGGTATTCCACGAGCTCTCCCTCATGAATTCAGTCCCTTCTTACAGGGCGGAGCGGCTTAAGAGGGTGCTTTACAGCAGGAGTATACTGAAAGTGCCCGAACTGTGGATAGTTCTCATGGGGATATACGTCGATGCAGTGGATACTAACGAGTATACGCACATAAACGTCCACATTCTTCTTCTCAACAGGTACATAAAGAGACACTCCAGGATATTCGGGGGAAGTACTCCCTCCATAAAGAACAAGGAGGTCCTGGAAGAGTGGGATAAGTCGTGCAGGGAAGAGCCTGGAGGCGGAGGGCCAAAGCACATCCCCGCAGTGGTGTACGCCTACGAAGAAGAGACGGGGGCGTATTCTCTCTGTCTCTACAAGATCGTGGACCGGATATTTTCCTCCCTCGGGGAAAGAGAAAGAGAAATCGTGCGGGGAGTCTACCGAAAAAGGCAGAGCGTACTCCTCCACAGCCACGTATTCATTCTCCTGCAGCTTCTTGCGCTGAAAATAGAGAAAGCCTCGAGTCTCCGGACGTATACGAGCACCCTCAACTACATACTCAACGTATACATGCACTATTATACGGGGGAAAGTGTCCAAATTCCCTCCTACAACGAGACACTTTTGGAAATAATTTCAGAAATACAGAAGGTGAATCTGCAGTTCCTGGGGGAGTACCGCATGAACATGGCGATATACGGGGAATCCGATAGGATTTGGGCGCTTAGGAAGAAGAGACTTCTCCGAGACGCGATATACAACTTCTGCGTGTGCGAAGTGATACTGAGCAGGCGCATAATTAGGAGTAATTTACCGCTGCATTCGGAAGAGTGCGACTTTCCAGAGCGAGAGAGAAAGGTGTTCGACCTGCAGCACTATCTGGAGGAGTGGGTTCTTTCCCGCGTGGAATTACCAACTTCCCAGAGTACGCCCGACTTCGTGTACAGTATCCTCGTGCACTACCACCCGGAGAAATACGCATACATTTTCAAGGAAAAATAAACCCGAATAATTCCCAGAGTTGGCGCTTACCAAGGAATAGTATGTGTAGTTAGTAAAGGAAGCACGTACTCTATGCGGGCACTCGCCATAGAGCTATGATAGTTAAATACTAAGTCGCACAAATACAGATTATTACGATATTTAGCATAGGTTCCACTAGACTCTAACTTTGCCCTTGGAGATCCCGACTGGGAACTTTATGTAAACATACTTTCTCTCTTATCTCCTGAATATCTGTGCACGAGATAAAAGTTTTTCAGGTATTTATACTTTTTCCCCGATTATTTTCAGTAAAACAAAAAGTAACTGTTTACATTCTGTTATGTGCTTTCAGCATATATAGTCGTGATTGGTTACTGTTTGGAGATGAATTGGCATTTGTTTGGCAGCAGTTATAAACAAGGATATATTAAGTACAACAGTATTTAAGCACACCAATAAACAATAAAGACGTGAATTTCACTGGCACTTACAAGTAATGCTTAAATAACTCTGAATTCTCTACGTGTTTTTTAAATGTGTTTATTTTTTCTTTATGCTTGACTTTGTATTTCTTCGTATATAGCCATAGAAGAAGAGACTATGAATAGCGAAAAGAAAAGGCACAGCAGAACTTGCAACAAATTCTCAATTTTGGAATTTTTGTACTCTATATCCTCTGGATTAACAGGAACTGTTTCAACTATCACTGGAGTAGCTTCCTGTTGAATATTAACAGGATCTGTTTCAACGGTCGCCGGAATAACTGCCGGTTCATTAACAGGAGCTGTTTCAACGGTCGCCGGAATAACTGCCGGTTCATTAACAGGAGCTGAATTGTTGTTTAAGTGACTAGCACTCTGGTCAAAAGGCCGATTAGATTCCGGGGCTTCTTCCACTTCGTCTTTCACGTCGTCTTCCACTTCGTCATCATCTGATGATAGATCCCAATAAAAACAATCGTCCTCCTCGTATCGCATCATGGATTTCCTGAGAAGATCAAAATCTTTAATCTTAACCTGGAGATTTCTCGAATAGCTCTCTATCTTCGCCCATATAGCTTTCCTTTGAACTAGAGCCAGCCCTCTGTAGTTTTGGAAAAGGTTTAAAACCTCGGTTGTTGTGGTTTTTAACAATTTGTAGAATTCAATCTGCTCATTCAACTCCATGGCTTCCTCTGTGCCGTGTTCCAATGAGTCCAGCTTGCCAAGTATTTCGCGTGTTTTTTTCTTAAGATCATTTTCCCTTTCTATGAGTCTTTTCAGCAGTGCTTTTTTGTCTTTGTATTTGCACAGAATGAAGGAAATAAGCACTGGATCCACAGACTTTCTAAAGATATCTGCTCCGATGGGGTTAGACTTCTTTACATCGAGAATGCCGTCTAGTATTTTGGCATTTCTTTCGAGGTCAGCTAGACTTCTTTCCATGTAAAGCATCTGGTAGACAAATTCTTGCTCGAAAACGATGGCTCTGTTGTGGTGGTTGATGCTTCTGATTCTCTTCATCGTCTCTGGGCTTATGTCCATAGCTTCCATCTCTTTAACAGTTCGGAAGACGCTAACATACCTATAATCTCTGTATATTATGCCGAATGTTTCTTCAAGTACCTCATCCAGAAGAAGTTTCCCGTCTTTCTCAAGAGTGTACAACTCTTCCAGCGAGTATATGTTGTCAGAGCTTGAGATTGAGTTTTTCTGTTCGTATCTACTGCAGAAGCTATCCAGAGAGTAGTCGCAGTGGTCTCTGGTTAGAGCTAGCAAGCTAAAGCGTCTGGTTGTGATGTTAATAAGATGCTCTATGTAGTTTTTCGCATCCGACTCGCTGAATTTGCTGATGTACTCTATGACATGAATCATCTTTGCAGTTTCTGCTTCCATAAAGGCCTTTATTGTAGGCTCTCCGTCTATTTTGTCTTCTGTCAAGTTTCTTCGGATGAACTCACATTTTTCCGCACACTTCTCCAGTGCCGCTCTCCCGGTGAGTTCATCATCCATTTCATCCCCTAAAACGGCATTTCTGAAATCAAGCGCGCACTTCCCCTTGCTTTGCATTATAAAGCATATCGTGTTCATCTCTAAGATTCTAGAAAGGACTTGGATCTTGTTTTTCCAGTTTTCTTCGGCCTCCTCCGGGAATTCCATGTGTGTGCTTCCAATGAATATTTTGGAAAGGAAGCTCGGCCAGTTGATCGTTGGCACAGGAGCTAATACTTTGTCCACTTCACAAATGGCGTTTTGCTTGTAGTTTTCTAGTATTTTTTCGACGTTGATTTTTAGTGTTGCTGATTTCTCTGTATTCATTTCTGTTTTTGCAAAAAATGATCCGATATAATATATAGTTGCAAAGTTTTCAGTTTTTTCTGAAAAATCATCAGTAAATGAAAAAAAAAGCAGGGAGACAGAGTAGAGGGGGAAGAGCCCGTGCAAAATGAAACCTAACTTTCCACTGCACTATTTTGCAGATCTTTTCATGGGCGATCTATTGATATTTCGGGTGAGAAGCTTTTTTCCTACCCCACTACAACGGATGATTGTATGTGTGGTGAATTATTGGAATTTCCACAAAAAAATCGAAGAGGGTCCGATCATCACTTGATTGAATTTCACATGAGCTAAAACATGAAATTGATTGGCGATCGCTAAAAGTATAAATACGCGACACGATGTTAATTTCAGAGAAGAAAATGGCAAGAAATTCGAAGATTCACAAATCAAGTCAAGCCAAGGTCGACCGCCGGGACTCTCCACAGATTAATAAATCTTTAGTGGAGCTTGTATTAGCCCATAGCCATAATGAAACCCGGATTTACGACAATAATAGTTAGTGAGTAAGTAAGTATAATAGTAAGTAAGTATAATAGTGAGTGAGTATAATAGTGAGTAAGTGAGTGAGTATAATAGTGAGTGACTTGGTAAGATGTATTTACACTATACTATTATAACCCGAGCCTTATTATTCAGTTACTTCCATCCTTCTATGGATAAATAATATTTTATTTTTGCTTCCTATGGAGTTTGAAAAGTACATTTCAGAACGCATCCGACTCTTCGACAGAATAAAGTCAGAGCAGACAGCAGGAAAGAAAGAGCCCATAGAAATAACCACAGAGTTCGGGAAGCACGCAGGAACTTCCCACGAAACAACGCCTTTCTCGATCTCCAAGCAGGAGAACAAGAATCACGCGAATTTCATCGTTGCCAGAGTAAACGGCACCCTCTGGGACGCCCACAGGCCCCTGGAAGAAGACAGTACAGTTGAATTCCTCACTTTCGACGACGAAGAAGGAAAGAGAGTCTTCTGGCACTCCTCCGCCCACATCCTCGGAGAAGCCTGCGAGTCCGCCTTCTGCAGCCTCCTCTGCCTCGGCCCCCCAACAGACTCCGGATTCTTCTACGAAATGAGCATGAGCAGATCCGTAGTCCCAGAAGACTATAAAGTCCTCAGGAAGGAGATGAAGAGAATCGTCAAGGAGAACCAGCCCTTCGAGAGACTCGTCCTGAAAAAGGCACAGCTCCTAGAAATGTTCGCAGATAACCCCCTGAAGGCAGAGCTCATCTCCCAGAAGGTCCAGGAAGAGAGTACAGTATACAGATGCGGATCACTCATAGACTTCTGCCTTGGCCCGCATATACCCCACACGGGATACGTCAGGGCAATAGACGTACTCCATAACAGCAGCGCTTTCTTCCTCGGGGACTCGAATAGACCCGTCCTACAGAGAGTCTACGGAGTCTCCTTCCCCCAGAAGACACAGCTCCTGGAGCACCTGAAAAATCTCGAGGAGGCAAAGAAGAATAACCACAGGAAGATCGGGAGTGAGCTCAGCCTCTTCTTCTTCTCCCCGTACAGCCCAGGGTCCTGCTTCTTCCTCCCGAAAGGAGCCTTCGTTTACAACGCCCTCGTAAACCTCATGCGAGAACACTACAGGAAGAAGGGATTTAAGGAGGTCATTACCCCGAATATCTTCACAAATGAACTCTGGGCAAAGAGCGGACACCTCGAGAAGTACAGAGAGGATATGTTCTGCTTACACGCAGACGGAACAGAAATGGCCCTGAAGCCCATGAACTGCCCTGCTCATTGCCTGCTTTTCGAACACTTGGCTTGCTCGTACAGGGAACTCCCCCTTAGGATAGCAGACTTCGGAGTCCTCCACAGAAATGAAGTCTCCGGAGCACTCACAGGACTCACGAGAGTCAGAAGATTCCAGCAGGATGACGCCCATATATTCGCACCTGCTAAGGCAGTCGCAGGAGAGATACGAGATGCCCTGGAGTTTCTTCGGGAGGTTTACACTCTCCTGGGATTCACATACGCAGTTAGCCTTAGCACACGCCCGGAGAAGTTCCTGGGAGAAGTCGCACTTTGGGACACGGCAGAGAGCCAGCTGAAGAGCGCACTCCAGGAAAGCGGTCTCCCGTGGACTCTGAACGAGGGAGATGGAGCCTTCTACGGGCCGAAGATAGATATCTCCTTGTGCGATGCTTTGGGGAGGAAGCACCAGTGCGGAACAATTCAGTTGGACTTTCAGCTTCCGATCAGGTTTGATTTGTCGTTTGCTGGGGCAGAGGGAGAGAGGGAGAGACCGGTTATGATCCACAGGGCAATCCTCGGAAGTGTCGAGAGGATGACGGGAATCCTCCTGGAGCACGCACGCGGGAGACTGCCTCCGTGGATAAATCCGTCGCAGGTCGCAGTGATCCCCGTGTCACCCGCAGAGGGAGAGTACGCCCGAGAGGTGCAGGGGAGACTCAGGGAGTTGGAGGTCGTTGTAGATCTCTCGGAGAGTACGCTTAATAAGAAGATTCTTAACGCGGAGAAGAGCAAGTTCTCGTATATCCTTATCGTGGGGAAGAGAGAGGCAGCAGAGAAAAGCGTATCTTTCAGGAACTTGCGCCCGGGGGAGACGCTTTATTTCCCGCTGGAGGATGCCCGGGAGATGCTCCTGCAGGCGGTGGGGGCGCGGGTTCGAACCCCGGGGGAGATTTTGAACTTTGTCCCGAAGCCCAGGAAGAGCCCCGGAGTCCCGGCAGTCTCCCAGGCGTGGGCGTGTCTTGAGAGGATACTCGCAGGAGCTTGCGCGCGGGTGTTGGAGGCACTGCGCGGGAAGGTGAAGCCTGAATGAAAACCTGAAAACCTGAATAAAGGCCGCAGTTTCACTTGCACTTTCTGCTGATGGGCGCAGTTTGTCCGCTGTTCGGCTTTCCAGGGATGCGAAGGCCTGATATTATTGGGCTTGCGATGATGGCCTGAAACTATGATAAAAACGTCTTTTTCGTCTTTTTCGTCTTTCGTTGGGAAATTAATCAGTAGAGATAACGGCTGATCTGTGGTGAAGTTTGCACTGCACGTATGCGAAGAGCTGTATACGGGAAGTGCCAGTGAAAATTACATCTTTGTTTTTAACCTGCTTAGATGCCTGTAATATCCGCATTTCTCTGGCCTCCCACTCCTGGAGTACATTTATTGGCCTTCTATGCAGTAACCAATCACAAGAAAATGGTTTCAGCATAATTATCCGCTGGCTGGTGGGGTAGGAAAAAAGTTTCTCACCAGAAAAATCAATAGATCGCCCATGAAAAGATCTGCAAAATAGCGCAGTTGGAGGTTAGGTTTCATTTTGCACGTGCTCTTCCCCCATACCCTTTTCCCCCTCCTACTCTGCCCCTTTTTTTCTTTTACTGATGATTTTTTGCAAAAACAGAAATGAATACAGAGAAATCAGCAACAGTAAAAATCAACGTCGAAAGAACAATAGAAAACTACAAGCAAAACGCCATTTGTGAAGAGGACAAAGTATTAGCTCCTGTGCCAACGATCAACTGGCCGAGCTTCCTTTCCAAAATATTCATTGGAAGCACACACTTGGAATTCCAGAAGGAAGCCGAAGAAAACTGGAAAAACAAGATCCAAGTCCTTTCTAGAATCTTAGAGATGAACACGATATGCTTTATAATGCAAAGCAAGGAGAAGTGCGCGATTCATTTCAGAAATGCCGTTTTAGGGAGTGTCATGGATGATGAACTCACCGGGAAAGAGGCACTGGAGAAGTGTGCGAAAACAAGTGAATTCATCCAAAGAAACTTGACAGAAGACAAAATAGACGAAGAGCCTACAGTAAAGGCCTTTATAGAAGCAGAAACTGCAAAGATGATTCATGTCATAGAGTACATCAGCAAATTCAGCGAGTCAGATGCGAAAAACTACATAGAGCATCTTATTAACATCACAACCAGGCGCTTTAACTTGCTAGCTCTAAGAGATAAACACTACGGGATATGCCCCCTGGATAGATTCTGCAGTAGATACGAACAGAAAAACTCAATCTCAAGCTCTGACGACATATACTCGCTGGAAGAGTTGTACACTCTTGAGAAAGACGGGAAACTTCTTCTGGATGAGGCACTTGAAGAAACATTCAGCATAATATGCAGAGATTTTAGTTCTGAGAATTTCTTCCGAACTGTTAAAGAGATGGAAGCTATGGACATAAGCCCAGAGACGATGAAGAGAATCAGAAGCATTAACTACCACAACAGAGACATCGTTTGCGAGCAAGAATTTGTCTACCAGATGCTTTACATGGAAAGAAGTCGAGCTGACCTCGAAAGAAATGCCAACTTACTAGACGACATTCTCGATGTAAAGAAGTCTAATCCCATTGGAGCAGATATCTTTAGAAAGTCTGTGGATTCGATGCTTATTTCCTTAGTCATCATAGCCGATGATAAAGAAGAGGTGAAGGAAAAACTCAACAATAAGAGAATAGAAATTGAGAGAAACCTAGACCGAACACAGAATATGCTGAACCTTAAGCCATACGGCACAGAGGAAGCCAATGAAATGTATACGCGGATTGAATCATGCCAATCGACAATTGCCTCAATAGACGAGGCTTTAAACCTTTTCAACGACTACAGCGGGCTGGATCTAGTTCAAAAGGAGGCTATATGGGCGAAGATAGAGAGCTATTCGAGACATCTCCAGGTTAAGATTAAAGATTTTGATTTTCTCAGGAGCTGCATGATATACTACGAGGAGAACGGTGGTTGTTTTTCTTGGGATATATCATCAGATGATGACGAAGTGGAAAACGACGTGAAAGACACTGTGAAAGACGACGTGGAAGACGACGTGGAATCTAATCGGCCTTTTGACCAGAGTGCTAGCCACTTAAACAACAATGCAGCTCCTGTTAATATTCAACAGGAAACTATTCCAGTGACCGTTGAAACAGTTCCTGTTAATCCAGAGGAAATAGATCACCAAAATTCCAAAATTGAGAATTTGTTGCAAGTTCTGCTGTGCCTTTTCTTGTCGCTATTCATAGTCTCTTCTTCTATGGCTATATACGAAGAAATACAAAGTCAAGCATAAAGAAAAAATAAACACATTTAAAAAACACGTAGAGAATTCAGAGTTATTTAAGCATTACTTGTAAGTGCCATAGATGGATACACTGCAAAATCTAGCATAAGTTTCCGTGGATGTTAGTCTGGGCCTGTAAAGTGTGGAGATGCTTCTGTCTTCTCTCCTGCGGCATCTTCAACAGGAATTCTTCTTTATCCCGTGATACATCACTTTATGATTCCATCAGTATATTGCCCTCTCGAAATAGCGGGAATATATAGAGAATTCGCCCGAATAGTAGCTGAAATGCAAGATGAATCCGGGCTATTATGCTTAATTCGAGCAGTGAATTGTTTCTGCTGGATGGTTTAGTGTGGAGTATTTGAGATATAATACGCCGAATCGATGCGAAGAGCTGTAGTACGGGAAGTGCCAGTGAAAGCCACGGCTTTATTTTTAACCTGCTTAGATGCCTGTAATATCCATATTCCTCTGGCCTCCCACTCCTGGAGTTCATTTATTGGCCTTCTATGCAGTAGCCATTCACGAGCAACTATGCTTTCAGCATACAATCATCCGTTGTGGTGGGGTAGGAAAAAAGTTTCTCGCCCAAAAAATCAATAGATCGCACATGAAAAGATCTGCAAAATAGTGCAGTTGGAGGTTAGGTTTCATTTTGCAAGTGCTCTTCCCGCATACTTCCCCCTCCTACTCTGTCTCCCTGCTTTTTTTTCATTTACTGATGATTTTTCAGAAAAAACTGAAAACTTTACAACTATATACCGGATCATTTTTTTGCAAAACAGAAATGAATACAAAGAAATCAGCAACACTAAAAATCAACGTCGAAAGAACAATAGAAAGCTACAGAAATCACTCTCTTCTTGGCGAAAAGAAAGTATTAGGTCCTGTGCCAAAGTTTAACTGGCCGAGCTTCCTTTCCAAAATATTCATTGGAAGCACACACTTGGAATTCCAGAAGGAGGCCGAAGAAAAGTGGGGACTATATTCTCAACTACTTTCTAGAATATTAGAGATGAACACGATATGCCTTATGATGTACAGCACCGAAAACAGCGCGGCTGCTTTCAGAGATGCCATTTTAGGGAATGAAATGGATGAAGAACTCACCGGGAGAGCGGCAGAACTGCAGTATGCGGAAAAATGTGAGTTCATCCGAAGAAACTTGACAGAAGACAACATAGACGGAGAGCCTACAATAAAGGCCTTTATGGAAAAAAGAGCTGCAGTGCTCATACAAGAATTGGAGACTATCTGTGCCTTCAGTGGATTGGAGAATAAGAACAACTGCATAATGCAGCTTTTTCACATCGCAAACAGACGCTTTAACTTGCTAGCTCTAAGAGATGAACACTACGGGATATGTCCTCTGGATAGATTCTGCATGAACTACGAACAGAAAAACTCAATCTCAAGCTCTGACAACATATACTCGCTGGAAGAGTTGTACACTCTTGAGAAAGACGGGAAACTTCTTTTGGATGAGGCACTTGAAGAAACATTCATCACAATATACAGAGATTTTAGTTCTAAGAATTTCTTCCAAACTGTTGAAGAGATGGAATCTGTGGAGATAAGCCCAGAGATTATGAAGCAAATCAGAAGCATCAGACACCACAGAGAAGCCATCGTTTGCGAGCAAGAATTTGTCTACCAGATGCTTTACATAGGAAGAGATAGAGCTGTTTTCGGAAGAAATGGCAAAATACTAGACGGGATTCTCGATGTAACGAAGTCTAACCCCATCGGAGCAGATATCTTTAAAAAGTCAGTGGATCCAGCGATTATTTCCTTAGTCATAGCCGACGATAAAGAAGAGCTGAAGGAACAACTCAACAATAAGAGAATAGAAATCGAGAGAAACCTAGACCGAACACAGAATATGCTGAAGTTTATGCCACACAGCACGAAGAAAGCCAATGAAATGTATATGATGATTGAATTATACCAATTGACAATTGCCTCAATAGACGAGGCTTTAAACCTTTTCAACGACTACAGCGGGCTGGATCTAGTTCAAAAGAAGGCTGTGTGGGCGAAGATAGAGAGCTATTCGAGAAATCTCCAGGTTGTGATTAACGATTTTGATTTTCTCAGGAAATACATGATACGCTACGAGGAGAAAGCGAAAGCTCGTCTTTCTGGTAAGTCATCAAATAATGACAAAACGAAAGATAATGTGGAATCTAATCGGCCTTTTAACCAGGGTTCTAGTCACTTAAACAACAATGCAGCTCCTATTATTCAACAGGAAACTACTACAGAGATCGTTGATGCAGATCCTGCTAATCCAGAGGATATAGATCTCCAAAACCCCGAACTTATGAAATCTCTGCAAATTATGCTGTGCCTTTTCTTGTCGCTATTCGCAGTCTCTTCTTCTATGGCTATATACGAAGAAATATGAAGTCAAGCATAAAGAAAAAATAAATACATTTAAAAAAAGCGTAGAGAATTCAGAGTTATTTAAGCATTACTTGTAAGTGCCATAGATGGATACACTGCAAAGTATCACAATTCTAATAGGTTATTGCGTAGATGGGCCTAATAAAGGGGTGTATTAAACACATAGGCATTTAAGCAGGCAAAGCCCAACAAATAAAGGCTGCAGTTTCCCTTGCACTTTCACTATTACAGGTCTTACTAAATACATCCATAGAACTATCCTATAACTATCATACAGAAATACTCTACTAAATACATCTTATAACTATCCTATAACTAACTCACTAACCATCGTACTAAATACATCCTATAACTATCTTACTAAATACTCTTACTAAATACATCGTACTAACTAACTATCTTACTAAATACTTTTACTAAATTCATCTTACTAAATACATCGTACTAAATATTCCTACTAAATACATCTTATAACTATCCTATAACTATTGTACAGAATTTTATCCTACTAAATACTCTTACTAAATACTCCTACTAAATACATCTTCTTATAACCAACTTACTAACTCAACTTACCAAACACTCTTACTTACTTATTGACTAACTTATAACCATTCCTTACTCTATCTCCTGGACTAACTAGCAGCTTTCTAAGACTATCCTGTGAATCCTCTGTGAATCCTCGGGAGGGGAAAAAGAGAAAGTAATTTTTTTAGTATGAGAAGAAACGGCTTCCAGACGCTGTACAGAGACGCATCCCCAACAACGTATACGATGATCGACCATAGAAGACACGTTAGAAACCGGAGAGAAATCTACAGCTACATCGAAAGGTACAAGCAGCTCCCAGTGGCAGCTGCTCTCTCTCGGGAGACAGAAGCTGAGGACATAAACCAGCACTTCTCCTGCAAGATCTCAGCAGCTGCAAGTCCCGAGGAAAGAGACGCCTTCCTCCAGGGAGAGACTCGCATCTTCAGCCTCCGTCTCGATCAGACTCCGAACGTGGAGATCTCCCGGGTCTTCCTGGAGGCTTATCTCCGGCATCTCCAGGGAGAATTCTCTCACCGCCAGGAGGAAGGGACTTTTCTCGTGGACTTCTCCGGGGGAAAGACGGGAGAAATTCCGTGGCTTGGGGAGGGAGTGAATCCCCTCGCAGAGTCTGCAATTCGTGCGTGGAAGGAGGCTCCACTCGAAGTTATCGCGCACTTTACGAAGTTCTACCGTCTCCCAGGGCGTTCTATCGGGGGATTCATTCGATCCGGTCCGAGTGGGGTGAAGAGTCTCCTCCTCCGGGGGTTCCAGGACATTCTCGCGAACTCCCTGCACGCCCTGAGCCTCTCCCTCGTTCCTGCAGAATTTTCTGTTCCCGCCAAATTTTCAGGTTCTTTTTCAGGTTCTTTCCCCCATGAAAATCCCCTAATCGAGAAGCACCTTCCCCCGTGCGTCCAGGAAATTCTGCGGAAACTCCAAGAAAAAAAGCACCTGAAATTCGGGGATCGAACCGAGCTAAACAACTTCATGCACTCCGCAGGCATTCCCCTGGAGGAAACTGTCTCCCTGTACCGGAGGCACTTCTCATGCTCTCCCTCGGAGTTCGACCGACAGTACAAGTACAGCATCCAGCACGCGTACGGTCTCGTGGGAGGAAAAATTCAGTACGGACCCCGAGGATGCCGGGTTATTCGGGGTTCCAAGGGGGCAGACTCTGTCGGGTGTCCCTTCTCCGGGTCTGCGGATCCCTCGGGGGCCTGTGCCCGGACCCTTCCCGGGTCTCCCTCCTCTCCCGTGGAGTCTCCAAGCGAGTACTACGCGCGTGCTCTGGGAAAAAAGTAAATGTGCTGTCCCGGAATCGAACCGAGCACCTTTCGCGTGTTAGGCGAATGTGATAACCAACTACACCAACAGCACATGACAAACATATCCCCATGGGTGGAATCCGGATGGAGTATTACTATTAGTACTATGAGTTAGTATTACTATTAGTACTATGAGTACTATGAGTTAGTATGAGTTACTATTAGTACTATGAGTTGGTATGAGTTAGTATGGGTTGGTATGAGTTAGTATGAGTTAGTGTGAGTTACTATTAGTACTATTAGTACTATGAGTTGGTATGAGTTACTATTAGTACTATGAGTTGGTATGAGTTACTATAAATATTCGGGTTATTACTATGTCTTACTGTTGCTTATTACTGTGCTGGATTATATTATGTTTATTTCTTGCTGGAATATAATTATTGCTATGCTATGATATAAATATACTATAACTACTGCTAGACTATTAAATGCTGCTGGAATATAACTATCTCTAGACTATAACTACTGCTAGACTATTAACTACTTCTTTGGACTATTGCTGGAATACTGCTGGAATATTACTATGATATAACTATAATACTACTACTGCCATACTATAAATATACTATAACTATTAACTACTTCTCTAGACTATCTCTATACTATAACTATTAACTACTTCTCTAGACTATCTCTATACTATAATATTAGTATACTATTACTATAACTATGCGATGCCTTCTTCTGCTGAGTCTGCCTTTATTTTCCCGCTCTCCTGCCTAGTACCCTTCTGCATCGTCCTCTGTGGCGAGTTCTATCCACTTGAGGCTGATCTGCCGGGCCAGTCTCCGGATGCCCTTTTTCTCGTACGGGTTCTTCGAGTAGAAGAGGACGATCCGGCCTATGCTGCTCTCCTGGAGATGGTCAACTTCCGGCTCTAAATGGTATAATATCTCTAAAACAGCCTTCTTCACGTCGTCATGCGGCAGGGAGTGATCGCTCATTGGCTCCAGCCACTTCTTCAGGGAGGAGAGAAGCCCCATGTCCAAGAGCTCTTCTTGTTTTTTTCTTTTTACGAGTTTGCCGTAGACGGAAGAGAGTGCATTTAGTTTGTACAGGGCAGGTCTTCCTTCTCTATTCGCTGCAAAATCAGCCTCGCTTGCTCCGTCTAATTCCGCCAGAATTTCCTGGGCCTGGAGATTTCCGGTGCTGCCTGCACTGTTCTCTTCGCTCATAAAAACAAAAATTGAAAATTCCCACTTTTACAGTTGGCTACAGTTGGAACTCCGTGGAGATATTATTCCATCTTCTGGACCATGATAGTGATATGGAAAGAGTGTATGCATGAGGTACCTCTCACGGGCTCCCTCTATGCGAAGTTTCTCCTCCTGCGAAGTCCTCCCGAGAGAGTCCCAGGAGAATGAACGCGCAGAAGTACGCTATAGTACTATAATCTCAGTATAAGTATAGAATAAGTATAAGTATAGAATAAGTCTAGGATAAGTATATGTATAGCTATAACTATACTATTACTACAATAATAACAGTATTATAACTATAATATACCATTGCTACAATAATAACTCTAACTATACTATTACAATATACTATACTATACCTATAACATATTACTCTAACTATAACAGTATTATAACTACAACTATACTATATTACTATACCTATAACATACTATATTACTCTACTATATTGCTATGACACTCTCCTTTTATTATGTTTTCTCCATTCCCTAGCAATTCTGCGGGTATACTCTCGATGTAAGCTCAGAGACAGTCTGTCTCTGCATGTTCTGGGGTACCAGGTGCAAAATATACGTTGGATAGTTATCCTGTATCCAGGGCATTCCCAGGATGAGCTTTACGTTATTACTTGGCACGAGAATGAATCTTTGGACGCTCTCACGCTCTCCCACACTCACGGAAGCACTTACACTCCGCACCCGAGAGAGTCCTCCCTCTGCCTTCCCAGGTCTATTCAGGAAGTTCTCGCTCGTAAAGTCTATCTCAGAATCTCCTCGGATTTTGAAGAGTCCCAGCATCTTCTGAGACTCCGTCGTTATTAAGTTTACGTCCAGTCCTGCGTTCAGAATAAAATTTGCATTTACTCCGTTCAGAAGTCCTTCTGCACTGGGAACACTCTCAGAGACTCCCGAGAGAAGAAGGGCGTAGTTTACGTTGTGATGCGATAGTTTCCCAGGGAATGTGCTACCTCGTGCATTTACAGCGTTCCCTGGGGTCTCCTTCTTATTCCGACTGTTCAGGGCGTAGCACTCTTCGTTCGTGTGGGTGCTGATCCTGTGATGAGTGCAGTATACGCCTGTCCTGGGAGTATTCCCACTCTGTGCGCTTATACTCTGATTATTCTGATTATTCTGGTTATTCTGTTGAATATTCTGATTATTCTGATTGTTTTGTTGATTATTCTGTTGATTCGGGTTATTTTGTTGAATATTCTGGTTATTCTCTTGATTCTGTTGATTATTCTGTTGATTCTGTTGATTCTGATTGTTCTGTTGGGCTTCTTTTATGAGGAATTCGGAAATTGCAGACTCTTTTCCTTCGATGTACTCCAGGATCTTCCCCCAGGACATTCCCTGGAGGGATTTCAGGTTTATCCACTGCTTCGTGCATATGCATAGGCCGCTCTCTATTTGCGCGCTCAGAACGTGTCTTTTTATCTCTGGGCTTATGAGACCGACTCTTTCCTGCGTCTCCACGGAAGAAGTGACTCTCCTCACGTAGTCCCGGAAGAAGAGAAAGTCATCCTGCCGGGCACTTGCATGGGAGGTAGATCGCACGGATAGGAAGGCATGCCTCTTCAGGACCTTCAGTGCTTCTGGGAGACTTTCTCTTCCTTCGTATAGATCTCTCAGGGTGGGAGAAGTCGCTTTCCTAAGGACTTTCATGTAGGAAGACTCTTCTACCTGCCCGCACAGGAGGGAGTCTATGAACATGTGCTGCCAAATGTCGTAGTGCGAGAGATCGTGCTCGTTCAGGAGGGGGAAAGTCCGGGATTCAGGGAGTTCTGAGTCCTCCCATGAAATTTCGACACTTTTGAAGGGAGTGACTGTATCTGGGCGGGAGTGCTGGTTTGGCTCTAGATTGAAGTACTTATCAAGGGCCTGGAGGATGTCTTTTCTCTCTTTCGGCATCTCCTGGAAGATCAGGAAGTGCTCGAAGAGACTCAGGGCAGGCTGGCAGTAGAATCTTTTTGCTTCGTTTTTAGTGGAGAAATACGGGAGTCTTTCCGGTGAGTTTTGGCTGTGCATCTTTTAGATGAAATTTTGCTTTTTTATTTATGCCGAGAATATCAGAGATTCACCAGAGGAGTTGCAGTAGTAGAAGAAATAGATCGTAATAGTAAGATAATTAGATAGTGAGATAGTAGTATAGCAGCAGAAGGATAGTTAGGATCTTGCCGTAGCAATAGGATAGTGGTTAGTTAGGGCGTGATAGTTGTTATATGATAGTAGTAGTATAGTTAGATAGTAATAGTATAATAGATAGTATTAAGATAGTAATAGTATAGCTATAGGATAGTAATAGTAATCTAGTTGGAATAATTAGATATTAGTAGTATAATAGATAGTAGTATAATTAGATAGTAGTAGTATTAAGATAGTAGTAGTATAGCTATAGGATAGTAGTATAATTAGATAGTAGTAATCTAGTTGGAATAATTAGATAGTAACAAGATAGTAGCAACCCGAATTACTATGATATAGTATACATATACGCTGGTTTAGTTGGTAGTTATCACTGGATATATCATTCGCTGTATTTATTGCCTCTTCTGAGTCTAATACGCCTGCTAGTTCCCAAAGAACACGACTTTAAGCGAGGGAAATACCTCCTGCAGTTTTGCCTGTATCTTTGCGCCCTGATCTCCCTGCATTTGTATGATCTTCTTGCCCTTCTTTTCGTCCATGACGATAGTTCCGTTGCAGCTGAGCTCCTTCTTAAGGTCGTTCAGGAGTTTGTTTATGTCGAAATTCTCTGGGATATTTTCCACTGTCGTAAGCCACTTTCTCCCTTTCCTGTTTTGCTTTCTTACGTGTATCTCGTTGTCTGCAAACTTTGCCTCATCATCGGAAAAAAACACCTCTTCGCTTACATCGCTCATGCCTGCTTCTGCAAAGAAAAGAAAAGAAAAAAAGAAAAGAAGACTCTGCGCAATTAATCAGCGAATTAGCGAGTGAATGAGTCAGTGAATAAATATAGTATAGTATGTGAGATAGTTAGTTAATAAGTGAATGAGTTAGCTAGTTAGTAGGTGAGTTGGTTAGTTAGTGAATGAGTTAGTTAGTAAGTGAATGAATGAATATAGTATGTAAGTGAATGATGAGTTAGCTAGTTACTTAGTGAATGAATAATAGTTGATGAATCAGTGTGTTACTTAGTTAATGAATGAATCAGTGTGTGAATGATGAGTATAGTATAATATGTGAGTAAGTTAGTTAATGAATATAGTATGTAAGTAAGTGAATGAATAGTCAGTGAATAGTTAATAGCCCGGAGTAGTGACTTAGTAGTGAGTGAGTAATAAGTGAGTGCTTGTGTAATAACCCGAATAACCTGAGATGTGCTTTTATTTTAAGACGGTTTCTGCCTGTGCAAAAATCCTCTCAGAAACCTCCTGGAGTCTCCCCACGGAAAAGTCCAGCAAATCAGAGAAAGCCCGCCCTGAAAGTGGCCCTGAAATCTCCGCGTAGGAAACTCCCAGGCCGTGCTTTGTGTAGGGAATTGCCAGGGTGAGGCTGGAATGGGAGCTTTCTTCGCTTTGTAGAAGGTCCAAAATATGGGAGTTATGGGACTCTGGGGATGTTGCTGCTGTGGTGCTGAAGATCATGTGCTTAATTGGGACTTTAAATCTTACGAGTGCAAGGGAAATGCTATTTATAAGGGCTGAAAGGAGGGATCCATTGTCACAAATGACTCTTGCTGAGATTGTGTATGTGTGTGTATCTAGGAGGATTGGAGTGAAGATATTTTCCAGGGAAAGTTCGTGATTTTCACGATCCCGGGTTATTCGGGGTGACGGGTTGTTTGGGGCTGCAGTTTCTGAGGGGAGAATCTGCACGGTCAGAGGCTTCTTCCCGGGACGAGGGGCACGTGCGAGCTCTGTGTGCACTTTTGTGAGGCCGCACGAGAACAGGACGTGCTTGCTCGTGTCGATGTGGATCTCCCGGTGCTGCAAGTTCGTTCTTCCGTCTTCTCTTTGCATAGGCGTGCTTTAGCTTAAAACTGAAATAAAAATATTATTTATAACGCACTGTGCACAAAGTGGATGTGTTATAGCACTGCGTGGATTAAGTATAGTGCTATGCCTTCTATTTATTATGTAGGGTGCACAAAGCGTTGTATTTATTGCACAGTGTGGGCGAAGTATAGTGGCATGCCTTCTATTTATTATGTGCTGTGCAGTAAATACTAGAATATTCCGCCATTTACTGCACACTTTGCACTAAGTATGCTACTTATGCTACACTGTGCACTAGTTACTGCCCGTGCCCTTCTCCTTTTGATCGACCCAATCGGCGTATACGTCAATGCTCTGCGAGAGCTTGTTCGTGTCGCATCTGTGCATGGCCTCGCAAAAGGCACACTTTGCAATGCCTTTGTTTTTTATTGTATCCACCGTGCACGTGACTGTGCCCTCCCGATTGCACTCCAGGCACGAAAAGTTTTTGTCTGGCCGGGTTATTCGGGGTCCTGACGCACGCCTTTTCCCCCTCTGCGTCTTCTTCCTCGCCATGAGAAAAGAAAATTTTCCAGAATTTACAAAAACCAGAAAAGCAAAATTTCAAAGCACAAATTTTTATGAGCTGTATTTTCTGCAGGGTTATTCGGGGAGAGCTCGGACCTGTTTTAAGCGAGACAAGCCTGCACGTTGTAATTGCAGATATAAGCCCAGCAAGCAGGGGCCATCTTCTATTTATACCGAAATATCACTCAGAAAAAATAGAAAGTCTACCAGACGAGTATTTATTGGAGACTTTGCTTCTTATGAAGAGAGCCGTGAAAATTTTAAACTTTAAAGCGTACAATATCCTGCAGAACAACGGGCACGGCCAAACAGTTCCCCACGTGCACTTTCACCTGATACCCTACGACGAAGAGAGAAACGAGGGCCTAGAAGCCTCTTTTAGCGCATCAGAAAAGGCTCGGGAAACCTTCTCTGAGGATGTGAAAATGTACCGGGAGAAACTGCTAAATTTAGGGGAAAAATAAAAATTGGGTTGAACCTGAAAATATTTGTTTTCCAAAAGAGGAAGTATTTTGGACCTGAAATGTTTTTATTTCTGCTACACTGTCGCAAAAAAAGTAAATAACCCGAATAATAACCCGAAAAACAAGATGAAGTACGAAAGAAGGCAAAAGCCCCTGAACATCCTCCTTGTGGGCGGATTCAACACGGGAAAGACAGAGTTCATAAGAACCCTCGCAGGGACTGAACTGGAGTCTTCGGGCGAGTCCCCAGAGCACGAGCTGCGACTTAACACGCGCAGTGTAAAAATTACTGAATTACGGGGCTACGGAAGAGACCAGAACACTCCGGAAAAGCTCGCAAAAATAGACCATTTCGTGCGAGACAGCTACAAAGGATTCCTCATGCAGGAGACAAAAATAGACAGGAACCCGTTTTTCGACGATAAAAGAGTCCATTTGCTCGTTATTTTCATTTCTCCTGCAGGAATAGGCCTGAAAGAGAGCGATATTTCGCTCTTAAAAATAATGAACAAAAAGGTTAACATCCTTGTTGTTATTCCGAAGTGCGACTATTACACGGCAGAAGAGCTTTTGGATTTGAAGGGAAAGATTGCTTCTTTGCTGAAGGCCAACGAGATAGACACTTTTGGCGCGGATTCTGGGGAAGATGCAGTTATCTTCAGCCTTTTCAGTGGAGAAAAAAATGTGAAGACTCTGGGTTATTCGGGGGCTTACGAGCATAGAGATCATGCGGTGGGGGTTTCCACGGTGAAAGAAGAGGCACATTCTGAGTATTTGGCCTTCCTGGAGTTCATAGAGAAATCGCATGAGGACTTGATAGAGCTGACGCATGTCCACTTTTATGAGAGGTATAGAAGCGCCATGCTGAGTGAATAAATTTGAAAAATATCAGATTCAGGTTATTCGGGTTGCCATATATAGTAATCCTTTTATTGTGAAAAATAAACATCCAAAATGGACATTTCCTTTTCGGGTATCCATCGGAGACACGACAAAAATCATCTACTACACACTGCACAGTAAGTCTAGCAATTAGTAGAGGGTGCACAGCAAGTCTTAGAATAGTTTTCTATTTGCTGCACACTACATGCTAACTCTTACCAATTGTTGTACACTATGCAGTAACTCTTGCCACATACTTGGAACTTATACTACACAGCACAGTGTGTTGTATGCTGAAAGTATAGTTGATGGAAATGGGTTATTGCTTAGATGGGCCTAGTTAAAGGGGCTGCATACCAGACCAGAAGGGATATATTAAGCACTGCCTATATAGGCAAACCGAGAAATAATAAAGGCCATGAATTTCACTTAGCACTTCCAGTATTACAACCCAGCAAGCAATCACCACTCTATTTTGCATTTACTGCACACTACATGCTAACTCTTATTATTTCTCATAGACTGCTTATCATTTACTTGGAACTTATGCTACACTACATGCTAACTCTTATTATTTACTGCACACTACATGCTAACTCTTACTATTTGTCATAGACTGCACTGTAAATAATTTTATACAAATGTGTGTTTTTTTTTGCCTGCATGGATACAGTCATTGTAGCCTTTGAGACGCCTTCTGTTCTCTCCCTGAAGTCTCTCTCTGAACTTTCCGATGCCCTTCCCTTCCCCCTTCGCATCTTCCCAATGCAAATCCAAAACGGAAAAATCGCGAAAAGGTGGGCCCTCACAGGAACCCGCCCCAACTCCACATTCACCCAGAAGGAGGAGAAGTCAACCACCCTAAAGGAGTTCATATCCCAGCTAAGAAAGTCTCCCTGCACAATTTTGGTAGACTTTTCAGACGAAACCATCACAGACCTCCACTTCAGAATATCCTGCAGGGACTCAACTATTTCCACGTACTGTAAGGGCCTGAACCTAAAAGTCTCCAAAATTTCCAGTACGTGTTCAGGTATTTTCCAGGCATCAGACACTTTCTTCAGGCGGATAAGCATCTCTCTCGTGGGAATTCGCATGCGGAATAAAAACGGGAAAAAAGTCTCCATCGACATCCCCGTGAGTCTCCAGGGAGTAAACTATACTCTCCCACAGCAAATGACGATGATACAGAGCCAGCCCCAGGGTCTTCCCGTGTGCATCTCCACAGTTACTTCAAAGAGTCTTCTCCTGGAGAAAGTCCTTTCAAAGGGTGCCCTCTTCTTTTCAGGTTCTATCTCGGAAGTGCCTGATTTTAAGATGGAGGAAATTCCAACTGAAAACCTGAAAGATCGAGGAAATGAACGGGGAGAGCTTTTCCTGCGGGTAGAATGCAGTGGGGCAGTGATTCTCTGCACTTTCTTCAAGGAAGCCTCTAAAGTCACGCTTTTAGACTCGTCTCTCCCGTGCATGAAGGCTTTCTACGTGTCGGAGTATCTGAAGCACGTGCAAAGGAAGTATACGGACGAACTTGCAGTGATTGTCTCTGTTTTCTCGGATGTAAGCGAGAGGAAGGACTTGGATGCTGTCCTTATGGGGGAGATGCAGAGGATAAAAACCCTCCAGGAAGAGAAAAGAAAGAAGGTTTTGCTCGGGATAAAGGACCTGATTTGCACGTTGAAATTCCCAGAGAGAGACGATAAAGGCTTTCTCCTGCTGAGTATGAAGAAGATATACCATGAAATCCTGCGAATGCAGAAGGCAGAGGTCGTAAATGCTCCGAAGAGGGATATATACGTGATCCCCGAGGGAGTGGGGCCTGCTTCTTCCCTGCACTGCCTCCTTAAGGAGAGGGAGAAATAGCCTGAATTCTCAGGGAAGAGGAAATACCTGCATAATAAATACACAATAACGGAATAACCTGAATCTGCTACTGAATGATAGATAGTATGTGAATAATAACTGTATAATACGTATCTAATACTACTCTAGTCTTAATACTATTATAATACTAGTCTTAATACTACTATTATATCTATGTAGTAACTGTCTAATACTACTACTAGTCTTAATACTTATCTAATACTACTACTACTATTATACTACTACTAGTCTTAATACTATTATAATACTATTATATCTATGTAGCAACTGTCTAATACTACTAGTCTTACTATTACACTATCCAATAACTATGTAACAATACTTATACAATACTACTATCTAATACTACTAGTCTTAATACTATCCCCTTGCTATTCTAGCAACTGCCTAATACAGTTAGGACTATACACAGGTGCTACTGCAGTAATACGGGAAGTTCTAAGTGGAAAATTATCCTTTATTCGGGTTATTCGGGCTATCTAGTATTCTTTGTCTGGTTATAAAGCCCTTTCATTCAGTCCGTCCTAACAACTGCCAATTTAGGAGTAACCACACTTGCACCGTACACCTCTTAATGCATACTATTTACTCTCTTCCCCTTCTACTCTTTCTCCTTCTACTCTCTTTCCCGTGGATAAATGCGAGTGAAAAGTGAAAATTTTATATGCGAATAGTTGCAGTCTCCAGCGGAAAAGGGGGCGTGGGAAAGTCCACAGTCGCATTTCTCCTTGCAAAGTCTCTCTCCCAGAAGAAACGAGTCCTTCTCCTGGACTTTGACATAACAGGCCCAAGTGTGAGCACTCTTATGAAGAATCCAAGCGAGTCCGTCATTATGAAAGAAACTCTAACTCCAATTAAAAAAACAGATACACTTTCGTACCTGACAATTGCAGCTATGATCCCGATAGACTCTCCCGTTATTTGGAAAGCACCAAAAAAGCTCTCTCTTCTGAGCCTCTTCATGAAAAGTGCAGATCCTTCACTCTTTGACTTTCTTGTGATTGATATGCCTCCTGGGAGCACGGATGAGCAAAACTTTCTGTGTGAAATTTCAGGTGCTGAGATCGTTATCGTTACAACATCGCAGAATTTGGCCCTGGACGAGGCTGAGAGCGTGATTGAGGTTTATAAGGAGGCTGGGAAGGAGATTCTGGGGGTTATTGAGAACATGCGGGAAATGGCATGTCCTGAATGCGGGGAGAAAATTTCCGTTTTTTCAAAAAATGGCGGGAAAATGCTTTCTGAGAGTGTGGGAGTCAGGTACCTGGGACACATTGACCAGATTTCCCGGGTGGAGGATCTTCCTGGGCTTCCCTCCAGTGTATCCAGTCTTTTGGGCCTTCTCCTGGACGATGAGACCCACCCTGAAAAATCCGAATAACCCGAATATATTTCCATATCGGGCAATAATAACGGTATAGTACCTGAAAAAATAAAATAATTTACTACATTTACGTTGTAAGATGGAATGCCCACATGTTGAGTATCCCATATAGCTCCGATGCATCTAAAACCCGGATCTTCTTGACCTCTGTCTTCACATCGGAAATTTGCTGCAGTAACTTCCTGCGATACGATGCATCCATTTGCCAGATTCCTCTCGTTAGTCTCTTGAGAATGTCCTGTGAGAGCTTAGCCTCTTCCAGGGCGTAGGCGTATACGTGCCTGCTATAATAAAAAAACCAAATCCTGTACGGAATCGAACCTTCGCTCTTTTCTATAGGAACTCCCCCATCCCCACCGGAGAGCAGCTCAGCAGGAAACTGCCGGACAACCTTTGGCTTTACAATGACTCTAGAAACACTTTCCCGGGAGACAATTCTGCGGATGTTTTCCTGCAATAAAAACAGCAAGTCTACAGCATACCCAAAAAGCACGTGATTATTCACCTCAAAGAAGGAAGCACCTGATTTTTCCATTTTTTCTGGGAAGATCAAAAGATCAGTGCTTTTGCTGTAGTTAGTGAGGATCATTTGATTTTCTTTGGAAAAAGTTTTATTCTCCTGGGAAAGCACGCGCAGATTTTGTGCGAAGTAGTTTACGTTGAAAACGTAGATGTGCAGGATGAGGGAGAGCAGCGCGTACGAGAGAAAGGCGTCTACCGGGGAATGCGTGGGGAAAAGGGCCGGGAAAATCCCCAGGAAAATCAGGTGCGTTTTTGTATAGATTTTTTTCAGGTACGAAAATATTCCTGTTTTGGCGGGTAAAATTTTCATGCCTGAAATTTCCATATATAGTAAGCCCGTTAGAATTTTGCAGGTTATGAAAATATTTGCAAAGTCTTCAGGTTCCACCTTTCCCGCCCGAATCACCAGCAAAGTAGCACCTACCGTAATAAATAGCCCAATAAATACAACTGTCTTGGGAAGCACGTACTTTCCCGAGGCCTTCACAAGCCCGTAAAACAGAAGGGAAATAGCTTCTAGCGAAAGGAATACGGTAAAATCAACACAAAACAGGGAAACAGGCTTTTTAACCAGAGCCCACAGAAAGTGCACAAATCCATTGTGCTTCCATAGAAGTATCACAGAGACAAAGTATACAACTATTCCCGTGAGAAATACTGTGGTGCAGTTGGTTCTCTTTGTAAAGTCCTTGTACGAAGTTATCATAAAAATTTGCAGAAAAAAAAAATAAAAAATAAAATTTACAAAATAGAAGCACTGCGCAAGGAAGCCCCGAATAGCCTGAAGAGAATCTAACTAGTTCAAAACCTGAGGAGGAAAAGCTGTGCAGAATAAAAGCTCAATCCAGACAGAAAGCGCACATGGTCTAGGCAATACTTTCTACGCATTAATGTCTATGTCTTGTTATTTACTGTGCAGTGTGTAATATATATTATATCAGCGCATTCCTCTGCTTAATGCACACTACGTATTAAGTGGCCATTGCTGCTACTTCCTATACACCACAGACTATGTCTCGTTATTTACTGTGCAGTGTATATTGAATACTGCACATAGTGCACACTGTGCAACAAATAGCTGAAGAAATTTCTTGCTATAGGAAGCAAAAAGAGAAAGCAGCACAAATACATCTTTATGCTTACGCTGCAAGTGCGCTTTAAAAACCTGTTTCAAGCGGGGAATGCTCACTCTCTGGCCTGACTCCGTCTAGTAGCACCTTCCCACCTATGCTACTTCCATTATTTGGCCATTCGCAGAGGCTTCACCCAATAATACGCGTTACTTAGCCCTTTCTTCACTCGCGCACTTTCAGTCTCCCCCTCAGAGAAGCTTTCACCCGCGTAATATCCACATCTTGCATGCTTCATGGCTTATCTACGCATACCTTTATTGGGATCTTTCGAACTGCTCACACCATCTTCACTTAAACTGCTTTGATCGCATGGAGTGTCTTGTATGCTGAAAGCACAGTTGCTCGTAATTCGTTATTGTTTATTAGGGTTAATTAAGGAGTTAATATAAATTAGACTTTAGGAGACAAATTAAACACACATGTATCTAAGCAGTAGAAAATTAATAAAGACCGTGAATTTCACATGACTCATTCCTGTATTACAACTTATGCAAAGGAGTAGATTAAATACATAAGCATTTAAGCACTCCAATAAATAATAAAGACGTGATTTTCGCTAGAAATTCCACTGTTGCAGCTAAAATTATTGTGAAGTAAAGTCTATCACTATGATTATTCTGCAAGTAAGCAAACCATCGCCCTAAAATGCATATTTAGCGCTTCATCCAAAAAAAAATCATGCAACTATTCAGGACAACAGCAGCTTTTGTTTTTGCTGCATGCATCCTCATATTCATTGTAATACGTGCTAGCGTAGACAGAAATGTGTGCAGCGCATATACGGACATGGATGGATACTTGGAAAACAAAAAGTCCCAAATCTCATCGCACGCTCTATGCTTGGTTGACAGCATAAATACCCCGAATAGCCGCCAACCCCTTGCGAGGATATACAGAAAGTCCGCACATACGAAGGAGGAAGGCAGAGCTCAGATTTCAGAAATAAGCTACAAGGTGCACAATAACGGAAATAAACTGCGGAATATGCTAAACCCAGGCCGCCCCACTCCCTGCCTGTACGACGAATACCCTGGGAACTCTGCAACTGACCCGGGGATTTCTACAATGGCCTGCACCATATCCAAAACAGCGTACGAGGATGTTTACACTCCGATAGTTCCTGGGTTTATACGGATAAAAGCCCTGGAAACGCTTAAGATGCTATATGTTCCGTATAACAAGGTAGACTCTGTCCTGGAGACAATAAAAAGCACAGAAAAAAAAAAGCTTGGAGCAGTATTCTATGCTGGATACGCTTCTGGATGGGATCTGCAAGCACATGGTCAGAAGCCAGATGGATCCCCTTGACAAAAAGGCTGGGTGCATTTCTTCTGTTCTGCTTGTATATGACGCACTAAGAGAAAACTTGTTTAACTGCATGTTTTCAGCCTCTTCCAAGTACAAGAGACTTCTGGCTGCGCACAAAGAGCATAAAGATGAAAACACGCTCAAACTTCTTGCTAGCTCAATTAGGACCGATCTGTATGCATCGATAGAAGCCACAGAAAGGTTCGACTTTTTAAACGGTATTTTCAGGGATATGGCACTAAGATTTCTTGAAGAAATAGCGCCTAGGAGCATGCGGATCTCTTCAGGCAGCTCCCACGATAACTTTGCGTTTTCCATTCGGAAAGACATGGAAAGCTGCGCCTCCAAGGACGACTGCATATACACGCTCTACAGGATGAAAGAAGTGCAAAAGATGAAGACGGATGAATCCTCACTTTACACCGAACTTCTAGAGATAGGATCGTCCGGAGAAGAATTCATAGAAAATGGCCTGAAAGAGTTGGATAGTATGCTGGAGAGGCTGAAGACCCGCCTGGGCACAAAGCGGCTTACCATGCAGATAGAGGAAAAGGCTCTGGATATGCTTAAAATGGAGACGGTTATGAGCGAAGTGGAAACCCTTTCGGGTGCTCTGAACAGACTGTACACCAAGAAATCAGGATAGTACGCTCTTCTAGCGCTTTATAGAGGTGCAAAACACCCGCAGAATTCGGAGTATTTGGGGTATTGTTGGGATTTATCTTTCTTAAATGCACATATTCGCAGTCCGTGCGCATTTTACACTCTTGCATAGTGCACTGCATGGATATGCTGGGTTTCTGCGCCTTCTTTAAATAAAATGCACCAGTTCATGCCGTATAAGAGTCTTTTCTCTGGGAGAGCCAGGACAGCCTCAAAAACACAGAAATAAAAGCATGCTTGTGCGCTAAGTATATGTTTCCAGAGAGCTCTTAGCTTCTCCTTTGCATGCAGAGCACATAGTTAGCACATAACGAGTACAGAAGCCCTCCGCAGGCAGAAAATGAATAAACACGAGTAGGCTAAATCCATTTAATTCAGCGATAGTTTCTCTGTGCTCGCACATGTGCTGTCTTTCACTGCATTGACAGCTAAATTGCGTATAAAAACACACTGTCTGCAGAAATATTCTTAAAGTTTGCAAAGAAACAGTACAGAGAATTTAAAATAAGTACGCTTTTTTTGGCTTTGAAAAAGCAGAGCCCTCGTGTGGAAAAGCCCTGCACAAGGGCAAAGCACCGAAAGGTCTTAAATGAAGGCAGGGAGAGAACGAACGGAACGAGCAGAATATGTTCACATTCAGCGACAATTATGCCACAGTTGACGAGAAGCTGTTTGAAGGCTCTTTTCAGTGGTCCTGCTCAGAGGCACCCAAACACACTGGCACGCGTCACAGGCTGAATCCCATGCGCAGGGAGTTGCAATAATGGAAGTAGTCATGTGAAGCATTGCCCTTTATTCGTTTTCAGCCTGCTTAAATATGCATTTAATTTGTCATAGCCCGAATGGCATGGATCAATCAAACATTAATAATCAAGAGCAACTATGCTGCTCGCATACAACATAAGGAATTCCTTTTGTTTTATGTTGTAAGCACGCGTATATCTGGATATAAATATCGTTTTTGTACAAATTCGGACATTTAAAGAGCAGAAAAATAAAGCATTCTGTGCAGTTTGCGTGCTTGCATATATTTTTGATCTAAATATTTGCGCTCACATAAGAGGTATTACAAATATATGCGAAATACACTTTGCATACATTTAAACCCGTCTGGAAAAAACAGCATGAATTTTCGCATTTTTCTAACTGCATTCGGCGTAGTTCTGCAGGCGGTGCTTTTTACCCTGCTCTATATGAAGGGCATAAAGCACATAGGCAGAGAACGCGCAGACGAAGCTAGCTATAGGGCTGGCACCAAAGCTACAGACTCGTACACTCGCCATCTGACCGAAGACGCCAGCACGAAAGTGCAGAGCACACTAAATCTCGTCTGCAGGCGCTAGAGCGTATCCCCCAGAAGAAGAGAAAATCCGTCTCCCCGTGCAGAAAATAAATTCTTTCTACTTTACTCGTCCAGTGCAACTATGGAAGTAAATCCAGGCCTGCCCCAAAAGTGCAGAGGTTGCAAGAAGGGGAAGTTAATAGAAGGCTGCGTGCAAGAGGCACACTGCACACGTGCCCTGAAAGCCATGCCTAAAGAAAGGCCGTGAGTATCCCCTAATTTTCCCCTATCCCTCCAAGGATCTTTCTCTCGTGCTTTCCTGTGCGTGCATTCTACTATTAATCTATTTCCTGCGTATTTATTACGTGCTTTTGTTTAGCCCATGAACAAACAAAAATGTGTACACTGCCGTGCAAGCGTGTCCGAGCTCACAAAAATGTCAGAGGGCGGAGGAACAGTTCGACACGCAATTTGCCCCTTCTGCAAAGAAGTCGCAGACATCTACGCAATCAACAAGACAGCACTCCCCAGGGACCTTTTTATGTTCAAGCCAGAAGCCTTCACGCACCTGGTCTTCAACCTCCCGGGAGGAAGCTTCCGAAAAGTCCTGGCGTGGAGGGCCTTGCTCGTGCTTATAAACACGCTAGACAGAGCAGCCTCCCCTGGGCCTGCAGAAATAGGCAGGGCGATTCTTCCGCAGCTTCTTGAAATATTCCTGCAGTGTGCGATCATGCACCGATTTGTGGGCTACCAAAAAACCCTCTTTGTCACGACTGCGCTCTCTGCACTTTCTCTTCTGAAGGTGCTGATTTTTTTCACATTCATTCCTATAAGGAATATTTACTACCAAATGTGCAACATTCTTATTTTGCTTATGACGTCCAAGGCGCTTTCCACATTTTTTAAGCGGGAAACAAAATCATTCCTTTCCTACATAGTGACGCTAAGGGTGATTTCAACCGGGCTTTTTTATTTCGACTTTCAAATTTAGTTTCAGATTTTCAAATTTTTCAATGAACGACACGGAAATAGTCACACTTTCAGCTGCAGTTCTCTTTGTGTTTACCCTTCTTTTCTCATACACATATAAGATTCTGGCGCCATTCATGAAGAGCTACACGTACATCAAGTGTCTAACAGGCGGGTTCATTATAGGCGTAATCCTCATAGAAGTTCTTCCAGACATATACGCAACAAACAGCCCCATCCCAATTGTGGCGACTGGTCTTTCATTCTTCCTGCTCTTTGCCATAAGTAAGCTCTACATCGAAAGAGTTGAAGCAAAAGAGCAAGACTCCATTCCCGAGGGCGCAAGCAAAAGGGAGGCCCTTATATTCATTATGGCGCTGAGTCTCCACTCCTTCATGGAGGGGCTGGGAATATCCAGTAAGAAAGGCTCCCAGCTTATCTGGTACATTGTGAGCATACTGGTGCACAAGTGGCTGGAGGCTATTATGCTTGGTACATCCGTCCTTACGTCTGAACTTTCTAAGCCCATCTGCTTTTCTTTAATATTAATATACTCTTCGCTAACATCAATCGGATCTTTGCTAGGACATTGGATGTCGTCACCCAGTGAGGAAAGCGTCGTCACATTAATCCTCAACGGAGTAGCAGCAGGCAGCTTCTTCTACATAGGATTCGTGGAAATGGTCGGAAACGAGTTTGAAACCTCCTCGGGAAAGCTCACGCGGAAAAAAACCGCGAAGAAAATTCTTTCAATGTTTATTGGGTTCTCTTTCATTACAGCTGTAATTATGGCAGCACACACTCTTGAGGGAGCAGCATGATTTAAATAAATGCAAAAATTTGCATCCATGTCTAACAGCAGCACTTTTGTCGATGTCTTTGGGATGCCTGCGCTGGTTTTTGCGTTTTCGTTCATTCCCAGCCTGCTGCCTTCTATTTTGCTGGCCTCCAAAAGGCTCAGAAGCATGTACAATAGAGCAAGCATAGTCTCTGCTGGGCTTTTATTGGCCATTCTTTTCATTGACTTTATCCCGCATCTTGTAGAAGGGGGGTGCCCCGGACATGGACATAATCACGGACATAGTCACAGTCACGGCCATGGACATAGTCACGGACATAGTCACAGCCACGGACATGGACATAATCACGGACATAATCACAGTCACGGCCATAGTCACAGTCACAGTCACCCATTGATGTCAGGACTTGAGGCTAAGCTTCACAACTTGCGGCCAGGGCTTATTGTGGCCGGACTTATGCTTATAGGACTCATTATAGTCGATCAAAGAGTCATAAAGCACCATCACTGCGACAAAGAGAAAAGCCTAAACGAAGTCAAAGGCGAGAAAATGGAGCGTGAGGACGAGCACGAAGAAGACCACAGCCACAAAAAAGACCATGTTGAAATATGCCGCATGGACGAGGACGATCACAGTCACAGTCACGGACATAGTCACGATCACAGTCATAGTCACGGACATAGAGAGTTGCCGAATAACGACGAAGAAATCAAAGGGTGCTGCACAGAGGGTCTTAAATACAAGACCACCATAAAACAGGCACTTATTTTCATCTTCATATTCTCCATACACTCAATATTTGAAGGCTTTGCGTTTACCCCGCAGCAGACCTCTTCTATTTCGCTCTTTTTGGGCCTGCTAGTGCACAAAGTGCTTGAGTCCATCACGGTGGGAATTGCTTTGTTTTCCTCCAAGTTCAAAAAAAGAGCAACCACAGGACTTCTTTTTGTATACTCAATGCTTACTCCTCTCGGAATGATTATGGCATATTACATTTCAGACATATTCAACAGCTGGCTTATTAAGGACATATTCACAGGAATAGCCTTTGGGAGTCTTTCATTCATCGTGCTTGTAGAAATGCTTCCGCCAATTGTCCACTCACTCACCAACCCCATGAAGGTGCTTTACCTCCTGGCAGGGTACGTGGTCGGCGCTATTTTTATTAGCATGGTGCACTCGCATGGATAAATAAAATCAGTTAGAGAAAAAGTGCGATCAGACGGAGATGCTTTAGGCAGTTTATGCAGTAGTGCGTGGTACACGCAGGCAGGCGTACTCTGTGGAGTGTGCGGCAGCGTGCTAGGAGCTGGTTTTGCGTGCTTATAGCTAAATAAAGATACGGGGTTTTATTTTTATGTATGATAGAGAGGAGTTCATGTGCACTAGCAATAGCAAAGACATCAGGCTCGTCGTGGCTGAGATACAGCGAAAAGGCGAGCTGCTTATGTACAACCAGGGAACTATTTCTGTGGCCATGCAGGTCTTTTACAGGATGGTCTACGCTCTGGGGAACAAAGAGAAAGCGCAAAAAATAGACAGCCTTGGGTCTTTGCTTGTAGGAGTTCTGAACATCGCAGAGAAGACCACAGGAACATTCCGAAAGATCTCTCGCGTTGTCATAAACTCCCACCTCGTCTCGGGGTTCGCCCTGAGGAACGAAGGAGTCCACAGAATATTTTTGCACGAGAAGGAGATCATCCAATTTGTGTGGCCGCACAGAAACATGTACAAAGAAGTCTCCGCACAGTCTCTTCTGCAGACAGAAGTTGTAATATGCTCTCTTCTGAGGTTTGACTTTTTCTTCACCGACCTGCACTGCGTCCTGTGGAGGCGCCTCAAGAAAAAGAAGCACCCCGAAAGCGTGCTGAGCACAGCCTGGATTATCCTGACAGATGCCCTCTCCTACCCTTTCCTGGAGTACTTCTCGCACAATCCCCTGCTCCAAGCGGTTGAGGCAGTTGCCCTGCGCGTGGAAAAGTGGGAGCACGAGAAAGCCCCCTGCAAAGACCCAGAGCAAGTGCAGATGATAGAGAGCGAGATTCTCCGAATATATGTGAATAATTGCAAAGCGACTATTTTTGCTCTGAGCACAGAAAACACTTTGGGTCTCTTTCAAGAAAGTGCTTTTGAAAGTGCGGGCGCACATCCCCAGAGTAGAGAATAAAATTTCCAGACGGCACTTTCTGGAGAACAAGCGCAACTGTGCTTGCCATAATAAAAGATATTGCAGGTGTGTTTGGCTGTGCTGATTCTTCTTCGATGCGAGAAACGTCGTTTTCTGTCAGGTGCACTGCCGGAGCGTACATCCGGTTGTACTCGCAGGCAGCCCTCGCCCGTGCGCCCTCCTCTCCCTTCGCGTGCTCTCTGTAGAGAATGCTCATCACCGCGGAAGAGACTTTCTCCCCCGAGGCGCTCTCAGGGGGGCTTTCCCGGATGCTGCACAGAGGAACTGCCTTCTTCTGCGCGGGAAAGAGCCAACGTATGCAGAATATGCACGGGCTCTTCCCACGCACAAAGAAAACATGCCCCAAAAACCTCTCGGTTCCGCTGTCTATGTACAGTGCCCCCGTGCAGCGCGACTCCATAACAACGTAGTAGTAGAAGTTTACTCTGCTCTCGTACGAGTCCAGCGCAGATATGTATACGTTGCACGCTAAAATGCTCTCCGGTATCTGCTCCGGGCGGTCGATGTTTATGCTGTGCCTCTCCACGCGGCCAGTGTACCCCTCTCGCGCGAGAAGATCCTGCGCTGCTTCTGTCTTGTGCTTTCCCACATCAGCCTCTCTGTACAGCTGCGTGGGCAGGTTGCACGCCTCCACAGTCTCCATATCTATAAGGCATATTCTGCTGACTTTTCCGCGAGGGATCCCTGCCAAGGCTTTTACAATCGCAGACCCTAGACCGCCCAGTCCTATGATGCACACGTCCATTACTTTGAAGGCGTCGAAGAAAACTCCGCAAATGTTTTACTTTTTATAATGCCAATGTATGGAAAATACGACCCTTTTAAGACATACGTTCCTGCAGTAAGAGGCATTTTGCTGTTTTTTGTGTATGCAACTGCTTTCTCAAAGAGAGAGGCAGTCTTTTCCTTCTTGGCCAGAGTGCTCCACACAGTCTGCTCCACAACCACGCCGTTTTCCTGGGTTTTGTGCACTAAATATATGTATGCCTCTTTCACATTGTAGTTTATGGTTTTGCTTATGTCTATGTTTGGCGTAAATACCATGCACGTTTTGCTGTTTGAGTGTATGGTGGGCGTGCACTGGGGCGTGTCTCTGTTCAGCAGCACAGTGCTCGCAAATATTATGAAAACCAGCACGCTCGTGTACGATGCAATCAGAGACAATAATTTGCTGAATCTTTTGCTTGCGGTGTTCATACGCGAATATTTAACAAAATATATTTGAAATTAATATGCAAGCTGCAAAAAGGTAAAAGTGATCGCTTTTTAATTGAAGCGCTGCAAAGATCAGGCTGCAGGGTTTCGGGATATTCCAGAAAAACCCGAATGCGTGCACGCTCTGAAGACAAGCTAAGCGCAGGATGCGTCTTTTTGCAGGGCTTTCTAGGGGTTTTGAGCACGTGCTTATTTATTTCCCGTGTGCGCCTTCTGTGGGGTGCTACTTTCCGGTGGAGCCGAATCCGCCCTGCGACCGTGCAGTGCAGCTTATTTCGCTGACAATGCACGGAGCGTCTGTAAAGACCCGAATTAGAACAATTTGCGCAATTCTGTCGCCCTTTTCGTACGTGAAAGGAAGGTCGCTGCTGTTGTAAAGAAGAACGGAAAGCTCGCCTCTGTAGTCAGCGTCAATCACGCCTGCCATCGTCATTATCCCGTGCTTAAATGAAACCCCGGACCGAGACTGGACTTGCCCATAGTACCCCTCCGGAATCTCAACGGACACGCCCAGATCAACCCTCTGCCTTTTTCCAGGCGGAATGACTCCTCCGCACTGCGCGTACAAGTCGTATCCAGCACTTGATCTTGTCGCTATTTTCGGGCATGTTGCATCCTGTGTCAGAAGCTTCACTTTAAATACGCCTTGCTCCCTTGTCATTATAGGACACGAATAAAAAATAGAGACATTTATGCACGAAAACAAGCAGGGCAAGAGCGCACGCAGAAACAGGCGGTAGCTCGCCAAAGAGCAACTGCGCAGCCTTCCTTTCATCGCCCCTACTCCAACAAAAGCACGTCTTTCCGCATTTTTGATGCTAGCAAGTACATTGTGCAGCAGCCCTCTGGCGTCGTATGATGGTGAAATCTAATTTATTTCTCGCACGGCCCTGCTGAGCTCTCTATGAAAGGCGTGCGTGTAGGCAGACGCCAGCAGCACTTCTAGCCCAGGAAAGACCTTCTTTTCCTGCCTAGCCAAGTACCTGCGGCCGTTCTGGCGTGTCTTGCGACTAGCTGATTCCCAGCACCTTTTTAATCTTTATAACGGTCATCCAGTCTTCCTTTGCAAGTGCGTCCTTGAAGTTTTCCTTCAGCAGGTCTATGGACTCCCTTGTTATTCTGCTTACAATCTCGTCTGTCTCAAAGAGCTTCCTGCCCACTATGATGGGCTGCTGTGTTGCGGATACCTCTACCTTTATGGAAGCCCGGCCCTCTGCAGGAATTTTGTCGTTCCTGGGCTTTACTTTTGTGTCCTCCAGAATGCTCGTTACTTTTCCTATGCGGACAACTTCCCCGTCGCGCACAACGGCAAGCGGAGTTCCCAGCCGCAGTATACCGCCCACTACCTTCACGCCCAAAACAAGGGGCGATCTTTTTGTGAACACGCACCCAGGCAGGATCTTCAGTATGCACGGGAAGATTACTTTATCCTTTAGCTGCTCCTCGGCCAGAACCCAGTGCGCCTCCATGTGCTTTTTGTACTTCTCTGTCAAGTGGTATATTATCTCTGCGGTCAAGAAGGTGACCTTAAGCTCCTTCCCCAAGGCGAGCATCTCCTGCGACGGAAACACGTCAAAGCACAGCATAGCCGCATACTCCGGGCGCTTTTCGGATATTGTGGACACCTTTATCACGTCCTTCTTTGAAATGCTTCCCACGCCCACGGTTCGAATCGGGATGTCTGCCCCCTTTAGTATGGAGATGAGCGCCTCCAAAGCTCCCAGTGTGCTAGCCTGTGCGTGTATTCCGTCTTCTCCGACCACGTCAAAAATGCTCCCAGACGTCGTCTTGTTGTTTCCCGAAATAAAGTTCTGCACGGTTTCCCGGATCTGCGCGTCTGCCTCCTCGATCAGGCTGTCTACCTCGCTGTCGCTCTTTGCCACCGCCAGCTTGCTCCCTGCAAGCACGCCCTCAAGCCTGGGCGCGGATATTCGCACCCCAACCGCTGCCTTCACGCTCTTGTTTTCCTTGTACTTGGACTTGACTCTGGTCTCCTTCATGGGGTTTGGCGTCAGCAAGTGCCGGATCACTGTAGAAACAGCTCCGTTCTGCGTGCACACCACAATCCGGTCGCCAACCGACAGCACTCCATTCGACAAAATCACGTCTATTGTCGCTGCTTTCCCCTCCTCAGACCGAGACTCCAGAACCATGCACTGCACCGTCTCCTCAAACTTTACTCTTTTGAGGAGGTTTGTCTCCACAAGGTTCAGAAGCACCGAAAGCATGTCCGATATTCCTTCCCCGGTCACGGCAGAGGTGGGCACGATGTTTACGTACGCCTTCGGGTTTGGGTTTTTCATGAAAATCGCGGAGTTCAGCCCGATGCTGGAGAGCTCCAGCTGTATTTTCTCGTACCTGTCCTTGAACTCCAGCTTGGCTGCCTTGCTCTGGCTCTTCAGCGAGAAAGGCGTGTCTGCCGACTTCCACTCGTTGATCCGGTCTATTTTGTTCAGCGCAATGATAAAAGGCGTTTTTCGGCTCCTAAGAAGCTCTATGCTTTCCTTTGTCTGCAGCTCAAGCCCGTGCATAATATCAACCACAAGCACAACAATGTTGCACATCGAGGACCCTCTCGACCGCAAATTCGAGAATGCTTCGTGCCCCGGAGTGTCTATCACGAGTATTCCTGGCAGCTTGTCCGACGTTATTTTGTACTTCTTGGTTAGCTCGGCTATGGGGATGTACGTTGCCCCGATCTGCTGCGTTATTCCCCCGGCCTCTGAGAGCTGCACATCAGACTCCCTTATTCTGTCCAATATTTTGGTCTTCCCCGTGTCGGCATGCCCCAGAATGCAGCAAATCGGACTTCTGTAGTCTGTCTCCATCTCTTCTGGCTGCTTGGCCTTCACCTCCACCTTTGCCCTCTGAATCACCGGCTGCATCGTGAGCCGCTCCAGCTTGCTAAGAATCTCTTTCTTCGCAGACAGTTCAGGCACGCCCTCTTCTTCGCACCCCTCCTCGGCGCACTCTTCCACGCACTCCTCCACATACTCTTCCTCCTGGGCCGGCTCTTCATTCATCTCCGTGTACATGTCGTACATGTCGTCTGTGGCTCCTTTCTTGCCTTTACTCTTTTTTGCCATTCCCGTAAAATTTATTCTTCTTTTATGTTTCTCCTAGCGCAAATCCAGCTCCTGGGCACTTTCATCTCGTCCTGTTTGGGCGCGCTGAAAACAAGCTTGCAGCCTTTGTGCGCTGCGCCTGCTGAGTAAACACGGGGCTTTTCTGGGCTTGAATTCAGCCTGTCTTTCTGTCTTGCGCGAACACGCCTACTCCGACGATAGAAAGTCCTCGAGCGGCTGGAGACTTTTGTCTGCGGGCGAATCTTTCTTGTTGTGTTTCTGCGGGCCTTCTTGGGGGCTGTCCGGGCCTTCCGCAATAGAACTCATCTTGATTTTGGGCCTCTGCTCGAAAAGCACGGGGCTGGCGCATATGCTTTCCAGCTTCGGCGGCATGTGCCTGTATATACTATCTACATCTGTTTGATATTTGCCAGTCTGTGCACTTTTGGGGGATCTCGTGGACATCCGTTTTACTTTTGTGGTCGGGCGGATCAGGGTCTCTACGTTGATCGGGGTCTCTATCTTCTTCACCTTTTTTATCTGCTTTACATAGCTTTTGTCGTTGCAGCACGCGCCAAGTGCTTGCCCAAACTGCCGCAGGGTCCGCTTTATCGAGTCTGTAACTGCTGATTTGTACGCATTCTTTTTCGCCCTCCCGATGCCTTTTACTCTTTCAGCCATCCCCACGCCTATGTCCTCTCGAAATGCGCCATCTGCCAGCGTTATTCTGCACTGGGCCATAGCTGTCACTGTCACTTTATCGTCCGGAAACTCCTCTATGCTCATGTTTGTCACGGAAAGAATCTTGGAGGACCAGCCATCATGTCCGAATATCCGGTTTGCCATGTTTATGGCTGCAGACCCTTCTATGTAAGGCTCTTCTGCATACCCTGTGTTTTTGAATGAGATGTACTCTGGGCCCAGCTGTCTGTCCAGCTCGGTCTTTTCATCATTCTTTGAGTTGCTTTCCATTCGCAAGCAGTTGAGAAAAATAAATAAAACTGCTATATATGCACGAGCTCTTTACGGGATTTGCGCATGCAGCAGCAGAAAAGCGCAAAAACATTCCGAAAGGCTTTTTTTCTAGCGAGAAGATGCGCAGTCGTAGAAAAATGAAAAATTCCAATCCCCGGCAGAGGCGCCTCTTTTTTGCTTATTTGGGCTTATCTCGGCGCAATTTAAGCGTTTATGACCTAAAAATATTTTTACAAACCCAGAAATGATTCTAAACAAAGAAAGTCAACCGAATGATTTAGAAATGCGCATAAAATCGGCAATTAGCGCATACTCCCACAAAGAGCTCCAGACACTAACAAAAAGATGCCCGCATCTGCAGGAGATTGCACGCACAATTCTTATAGCAAGAACAATGATCTGCGACTTAGCGCTTTCTCCGGATCTTCCAGAAAATAGCTACCTGTGCAGAACTCCGCTGCTCAAAAAGATAATTTTGGAAAAAACCCAAGCAATTGTTGATGCGATAGCAAACAAAGACGCACTTGCCCATATATCTTGGGCGAATGACAGCCTGTGCATTCTTGCGCAGGAGTATGCATCTGCATTCAAGTCTGGGCTTGCCGAGCTTAAAACGCACATACAGTGCGACCTGGTAGCGGCAATCGGCATGCACTTCACGGAAAAAGAGGCCAAAACATTCAATATGTTGCACAGCTATTCGGACATCCTGGAAAACGACAAAAAAGGCACTCCGCGGCTGATCAAGGCTTTGCAGATACTTAGAAGGTGCAAGAAAGGCTTCCTCAGAGTGTCTTCCAGCGGCGAGATTGAGTCCAACATAGGCAAGCTAGGCCTTACATCGGACGAGATTCAAACTCTGCGGATTCTGTGCATGAAAAAAGTAGACACGCTGGGGCCCATATGCATGCTGGAAGACTGCTTAGGCACTAGCCCAGAGGCGTACAGAGACGGGCTGATTCTCTCTGCATACAAGCTGCTTGGCATGCAAAGATCCCGGCCCATCGGACACATTGACGAGCAACCAGGAGGAACCAGCGACCTTTCACAGGAGGAGTGGAAAATAGACATGAACCCCGAGAAAATAATTAGCGACGAGGAAATAGAAATTGGCAGTCTTATACGCAAATACTCACCATTCATCAGCGACGAGCTGCAGAAAGATCCCAGGCTGGCGACTCTGCTGATAAAATACAAAAATCTCCAAAACATCGCGGTGGCCAGCAAGTTTGACCCCCAGCCATACGGCAAAGAAGACACTCTATCCGATGATTCTTTGGGGCTGGCCATAGATCTCTCTGTTAGGCGCGAAAGAAAAGACTCGCTGGTTGGCGCCGCCATGGTGGGCATTTGCACGCTTGGCATCAGCACTCTGTACCTTTTGAGCTCCTCGCTTAAAGCAGCAGACAGAGCCGCACAGGCCATTATGAACTAGAACTTTCCACTTTATTTTAATAAACAGAAGTGTAATTCCAGCCGAAATTTCTGCAAGCAAACACTTTTATAAAAGCAAAACCGTGCACCCATATTGTCTTGCATAGCACGTCTGCACTGTATACGACTCGATCATGCGCTGGCATTGCGTTTTTTTCTTTTACACGTGCTAAAAGAATAGACGGCTCTAAACCTCAGACTCACCGAGCTGCCTTCTATTTCCTTCTGTCTCCGAACTTATTCCAAGAGCTGTCTGTCTTTATTAGGGCAGGCGGAAAACTATTTGGAGCAGCAGCTGTCTACATCATATTTTGCCTGTACAGCAAGAGCTTCCACAGCCAGCAGACTAGCACAAGCCATTTAAGCAGCGCAGTAAATCCGTGCTCATCTTGAGCCCGAGTGCGAGGTTTTCTGCCTGGAAAGGGCGTGCTGCTTCTAAAGTGCAGAAGGCAGAATATGCGTGTCTAAAAATAATAGAAGGTTTTTGTGTTTAAAGAAGCCTTTTTCTACAAAGATGTCGTAAATCCGGGCCATGCTCGCACTATTGTCTAAGGCAATTTCGAGTAAAGATTTATTAACCTTTGGAGAGTTCCCCGGCTGTCGATAATCGATTGACTTACTCTTATGGCGCTCTTATATTTTCGCATCTGAAATTGAACTTTCTCGCGCATTTATGCTTGAGCGATCTCTAATGATCTCAATTTCTTCGCATCCATATCGTAAAAAGTCTATCCTGATCTTGCCTTCTCCGATCTTGAGAAAATTCCAATAATTCGCCACAAAAGAAATAAACTATTCGCACGGCCGTTTCATATACAACTAGCAGAACTTAACTATTCACTTTTCGCTCGGATTTCGCATGCTTTTCCTCGCTGAGCGCATGCAGCGGTGCGACTATGCACGTGGCCAGCCCAGCGAAAACTCTGGGCTTTCGTGCTGGCGTGCGTGCTTCAAAATCGGTGCTCAGACAATTCGGCAGTTCTTTGCATCAGCCCAGCCGAATTTTTCTGCGCGTGTCACACAGACACAACAAACAAACACAGGCCAAATAAAAGCATGTGCATACGGCCATTTATGTACACCCTGACAGGAGCCCTTATAGAAAATGCAGTTTCTGCAGAGAAGTCGCCCCTGCAGAGAGCCAAGGAAAGCCTATCCTCGGGCGAGAAAAGGCTGATCATAAAGGCCTTCCACATAATGTCCACAAAAAGCATTTCGTACAAGGAAAAGGCCCAGCTGTTCCCGCAGGTTCTCAGCCTGATCGGGCACGACGCCATTGAGGTGAAGTGTCTTGCATACTCTTTTGTTCTGCGCTCCCTGCGGAGCGACTCGAGCCTCCTCATCCTGGCCGTCAACACAGTCAAGCAGGAAATAAGCGGAGACCTCGAGTACAGAACACCCCTGCACGCGCTGAAAACATCCCTGGCGTTTGACTTTATATCCAAGGTGAAGGACCCGGAGTTCCTGAACCACTTCTCGTACGAAATTGAAAAAAGCTTCTGCTCGAGCTCCGACATCATCAGAAAGTCCGCCCTCCTGGCAGCGCCTGCTCTGTTTGCCGCGTTCCGGGAGACAAAGACATGCGCAATCCGGCAGGCCCTCGACGAGAAGAGTCCGGTCGTTCTTGGCGCTGCCATTTCTGCGCTTGTCTCCATAGAGAGGCAGGCTGCAGGAACCTTTTCCGAGAGCGACCTGGTGCACTGCTTTAGAGTTCTCTGCAAAAACAGGCAGGGCATTGAAGAGACGCACGGAAACTTCCCCCTTCTCTTTTCGCGCCTGTGCAGGCTGTTGCAGGCCTCTGTCAACTGCAGCCTTCTGGAGACGGCAGCGCTCGTGCTGGAGTTTCTCCCCCTCTGCGCGCTCAAGGAGCTGGCGAGCATGCGCAAGGAGCTGCTCGCGCTTCCGGTCGTGGAGAAGATCGCAAACAGCATGAGCAGCTACATTGGGACGCGCAGCAAGACCGAAGCTCTCGAGTGCATTTTGTTTCTTTTGCAGACACACGCAATAAAGCTGGAAACAGACCCATTTGTCGCAACAAGCGAAGACACGCCAAAGGAGAAGATTCTGAAGATGCACATTCTGTTCCGCATAAACAGCAGCGAGGGCCTCGAGGAGATTGTCTCCAGCCTGCGAGACCGAGACTGCACATACAATGCTGCATGCCTCCTGCTGGAAATGGATGCGCTGCGGGAGGAGGACGTCCGGGAGGGCTTCCGCTGCAGCGAGTCTAGCATGCTGCGAGCGCTCTATACCAAGCACCCGCTCCCAGAAAAACTTTCTCCCACGGTGCGGACTGCACTTGCAAACATGTCAAATGTCTCCGAGAAGGAGGCGTACCTCTTCCTGGCAGGATACTACCTCAGCGAAGTCCCAGACGAGGCGAACCGCATAAAGAGAATCCGAAACGCAGCGCACGGCATACTCTACGGAAAGAAGGAGGAGAGGGAGAAGCCGGAGGAGCACCTGGAGGAGTACCTGTACTTCCTCCTGAACATGTATGTTCGCGGAGTCCTGTCCAAGGAGAGCTGCATCCAGCAGGCAGGATCTGCCTTCTCGGACGAGCAGTTCATGCTGAACAAGTTCATGCACTTGGTCGACCTCCCAGACAAAAAGCACCTCGAGGACGTAATAGCATACAAAAGGGTTTTATACAAAGTGGCCCGCATTCCCTGAACAGCAGATCTCTGCGGCTAAATAAAAGCAAGTGCAAACACCTTTGTCTTCTGCCCGCGGGCTGTTTTCTTTATTCTGGCGTGCAGCCTCTTTCTTTTTTCTCCTTTTCCTCTTCTTCCTTCTGCATGCATGCCATTCTATGGAAAATGTCTCAGCACCAGAGACGACGCGGCAGTGCTCAGAAAGCATGCGCTGCACACATCAGCCCTTCCCGAGCACTGCTGCATGCCTGGCCTGTGCCTTCCTGCAGAAAATCAGCAGAAAATCCTGAAATTTGGCCCCTTCCCGAGCCAGTCGGCCTCTGCCGCAGGCGTGCTCTTGCAAGGCTTTTCACAGTTTGTTTTTCCGCCGTGTGCCACTGTACAGGGCTTTTCGCGCATTTGCCCGGAGCGTGGTCTCGAAAAAACAAATTGAAAAAATTTGGTGCAGGGTGCCTGAAAACGCGGCTGCGGGGGACTTTTTCTTTATTTTTTCGAATTTTGGAGAAATAAAAGTTCCGGAAATTCCCCATTTCCTGCATTTAGCAGGTTTTAGAAGCTTCTGGAAGAAATATATTTCCAAATGCAGGCATTGTCCCAGTATGGTAAATTCTCGTCTATAAATACAGAATGTTTTTTTACATTCAGGCAGGAAGTGTAAGAGACTCCTCACTCCTATACTATATTTACTAGTCGGAGTGTCCGATCACTCGGCACTTCTTGTCCTCACTTGCACGTGGGCCCCGTCCACAGCCCGATAAAGAAATCATCAGCAGCCTGATTGGCTGGCTGCTAGGTGTAAGGAGTTAGTAGGATGCTGCTCCTTTATGTTTTAACCTCTTCTCATCATCACCTT